ACTACGGCAACGCACTCCAGGCGGCTTCAGAAGGAGGCCACGAGGCGGTTGTGAAGCTATTACGCAGTAAGGGTGCAACTTGACCTCTGGAATAGTACACTCTATATATGTTTGCTAGTGTCGCACTTGTGCATGCGTGGGGTGGTTGTTCACGTTAAACGAGTGAATGTAGTATATTGTGTGTAATTGATTGTTAATAGTTCACCTTAGCCGTAGCTTATTTGCAAGAACCACAGGAAGATTACTAACGCAGCCAGCTCTCGCACGTGCTTTCCACGCCTGCGACAGCTAGGTATCAATATATCAGCTTACCTAACATCTAATCGTGGTAGACTATGCTTATTCACGATATGTATCGATAAGAGTATTAAAACTAATTTGCGGAACATTTTTGCCACCACCGACAAGGGGGACGGCCGAGCTGCACCGACTGGAGGGTTGTAAATGTTTCAAAATGTGTAATTAGAGAATAGGTAGGTAGGCGCAGCTTATGCTTTCGCCACTTTTCAAGCCTTATGTACCTCCCCTGCAAAGCGCTATTACCTATTTAGTAAAGCGCCTTTCCAGCGGCCGTGCGCGCAGAATAACCGAAGTGCAAGGACCGGAAACCGATGTTGCTCAGAAGCGAGCGACGGTCAGAGAGAACGAGGATTTTATCAGGCGCGATTCGGAACGGAAAGAGGAGGGAATACTCAAACAGGGGAGGGACTCGTGATGGAGACAGGGGAGAGTGACGCGCGCGCGACGCGCCGATCGGCCCGAACGCGCAGGAAAACTGTGAAAGCTGCCGAACTTCGTCTAGAGAACGCGCTGCACGCAATCGATTCGAGCGAGTCCAGCTGCGCAGACGAAGATAATCACGTAAACCTCGAGCCGCCCAGGGCCCCACAACCGAACCGTACACGGAGGGTACCTGAAGGACTGGTCAGGGGTAAAGTGGCCAACGAAAATGCGGAACACACGAGGGCGCGTAATCTAGTCGAAGGCCAAAACCTAGAGAGAACGCTAGCAGCGATACTAGGAGCTTTAGAAGATCTTAGGGCAGACAACTCTGCACTAAAAGCGTACAACCAAGAGCTCAAGACAGCAGTAGAAGACATAACGAGGGAGCTAGCTGACACCAAGGCACAACTTGCAGATGCTAGGGCCCAATTATTGGAACTTTCGGGCGAGTTAAGAACCTAAACGGTAGCTAACAGATCACCGTCCTATGCAGACGTAGCACGCACGCCACCAAGCAGTCAACCTAGTAACCTACGTACCCTCTCCGGAACGACGACACCAACAACAATAACCGACACGCCCTACTATACGATAGACACCTCTAGAGTAGAGGAGACGGATAGACAAGAGGCTCAGATAGGGAGGATCCGGGAAGGTATTGAACGAGAGCTTAGGACAATTGAAGGTAAAGAAAAATGGCGGTGCGCAGCGGTAATAAGGGACCCTAGGGATACCAACAGGATTAGGATTTCGTGCAGGAGTGAGGAGGAGTTAAGGGAGGTAAAGGAAGCAGCATAGAAAACTACTATAAGGGGCGCAAGAATTCTCCGCGATCAACTATACCCAGTACGGATAGACAACACGAACCGCACAGCAGTCTTGAACGAGCGCGACGAAGTACGACTAGAGGCTGCGCAAGCCTTAGGGGAGGAGAACGAGGTGCAGATCGCAAAGATGAACTGGCTAAGCAAAAAGGACTTAGGCAAGGCATACGGATCTATGGTTATATACATAAAGAGAAGCAGCGAAGCGGCGCGGCTCCTCTAAGGACAATATTTCCACATTAACGGAGAATCTGCGTACACCAGGGAGTTTAAGCCCCACATAGGTCCGGTGCAATGCTACAAATGTCAGCAACTAGGACATAAGGCCTTTGCATGCACAGGGCAACAGACCTACACAAGGTGTGCGGTGCCAGGTCACCACCACAGAGAATGTCAAGCTGAAATCCCAAAGTGTGTACCGTGCGGAGGGCCCCATGAATCCTTCTCGAAGAACTGCTGGATACTGCACCCCAGCCGTAATGAATAGACCACTCCAGATCTTCCAGCTTAATGTAGGAAAGCGGAGAATGGTACAGCATAGTATGATGAATAACGAACAACTATAGCAATACAGCGTGTTAGCGATCGTGGAGCCTCACACACAACGGAATAAGGAAGGCGAGCTACTTATGACCCCAATGGGACACCCAAACTGGATAAAGCTTATACCAACAACACAAAAAGAGGGTAAATGGCCAATTCGGAGCATGATGTGGATCAGAAGAGATATCGAGGCCGAGCAGGTGCCGGTAAACTCATCCGACCTTACGGCAGCGGTACTTCGGCTCTAAGACAGACACCTCTTAGTCGTGTCTGTGTACGTAGAGGGCACAAATGCACGAGCGCTGGCAGACTTTACGAGCACGCTCCACGCCCTAATCCAGTAACAACGGAATCGTATACGGACGCGTATAGATGTGATACTGGTTAGCGACTTCAACCAGCATGACGCACTGTGGGGAGGAGACGATGTGGTCGCACACCGAAGGGGAGAAGTAGACCTAATAATCAACTTAATGGACGGCTATTACCTGCAAAGCCTGCTTCCGCGCGGCACAAGGACCTGGCACTATGGGGATCAAGAGAGCACAATTGACCTAGTGCTTGCTTCTGTAGAGCTGGCGGAGGACCTGATATGATGTAGAATACACGGGACTGACCATGGGTCCGATTACAGCGCGATTGAGACGACATTTGACGTGAACACACCGCCTTAGAGGGACGAGAGGAGGCTCCTTTTCAAGAATGTACCATGGGAAGAAATAAGGCAAAGTATTGTAAGGACACTGCACACTAAACCAGTAATAGGAGATACTCAATATTAGGCAGACCGTCTGATGGAGGCAGTGCTCGAGGCGGTCCATAGCCTCACCCCAATAGCAAAGCCGTCACCGTACATGAGAAGGTGGTGGACGTCAGATCTGACCCAGCTACGGAGGGTACACACATACTGGAGAAACCAGGCGAGGGCGCAACGTCGGGCGGGCCGACTTGACCTGGCTACGGAAGAGAAAGCAAAAGAGGCGGCAAAATAGTTTCACGATACAGCATGGTGATAGCGAAAGTCCCATTGGGACAACTTCCTTGCAGAAGACGGTAACGTATGGAAAGCCGCCAGATACCTCCAGCCAGGCAAAAAGGCTGAGTTTGGCAAAACCCCGCCCCTAACCAGGGAAGATGGGACTACAACAGAGGGACCACAAGAGCAGGCGGAGGAGATGCTCTCTGTCTTTTTTCCGCCACTACCAGAAACGATTGAGGAGGAGGGAGAGAGACACCAAAGAAGGCAACTAACCATGCCACTACTAAACCTAGAAGAGATAGAACGAGCAGTAAATGAGGTCAAACTATGGAAAGCGCCTGGCGAAGACGGTTTGCCGGCGGGAGTATAGAAACAAATATAGCCAGCAGTGAAATGGGACGTACTGCGGCTGTTCCAAACGTCCATTAATGAGGGTTAACTGCCAACTCAGTGGTTAAACGCCAGGATCATTCCCCTAAAAAAGCCCGGGAAGGACGACTACACCAAAGCCAAGGCTTGGCGACCAATCTCACTACTATCAACGCTAGGAAAGATAATGGAAGCGGTGCTCACAGAAAGGATATTATATATAGTGGAGGAGCATGGCCTTCTCCCCACGAACCACTTCGGGGCTAGAAAGAAGCGTTCAGCCGAGTAAGCGCTACTGTTGCTGTAGGAGCATATATATCAAGTATAGAGGCAGCGGAAGGTGCTTAGCCTTATTAGCTTCGATGTTAAAGGTGTATATAATGGTATATGCAAGGATAGGCTAATACAGAGGCTACGCGCCAGAGGGATCCCTTAAATTCTAACGCATTGGGTGGACGCCTTCTGCTCTGAGCGAATAGTGAACATAGTGATAAACGGACTGTTGTCAGAGAAGAGAGACCTGCCATAGGTAGGTCTGCCACAGGGCTCACCACTATCGCCTATCCTTTTCCTCTTCTTTAACGCCGATCTCGTCCAGGGACAGATTAATAGGGATAAGGGATCAATCGCATTTATGGATAACTTTAGCGTATAGGTGACAGGTCGCTCAGCTGCAGACAACTATGAGGGTCTCCAAAAGATTATTAACCACGCGAGTAGCTGGGAAGAGCGGAGCGGCGCAACCTTTGAGGCGGACAAAACGACGCTAATACACTTCACACGGAACAAGGGGCGGACCTGCACCCAACCAATTAGAGTAAAAGGCCAAGAAGTCAAGCCAGGAGACGAGGCAAAGATCCTAGGGGTTATTATGGATGCAGAGCTCCAATACAAGAAGCATGTGGCAAGAGTAGTGACGCGAGGTCTGAGAGCGGCGATGGCACTTTCCTGGCTAAAGAACCTGTCGCCTCGGACAGCTTGATAGCTGTTTAGAGCCACAGTGGAACCAGTTGTGGACTACGCATCATGTGTATAGTAGCACGCAGCCAAGCATACCCCCTCAGTATTCCAGAATATCCAGAGGATAGGTGCAAAGGCCATTATTGGCTGCTTTCGGACAACAGCTACCGCAATTGCAGAGGCCAAAGCAAGCATATATATGGTGACAGGACAGCATAGCTACAAAGCAACAAAGCTTTAGGTTAACATCCACTCCCTGCTGAGAACGAACCCGCTAACATAGTTACATTTCAAACCATTTGCAAGGTTTATTTCACCCCTCTAGATGATAGCCTCAGCTCATGAAGATATTGACACCAGCCACATGGAAACAATCATGCCATATATAATCAGCCCGTGGAGCAGACGCATCACGGCAATGGTAGAGCCAGACTTAGAGAAGGTCACAGCACGAGTAAACCAAGAGGATGGAATAAAGATTGTAACCAGCACGTCAGCGCGCCGCGGCAACATCGGAGCAGGGTGGGTGATACTGGACACCTAGGACATCAGGGCGGATAAACCCCACACTAGCTCTGCTATCCTGGGCCCAAGGGAAGAGCAGAACCCTTGTGTAGCAGAACTATTTGCTATCGTAGGAGCGCTAGAAGATCTAGGGAGACCGCACCGTAGGCGAATCATAATCCTTATAAGAAACCTGGCCGCCCTTTAGGTGGTTCGCCAGCCGAGGAGACAGTTAGGACAACACATCATCCAAAGAATCTACCGCACAATCCAGCACCTAGAGATGCTAGAAAATAAAGTAGATCTTATATGGATTACGGTGAAATGCAGCAACGCTCTTATAGACGAAGCAAAGAAAGTGGCAAAGAGGACTACGCAGGAGGGCAGTACGCCACCCATGCGTTAGCTTCAAGCTAAATTAACCGTTATTAACACGACAATGGCAAAGGCATAAGCAAAGAGGACTCTACTAGACGGTATAGGAGCATATAGCAAGCAGATAGATGCAGCACTACTAGGACAATACACCCATAAGTTATACGACAACCTTAGTAGACAAGAAGCGACGGTGTTAGCACAGCTACGTATAGGGATGATACGGCTAAACGCATATCTCTACTAGATTAGAGTAGCAGATTCTAGGGCATGTGCTTGTGGCCACACGGAAACACCTAAGCACTTCCTCTTCCGATGCGCGCGATGGGACACGCTTAGGGAACAAATCCTAGAGCAATTAGACACGCTGAGGGGAAGCCTCTCATTCTACCTTAGAGGGAGAGCAAAGAAAGATCCAGCGAAGACATGGGAACCGAGCATAGAGGTAGTAAAAGCGACAATCCGATACGCAATAGCGACAAAACGCCTAGAAATAGCAAGCGGAACGTAGGAGGAAAAGACTAACCCTCTCACCTAGTAGGTTCTGCTTCATTTGCCGAAGAAGGGACACTGAACACTTAGGGGAACAGCCCTAAGACAACTTACTACTAACCACTTAGGAGGGACTCTAGATACACAGAGGAAGGATGAATAGACACAAGGACGGTTATCCACAGGGGCTAGAGGGAGTTAGGTCACCACAGTAAGCTATGGTATGTAGTTAGTGTAATAAGGCCCTTTAGGCGAGTGAGCCGGGCGTAATAAATCAATCAATCAATCAATCAATCGATGTTGGTCACCACTGTATGTGGCTGCGCCCAGTAGTCGCTTTTACGGCAGCCCGTCGCATTCATCCTCATCCCTTCTATAATTGTTCGCTTGGCACAGCTATTTGTTCAGCTGCACGTCCGTTAGGTCAGTTCTACATGCCATGGCCCTGTATTCAAGGCCTCAAGATCGTCGTTTTGCTTCAAACGACGCGTCTAGAACGACTTCAAAGTGTTGATGCAACCCATGACGTCACATCAACTTGCCGTGGCGAGTAGCAAAATTAGCATGATGGTACCGCTCGACTGCGTTGATGGGAATTCACGTGCTTCCGCACGTCGGCCCTGCTTCGACGATCTCGAAATACGTCCAAGCGCCGTGGAGTCATTGAGCTTACAGAAGCACATTCTAAAAAGAGTGACCGGCGACATAGTTTTGACGCCTCCCCAATCAGCTTCCAATTATTCATCCGCTGTGTCTGATTCACCGTTTGTGATTGAAGCCCAAGACTTCATCCGGAGGCAGATCGGTTCCGGCCCGAATATGCCTCCAGAGAGGCTCGCGGTTCTGGTTTCCACAATGTCTGTGGTTGATTATCTTCTGTATGGTACCAAATTTGATGTCTACTACTCTTTCTACTGCTCAGGTTGTCAACGTTATGGAAGGCATAAAATATCCTCTGACTGAGCTCGCATCACTACAGCGGGTCATTCCACTCACTTCCAAAGCGGCAACCTAATAATGGTATATAGCCGCATGGGCCATCGAATCTGTGCGATGGTCTGCATGAAGCAAGCGAACTGAACGCGATTCAGTTCTCGTGTCACTCGTTGCGCATATCTATTCTGCGATATGGCCAAATTTGTTTACCGACTAAGCGTCACATCGACTCCGAGTGTCTAGAGTCTGTACACCTGGCCATGGTGACTTCGCGAGCGATACAGGAATCGTCTATGATTGTCACCGACGTTCGCCCTCACATCGGTTACATGAATTTGGTACGCATTATGCCACAAGCTCTAGGTAACACAAATAAATAAAGCTAAGACGGCTTTACACCATCTTATGCCACCATTTTTTATTGTGCTTCTGCAACGTGATTGCGACTGCTCATAGAGAAGACCCCCCACACTGCAGCTCGTCACATCGCAGCTTGATGGCCTGTTGGAACTGAGTCCGTCAATATTCAGACTGCAGGCCTTATTCAAAACCTTTGTCCCACTTTGCAACGGCTTGATCGTCGACGTTACGGACATCCACGGCGCAATAACTAGAGAAGGAGGCAGCTACATGCAAGGCAGTCCTACGCAAGACTACGATTTTTCTCCATATCCTTCTCCTCCTCTCATTAACGACCAGATGCGCTCGGGACAGCTTGGAGGCGAGCTTTCGTCACAGCGAATGCTATCCAGTGTACCCACACCTCACGAGTCGACAAGTCTTTATAGCAACACTGCTCGTCCTCTTAATCGGGACTGGGCACCCAGTCTCCACACTAGTCTGAAGCTCGTGCTAATTTTCCAGTTTTCCTTGTTCACGGAGAGTTCGACATGTCCTAATTCTCCGATATTTGATGACGGCATATGGAACTTCGGACCGTCCAAGCTGCCACCTTCAATGTAGAATCTCGTGGGGGAGCCGCCGAATTATCTTCCCGATTAGATGTAGCGTCCAAATATACATGAATACGTTAAAAAAACTACGAGAAAGGCAAGACTTGCAAATTAAGTCGGGTCGAGGAGTGCTAACATCTAGACCAGAGCATGTAGGTTGTTGACTGGTCGATCGATCCGAGTCCTGAGTCGACATTAGGGCCACCATCACTCTCGTTGACAACAACCAAATCGGCCACTGCAGGCCAAACCGTGGATAATATCTTTTTTTTTTTGGGATAAGGAACTCATTCAACAATCTGACTCTCTTCGTAAATACACTCAAAGTGGAATTATACCCTCTCTCATTAGCAGCTCCATCAGGAAAAATACGCCAACGGACCCCAAGGAGAGAGAGAGAGATGGAAAAGCTCAGGCTGTAGTCGCGACGACGCGTTTTGATCGCAGAGTACGCAGGTGGTTTCATATTTGTGCATCTACAGCTTTCTCGCCTGTAAACGGCTCCATCTTCCTTGCATACATTATGGCCGCTATCCACTCCTGCCAATGTCTCATCATTCTCCGGATCGTACGGATATTTCTATCATAAGCCTTCTCCCTGCGAATCTGCGAATTCCATTACATCTCAACATGCCTTTCAACCTTGCGCGCAATGTGAAGAAACGTGCCTGTAAAGTAGTTTCTCTGTTATCGTGCTTTTCAAGATCTTTCCACTTGGGTTCGAAAGATACGGCCAGTCTCGATGTTCTGATTAAGCTTGATGATCCCTCCAAGCACCGTATCACGTTCCTCGTCTGAAATGTACCGCAGTCCACACCCTGAATCACTATATGCCTAGCTATAGGAGATGCCTGCGATCGTTTGGCTCATTACGAAGGTGGTGCTTGCTTTCGAGCTTCGTGAAACGGGACTTTGACCCTGGTCTCATGCTTCCCACGACAATCCGATCTCGTGGACATAGATCCCTGATAGACTCTACGCTCTAGCCTATGTTCTATAGTCTAGCCGTAATTTTTGGTTGTCATGGAAGTGCTTTATCAACTCTTCGTGCACTGACCATTGACTCGAACAACGCTCAAGTCGTACCGGGCTTGCACGTATTTCTTGGGACATTCTAGACGAGAGATCCTGAGGTATGAAATACTGGGGAACAAACATAAGTAGACTTGGAGTCTGAGCACAGTTGGTAATCGTAGGACGGGAGAAGGTGCCACTGACGAAGTTCAGCGTAAGTATCGGAAGAGTGTCGGAGACATTAGCTACCTTGATCAAGAACCATGTTAAATGGCGCGTAACGAAGTGCTGGAATCCTTATCAAGTCCGGAAGTAGCTGCAGTACCTCCGAGTAGGTTGGACTACGTTATGACTGTTCATGCGAACATTCGACGTCGTTTCGATATATCCGGCACTGTGTCGAAATTGTTCGTAAGGAGATGAGGCACAGCTGTCTGTCTCACTAGTAAACCAAGATAAACCCTTAGGCCATTGAAGAGTCTAAGGCTAGAGTTTCATCTGGGCATTAGGCAGCCACTATTTTGCACCTTCGTCTTCGTTTTCCAACACGTGCTCTCAACATTGCGTAGGATATTACAGGATCGATGATGGAAAAGTCCTGGCAGCTTTGACGGGTGCTCAATCCAAGGCGAATCGTCGTGCTTGCTCGGGCGCAGCTACCACGTTGTGATTCAGTCGTTGGAATTGGTAGTCGTTTTCAAAGTCGTTGTTGGGCCTTTTGCGCTGAACTTGGCCCAATACTAGAGGTTTCAGACCCTTTCTAAAGTTGGTAACGCAGATTGAGCCGGCGGTAAAGGCGATCGCGGAAAAACCCAGCGCAACCACGGCCATAAAAACCATCTCATCCTTGAGCAATGTGTTCGCAAGTCGTGAGCGACTGTTAAGAACAACAATTCTGCTCACAAGGTAAACGATCTCAGCCACATGTCCAACCTAGTGAACATAGTCAGCTTGAGTGCAAATGTTTTGGGAAATTGTCTGTATAATTCGCTGCCCTGGATAAATGCCGGGAAGTATCAAGATTGATGATAGTAAAAAGAGACTTACAAGCACAAATGACATTCCAATGAACGTTTCAATTCGCACAAAATACACTGCAAGACCGACGTGTATAAGTGCAACTGGGATGATAGCCATCGTAAGAGAAAATTCTGGCTCCACGTAGTGTACGTCAATCAGATCATAGAGAAGTATGAAGCTGATAATAAAGAAAGGCGTGAACTTGAGGATGACGAGATAAATCTGCGCGCGATTAGCTGATGGACCAACTTTCATGGCGTTTCAACTCACTTGGTATGCGAAATACCGTAGCCGCATCTTCCGATCGGGGCTGACTTGCTCGTACAAAGCCCAGGAAAACTCCCGATACAAACCGTACGCGAAGAGACACATCGCAACGCTGCACGCACATGAAACAACGATACATGTAATCAGCGCCGGTGAAACATGATCCCAAAATTTCCATTCATGTTTGGCGAAAGGCGTCCCGTACATGTCGTGATTGATCAGAATTCTGCGGTTGGCTTCTTTGATCTGGCTATATTGCATCACTGTTGCGATAGACAAGCAGATGTTGCAGACGCACTGCACGAAAAGCTGGATGTTATTCTTGATTCGATATGCGTCTAGGGTCAGAGCCAACTGGTAAAGTGCTCCTAAAGCCGTCGTGCCCAACGTGAGAGGTGTGACGTATGCGAGTGGAACTTGGTATACGACTGAGTTGACCCATTGCAGATAAACGACCAATATTGTGCTGTTATGGCGATTAGCTCACATCAAAACATAATGTTTAAGGGCAGCACATACACCTGGGCAGGAATAATTGCAACAGCCTGCGTCGCAGTCGACCCGAAATAGGCCCATTCCAGCTTTGACCGTGGAACCCACGATGGCATATCTCGCGATAAAACAAATCTTCTGTGTGAGGTACTCTACGCGACTTGTACTTGAAAAGAAACTGATCTATTATTGCTCGGTGACGAGCGCTAACGTAAAGGTTGGAAAGTAAGTGACATCAATTGAATGATGTCTTCAGGAGCGATCTAGTCTGGAAAAGTGTTTGAGCAGCTTTACCGCATTCGGCTTCTGGGCAAGAGGCTAAGGCACTGCGCCACTGAGATACACCCGAGGAATGGCCGATGGACCTTTCTTCCCTCGGTTCTCATTCGTTTGATTCTGCCGAGGAAGACCGAGTCCTCGACGAAACGTCTCCTATCCTACGTGCAATGGCGATTTCGCATATATGTCAGACCCAACCCAACGCCATGATAGGCTACATAAGGACTCGGCTCCTTGTGGAGTGCCGCGCACTTAGTCTATATCAATCCAAACCTTAGCATGAAAGCGCAGCGTGGATAGCATTCCGATACAACTGTATGTAACGCGACACTGGCGGGACGATGAAGGTAAAGGCGATGAACGAGGGCAAGGAGAATATCTGCTTCATCCGGAGTTGCGAGTCGCCCGGAAGGTAAGAGGTCAGTGTATCTGTGGTAGTGACTACTATAGGGTCACAGCATGCTTATCACTTCTGGCGTCACGCCACCGCTTAGAGTTTCCTCAATGGAATCGACTTGTACCACGGGTAAGAACCATCGCGCGAGCCATAAATTGATTCGCTGCTCAAGCGAGCGCGGCAATGGCTGCTATATTTTGGTCGCTCTTGCATTGCGCTTACCATTCATATCAACTTCATGTTTGCACCATCTGATTTGGATAGAAATGGCGAGCAAGCAGGAGCCACACGTTGTTGCTATTGTTTCCCTTAAGGACGCTGGCGACACCATCCGCTTGTTCACGATGATGTCAGCATTGCGAGATGCTTGCCCTTCGGTTATCGACCTCAAGGTCGACTTTTTGTCAAGCGGCTCAATATTCGAATATTTTAGCAGCGAGGCGGGTTCGACATTTTAGCAGCGCAACCATGAGCGGAGGGTGTCTCCGTTGCACACAATCGTGGGTTAGACTTCCCTGAGTCTTTCGGCTCAGCGGATATCGTCAAGACATTTTTCGAAGGTGAACTCGAAGCGTTCAGGACTCCGAGCCCTACCATCGTCTTTCACAGGATGTGGGCTCCGGCTTCCATTGCAGCACGATTGCTAGGTATACGCACGGCTAACTTTTTAACGGTACCCCTGCACGCAGGTGTGTATGCAAGGGTCATCCACGGGATGTTCCAGACATGATGTCTATCTTGACGTGTCTACCATGACTAATGAGACAGACCATCGTGCAATGTGTCAGTCTGCTACTGATGAATGCTCTTACATTCGATCAGGAGCACCTAGGAGCGGCTGCTTCCGCCCGCGGGTGGTCCGTCGAAGAACCAATCTCTCCATTTGATATGACTCTGGCGGATGTTAGCCTTCTCAACGACCATCCAACGTTTCATCAAGACTATCCTCAGCATTTGTCGAAGACCATGTTTATTGACCAGTGTCTGGCAAAAGCGATAAGGAGTTGGACGAGGATGTCGCCGCACATGAATCACCCTAGACCATCTGTTGTGGTGACTATGGTACCTCTGGAACCTAAGATATTGTCTCCGAAGCTACCAAAGCATTGCGAATGGATCCATGCGACGGATGGAACGCTTCGATTCTTGCCTCGCCTTCTATCTGCTCAATCAACAAAGCATTAGAGGTTGCATCGGGCGATCCGCGCCCTTTAGTTGCGGATCAATAATTTCCACCACAGTGGCATTGCTCTGATAGATGCCACTTTTACTTATGGTGGATAGGGAACAATGCAATCCTATCGTTGCTGGGATGCCTCTTGTTAGCGTTGCGTTGCAGATCGAGCAGCAGACAAATTTAAATAATTTGATGGACGCTGGTTCTGCCATTCGAATTCAACAGCACTGGCATGCAGCAAACATTCATGATGCTGTGCTTGAAGTGTTGAGTGATCCCAGTGACGTCGCACACGGGCGAGTCCTTGGGTGAGTCCTTGCTGAAGCGATGAATCGCATGAACGGTGCATAGATCGCTGCAGAGAGAATCTGGGAATTCATTCCTAAAGAGCAACTTCCACCGGTTAAGGTGGAGTGACGCACACACACCTGTATGTACTATCTCTCTAATTCTGAATATCAAACCTATCCCCAGCGTGCGTAACATCGCCGGGCTCGTTCATCCTTGCCCAGAGTTTCTGCAGCTCGTCTTCCCCTACATCTCGCTTGCCAGCCGCTGCAATCTGAGCGAAAGAATTCTCCCGCTCAATCTGGACTACTCTCCATTAGCATCTCAAGTCTTTCACAAATGTTACTACACTTACCATGCAAAAATACTGCCGTGCGTTTTCCACTGAAGAAAGCATGCGGTACATTCGTCACGTTGTCTGAGTTGGCGTCGCCAATAGCGAAGATCCCCGGAATGTTCGTCACCAACCCTCCAGCGCTGTCTGCTGCAAGCTTGTTTCCGTAAAGCTGGACACCTGCATTTTCCCCAATCTTGGATCTTTGCTCGGACGGGAAGTCCGCAAAGAAGGCGTTCCGCAAGATGGGATTCTTTTTATCCGTGAAATCCACTTGGAAGAGATCATGCTCGGGATGTGTCGGCAAGCTAGGATCGGCGAAGGGTGTCGCACCGTCGCGGAGTCGTGTGATAGAGGCCAATGTGCGGTTTTCAATCTTGACGTTGAGTAGCTTGAGGTACCTCTCCCATCCTGGGAACTTGACCTCAGTGATCTTGCGATTTGCAGGCGTGTCGGTGCCATTTACGAAGAGGATTATGTCCGTGTTCAAGGTGAGGATTTCGCGTACACTTGTCACTGCACTGTCGAGGCGCGCAAGGATGCCAAGGTCTTGGTCGGCGTGTTCATGACCATCGCACCAAGGACACCAGTAGATGCCTTTGCCCCAGCTCTCTGCAAGGCCGGCGGTCGACGGCAAGATATCTTGCATGCCAGTCGCTAGAACCACTTTCCGAGTCGTGAACGAAACCGACTTGTCTCCCGGGTAGTTCGCTAGGACTTTGAAGAAAGTGTTGTTTCTCTGGGGTTGGACTTCCGTCACTGTCCCGTTCACGAGGTCAACGGTCCCGTAATCACTAATTTGCTTCCTTGCTGAGAAGCGGAGCCAGGCGGGTGTAACACCGTCGAATCCCAAAATGTCGTGGGCATGTCTTGTTGGATCATTTCGGTACTCTCCCGAGTCGATCAATAGAACGTTGCGCCGGACTCGCGCAAGCCCGCTCGTTGCTGCCAATCCAGCTGGGCCTCCGCCGATAACGATGGCATCGTAGTCAGCCTGCACTGCTGGTTCAAGAAGTGGTGCTGAGTAGACTGCGGAGGCTAGGAGAAGCCAAATGCCAAATATGCTAGAGATTATCATCTTTGATTGGTATCAATTCGATATCAGCTAGGTGCGATTGTCAGGAATGCTTCGGCCGAATAGGAGTGTGAAGATATGTTCTCAAACAGGATCAGAACCGCGTACTCCTATTAATGGTGGGGAGCCGACGCATGAAGTGTTCAAATCCTTCTTGGTATGTCGTGATTCCGCACGGATTTCCGGAAATTGGAAGACCTCGATATTTGAGTATTTCCCAGTCGGGTGTACGACAAGAACAAGCAGAGCCTAGGAGTGCGCAATGCTTAATGACGCAATAGAATCCCGGGCAAACGTTACTATAGTTGCACACCCGATACTGCGCTGCATGTGCATATGCAGGCTCGTGTATACAAAGTTCCTCGAATAGGCTAGCCAGATCATACTCCTGTGCTACGGCTTTCGCACCTGGACAATAACGTGGAATTGTTGCAAGAGAGTCCTGCTCAAAAGTATCCCAAAACAACATGTCACCACCACATCAACCATCTTCGTTTTTAGCACGATAACGAGGTATGCTTGATACAGTCTCTTATAGAGCGAAGAGCTCCGATTCCTGGTTTGCTTGCGAAGCGTTGAGCAACTTGGGTGTCCTAATTTGGAAGAGCCTTCGACCTGCACAGCTATCTAGGTTCTATGCAGCAGCAACATAGTTACATAAGCCCAGGATTGCGCGCACACAATGCTTAAAAACACAGTCCCACACCTTGAGTGATTCGTTCCAGGTGCGGAGCTTCGTTGCACGCCAGAGGGGCTGACCAAACACTCGGGTTAATTACGATCGCCGTAAGCCGGATCTCAAACCTTGTCCGCCCATCTCCGAACAAGTACTACCGAATCAGAAGCAGAAGGCGAGCCTGACTAGAACATCTTCTCAAGCTTCGACACGACTAACGGCGTTTATGGTGGGTGATCCAGAGAGGGTACAAGCACTCGGGTTACAACCAGACCCCGTTTTAACACCTGTATTCCTGTGGACGGTCGCCATGTTGTGAGATAGTTATCGTGGTGAACAACATCTAGGTCATGTGGAGGACATTTGTATGCCTAAGGCCATGGGGATAATGCAACAGACCTCATTAACACCAGCAGTCTCGAAGGTCACAGTGATGCGAATACGTAATCTAGTAGAGCGATTGCCATTGTCGAGAGTCCCTCAATCAAGTCGCATGTGGTCCAGCTCGTGGTCTTCTCATAAATTTTTGCAACCATTCGTGAATTTTCCCGCGCCCTAATAATGGTCTGGGTCTTGTTGAATGTGCTGAACTCAGAATGAGTCACGAATCCTTGAGAACCGACGTGAGACCTGCTTCAGCCTCACCAAGAACCAATCACCAGAATTTTGCTTCCAGTTCATCATTGCGCACTTGTACACACTGAATGACCTCAACACCTAGACCTCGTATAAGGATAGTCCTGGCTGAAAATACTTAAGTGCGATGAAAATTATTGGACAAGAACTAGATGTCGATGCTGGTCGCGGCAACTATTTGTCCGTCTTTCAAAACACCAAGACCATTTATGGGGCAGGCGGTTCTATACATCGCTAGCCACGACCTTCTTAAACACTTATTGGAAATATTGTACCAGTCTTACCACGATCAGGTAATAAGACTAAAAAATATAACTAAGCCGGTATGTATCACAATTCACTCCTAATGCAGGTATTGCAAAATAATGGATAACAATAATACTTCCTCCTAAAGGTGATTCAACGTGAGCTTTTAATAGTCAAGTGTTTAAAACAATTGTAGGTGTTTTTACAGCAAAAGCTATAAATATACCATAAAACAGGAAAAGTTGTGTTAAATAAACCAAATTCCCTTTGAAAAGGCCACAAGGTCCTAATGCGCAAATAACCATTTCTCAATTCCCTGGCTCCAATGTCTTCTGCACCACATCCTTCTCCCTGACGAGTCTAAAGGCTTGACGCTAGTGCCAAACAGAAACGATTGTCCCCAGAGCCATCCAAACTCCTTCCAGCGCAGACCATGCCACTGCCACTGCCATGTAAACGAATCCATGACCCGATTCTCCTCCGATTGACCCGTCCAACAGAGCCGCGGAATCTCTACAATGCAACCAGTCTTCAACGAGCCTCACTCGCACGGAAAAATGTACAGCACTGCAAGGTGCCAAAGCCACCCACCATTTGCTCCAGGCAAGCAGAATACTGCTGGTCGCTTGCTATATATGCGTGTTTGTGCCGTCCCTCACAAGATGCGACCTCTTCCCATCTGTGCTATTTTGAAGGAGATATTGCCCAGGAATAGCTGTCCGGGTAGATCTTCACAAATCCAGCTGTCAGCCCGGACTCCGCCGCGCGATGACTTGTTCACGCGGGAAAAGACCCCTTTCATGGCCTCTTTTCCTTGCGCCCAGCAGGGTATCCCGCCACAAAGCCGCTAAGAAAGCTCACTTTCCGCTACGTAAGACAGGTCCTCTCGCTCTGTGCTTGTGAACGCAAACTCCCACCGTCGAGAACAGCCCAGCAAGGAGTCCCACCCGCAAGACTGAGTCCAAGGAGATCTTGAACACGCAGTAACTAACACACCACAGCGTCATCGTCATCCTCCTCCTCGGCCCGTCCCCCACCGGAAATGCAACATTCATATCACACCTCCTCCCTTCCAACACCTCGCCCGAGCCCATCCCAACCCCTCCTCCCCCCACGACAGCAATAGCATCCTACGCCGCAGACCTGCCGAATGGGCAGTGCGTCCTGCTTCTCGACACCCCAGGCTTCGATCCCAGTGCCCCTTTCTCAACGCGCTGGGGCGTGGAAGTCGTCACGTACATCAGCGCGCTCCACGCACGGAACAAGAGCCGCGTGTGCTGGGGCGGGATTTTGTACTTTGCGTCGGTGGAAGAGGGGACGATGACGCCGGGGAGCATGCAGGGCGTCTGTGTCGTGGAGCGGCTCTGTGGCGCGGACATGTTCGCGAGCGTGAGGGTGGTTACGACGGGCTGGGCCGCGCAGCATCCCGATGGCCGGCAGGTCAAGTTGGAGCACAACTTGCAGGCAAACGAGGACTAGTTTGGTTTTCTTATTGACGGAGGCGCGGGGATGGCCAGATATGATGGCACTGCGGGGAGTGCGCTTAGGGTTGTCATGGGGCTTGTTAATTCGTGTGACGATTCAAAAGTGGCGTTTGATGTGCTGAGGGAGGTTGTGGACGAGAAAAAGAGGCTGGCGGATACCAACCTAGGGGAGTTATTGAGCGCAGCCCTAGAGGAGCGGGAGAGGAATGTGAAAGACACGCTGGAAGGGGCGGAAAGGCAGATTGTAGTGCGAAGCGGCGAAGCTAGTGAGGGCGCGCTGGACTTCTGGGTGAGATGGAAGGGGGACTTGGAAGTGGAGATCGGGCGGGTTGATGAGGAGAGGCAGATATTGGACATGAGGTTGAAGGAAATGCTGAGAGCGAGCAGGACGGGTTGAGATGAAGAGGGCTCTGTGGAAGTGGCGAGGGAGAAGAAGAGAAGGCGGTTTTCGTTTGACTGGTGGAGGCAGGCTTTTTGATATAGGTTGTGAGAGCGGCTACACAGGATGCTGTCGGCCGATGCGGGAAATGGAACCGTTCTCGTTTGGCAGACGTGCTCTGGTTGTGCACGTCTCACGCAACGATATTGATCTTCACAGAGTGCAGAATCCACACCAAGTACACTCTTCATTCCATTACACCTACATACACCCAACTAACCACCACCCATGTCCCAAAAGCTATCGCCCCTGTCAAATATAATTCAGCTCCTGCCACAAATAACAAACAGACAGCTCCAACACTTGGACTCTGCCTCTCTAGGATGAATAGTGGGATAGATAACCCGCCGGCACACGCTCCCCGACGTATAGAAGACCCTGAAGCCAGCCCCACGAGCGCGTCTATAGTCTAGCACAGCGGTAACGAGAGTAGAAGTAAAGAGGAAGGAACGAGAGTAGGGTATCATGTAACACGCACTAGCGTTGCGGAAAAGAAAAGGGAAGAGGAGGGGAAGAATACAAGAGCGAAGGAAAGAATGTGGCGCACCGACGGGCGAGCCGTCCACCACACAAGTCGAAAGAACAGTGGTTGGGAAGCAAGAGAGGTGGACCTAGATGGCGTTCATCTTGCCCATCTCCAGCTCCACCTGCTCTGTCTTGATGCGCTCGCCGCTCGCGTCCCGCCGCCCAATCATCCCCCAAATACTCAGGCCCGCAAGCGCAGTTGTCACAACCAGGAACAGACACATGATACTTCTCCCTGCGACCTCGACACTGCACTGGGCACCGTAGTCCATCCAGACCATCTCCGCGCCGGGGATCGACTTCCACTCGCAGGACCACGTCTCGAGGTCGAAGGTGCCGATGTTGTAGCGCAGGCCGTCTGCAGCAGAGGGTCGGTCCGCTTTGCTGGTGACGTAGCGCACGTTGACGTGGGAGGAGGATTTGTGCGCGACGAGCGTGGAGATGAGGGCGAAGAGGATGAGGATTGTGTTGCCGAAGTGGAGGAACATCATGTTGCGGCGGAAGGCGTATGCTTGGGTCTGCGATCGGGTTAGTCAGGTGGAAGAAGGAGAAAGGCTGTGATCGGAGCCTACCTTCTTGCCTACTTTCCAGTCTGTGATGACGAACGCGAGGTGCGTGGCGCCGACGAAGATGGAGATTGCGCCGGCTACCAGGGCAAGCTTTGCTGGCGCGGTGTACAACATTCGTGGGAGCGCGGCCAGTATGACTGCATCATTCGGGTCCTCGGTCTCGAATTCAAAGCCGGTGTCGCGGTTATCCTCGATGAAGTTGACAGTCACCGCGTTCAATCCGATGGTGGAGGCGGCGATCAGGACGAGCAGCGAGAGGAGAACGGCATAGACCATTCGAGTAACATGATACCGCTTTTCCGTGTGGACGGGCTGATTGAACATGGGCTTCTTGACGAACTTGGCCGACACCTTCCCCAGCACCGAGGGCATCTTCAACTCGGGTTTTTTCATCTTGCCTTATCCTGCTCTTTCTCGGCCAGGCGTTGAGGCGTCGGTCGAAGATCCGGAGGGATGTCAGGTCGGATGGCAGTTCAGAATTAGAAAATAAGGTGGATAGAGTTTACATCGGCCGGCGAAAATAGAAGTAAAGTGGAGTAGAAGTAGGAAGTAGAGGGTGGTGACGCGGATAAGGAAAGGAAATGGTGGGAAGAAACGCGCCGGTGAAGCTAGGTGGCACACAGGTCGGTTTGATATTCAGATTGACGTTGGCGTCGTAAACGGTCAAGGTATACCTAGCATCGTTCACCATGCGTAGGCAACTGTCATCCTCGAACACGTTTGGCAGTGACGAAGGCTTCGAATGGTACCGGCAAGGAAGACCAGCTCCCGGCTTTTAGTGTGCACTCTCGGCATAGTGCTAGTCTGCTCCACGCTTTAACGTCATGGTTGAGTTTTGACGATTTGAGATGGCTCGACAATGCGATGGGGGCGGTTGGAGCGTCGAGAGTGGCCAGCCTCACGATACGAGACGGGGAACGTTAGAGGTTCGTTACGCGCACTGACCATGGCATGCTCGCTTTGCGTAGAGTCAGTCGCAATATGAGCTGCAGGTAAGGCCGGAGTCAGCCTTGCTCTTCCTTTGAAAATTCTGGGTGATCTATCGCAGAGATGGGTGCATTGGTAGGGCTGGACATGTGCCAATGAGGTTCATCCTGTCACGTGAGAAGGCCCCACTGGATGGATGGACGTCTCAAACATGTCCAAGAGCAACCTGAGGCAGGCCTACAACAGGTCCACTGGTTGTCTAAGGCATGATTAGTTTGTCTCGGCTGATATCTGGCTCGGGGATCGACCAGCGACTGGAACGGTTCTTGCGAGGCTCTTGATGCTGAGTTGAGGGGATGCGTGCCACACCCCCACGAAGCTTAAAAGAGAGAGTCGTTCCCGGGCGCCTGGTGCAGAGAGTTCCGTATCGGGTACTTCAATGCCATAAGAGGGAGACGATATGAGGCTCGAGGAGGAGTTCACGATACTCGGGGCCCCACTGATCCGCTGCAGGACTGCGACGGAGACACGGTGCGCTGGACACATGCTGTCGTTGCGGTGAGGACTTGAGAAGGTGATACCAGCCGGAGTATTAGTTGGTGGGAACCGCGCCAACCGCTCTGTATGAGTCTGCGCGAGACATTGAATGCACACACGGTGCGCTGGGTGCGGTGCCGCGGCGTGGTACTCGAGTTACACAGACCACTGTGCACTGCGGAAACTCGCCAGCAGTGCATCGCTGGAGAGTCATTGGCAGCATTGCGAGCCTGAGGGATGCAGGTGTTGCGTTGGCAGGCAAGCGTTGCGGGCGTCGAGAGCCGGTGACATCAGTCGTTCCCGCCAAGTGACGCGCCCAACACAGGTCGCGCCGCGTCGCCGTCGCAGCGATGGCAGGCAAGCTTCCATCAACACCACAGCGCAACCGTCGGCGAACGGTGACCACAGGCATGCCACCCGCACACGCCCAGGAAGTCGACCTGGCTTTTGCAGGCAATCACGAGCTGCGCAAGCGAGTGCACGCGGCCATTGGTACGCCCACGCCCACGCCCCAGCGCTGGTCGCACCTTCCTGCTGCGCGAGCTAAACTGCAGTCGCAGATCAAAACCCCACACAGAGCACGCTGTTCCGCGATATCTCGGCGTACATTCTCGGCCAGGCATCGCAGCCCTCGAGTGAGCCGACTGCGAAGAAGCGAAAGCTCGAAGAGAGCAATGGCGCGCAGAACGGCGCAACGGCACCGTCGAGCCTGACAAGCGCCGCGACAAAGGCATGGCGACAGTACCCGGGCACCAGCTTTTCTCTCCCGCAGAGGAAGAAGTACACGCTCGAGCTCGTTGACAGCAAGGACGGCGGCGTACGCGCCCTGGGCGCAGATGGCAGCGTCGAGTTCAGCATTGCCTGGAGAGACGTTGACCAGGTATTCTGCCTACCAGTGCCCGAGAAAGCGAAGCGGCAACACAACTTCATCATCCTACCCGTCCACGGCGATGGCGTGGGTCCGGTGCCCGACCACCTGAAAGCCTCTCCACCGGAGCCTGTAGTATGGACGTTCGAGGAGGCCACGGGCAAGAACATCGTCGAGGGCGAGGACCCAGGCCCAGGCCCCATGGCAGAGGCCATCCACCACTGCCTCATACAGGCCGGCACCGGCAAGGAGGTCATCTTCCCAGACGCGGACCAGTTTGAGAGCGCCATCCCGCAGAGCCACCGCAAGGGCGAGAAGGCGTATCACGTCAAGGGCCACCGAGGCAGCAAGGAAGGTGCGCTTCAGACTTTTCCAATATTCCATTGCTTGTGCTAACCGCTCAGGCTACCTCTTCTTTACCTCCGCCGGCATCGTCTGGGGCTTCAAGAAGCCCCTCGCCTTCTTCGACTTCGCCTCCGTCACCGCCGTCTCCTACACCAACGTCCTCCGCAACACCTTCAATCTCGTCATCACCACCCAAACTGGCGACATTGAGTTCGGCATGATCGACCAGGCCGACTTCAACGGTATCAACGAGTATGTGCAGAAGCATGGTTTGCAGGATGCTAGCATGGCAGCGACACGACGGGCGCAGAAGCTCAATGTAAACCCACCAAAGGAAAAAGAGAAAGGCGCGAATGGCGCTGCGGCTGCGGAGCCGGATGACGGCTTGACGGAGCTGCAGCGCGCGGAGATGCAACTCCAGGATATGGAGGATGATGAAGAGGATGAGGAGGATTACGACCCTGGGAGCGAGGGCGAGTCCGAAGGCAGTGGATCGGATAGCGAAGACGAAGATGGCGAAGGGTATGAGGGTGGCGAGGGCGACGAGTACGACGAGGGCGATGAAGAAGGCGCAGAGGGCGAAGAGATGGAAACCTGAGCTTGCTGAACCGTGCGACCGCTCCTACAAGAAGCACTGCATCACAAAGTTGAATACCTTCGGCCTGCGCAAATGTCTACTCCATCGTCCTGGAGGTTTCTGGGTTTCGCTGATGCCGGCGCGCCAGCCGTCAAGCTGCCGCCATTTTTCTGCAGCACCCTTGACCGTTGGTTGGGAAGGCTGTGCAACCCCTGTGTACACCATTCTTCCCACTATATATCAGTATACCCCAGCTTGCAGAATTCCAAGACCCTAGATTTGCATTCCACTACCATCAATTGCCGCCATGCGCGAGCAATCTATCTTCACATCCGACGTCAATATTAATATGTCTTCGCCCCATTTTCAGTCGTCACTAATCACGTGTCACGACCATCATCTCCGCTGTCCCATGCTCTACGTTTTCGCGCCCCCTCTCTTTCTCCCCAGAAACCCATATCCTCTTTCCTACTCCCACCTACAAATCTCTTCTTCGCGCGCGCGTCCATCAACCACACCCGAAACCCCCCTCACAATGCTCTAACCGGCTAAACACGCGCCTCAACCCAATCCCTGTCTCCGACCCCAAGTGGCCATGCGCGCCACCACCTCCGCTCCATCGCAGCGCGGCGCGAAAACCCTCGCTCTAGCCTCCGTCCTGCTATGCCTGCTTGTCGTGTACACCGCGACGTGGGGGCGTGCGGGAAGCACAGCCCTTGTCCTTGGGGGCTGGACTGCCAGGCCCGGACGTCAGATGGGAAGCGCAAGTGATGGTGCCACAGGCGAAAAGGGCCATGGGAGTGGTGCACATCCCATGACCCGCCTGATGGCGACGGCGGAAGCACAGTTCAGCGCGCTGCTATCTTCGCAGCCTGCAAATCTCTCCGACGCTGCGAGCAAGTATAGACAGAGGAGAGGACGTCATCCACCGCCAGGCTTCGACAAGTGGTATGCGTATGCGCAGGCAAAGAACGCGCTGATTCCAGAGACGTTCTTCGACCAAATAAACCACGACCTGGGCCCGTTCTGGGGAATTGATGTCGTCGATTTGCGACGCAGTGCAAGGGGATTCAGTCCGAAGGTTGTGGTGAGAGGGGGCGTCGTCGAGTCTGCGAACGTCGCGCACGGGAGCTATAATCGACCGAGGGAGTTCTTAGATGTGCTGGAAGAGATGGTGAAGGAGGGCATGGTGTTGCCAGATGTGAATTTGCCGGTGAATGTGAATGACGAGATCGCCATGTTAGTGCCGTGGGGAACTATGGAGACGGCGGTGGAATTCGCGAGGAGGTTTATGCCGCCTGCAGAGGAGGTCACGGATGCATTTTCGACCCCGGATGGTGACGGTCTGGAGGAGGATGAAACATTCGATCCTTCATGGCTTGACGATCGCTTGCGGCACAAGGCTGGCGGTCCCTATCTTGGGCCTCGGCCGCTATGGTCGCTGGTACGGCCTGCGTGTCCACCCAGTTCAGCGACTGCGAGAGGTGAGTTGATGGCGGATATTTGGCACCCGCAGGGGCACACGAGGGTCGAACACAGCGCTGCTGCATTACTGCCCTTGGAAGTGCCCGTGAACTCCACGGAGGGATACATCGCGAACTGGACGGTAGCGACCGACGTATGTAATAGGCCGGAGTTGCAGGGATTACATGGAAGTTTTGTGGCACCCAAGGCCATGAGCGTAACGCAAAAGCTGTTTCCGTTGTTCTCGACCTCGAAGATGTCTGCCTCAAACGAAGTCCTGGTTCCTGCGTTCTCGCCGTTCAACTCGTCGAATGACACCCCGCCGCTGCCTTGGGCGGAGAAAGAGAAAAAGCTCCACTGGCGCGGTCCTGCGTCCGGAGGCGCGAACTCAAACTTGAATTGGCAGCGTTTGCATCGAAATAGATTCGTGAGCATGATGAACGCAACGCACATTGAGGTTGCGGAGGGAATGCTGCATGCCGGAAACGAAACGACCGTGGGACTTGGATATGCTGGTAACTTCAGACTATTGCCTTCTAACGCGTATCGTCTCACTTCGCAGAAAGGAGCGAAGATGGCAGAGTGGGTGAGTGGATGGGCGGACGCAGGTTTCACTGACTTGCAGTGCGATGAGTCCGGTGAAAACAGCACCTGCTCTTACATCGATGAATTTTTCTCTGTGAAGGAACCGGCAAGTGTCGGACTAGGGAAGTACAAGTACGCCGCGATTCTGGATGGTGACGCTGGCGATGACGGCGGAGAGCTTGTGCAGCGATTCGAGGAAGGCAGAGTAGTCTTCAGAGCAAGCGCATACAAGCAGTGGCATGACTCAAGGCTCATCCCTTGGCTGCATTATGTCCCTATGGACAACACATTCATCGACATTTATGGCGTCATGGAACACTTGCTCGGGACGGAGGTCACTTCGACAACGTCTGCGTTTGCGCACGCTCATGTTGAAGTCGAGAAACACGAGCATCACTTCCAGACTCCGCACTGGGACGAGGACAGCGGTGAAGGTATTAGCCGTAGTGGAAACGTCCAACGTAGTAGAAGGTCTGGCGGGTTGAGCGGCGAGATAGAAGAAAGGCAAGGCGAAGGAGGCGATGAACAGGCGCGAAGAATTGCAGGAGCTGGGCAGCAGTGGGCAAAGAAAGCTTTAAGAAAAGAGGATGCAATGATTTACTTGTATCGGTTGTTGCTGGAATATGCGCGTGTCGTTGATCCGAAGCGGCATACCCTGGGTTGGGTCGGTGACTTGTTTATGGAGGGAGCTTGACGCAACCTATACCAAGGAGGAAGGCGCAACCACGAGACCAAGTACGAGAATTTGATGTTTGAGGCTCAGAACCCCGGAACAACTCCATCGAATGGAGTGAAGCCTTCCCCGTATTGGCTTAAACATGAGCGACGAACACTTTCGTGAAAAGAGGTCCATCCATCTGCCCCAAATCGTCGCAGCAACTCAATGGACCGCTCGTTGTTGACGATCGTGCTTGGCCACTCCAGTCCATTCCGGTCTTCTGGCCATTTCCTTTCGGGGGCCAATTCTCGGAAGACCTTCAGGAAGCTGTTGTAATTGAACTTATGGGCAAAGCCAAAAAGTCGTTCGCCTACAACATCACCATGACAGAGGGCTGCAAGATGCAGCTTTGCAACATCTTCAACCTCGACTTGCCAAGCAGGACTATCGTCCCGCAGCTTGGCTACGAACTCTTCTTCGAAGGGATGGTCGTACACATCTCGCACCCATCTTGCTGTGCTGCCCGCACCCGGAATGCTGAGAGGCTGCAAAACAATTCCAGAAGTGTAGTTCGGCAACACAGTGTTGAACGTAAATTGTGGCTTCTGATCGCTCACAAACGTCCATGCTGCCCGCTCACAGGCAACCTTAGACGCGGCGTACACGGCATATGACCTGCTAGTCTCAAAGGGAGGCGGTGCCCAAGCTTCCTCCAATATGTCGTCGTTCCAGGAAGACGAGTCCACATGTCTTGATTCGCCAACCAGGGGCCTTGTCGCGGCGTTGCTGCTTGATGTGTATACAAATCGCTTGATCGAAGGCGTCGACTTGGCTTCGTTGAGAAGGCTTATGACCCCATTGACGCACCCAGTAATGACAACATTAGGGTCGGGACTGAAACTAAGATCAGATGCAACGTGGGCGATTCCTTCGCAGCCGGCCAGATGCCCTGTAAATGCCCCAGGTAATTTCATATCTGTGATGACCACAGTTTGAAACAGGTCAATTGCCTTTGGATGGCGTCCCTTATAGATTTCGTGCATCATTGTTGCTTCCTGCTCACTTCGCACTGCACCACGAACGCGGAAGCCTGCTCGAAGCAGGTGGTCGGCGACATGGGAACCGATGAGACCGCTGACGCCTGTAACGAAAACCAGACTCCCTTTGGATATGGCGGCCATTATTGATCTTGTAAATTGCTCGTGGAAGATGAAGGAGTCTCGGTTTTTGTTTGGACGAGAATCGCGCCTACCCCGCATCGAGCCGCTCGCTGCCCGCGAACGCGCTTGATCCACCAATCAATCCGCGAGCCTGTAACCTTCAACTGTCTACACGAAGTTCAGCGTATTTTCGACTAGTAGCTATATGTCAGACGAAAGCGATGACTGCAAATACAACACCTGTACCAAGCCAGCCGCTGTTCTGCAGTTCGGCAAGCAAGTATGCCACATAAAGTTGGCGCCCACGAATCGATGTAGAAGTAATATAAAATGCAACATTTGATATCGCTAGCACTATGCGACTGAACGAGTGCAGTATGCGCGTCATATGAAGGACTAATGATAGACTTTCGCCCACTTCGATCACCTAAGCGCAATCTGCATTCAGAATTTCCACGACCAGCCATCATGCGTCAAAGGCTCCATCGCAGGATGTGCAGCCTCAGCTCTCATGTACTCATTATCAATGACCTTTCTTTTGGCCTGACTGCGAACCTTCAGCATGATGGGCATATGCTCTCCAGGGTTCCCAGGCATCTCTCCAGGATAGTCCCTTGGGTTGAGTGGCAATGTAGCATTCGGCGCCGGAACAACCTCAAAGGCCCACACGAGACGCATGATCGCGATCGCAAGCGAGCGTTCAGCAACGTGGTACCCGGGACATATGCGCCTTCCTGATCCAAACGCGAAGTGGTCGCGGTCTTTGACATTGGCGGAGTTCTTGCTTTGCTCACTAGTCGTCAAGTCACCCTCGTAGCGTTCGGGCCAGAAGCGATCTGGGCAGGTATGACGGGCGGGATCGTGACCGATAGCCCAGGCGTTCATGTGGATGCGAGATCCAGCAGGAAGACGCATGCCGTTGTAAGCCAATTCTCCAGTAGTAATATGGGGATGACCGAGTGCCACAGGCGGACGCCAGCGCCAGAGCTCCTTCATCAGGTAGCGGACGTAAGGGATCGAGTCGAGATCTTCGTATACTGGCAGGCGGTCAGCGACCCCGACCACAGCTTCGATCTCAGCGAGCGCTTTGGCCTGAACATCGGGGAAGCGCATCATGGCCTCGAGGAACGACCATGATGACATCTTCGAAGTGTCTGCGGCGCCAATGATGAGCATGAGGGCCAGATAGGCGGCCTCGGACCGGTCGTAGAATCCCATGCCCTTCTCATCTTGTAGCACGCGAGCTAGGAAGGAGTCATTGACTGTGCCGTCTTCGATAGACTTCTCGACTCGGCGCATGCGCTCATCGCACCACTTTTTATTGTCTTGGAAGAGTGCTCTTGCTTTCCTTTCCCATGGCTTGAGGAACAGAGGCAGTTTGTCAAGAATCGGTAATATGTCTACAAGATGGGAGCCCGGCAACGTCCCAAGGATCTGCTCCAAGCCGCTGCGGAAGATGTACTCGATCGCAGGGTCCTTTGCGTCTGCGATATCCATGCCAAAGGCCTGGCTTGCGAACGCGCTGTATGTATACCGGCCGATCTCGTTGAACAGACCTACGCTGTCTCCAGCGAGTTTGTCGTTGTTCGCAACCTGTTTCATGAACTTTGCGGTCTCAAAATGTAGGTACTCCAGGCCGGCATCGGCACGTGGCACGCTGGTCATGCCCTGCAAGATGACCTTTCTTTGATGTTTCCATCGTGGGTGACTTGCGTTCAACAGCAAGACGTTCTTCTGGTCGCATATCTGCTCGTTGCTGACGATCCATCGCGGGCGCTCTGAGGTGGTCGCAGATGCTTTGTCAAAGATGGCTTTGACGGCTTCGTCGCTGTTGATGAAGTATTGAGTGAACGGTCCGACCTGAACATGGAAGATTTCGCCATAGTCGCGTGCGTACTGTCCGAAGAGAAGATGCTGTGAGTTACTCTTCGTTGATCTGAGGACATCAATCGCGTTACCCAAGAATGGTATGCCTGGCGGCTTTGGAGGCAATGGGAGCTTTCCTCTACCTTCGAGCCACCTTTGTAATTGTAGAAGTAAGTATACAAGCGGCGCGCTTAGCAGAGCCAATGTTGGAATTGACACGAAAGACATATTGTTGGTTCATTCCGAACTGCGCACCTCACGCTTGAGGTGCCTTTTAACGGCATTTGATGGTACGATCTCGAACATGCCGTACAATCAACCCCAGACCCCGCAAAGCCACCCCGGCGCAGTTGTGTAGCTAGGGAAGATTTGATTGGTTGCGGACAGGGAATTTGGATGTTCGGAACTCCCGAGATCCAGCGGAACTTCCGGATAGGTCATCTACAGCACGTCCGGTTGGAATGAAATGCTCAAGGCTTCCCCGGTCCTTGTTAATCTCCTTCCCTGGGTTGTCCTGCGTTCTCCACTTGCCGATGAGATTTTCGCGGGATCCGCGTCGTTCGGAGCCCGCAACTACGAACATCAACTCGATATCTATGCACAACGCACTATTGTACAACCACCCGGTCAATCGACCGAGCAACTCTCATGAATTGGCACCAAGTAACTCATCATCGAAAAGTCGCTATGAAGTGGTTTCCCGTGTGGATGACTCCCTCAAGCCTCCCTTGGCACCTACTGCACCTCGAGAGCAACACCGATGGGTATTTCAACGCCATTGCTGATAAGCTGCACGAGTGCGCAAGAGATGACAGGCTGCCACTATAGTGACCTGGATGCAATGGCCAATGGCGGAAGCGTGACGTACTATGTAACTACCTACAGTAGAAGGAAGGTACAACCACCTATTACAGCCCTGATTCTCCACCATTTGAGATCTCTGGCATGCCTTGCATGTCGCGAAATCTTTGTCCGCTAGATCTATGCGTCGCATTTTATTCCTAGGAACCTACCCCAACAGACACAGTTAAGCTAGCGATAATAGCTTCCTCAAAACCTCGCCCGCCGCTAATTCCGCCGAATGTTTATCGTCCTCTGCAGCGTGGTACTTACTATAATCCCCATCTTTCTCGTCCAGTACCAGCGCTTCCTTACGTCTATTCCGGCTCCCGAGCAATTCCACCGACTCCCAGAACGGCCAGCTGGCCTCAAAGTAGCACACAACCGCGGAAACGCAAGCTTCGATGGCCCGGCCTGCGATACCACCTCGGAAGGCCCTTCCGATCGGCTTCCCATCCGCGCAGTGACAATCAGCGGGTACGAAACGAGAGAGACCAGAAAGCCATGGGATCCACCATTTCCTACGAGACCCAGGACATTGAGAGATCTTTATCTTGTTTTACCGCGAAGCGAAGACAAGGGAAGAGAGAGGATGAGGAGACCGACATCTCAAGTGCCACCCGAAGAAGATGATGGGATTATAAACATAGCTCAGTTACCTGTTACCGATCTGCCAACGTCCAGTGCACCTATACCACCTCCGATGCTCCCTCGAAGCCATGTTCAAGAGTCGCAGTCAGTTGTACAATCAGGATATGAAGATCGACAAGCATCGACGCAAACCACGACCGAACGAAAACCTACAACGACTGGGACAAGCGATACCCTTTTGCTTGTCCAGAAAATCGTTTTGGCCCTTGCTCTGATAATCTTTGTCTTCGCTTTCGCAATACTTGTTGCACATTGCATGGCATGGTTTGTAGTATACAAGACAGAAGCGCGGCTAGGTGATGTCCGGAAAGGTCTACTACGAGGTGGGGATATGCGGGTTTGTCTCTGTGCACGGTGAGAGCGCATCGCAATACATCGGCGCTCGAGTTTTTCTATGACCACAGCCAAGCCTGCCAAACTCTTCTGGTGACGTCCCAATTGTTCCGGGGCTCTTGTCCTAGGCGTGGGGCCGAAGGATGGGAAAACAGCGAGAAAGACAAATTGGATCTGACACGGACCATCAACATGATTTGCATGCACAGAGATTGCACAACTATTGTTGAGGTTATCGTCAAATGCACCCGCGGAGGGCACGTAATAAGGCGCACAATGCTCTCGGCGCCTCGTTTCGACATCGAACTACGACTTCCAAGCCATCCCGCATGCGTTCCGCCTCAGCATTATTGATCGTTGATGAAACTGCCCTTGTACACGCTACCCGCGGGACGTGACCTCATCCTCGCTTATCGATAACCTTAAATCTCTCCCTGGGAAGATCGCCCTAACCTCGCGCCCAGTGAACCTCCTCCTTCACCACTCATGTCTCGTTCTTGCGACGCCAATCTGCGGATCCCTACAAACGTCAGAACAGCCATCCCCAAGGCGTTCTCAAGATGTGGGCCATTGCGCCGCAGATGGACGTCGTGAGCCAACAGACGCGTACGGCACTAGTCCTCCGGCTGGGCGAGCGAATAGTGAGGTCATTGCTGGCTTGCGAGGAAGCTATGAGCTGACTTTACGCTTACGAATGGCCTGCGTCGACTGGTGCCATGGAACGTGTCCGCCCGATGTTGCTCGCTTTTCGCTTCGTGACGCCACTGTCGTCGGCGGATACGTCGTGCTTTAGCTCCACACGTCCACTACTTCATAGCGCGCCCTCTTTCTGATCGTTCGTATTCTCCGAGCATCTATTTCCTGTTCCCGAGCCGTATCTATCGAACCGCCTCGAACCATACTGGAACAAAGCCACTAGGGGGCATCGCACGTGCCGCTACATCCACGAAACCTGAATTCGATGGCTATCACTTTGCTTCCACTGCACAAGAAAGACGGCGGGCCGCCTCGACGTGCAAATGGCCATATCCCGAACACCAGGAACAAACCACGGGGCACCAGCAAAGCTCAGCAGAAGGCCTCAGCATTGGGAATATCTAGCAGATGGCGCAACGAATTGGTCGCTGCAGCGGCCGAGTTCGCAGGCACATTCATGTTCTTGTTTTTCGCGTTTGGAGGGACACAGGTAGCAAACTCTGCGGCCTCTGCTTCCAATTCGTCAACAGCTGGAGGGCAGGACAACAGCATCACTCAAACGCCGGACACCAGCATTCTCCTGTACATCAGTTTGATCTTCGGGTTCAGCTTGATGGTCAACGTATGGGTGTTCTTCAGAGTCAGCGGAGGACTCTTCAATCCTGCTGTAAGTGACACTTCTTTACAACAACGCGCTAGACTAATTTGATTCCAGGTAACACTGGGTCTTTACATGGTGGGCGCCCTCACGGGGACCCGTGCCGTCCTCTGCTTCATCTCCCAAATGGCCGCCGGCATGTGCGCCGCAGGAGTCGTTTCCGCGATCCTCCCCGGTCCGTTGAATGTCAGCACCACGCTCGGCTCCGGCACCACCATCGCGCAAGGCGTGTTCCTTGAGATGTTCCTCACCGCCCTCCTCGTGTTCACCATATTTATGCTTGCAGCCGAAAAGCACAAGGCCACATTCCTTGCTCCTATAGGCATTGGTCTCGCGCTCTTTGTCGCCGAGCTTGTGGGCGTCTTCTACACTGGCGGTTCCCTGAACCCCACGCGCTCCTTCGGCCCTTGCGTGGTAACACACAACTTCCCAGGATACCACTATATATATTGGTTCGGCCCGCTCATGGGTACGCTGCTGGCGTACGGCATGTACAAGATCGTGAAAAGCGTCGAGTACGAGACCGTGAACCCCGGGCAGGACTTCGATGATCACGAGGCTGCTCTGTTTAATCCGCCGGACGACCCAGAGAGCAAGGAGCAAGTTGAGCGCCCGAACCCTGCGGCCATTGCTGCGCAGGAAGCTGTCAGGGTCGCGAGTCACTCGAGTGGTAGCCGGTCGCAAGACTTCGATGGCATCGAGGGCAGGATGAGCCCGGAGTACCACCCTGGCTATGAGCACAGCCATCAGCAGAGCCGGAGCCATGAGAGGCCGGCGGAAACCCACTCCGGGCAGAACGGGTACACCGGGCATATGGTGTAGAACCCTTTGCCTTTTGATTTTGTATTACCAATGAAGAGATGCATGGATCAGGCGGCTCAACAAAAGTGCTTACAGCGGCGTTGGTGCGATCTTTCTCCGGCTTGGATCCAGCGAGCGTTCCTTATTGATACCCGGGGCACATTTGGGTTTGCGCACGCGTAACGGCCTCTTCCAACTTACTGTCTTAATACCATCGCCACCCATGTATGCTAGAAGCTTTTTCGAGATTGACATTGTAGAATAAATTGTCATTCTAATGACCGCTGGCTTCGCTCCTCGTCACCCTCCAACCCGCACTTTCTGCCTTCTGCGTACAGCTATCAACTCTCCCAGTCTACTTCCTATCGCCTCCCCCAAGCCTCCCCCAACCACCTCGGCGCCCTCGAGCTCCACTCCCCCGCCCGCCTCGCCCCCTGCCCGGCACTAGGCTCCATACTGATCGCATCACCATGAGCCCCACAGCGACGTCCCGGTCGTCCCGGTCGCCTTAAGGGAGGAACATCGCGCACATAGCCGTAGTTTCTGTTGATTATGGGTGTCCAGTCGGGGTACAATGGTGTCCATTCGGGGTAGCCGTTGTTGAAGCCGTCGTCCCAGTCGTGGATGAGGCGGGTGGAGCGGCGCGGCATAATTTGTGACTGGGTGATAGAGAGGGACTGTGCTTGTTCAATTTTCAGTGGTAGCTAAGACTTAGCGTCTGATGTGGTCAAGTCGTAGGCAGGCTGCTTTCTGGAGATTATAGTATTGGGGTTTTTGGAAGTGAGGAAGTGGGAGATATAGGGCAGGGGAGGTGGTGGGAAGGCGTTGGCAATGTGGTTTCGATGAGTTGTTACCTTACAGGCGTACAGGCTGGGTTCTACGTGTTGAATAACTGGCGAGATACGCTGTGCTTTCCATGGGCTCTTCTGTGAAGCGCGCCGTGTCTCTGTATAGCATGTTGTTGCATAAAGACCTCCGTATGGTTCTCCAAAGCACGGTGTTGAACTAAGGTCTGCGGTGAAGTGGAAGGACGTGTCTTCGTGAAACTTATAAGTCGATTGGTTTTGCTGAAGGGGCTTCATTCATTGGGAGGAGAAAAAAATAAACTCCTCGTACTAAAAATTCTATATCAATATATCTATCTGGAATAGAATTTTTCCCTTTCTTGCCCTTCTGCACAGCCACATCCTCACTGATTCCTTCGCGGGTCCTACCACCCCTCCCTTCCTACTTGACTTCCGCCGTGCCCAAACATACTATATGTATTCGTACGCCTAGGGGATTGTCCACTCCTACAGATAAGGGCACATTGCGAACATCGTGGTAGTTGTCTGTTATACCGTGGAGATGCCGAGCCGTGCGGCTGGCTAAGTAGCCAGGCTGGTTCAGTTGCGGATGACCCCACTGCACATTTCCGTCGTTGAAGCCGTCTTCCTAGTCGAGGGTGCGGAGGCCGTTGCTTTACGGCATGGTTGTTGTTGGTGTTCTGATTTGTTGGAATTGTTTCGTTGCTAGTGGTCATATTATCTGATTGGAAGGATTTTGGGGCATCTATATGTAGGGGTGAGGGGCTGGCTTGCTGCGATTGGTATGCCATGCTGTTTCCTTCCGTTGTTCCCAGTATTTGTTACACAACGAGGTGGTTATAATCAGTACTTCACAGCTTGACAGTGTACTACGATTTCACTGGCAAGATTACTAGCGACTTAGGGATAAAACATTCGTCTGACTTTGATTTAAGGAAACCCGTTTGTGAATCTATGAAGTTGTAGGTGATAGGGTGGCAACTGTGACTCACACTGCTGATATGAGACGCTGTCAAAATTCAATAGCTCACAGCCTATCCATTATCCATAGTGCCAGGATTTCATCGTCTAATTAGTATAGAGCCCTGACAAGTAAGGCGCTGCGTAGATCTACTGTGAGCCACTTAGGGGTATTCACTTAATGCGTATCACTTCGGGGTCAGAACGGTTCAAAACCTCAACTCGTCCACATCACAAAAATGCCAATACTCGGACCAATATCTTTGAAATCAGGACCGTGTGAGGCAGTGCTGAAGTTAACCTCAGAGAAAGCGGCTACCTTCATAAACGTTGGGAGGGGCTGAAATGTATCCAGTTCTACCGGAAGTTCATCTTCCGGGATGACTTCTGTTCGAAATCTGCAGTGTATTACCACGCCCTATTCTCATTTTGGATACAGTAGGTACATCTTGGCTTTTATGACGACATTAACAGTGATATCATGCTCAATTCTGACACTCCGTGTCTCTGGCCAGGGGTGATTAACTTGAACCATCACACTTGCGCAACTGTAAAATCCCTGATCTTAGGTACCATGTTAGATCGTCCACATATCCCTGACATTCTAACGAACCGGTTAGTGTGTTTAATTGAGGAGAAACTCCACAGTGGAAGTTAGGCTGAGTATAGCTTTCAGTCTCAAATCTGGAAGTCAATTTCCGATGCTAGCGCCCTTAACCCTAATCCCCAAAGCACTACCCCGCATTCTGTGCTTCCCCGGACGCTATTCGATCTTGATATTGGCATAACCCCAGGAATGTATACTCATTCGAGTCTAAGAGCGGTCTTGGCACTAGCAGGAAGTTCAAGTACGGCTTGGTTGTGGGGTTACGGGTTATACGAAGTGGACCTCGTTACCCGTGGCCGTGCTGTCGGAACTGTCGCTGAACGTGGCATGTGCGACAGCGATCAGGATACCTAAACGCATGTTTGGATACATATACAGCTGCATGTCAGGTGTAATGATCTCTAGATCCTGCATTGCAGATCGAACTATCATCTATTCCAAGTCCGTCTCCAGAAAATACTTTAGTCGAGTGCTGGGCTAAAACTCCCTAGAGCAGCGACATTTTACTCGATATCATGGCTCACCCTAGTCCCCGGGAGATCGATGTCCTCACGGAGAAGGAAGAAGCTCAAGCAGTGCAGATCGAACATGCACCGTCTGTGATTGGGTACGAAGCTGCGGAAGTGGAGCCGCGAATGAACCTCCAGACATGTCTGGCATTTCTCGTAAGACAACTTTCGAGATTCTGATGGTGTACCAAAAGCAATACTGACCAAACAACAGGCTCTAGCATCGCAGTACAACGCTTATGTCCTGACTCTTCTTATCCCGTCGACGACACTCAGCTACATCAACGCCGACCTTGGTCCCAATCCAAACTTCACATGGATTACAGTGTCTTGGGTACGCTGTGAAGTCCTAGAGGAACGAACTTATACTAAACATGGATAGACGCTCTGTGCATCCTTTCTTATTTCCATCAGCGGCCGCCTCTCAGGTCTGTCCTGCGTGTCCTTGCCTGCTTCTCACACTGATCGCTAGCAGACATCTTTGGACGCCGATACTTTATGATCTGTGGTTCCGTGATCAGTTTCATTGGAACGATTGTTGGAGCGACAGGCAAGTCCATCAATCAAATGATCGCTTCGGGTATTTTGTTTGGACTGGGTTCTGGTTTCCAAGAGATGGGGTACGCGGCATGTCAGGAAATTGTACCGAACAAGTATCGCATGTGGGCTATTGGTATACGGTAATCCCACCAGTCCGTCGCATCGCTCACACGTGCATAGGTATCTTCGATATCCTGGGTATAATCGGCCAGTTGGGTCCGATCGTCGCATACACGTTCCTAGCGAAGACGGAGATCGGATGGAGAGGTGCATACTGGTACAGTAAGTTACGATGAAAGTCCACCAACGCAGGAACAATCTAAGACGTTTCAAATGTAGTGTGCGCTTTCCACGGCTTCTTCATGATAGTTCTAGTCTTGACCTATTACCCGCCAAAGTTTTCCACGAAGCACAGACACGACGGCAAGACCAAGATGCAACTCGTCAAAGAGATCGACTACATTGGCTTGTTCCTGTTCATTGCAGGCTGTGTGCTCTTCCTCCTTGGCATCAACTACGGCGGTCGCCAGTATCCGTGGAACAGCGCACACGTTATCGCGCCCATGGTAGTCGGCGTGCTCTGCTTAGTCGGACTCGGTTTCTACGAGGCGTATGCGGACTTGCCCCTGCCAATCATGCCACCCAAAATCTTCAAAAAGTGGAGAGAGGTTATGATGCTGTACGTTGTGTGTTTTGTCGGAGGGATGCTGTACTGTAAGTCTGGCCCGTATACCAAGGTATCGATGCTGAAACAATGTGTAGATTCATTGAATGTTACCTGGCCCCGTCAGTCCCAGCTTCTCTATACCGGTCCCAACAAGATCATTCAAGGCCTCTACGCGGAACTCATCCCACTCGGCTCCATTGCTTCAGGGCTCTTAGTCGCCTTTGTCATTCCGCGTATCGGACACGAGCGCTGGACCTTGGTCACGATAATGATCATCGAAACTGCTCTCATAGGCTCTATGGCTTCACTCACAGTGGACAGTCGGATCCAGGCCATCGCTACGGTACCCTTCCTGAACATCAGTGTCGCCACACCGCAGCTTATGGTGTTCGCTATGATCAGTTTGGGTCTGGGCGAGGAGTTCAAAGACGATATGTAAGTACCAGATGGTGATGACCCAATTATGCATGCCTTGGAAGACTAACAAATCCATCAGTGGCTGCGCGGTAGGCCTTGCGGGCACCTTTCGGCTGCTTGGTGGATCGGTCGCGACCGCCATCTATACTGCGATCAACAATAACACATTCGCAAAGAAGCTTCCTAACGAAGTGCTAGCGGCCGCACCCGGGTTCTCCAATATGTCTGCTCTTATCAAAGCCGCAGCACTGAACACAGCAGCGGCATACAAGACTGTGCCGGGCATCACAAATGAGGTCATCGCGGCGACGCAGATGGCAGTCAAGGAGGCGTATGTGCAGGCATACAAAGTGACGTATCTCAGTGCCCTAGGATTCGGAGCTCTCGCTATTGGTGCGGCAATGATGACGAAGAGCACTGATAAGCACATGAAGAACAACAAACGCATAGTCAGGCTCGAGAACGAGAAGGTGAAAGAAGACGAGATGGGCATGGCTCCCGCATAAGTTTGGATGGAATCGCGAGGAATAGGAGGAGCACATGAATCGGTCTTACTACACTTGGAATAGCGTGAAACAGTCGCGATTGTCAAGCCACCTCTTTCTGCGTGTCATTACTCATCCATCATCCAGGCATCGCAACTGGCTTTAACGTCTGCAAGCTTCGGTGTAATTCAATCGTGCCCGCTTGCACATAGACACCCATTGCAACCCGGTTACCCTATCAGGTCGCATGCGTGAAGCCAGAAGAAAAGCCCCGATATCGATCATTGCACCCAACGCTTCCACCGATTTCCGAACCAGGATTGCAGAAACACGATCATTGCGACCGTGAAGAGTCCAACATCAGGTTTGACATCTTTTCTTCCCTGCAAGAGCTTGATGATCCCGCCGCCCTGAGCGACAGCGAAGAACAGAGCAGCCCACGGCCGCGCTCGGGGAGAAAAGAGAAGAGAGCCAAGGAGGACGTCAAAGACGGGAATAAATTGCGTATATTCGGTGTTTGGTGCTCGTTCTAGCTGGTATTCGTGGAATTTTTGGCGTGTATCTTCCGTGCGTGAATCGACTGAACGCGCCGTAGAAGAGGATGCCCTGTAGGCCGACGCGAAAGAGACTTGTGAGCATGGCGGAGCGTGTAAGAAGAAATTCCAGTGATCGAGCAAGGATTTTGAGCGACCCGACGCAAAGGGGTCTCGAGTCACGGGCGGCGTAAGAAACAGTAAGCACTAACCCCCTAATCGACATTGGTATGGCACTGGTAACGCCTACTTCACACACCAACCCGTGAATGAACAGAACTTATTCGTTTTCAGCTGAATATAGCTAGATAGGAAGCGTGTCATTCGCGGGCAAACATGGCCCTCGAGATGCCTCGATGCGAGCTGTTGCATTCACAACCAGATTCCCTAGAGGACTCGTGCCACATTTGAGACCCAAGACGAAGGCCTGGCTATGCTATGATTGGTGTCAGTATCCATTCAAGTATTGTTCTCAGGGGTAATACATACGACATCGGCAAGAAACGGCGCAGTGTGCGTGTGGTCCATTGGATAGTTCGCGTCAACGACTTCAGCCCCGAGCAACTTCTGCGCTTGTGCCGCGTAGCTTCCATGTTGCACGAGATATGCCTTTCCGGCCGGTCCTCCCAATCTATCCGTGACCAAGCTTCGAACATTAATAGACATCCGCAGGGGTTAGAAGGATCAGACTTACAGGTCATAATATGAAAAGATTGACGGCTTGTATGAGTACGAACCTGATTCCCAAACATTGGTAGGAAGCTGCTCAGAGATAATGACACTAGCAGCTCCAAGTGAAAGGAATTTCTTGGCAGCTGTTTCGATGTAGGTTGGGAATGTTTGCACAATCTCGGTAACGTTGCTGTTTCCTGTCAGCTTAATCATATCACTGCGGGTTCTCCTAGTGTCTCATACTTAAAGATCACAGTGCAAGTCTCGTTCCCTGCACCAGGGCAATCAGCTCTTCCCTTGTCGCCCGTAGTACTAGTAGACCCATTCGTCGGTTTACCCGGGTCATTGATTCCCAGCTCAATGACCACAAAATCTCCAGGCTTCATAGCTGCAGCAATTCGGTCGAAGCGTCCTTCGCGTGTGAAGGATCTAGCGGAACGTCCTGCGTATGCAGAGTTGTTTACGAAAGCATTGTCGCCAAATGAGTACTTTAGATATTGACCCCATCCTTCCGTTCCATTGTGACCTCCACCGGGCGCGGTCGTCGAATCACCCGCAAGCCAGATCGTGGGTATCGCCTTCACACTCGAAGATGTCGGAGACGGTCCCTGGTGCCGTCCTGGTAGGGCCGAGGCAGCCGCAATGAGTAAGAGAAAACTTGGTATTGAGAGGATATGCATTATGTAAGCATACTACAACAAGGATGACTTGAAGATGCGCAGTGAGCGGGGTCTGCATGAACAAATGCTCGGCGTCTGTTATACATCTTATAATGCGGATTAATTGCTATCCTTGTTTCCTGGTCGATCTGGGGCCCCGCATTCTGGATAAAAAGGACCCGACGGGCGTCGGGTGAGTTGCGACCGAGCGCCAGGAAATTCTCCGGTATCTTGAATTGTAGTCTCCACTTTGCGACTTGGAATACTAGTTCTGCTACTGGGCTTCAAGCTTCGTCGTTGGTGAGCACTGCCATGGCTTACCGTAGTATCTGCGCATCCGCTACATTTACAGCCGATAGAACTTTGACCTTCGCTGAACGGCCAATGTGGTTCGAACCAAATCCGCAATTGACCCCTCACTAAACGGATTAGACGTTACATTTGCAATTCATTGTTGTTCCGATACATCACAGAAGTTGCGAGATCTTATATAGAAATCTGAAGAGGTCTGATGTGCGAAAGCGGGACGGAAACGAACCCTTGTACAGGCCGCAGACTAGCATGTGTGCAAGGCTTCCAGAACGATGATTCATTTCAGAGCTCCTTAAAGTGTTTTGCGGTCAACGGCAGAATAACGAGGGCAATAATGATAACCAATTCCGTCATTCTTTGAAGTGCATGTTTGCAGACTTGGCCATGGAGCAGCATGCAGCCAATCAGGGCAACCTGTCACTACGGTGCCATCATGGTGACTGTTCCCGGCACAGCCAATCAACCAATCAACAATTTCCAATCTGTTGACGATACGGTGCAGTGTGGGTATACTACAACACCAGCGACGTCAAAATCGAGGGAAAAGAAGGAGCATTAGTAAAAAAAAGTCTCTGTGGGACAATTGTGAGATTGAATTCACCTAGTGCGAAGGTTGCGGTTGCGTAATGTACTGGTATCCGATTAAGGTACCGGAAGGTGGCGCAGAGATGGCAGTCAACACCGGGTGAGAACAGTTTGATATGATGCAGAGGGTACGCAAGCTGACCACTCTTCTTCAATGGAGAATGCGCGAGCCTGAGACGATGAGGGGCGTTGATCGACTGCTCGATTTCGAACAGCTGTCCAGGTTCTAGTACCATCACATAACAGTGACCCATAATAGTGTCCACCAGTAATACCATACCACAGTACCATCAAGCAAAATATGCTTCCATCCATGGAGGCCTCAATTTCCAACAAATTCGCTTTTGAGATTGTTACCGTGCTCAAGTGTGCGCATCCGTGCTGAATTTTGCTCACAGACATATCGGTTGGAGCAACGATAGCTACAATCTCCTCGATCTTAGTATTCGCAAAACATTGAATACTAATACAGCAAGGATTTATCTATCTACTTTAACCAAGCGACTATAACAGACCAGAGAGACAAATGGGCGACTGTGATTTCGTGTCTTGTCTTGGTGGACTAAATGTGGTCCGTTAGCGTTATCTTGTAAGGGTAGGGGTGCGACGGGAGATGGGGAACTTTCCGGAAGGTGCCTTGAACGTTATAAGATCTATAGGCACTCGAATAGTACTATCTGAACGATCTATCTAAGTTGATGTAGAGGAGGGAATGTGTATCTCGATTTCCACATCTGCTCCGGTAAACAGGCCTATGAGGATACCGGCTGAGCTGTCTCCAGTTCAAAGAGCCCTGGACGTTTCAGGCTTATTTGCTGGGATAACCTGCCAAGTCAATATACGATAAACAATGGTCGAAACAAGACTCAATGCGCATCCCGGCAGTCACACTTTCGCGAGATTACTGCCGACCGCAAGCTGCAAAGCGCCCGTTTCACACACCTTATTTGGCAAATTGTCGGCTCTTCACTCATGGAAAATCAACTATTATGTTCCTATCACTGCTTGGCAGAGCACTTATTTGGGCTTGGAGAGCATGCTCTATAGCGCACGATCAGGGGCGATGCCAAAGTCATACATAGTGCAGATCACTGGGTGGGTAGGTATATATGTGACAGTAGCGCCCACTTGCGCGCAACCATCGCCAAAGAATCGAACCGCCAGTACTCCTAGATATCAGTTTCTTGTGTGGAACCTCAAGCCGCCAATATCTGTTCAACTTTACAGCGCAACATGAAGTTCTCGCTCCTCGTCACGGCACTGGTGTACGCCTCCACGGGATCGTGCGCCGCCATCACATATACCATCCAGAGAGCGTCCAATCCTACCGCAGACCAGACAGATGCATACAACAAGATCGATGCCGCCATGAAACTTGCCATCGCCCGCTACGGCAAATACTGCAATGCGAAATGCACAAAGAAGATCACTGTGCAGTATGAGCCCAGCGTGCCCACGGCTGACGCCAACTACAACGGCAACATGAGATTCGGGTCGAATCGCTCTTACATGAACGAGCGCACCGCAATGCACGAGATCTCACACACCCTTGGCGTTGGACAAACCGCAAACTTCGACTCTCTATGCGCATCTGGCAACTGGAAGACGGCACTGCCTTTGCTGAGGAGCTTCGATGGGTCGAGTGCGAAAATCAGCTGTGGTGGAAGCCACTTTTGGCCTTACGGTTTGAACTACGACACTGAGTGGAGCGAGACGAATGCGAATCGGCACGTGCAGATGATGCAGGCTATGCTTAACGATGGAATGTGAGGGGACTTAACGAGTTAATCTTCATTGTAAACAGTTCTATGCCAATGACTATGTCGAATGTTTTGTATGCTTGGCTCACTCACCATGTCCAAAATCTAACTGAACAATTTGCAGCCAGATGAGCCAGCATCTCACGGCGCAGGTATCAGCCACCAATACAACCAGTCTCTTATTTTACGAGGTTCGGACCGCCAAAATGCCGACCGTGCGAACACGGAGAACGCAGCCTTCGTGTCGCAAACTAGCCTGATTGATACCTGAACAATAGCAAATATCTGGAAGAGTGGCTTTCAAATAGCAATAGTATCCAAGCACATATGGACCGTATCTCATGTATCTAGGAACAGCTGCCTTCTTCCATCACGCCCCTTGAGTCTATGCTTTATCAGCGGATGCCTCGACCGATCGCTTTCGGTCCATGGGTACGGTGGTACCCGCAACATTCGCGTCTGGGCCGTCGAATAGTACAGCAATTTCTTCCAGGGTCTAGGAAAACTTGTCAGCAACAAATCGCTAATTCGTGAGAAGACGGAACTTACAGGCCCTCGTGTCTCGACATAGAGGAAGTATATAGCCAAGCACTCCAGCACCAAGACCACAATGTAGACGATGTAGAATTTCCAGCCCAGTGCGTCTAGCCCGATAGGGTTGACGTATTGGTTGAAGATACCCGCGAGACTGGTGCCGATGAAGCACAGTGTCAATCCCTTTGCGCGGATCTTGAATGGGAGAATTTCGACGGTGTAAGAGACGGTCAATCCAGGCCAAGCGAATCCAGCAGCTACAGCAATCATCAGTATGAGAGGTCGATGAATGGTCTGGAGATACGTACCACCATAGAATAAGAAGATCATCGCAAGAACAGCTGAGCCGGCTCCCGAGTCCCCAGTCTTAGCGTATACGGCGCTGCAAGCTGTCCAAATGGAGAAGGCTATCAACATGCCGACGCCAGCAGTAAGGAAAAGCACTCGGCGACCGACACGATCCACAAGGAACGCGCAGCCCAAAGATACAAGCCAGCACCAGATGGTAAGGCCACCATTGATGGCTGCTTGGTTTGATGGGCTACATATGTCAGCTTGCGAAGATCCTACTGGCCATGTAGACTCCACTCACTTTGTAATACCGATTGTGTTCAAGACGGACGACAGATAATAGGAAACGAGACCGTTACCACTACATTGACTGAAGATGGCGGTCAAGATGATAAGAAGACATCGCTTCCTGTTTCCAGGCGTGCGGACCAGCTCGTACCAGCCACTGTTGGCTGATGCAGCTTCCTCCAGCTCAATGGTCTGGCTGATCTCGCTAAACTCCCAGTTGACGAAATCGGTTTCAGTACCATTGCCGTGATACTTGGTGAGGATCGTTTTCGCCTGAGCGTATTTTCCCTTCGCGATCAACCATCGAGGACTCTCAGGTAGCATCCACAGTGTGAGAAGCTGGATGCCCGGCATTGCGCACTGAAAGCCGACCGGTAGACGCCATGAAAGGTCTCCCACGATGTGGTTGAGGGTGCCGAAAGTTGTCCAAGCAGCTATAATGGCACCAAGATACCAGACCGTGTTATAGATTGTTGTAACGCGGCCGCGATGTCTGGGATGCGACACTTCGGTGATGAGGAGGGGGCATGTTGCATTGCTGATGTTGCTGCCCATTCCCATTATGAATCGACCGGCAAGAAACATGGCATCAGGATTGCTTGGTTGGGGGCATGCCTGGATTGCTGCTCCAAGAATAACGAGACAGCAGCCAATGGCAGTCCCTAGACGACGGCCGCAGTAATCAGCGACGTACGGAGTGAAAAGAAGAACCGCGAAACCTCCGAACCCCGGGAATGCTCCAAGCAATCCAAGATGAGAACCGGTTGGGTGATGGAAGACTAGAAAGCTTTAGCGGAGAGACGAATTGGGATGAAATCCTCCTACAGGACTGCCACGCAGGCATTGTCTGAAGTCCGTTCAGAAGACTGCCATCGTATCCGAGCGTGGTAGAGCCGAGAAACAGAAATGGCATGAGCATATACAGCTTTCGCAGCTCTGGCTGTCTGTACCATGGCCTCTTGTCTTCGCCATGTGGAAGCTGTGTGAGGATATCTTCTCGGTGCGTCACCTCAACGCCCTCCTTGGTATCCTTGGTATCCTCCATCATTAGGATCGAGGTTTTTGATGCAAAGACTGTAGACTGTCGCTTGTGTCTAGTTTCGAAACGGGAAGACGATCGTCTTATATGTCCCACCGCAGCGGCATCGAATAACACGAGTACATGGCTAGTGTCACTCGCAGAATTGCGGAGAGAATCTGGAGAGACCTAGCCATCGGTAGTGTGGCCGGACGCGGAGGCGGAGGTGGACAAGTCACCGTCTGATTCGGTTAGCGCATGACTCGCGCGCAAGCTAGCCTCGCAAAATCGAGCCATCGCAAAATCTTCGGAAAATTAGCGAGGCGAGGATTACCCGGAGAGAACCACCACGAGACCTTTGTGAACCGGGGTATTCTCCGACAATTATCCTTATATTGCGCACACGCCTCTACACATGGATACAGGGAATCATGAACGAGAAGGAGAAACCTCGCCAAAACGACAACAATCCCACCGGTCGGGTTCGATCGACAGCTGCATGCGATGCCTGTCGAGCGAGGAAAGTCCGAGTAAGTGCTATTGCTGCATTTCATTACACTCGAGCTAACTCTATCAGTGCATCTATTTGCCAGACAAAATCAAATGCTCCATGTGCACGGAGCTCGGCGTAGAGTGTACCCAGGTTCGACCACGGAAGAAGCGCGGGCCTAAAAATCGGTTCGTAGCCTACGTGATACATACCCGATCCCGTGTAGTTTTCGCTGATGGTCATGTAGCTACGTTGAATCCCTACGAGCACGACTCGATGTCGAACCCGGTATCGACCCGTCTTTTGGCGACAGTCCCGATCTATCCTCTCCAAGCCTTCCGGCTACCTCGCCTCAATCAATATCATGCGACATCGAGCACATAGCGTCACTGCCGGTTCTCCAACAGCTTGTAGAGGATTGGTTCGGATGGATCCACCCTGTCGCTCCAATTTTCCATCGAGCCCAGATACTAGATCGCATAATGCAGGCCCAGACTGCGAACAACGGTTCCGATCCCTCGTTCCTCATCCTGGTGGCATCGCTGTGCGCTGCAGTTGTAGCCAGTCTGCGCAGAAGACGCGGACTTTACGGTGCAGTAACCGTAGATGGTTGCTTTGATACAGCCGAGCGTCTGGGACTGTGGGACCGGCATAGGCGAATTTCCTTGGAGTGGGTGCTAGCCATGTACAATTTTACGAGTGCTACGCACCACGAGCAAGGTATTGGGTCCCCACTGGCTCACCGGTTAAGCGCGGAGACTGCCATGGGCGTCAAGTACTTGCTCTATCACGATTTTGATCAGATGTCAATACTTGATCAACAGGTCTTGAAAAGGCTGTACTGGCTTATCTACGCCGCACAATGCACGTTCGACATGCATGGATGGCCATTACTTGTCTTGCGTCAGGCGTATGAGCAAGTCAATGCGCTAATACCACTAGATGTTCCGGTCGAGGGCTTGGTTGAGGGTATTTCCGAGGCATCGCATGCCTTTCCATCGCAATCTTACATCCCGGGGCTCAATGCACTTGCTCGTCTGTTTTTAATCTGGCAGGCCAGCCAGAGTGTTCCCATCAAAACCATGGAGCACCTGCAAGAAAGTATGAAGCAGGCTCAACAAGCGCTAGCTGACTTGCCGCCCCAGCTGAAGTGGAGAAGTCGGCCGGGAAGCCCGATGAATGGAGAAGACCGCGTGGTTGACGGTGACTTCGGCACGGACGTGCAGACCGTCAATCTAAAAGTCACGCAGCTGCATATCCGTGCGAATCTTCTAGAGCAGATGAATGGCCTTGCACGCGCGCAAAATGTATTACTCACTCCAACCTTCATATCCGAGGAGCGGCACCGTGTGGTGGACGAGCTTTTGGACCTGTTGTACCACATGCCGAACGAGGTATTCGATGCCAATGGTTACAGTGTCGTTCCTAAAATTCGCGATATTGGAGGCGCCTTGTTGGATGAAGTGCGAACAGGGGTGTTTGGTGCAAATCAACAAGCGTCACTGAATTTGAACAGACTCCTCGCGAAACTAGAGGAACTCGACGTCCGATGTCAAGAAGACCAGCTACAAGGCAATTTTATCTAGTATAATTAATATGTATGTCACTTGTGAGACATCGCACACACTCGTAAGCCATGGCAAATCGCAGCATATAAACCCGGTAGGGTATCAAGAAGCAACATTGTTGAAAGGCAAAAGAATAAGATGTCTATATCAATGCGTATGGCATTCCTACAAATCATCCTCCTCCTCCTCAATGCTATAAGCCCAGCACTCCGCGATCATAGTCCGCGAAGGAATAGTAACCGCGATCGGGAAACCTCCATAATCCGGATCCTCATTCGGCATGATCAGGAACTCCCCACTACGTGTCTCATCGCCACCCAGCACCTTCACAGTACTGAGTTCGCAAGTCTCTGGGTTTACCTCCTTTTCCTCCGCATGCAAGATACCCGTGAATGTAGACTTGGGGTTTGTGCTCTTGAAGTACACATTGAAGCCCCAACCAACGCACAAGAACTTTCCATCGCCCTGGTGGATCACCATTCCAGCGCCAGGACCAGGCTTGCCGAATACAAAGGCGCGGTCGACGATCACCTCGAAGTCACCCATCTTCTTGGTCCAGCTCTTCTCCTTCACCTTTTCACCTTCTCTCCACTCGTCGAAGAAGAAGCCCATCATATCCTCGGGCCTGTTGGCTTGTGCGTCGAGGATCTGTTTCCGCACCGAGTGGATGAGCTTGTAGTGCTTAGTTAAGGCACTAACCTCTGCTGATTCTGAGTCTGCGCCGAATGGCGAGCATCCGAGTGCCAGGTATGTGCCGTACGCGAGCCACACTCTCCGCACGCCTTTCTCATCGCGCCTCTGCTCTGGTATGAAGAAGACCTGGTCGTCATGTCGGTAGTTCTTGCACGTGCTCTCGTAGTCGTGGAAGTAGAGATCGGGGGCGATGAAGTCCAGCGAGGGTGCGTTGACCTTCCAGACATCCATGGTATGCGGGCAGGGGCCGCCGGATGGGTAGACACCTGCTGTTGCTCCACCACCAACAACAACGGGGAGGTCTGTAAGATCGAGAGCGGAAGGATCGTCGAAGTTAAGCCATACGTTCGTGTAGAGTGGGATCGGGTATTCGGCTTTGCCTGCTGCAGCGACTTTCTCGACATAGCGGGAGATAGCGTCAGCCATGAACATCTCCTCGGCGTTGATTACATCGTCAGCCCCGAAGATCTCTGTCCATGTGTGTTCCCCAGCCTTGGCCTCCTTGATGTTGGCGAACCGTTTCACGAAATCGGGATGTGGATTTTTGCAGGCCTGCAGTCCTTCGACCAAGTCTTTCGGTACAGACTCAGTGAACTTCTTGTTTGCGAGCTTGCTTCGATCTCTCGAGTCGCCCAAGATCCCTGTCTCGTTCTCCACCTGCATCATGACAACAGTGCTATGGGCGCCATCAAACTCCTTCAGATGCCTCATGAGCGTGGCAAACGCCTTCGCGTCGGCCTTCCAGCCCGCCTCGCAGAATGGGCTGACGTACTCCTCCGTCCTGGTCTTCGCACCGGCTTCGCTGACATGCGCTCTCGGGAACCTCTTGACGTCTTTCTTAACCCAAGCAGGTACGTATGTGCTGAGTGCGTTCTTGTAAGTACCGAACCACAGCAGGACTAACTTCATGTCGTGTTTCCGCGCGTCGAGGATGATCTCGTCAATGTTGCTGAAATCGAAGCATCCTTCTTCTGGCTCGATTTGCTCCCAGGACACAGAGCCTAGGAGGGTGTTGCAATGCATCGCACGCATATTCTCCCAGATTTTGTCATCGCGCATGTATTTTGCTGAGCTGAGTGTGGAGTTGTGCAGCTCGGCGCTGAGCATGAGGAAGGGCTCGCCATTAACGATGAGCTGTGAAGACGTCTTTGTCTTACGGAGATGCGGTATTTGTGTTGCTGTCATGATGGGCGGTTGTCTGGCCGTGAGTGTACTTGAAGTGGTTTGGGGACAGAGTAAGGAAATTGCTGGCGGATCCTGGAGGCACTTGATGTGTGCTGAAGGAGAAGCAAATTTCACGAAACCGAATGCATAGGCAAAGATCAAATGTAAATATATTCATTTCATTATTCGGGAACTGCAAGCACTTTTTCTGCCGATTAGACGGCTACACACACTATCTCAGACCACTCTCCACTTAGTGTGGGGGAAAGCGGGGATGAACGCAAAATCATCGGAAAAACTCAGCACATGACTTAGGAACTTTGACTCAGAACCGCACTCCGGCTTCAATTCCCGCCAGACCTCAACAAGAACTACAAGGAGCTGTAGTGCTCGTGGTCGTCCCAGTTTCCGCCTCCGTCGTGCAATCATTATCTTCTTCCAAACCGGCACTGGAAACCTCACCTCAACATCATCGCCCCAAGCCTCACACTTGAAGCACGAATAGACGCTGGGGAGGTCGTTGGACAGAATGTCCATCTATGGGCACTCATGTGCGACAGCCCCATGTCCATACTGATGCCACTCATCCCCAAGGTGATTGCTGATGGTGAAGGTCAAGTAGGCCTTCCAACGTTCTGAACGAAAGGAGATTGCACGAATCTGACCGGAGGACAAAACCTTCTTCCAAACTGCCGAATCGCTGAAGAGGCGTTCGAGATACCCGCCTTGCAGCTCGATGATCGAATTCATTGGATCGTCATTGGTGTCCACGGTGCGAGCCACAATGAGTGGGCGAAGGTCAACTTCTTCCGAAGGCCATTTGCCTAGCGGCATGCAGATACGAATGACTGAAAACGGTATTCCAGTGAACAAGAAGTGATGAAGGAATTGTGTGTACTCAAAGAACGACACAACAGGAGAGATCGTCTTCATGCAAAGTTGGCTACAAATTGTTAGATCAAGTAGAGAATGGTGGAAAAGCTGAAGAAAGAAGACAATACCGGAATTCGGCACGAATCTCTTGGATAGCCTGGGCCAACGCCATACGACTCGCAAAGCTGGGCTTTCCAGTGCATGCGCGTAAGCTGCCATCGGGGTCATGTTTGACGCGGACCTCGATCACGCCCTCATCTTCCAGAACCAGCTCGTAGATGCGGTTGCGAATCCCTACGTGGCGAGGTCAGAGTTGGTTCTAATTACAAAGGCTGTTTACTGACCTTTGGGTAGGTCCTGGAGGAACACAGGTTCCTCCCTCTTCTTGCCAAGTGGGAGGAGGACGACCTTGCCATGGGTCTCATGCTGTGTGAGGGAAGGTACGGGCGGATCGTGCATGCGGCGTGCTGCTATCAGTTGGCGGATGTCGGCGATCTTCTGCTGCGTGTCGGACATGTTGGACGATGTGGAATGCTCGCAGATGTGAAGCAGTAGCTGAAATTTAGGGACTTCGTGGACGGTTGTCAGGTGTGATAATGTTGGCTGGGGAGAAAGAGTCGGCGAGCAGGCGACGACGAGTATCAAAACACTGGTGCACGGGCCTTGTGTGTTTGCATTTGTGGGCGACGACCCCACCAGACGCGAGGAGACGGCTTTCGAAGCGTGGCCTACCGCGACAATTTGCGTAGAAAATCTTGAACGGAAACATCGGAGAAGCTCCATATAGTCGGGAAGTTCTCACCGTGCAGCCTGCTACGGCCTGGGGGGAACGCAGGCTTGCACCGTCGTGACCCGTCGTCCTATTTTCCATAGCCACAAACATCGTATCAACTCCGAATAGTGTCCCTCACTCGTCCTTGTTAGTCCACTGGTCCATGCGCTGACGCTCTTTCCTGGTGTCGGCGGAGCGCGCTCTCGCCGCGTTGACCCTGTGGTACCATATCTCCACGACCAAAATAGATAACGAGTTTAGAGTGGAACGTGCTGAATCGTACGACCTAGGAGATACACATCCTGTGATATCAGGATAGTTTCTCGGTGTTGAGTCTTGCAGTGGAGCGCCGACAGTAGGGCTGGTGAGGTTGAGCCCCTGCCCCTTCCCTCGTTCACCGCAGACGCAGGCAGGCGGGCAGCCTAACAAGAGATACAAGACTCAGCCCGCCGCTCCACTTCCGTCTTTCACTCAACATCACACTTTTTTTCCTTTTTGGATCGGGGTTCGCGCCCGCCGGCGTGACCTCCACCTTCTTTGCGTGCTCAGCTGGGCCGTCTAGCACCCTGGAGACATCCTCCTACTCAACGCGTTGCTGCGCTAATTTATAGCGCTTGCTGACGTTGACAGCGAGCTTGAAGCTCGTGTTGAGAGCCTTGAAACCGACATCAACCACGTAAGTACCACCCGCCTACCCCTTTCCAAGCTCTTGCATTGCCTCGAGCGGGTCGCTAACCACTCGATGCTCACAGACACTTGCACAAGATCCGAGACCTGCCTAATCACCTCCTTGCCCAGGTCGTCAAAGGCCAGGAGACTATGGAGGCTCCTTCGGTGAGGGTGGCAACGTGACGATGCCGATCCAAGTGCACGCGCCGTCACCAAAGACGTTGATTGTCCGCCACATGCCGAGAAAAACGACGATCCAGGGCCGACGATCCAAGCCAGAGCCGCGACCTCAGCATCGACTTGACTCGCTTTAAGGGTGAGTGGTCCGACCTGCACAACGTCGAATGGCTTTGTCGACTTCGATCCGAATTCGATGGCTGCTATGACAAGGCTGAATCTTGGAGGGGCTGCATAAATCGCAGCAAATGCGATGGGCTCATCAAGTTCTACAGCCTCATGCCTCAGGCCTCAATTATCGTCATCGTGGGAAAGAAGCAGACCATAGAAGAGCTCGAGGCACGCAGACGGGTGAACCAACAACCAATTCGGCCGGGCCAGCAATTCTTGAATGCCGGCATGTACAACCGGTACGACCCCAACACCACCGCCAACCGGAGCCCGATGGATATGGGCGGATAGTTTCCCCCCGTCACGTACTCTGCATCCCTGGCTTTTGAACCATGCTTCCAGCGCGGCTGTCAGACATGTTCATTACCTGGGGACACTTCGCTGGCCAAGTAAGAACCGACGTAGTTCTGAGTTGCGGAGCACAGCGCATACTGGGCGAAGAAACCGCGGCAAGCAATGAGTTTAAGGGACAGACCCACGTCGAAGTTCAAGCCACTCCTTTCGTGGACTAGCAGTGTGATGTACAGAGGTACCACCTACACTCTAGGCGCGGGCCTAATTGATTTCGAGATCAAGTTGAAGAAGCTGCCACACAACCACCAGCCTCCAACTCCATCTTGGAGTGGGAGATGTGGTGCTCCGCAGTTTGACTCTCGGACCCGGGCAAACGGTCCAAGTTCCAGTGGATGGCCTCTTTTCTTAGCGCATTCAATCGTAAACGGATTCACGCGTATCGGCAATTACCACCCCCCATAAACCACAGAAAACTAGTGGTGCTGGTGAGGGCCATCGCCGATAAGGAAGATAAGGAGGTTTGGAGACCTTGGTGAATGCCATCGATGGCAAGGGCTAGAAGTCGGAGACGCTGCGGCCAATGTTGCCGAAGAGCGTCCCCGCTCCCCGGTGTTGACGAAGGAGAATACCTCTGACGTTGAGGATAATGTTCGTCGTATGGAAGCCTACATGATTTTCACCTGACCTTGTCTCTCCACGTTTCCCCGTCGTCCGCTGTCGGCATGAAGCCCGGACGTAATGAACGTCGACAAAACTGGTTGATGACGAAACTATTACCCGGCGTTACGGTGAGAACGTCAGCACAACAGCCTAGGCAGATAAATTTGCGCAGAGCCATGAGCCCCATGGCTAGGGTGCCTCTATGCCGCGGTTCAGGACGACGCTTTGAGTCGTCCGCATTCGATTGCACACGATGGCACCATTTTTTCTCGACATTCTCTCAGACCACGCTCGGAAATACGCAAGAGGAAAACAAGGTAAAGTATGGGTATATTCTCCCGAGACTTTTTCGTAAACCTAGCCGAGGCGCTAGGTCGCCTCTCAGTACTGTGGAAGGGTTCTGCTCCGGTCGTTTGCCGTGAAGCGGCAGAAGCTTGTCGAAGACCGTGCCGTCTATGCGTCCAACATTCCTCGCGATGCCACTTTCGAGAAGATCGAGGAGACGTCGAAGAAGGCGAATATTATCGAGAGGGGCGTTGTCGGCAGGCTCGGCATCGGAATGTCATCTGCCGAGGATGGCAACTTCGACGATGTGCTAGATCTCTGCATTCATTCGGAGGTCGAGGATGACCTTATGCATCTTGAGGCACTGTCGGACCAAGTGGTATGATTGCGCCTGAGATCTCCGCGTTCAGTCGGGGACTGGATGTCGCTGAAGGCATTCTTGGACCGTATGTGCTTAAGCATCTACGACTTGATCCTCTCGGGCACCGATATCATGTCCGGTCGTTGGATTGCCAACCCAAATCCACACCAACGTCAACAATTTCAACGACTTGTCGAATTCGCCTGGTGACTTGTTTCTCGAACAGCACTTCCGCGCCGCGTTCAGAAATGGAGCACATAAGCTCGACGAGCTTGAAAAATCACTTGAGAAGCTCAAGGTCAATCAACGTGACAAAAACTCTTCGGTTGCGTTGGAATCCAGGCCTCCACCATCTTTTAGCCAATGCAACCTTCAACTTCCTCGCTCTGCGGCTCCTCGAGCCTGCAGTTCGACAACACGCGCATCGTTAGAGGTGGGTCCGACGGCGTGTCATGGGACCAGTCCTCAACACCATTGGAGGCCAACCCATCTCCGAGTGCCAAAATTAAGGAGCCAGACGTGTAAATTTGCGAGATCGCATCGGCTCCAAAGATTGGACCGCGCACAAGAACTCGAGGATGAGCTGGGTCGCGCCAAGGATCAGGACGACTACGCATTGCAGACAGCATTCTCCCATACATCATCTTCTCAATCACTTCAAATCTGGGAAACATGTACCACCACGCAAGAACCAGCCGGAATCGTTGGGCTTCTGTAACCGAGCGCAAAGACAGCTCAGCAAGCTCACATGATGAAGAAGTCATGTACTGCAAGAAGAAGTCAATCCGCCTTCCGGGCCTTCATGCCCCCTTGGCGCCCGCCTGGCGCCCAAGCCGAGGAAGAGAGAGCCAAACCCATCTACATGTGTAGGCAAGATTCAATGATAGCGCATAGATAGCTCACCATCACGCGTTATGATGGTTTGGCGTTTCGCGTGGGGTAAACCTCGGAGGGCGCCGTGGAAGTTGAGGAAGCGGATATGTCATTCGAGAAGGTTACAGACAGCGATGTTCTCAAGAGGTAGTGGGATGTCGACAACATGCTCGCTGCAATGGCGGTGCAGCAGATGCTAAGGAGCCGGAAAGGCCTCAGGACACGCAAGGCTGACTGCACTGCTCTTCCTCAGGCTCGCCAAGGTTGGGGCTCGCGTCGCCAGTGCTTCAATTGCTACGAGTATAGCCACCGCAATGACCAAGTATCACAAAGAGGGTCTTATGAAGAGCCACAACTGCGACAAGAATCAAAACGTGTATCAAAGTCCTCTACACGGCAAAGAAGAGCCAACACCCTTGCATTGGCAAGGAAGAGTCATACTAGTGGAGGGACAGCACCCCGAGTGATGCGTGCTTAGCAGCTTGCTAGCGAGGAGGTTCCACCAATATTGATTGGTCACTCCATGGATCCTGGTGTCATGGTTGATAATGGTATTTCGGAAGTCTTGCTTCGACGACACGGAGGCTAGTGTGTATGCCTAGGAGTTTCTTTCGAAAAGCAGTTGGGTATGAATGATGGAGGAGGCCGTTCTGTAGCATGCCCTAGCTCTTGAAATGCATGTTATAGCTCTAGCCCCGGGATCCCGGTTTGCCTTGCAACTGTATTGGTGATGTTGCGCTATGAGTGCTTGTTGGGATTCAGGTAAGTTTGTTGAGAGGAGCCACATTGTACACATGCTGACTCGAATGTTCAGAGGGGCTCTTGCAGTGTGGCAAGGGACTCGCCGTCTTCGAAGAGGCTAACCAAGTAATCGAGAGAGCCGTCGTTGTCTCTGCGTCAGATGTTTGTATCATATCCACCGAGGTTTCACAGTTGCAAGATCAGACTCAAGAGGCCTAGCCCGTCCAGCTTCTTTACAGGATGGCGTCGAGGGGCCTTCCGAAAGTTCTGGTAGGAATTTCAAATTTCCCTTCCCGGTTTGAGCTCCTGAGAGACCCTACTGTGTTCGCTATGTGTGTGTCGCTCGGCAGAGGGCGGATGGCGGACGGCGGAGGGAGATTCGGTAAGATCTAACAAAAGAGGACGGATCGGCGATGCCACTGGCAATCTCGCGCGGCGCAAGAAATCGAAGGCCATGGCTGCACAGGCTGTTAGGTTCTCGAGGAAGATATGACGGTGAGCAAGAGTCGCGAGGGGCTGCGGTGGGGAAGTCAGCCAAGCTAGAAAGGGCAGCAGCAAACCGCACAACAAACCGAGAAGCCAACATCGCAGCAGCGAGTTGCAAGGGATGCACAGACTAGGGGAAGCATTTTATGCCTGTGTATTGTTACAATCTCGACGTCGTCGGTGACAAGAAAGCTTTTCCAAACCTCGCGGGGCGGCTTTCCTGAAGGGGCAGAAGATGGATTCCGAGGTCCGACGTGGGAGGGAGTCAAGGAGAAGAGAGTATGAGGGAGAAGAAGGGTGCAGAAGCTTCGTCGCACCCCCTGATCCGCGGGCGTGGTGCAGCTGATGAGCACAAGACGCTTTGGCGGCGGCCACGCAAACGGTCTGCTGCGGGACTCGGCCACCGACGTCAAATGTCCAGGCTTGTCACTGCTTGCTCAGAATTGTAGAAGTCGGCCGGAGCTGGTTCGTGGTCTGTGGCATCAAGGCCAGTGGAGGAAGCCGTGATGGAGGTCATGCTATCCTGGCTCTAGGAGGCACGCTCCGCCGTAAATCTCCACGCCATACCAACGCAATGGCATGGCCGAAGGAGGTTGAAAAACATGCATTGAAGACATTTGATACTTGACCTCGGTCACATTCTCACTTGGCTTCTCTTGTAAAGCCGGTGACGCCTACATGGCCCCTTGGCTCAGCAATGCTCCTGGTTCATAACACGGACGTTTCTACGCACTATGACTCGAGTTACCACTCGAGTCGATGAGCCTAAATGCCTTTCGACAGCTTAATGGGCTTCTACAGGGTATTTCGGAGGTCATGGAGGGCAAGAGCTATTGCGACCAACGTTGGCTGGACTACAGGAGGGTGGTGAACGCAACAGGACAGGCAGCTACTCGCACTTTTCGTCCGTGCATTCCTCTTCCGCCAACAATCGTATAATTACTGGATTTCTGCGACTCTTTCCTGCCTTAGGGCACCATCGTCACAGTCCATCCACCTACTGTCGGCCACTGCCAGGCCCACACCACAACAGCAGCAACAGCAACATCACCATGACCACCACCATAGCTTATCCCATCACTACCGCCTCGCCACCACCTCCCCCCGGACCGCCTCCAGCGACTCCCCCTCCACCGCCGCCGTACCCTCCTCGACCGCCTCCGCTCAGCCGCCAGCAGGAGAGAGAGGGGCTGCTGCGTCACGCCAACAGGTTTTGCAACGACTGGGCAGACCGCTGCAGGGGTTTGCCCCCTCTCGAGCGCATCTGCCTGAACCGCGTACGTGATTACTCTTTGGAGCACTGAAAAGCAGCCTCACTGACCCCACTTTGTGACTTGTAGATTCTCGAGCTCTGCCGCCACCCGTAATGGCCGACAAGCGCCATCACATCTGCTTCTTCCCCGACCAGCACAAGTTCGACTTCTAGTGGCGTTTGGTTTTGGGCTTCTTCGGAGTATGTGGGAGGGAAGGAGGTTTGTTCTGTTTGAGTTAGATACCCCAATACCAGTGTCCCAAGTCGCCTCACTGCTCTGCCTAATGTGCCTTTGCTGATTTGTCTTACTCTTGCTGTTTGATTTGGTGCTATCTTTTCAGTAAGATGTCTTAAGAGGGTGTAAATTTCTTCCGACCTGCTTGTGATGCGGATTTGTACCTTACAGTTTTGCTTTCGCGGAAGAATTCACCTCACATACGTCTAGCTGTCGGACTCGTCACAGTCGTGCATTGCTTATTCTCGGATGACGGAGCTCCCCAGAAACAAAATGACTATCTTCACTTCGGACGGGGAGCGCTCTCGCACGGGGTTGTCAAGTGACAGGTTGGCTTAGATAACACAGATGGAGAAGTGGAAAAGGCCTTAAGCTGAGTCTGGATAGAGTATTGCAAAACATGGGGACAAAAGAACAGCCTTGAGCATCGCAGGGCTTGTCTGGCAGGGCCTTGTCCTTGTCCCATGTATCTGGAGAACTGGCCTAACTGTTCAAAGCTTCTGGAACTACATATCTTTTATGTTAAACATGATCACCTGCAATGGACACTTGATGTCATCATGCATAGCCATCATCCAAACTTTCTATCTAATGGTACACAAGAGATGCAAGAAGACTTGACATAAAAAAAACTCCTCATACATGCTGGGTGACGGAGAGCGACTCCTTCTCAAACCTCTGGGTCCTCATTCGGGACGCCAACCTCATCATGGTAGATCAGCTCATCAAAACGCCTCCACTGCCCATACTTGTCCATGATCTCCTGGAGCCTAGTATGATCCCGACAAGTGCGCACATCCCACTGGCCCTCGATGATTTTGCCCCAAGGATGTCCTGAGCGGTTGCGCGGGAGTTCGAAAGTGTCTATGTTCAAGTTGTTAGCCTTACACTTCTAGTCTCCTACCAGCAGGACAACTTACCATCCGCAGTACACTGCACCACATTCCGCAAGTAATCGAAGCAATGTGCCACGTGATCCCCATGCTGAAGTTGCTCCAGCGTCACAGAGCTCTCGTTCATCTTCTGGAACGCTGTGCGCATAGAGGCGAGACAGTGGAAAGCATGAAACATGCCGATTCCACCCTCATCGTGCACGGGATCCTTGCTGTACAAGCCCGCCGCGTCTTTGAATGGCGGCAGAGCGATGAGACCCCAGCTCTCCGTGAAGGCGTCGTTCCAGAGGTAGTCGTACTTGTGGTTGAACGACATGTAGCGCGGGTCGGAGCCGTACATCATGTGTTTGTTGGCGGGACCAGACGAGACACGGGGATCGGGATCGGTGACGGGCTGTGAGTAGTTGAGCAGCATCAGTGTGTTGGAAACCAGCAGGCTCAACCCCACAATCTCAAGCGCGAGCCGCACCCACTTCCACGCGCGACCACATTTGCTGGGCGAGCGGGTGACGAGGCCGGGGTGCAGCAGCTTCTCGGCTTCGTCGTGATATTCGTTGGATGCGGCGAGTGGCGAGTAGTCGCTAGGTTTGGGTCCGCTGTTGCGGGTGGAAGGGCGATCTTCATATAACGACATTGCTTAGGAGGTAGAAATTGGCGATTCGCTGGCGATGGTAAGACATTGTTTCCTATGATGCGAGTCTGATATGCAAGTGACTGTATTGTCGTCTGTTTGGGGTCTAGCGCGCCTATCTCGTGGGGTCGACTGGGAGACACGCGGTGAAAGTCTTTGTCCGAGGGCTCGTATTCGCGGGATAGAGAGCGTATGCTGGGACAAAGGGTCTGTGGCTTGTTATTGCTAGAATACGTACTGAGATCGCACTGAATGGCTGGGTGGGTAGTTGGCAGGGATTGCTCTAGTCCGAGAAGAGTAAGACATACTCAATACGGAAATTTTCGTGGGGAGGAACGACGCAGTGCTGCAATTGCGCACGAGAGATACAACAAGAGCAGCAAAGAAAATATTCCAATTATGTGCGAAGTCCCCCTCGAAGCCATCAGAAACTATAGGAATGCCGTTCCCTTGCAAAGCAACCCGGCAGAAAGAAAAGCAGCGATGCGTAGTCACATACACCTTAGTAACGGCATTCGAGTGCAAAGCAGGTCAGACCGGCCTGCATTACACTATCCAGTGGATGCCGACTGCAGTCGCCGGCCCGATGGTACATCCGGTGTTGCATCGCCATCCAGGCTTCAATCTCCCAAGATCCCAGGTCGTCCAATATCCGGCTAATGAGGACTGCATCTCTATTGAATCTACAAACGCGCGCACACACGTGGACTGCGGGGAAAAGTCAATATGGAGCCCTGCGATTTTTCGGCATTCGTATTGACAAGTGTGCCTAAACCAATTAGGGCGCCTTCGCTACGAGCAAATAGCACGACGCCCGGTATTTGCCATATAGGTAGCAGAGTCCAGATGCAATCAAGGCATCCATTGATTACGCTATGTAACCCCGGAGCGGCATTGCAGATGCGTGTTTTTGAGTGTCTGGAATGCATTGGCATATGCACAAGGATGGATGTCCCGGGACGAGGCAAGTATAAGATCTAGGATCCGGCCTTAGTCAAACTCGATCGATCATTGCCGCACTCCCGTCGCAAATCCAGATCCAGATCCACCGCAATGATTGTCCAACCCGTCTTCTTGGGCGCGATGGCTCTCCTGCCTTCGCTGGCTTTGGCAGGGCCGGTGGAGACGAAGGGCTCGAAGCACACTGCCTTTCTCGCGAGGTGCGCGCCGACGGAGTGCCCAATAGGCCTATGCGATCCCGATGACTGTGAGTGAGCTCCCAGCACGTTCAATTCAACACGGGCAATGCGCAGTTTTGCTCACCCTCTGCCAGTCAACATTTACGGCGCCGCCTACTTTGTCAACGGCCCTCCAACCGGCACGACGGCATCCGCAACCGCATTCGCTACAGTATCCAACTCACGCTGGGAGGGCGTCACACGCAGCGTAACTTGGTCGCGATACGGCTCTTTCAAAATCAGCATCGATGCCCAAGCAGCGAGCCTGCCGAAGGGAGAGATTGCAGGGCAAGCCGTATTGACGGCGACCGGTGGGTCGGAGGAGCAGTTCCTTTGCTTCAAGGAGGGAACCACAAAGTTCAAGACGACTTATGACCTAGACTCTTATACCTGCACGGCGTCGTACTATTGCCCGAGTATTTCGTAGGGGGCGAGCACTGGGTCGACACTTGAGGTGAGAGGATGCGATGTACATTTGCAATATGTTGGAATTGAAACAATAATTCATGTCCTGCTTCACAGTTTCGCGGAGCCGTCAACGATCAGTCCATTAGTACTTCTCCCTCTTCTGCAATCTCGATTCCCCATCTCATTTTCCCATCATCTGTGCGGAACCATCCCAACCGCGTCTTGACATCGCTCTTGAGTAGGCCTTCGACGCCGTGCTTTTCTACCGCAGCAAGTAGTCTCTCGCTGCCGGCCACAAGGACCAGCACATCGGCGATGGACTCCACATTGCGACGCAGATCGCCGAAGAACCATCTTTGCATCGCGCAGACAAGGATGGCAGTAAGAGCTAGCCAGATGAGCAAGGCTACGCTCAGCCACACCGCCTTCGGGTTCATGTGCAGAACCTCCACCCGTGTCGACATTGTTGCGCTAGCCGTGCGATTTGTGTTCTGCGCAGGTAGCTCGCTGACTTTCTTGGCGCGGGTTCCATCAGGATTGAACTGGGGAAATGTCTCATTTGCGGCACCGAGGCCATCCTGGTTCGCACCGATGGGCTGGTACACCCAGCCGCCTGCCTTGAGCGAGTAGGTGCTGCTCACGTAGTGTTGAAAAAAGATGGTGAAGATTTTCTGGGTGCTCTCCAGCATGTAGTTCAAATCGAGCAGTGCCTTGGGGTCTCTGTCTGCTTGGACGTACGCGGCGTATGACATGAAGTCCATGTTGAGCCCAGTCAAATTGTCTTGGATGTTGAACACATTATCGGTTAGAGAAAGCTCACCAGCTATAGGTGGGCCGTGATTGGCGCCAGAATTGGAGAGAGCTACTAGTCGTGAGGCTCGAAGCAGCGAATTCATAAAAAGGTTACCATAACTGGGCAGTCCGTTAGTCGATTGGATTTGGGGTATGAGGTCTGATGAGAACGTTACCTTGTTGTGATGTTCTGCATCACCATGGGCGGACAGTCTAAGTCCGGATCACACAGGCTGCTGGTATCCTTGATTTCCTTCTTTACTGCTGGATCGTTTGGATCAGACAAGTCGTGGAAAACGAACGCATCGCTCCAAGCGCCATCGTCGGGGGTGGGTTCTCCTAGTATGTGATATGACAGGATGCGGCCATCCTGCTTGTCCACCACGATGTCTGCTTCGGCTTTTTCAAAGACCGGCATGCACTTTACTGCTTGGATTTTCGGAATGTTGGGAAAGTAGAGGGTTTCTTGGTTACTCATGAGGCCGTCTTGGGAGGCGCCATCCCCTGTTATCCATTTGACAGTGAAGTTGTTCAGGGATGCGGATACGTATTCGGATGTATTTGCATAGTCCTGAGTCCAGTAGCCCAAGGCCAAAGGTTGCGGGGTAGTGTCGTTGAGTGAGTCAGTGTGGTTGTAACAACATGTGACATATCTAGAATCTGGTACAGTCGGACCTCCGAGCATACTGGTACCCGGCACATTGACCTTGCTGGTCTTATTCGTCTCTGGATCAGTCCACGTGGTGTTATAGTTCCATTTGGTGCTGCCGTTCCTGATCTCCTCTGGTTGATAGCACTCGACTCTTCCACGGATGGCCGGGGTTGTCATTGTAATATTGATCAGTGCACCATAGGCATCTGATTGGTCGGTGTCAGTGTCACTGGTGGTCGTCTGTCTGTTCTTGAGGTCCGACAGATCGACCGGGACGAAGCTCCAGCCATCCTTGCACCAGTTCAGCTCAGATGCATTCATTGTGGCTTGAATCACCCCTGAGTAAAGCCAATTGTTCGTCAAGTTGCCAAAGAGATCCGTGAGTACTGTACCGACATATGGATATCCATAGGCTCCACGGGAGCCACCGTATGTTGGAGGGTAGGTCTCATTAACCATTCGAAGGTAAGGGACTTGTCGGAGCTCGAGACTTCTATTGAGTTCGACGGCGTCATTTATGACACCAGTAGTCTGCTCGAATAGGGCGGAAGTGGCAATGGTAACTAGAGAGGGACAATTAGCTGTAAGGCAGAAGCTTCTCTCCGGTAGGACTCACAGGCCTGTGCTAGGAAGGTTCCAAGCGTTACGAGCGACAACAGCCAGTGTTTGTTCTTGGCTGCTTTTCCCGTGGCCCACAACCAGTACGACGACTGATACGAAACGTATGCGCCCCTTGAGATCTCCCTGGGGGCTTGAGACATGGAAACGTAGGGCTGTAGAGATCTGAATGTGACATCCAGAGCATTCCACCAAAGACCGAGAAGGACGGCCAAAGTAGTTGGGATGATCGAAAAGGGAGTAAAGCTGCCCAGATGACCGAGGGCGTTGATGTTGAGGTGATAGGTAAAGAAGCCCTTCTTGAGATCCGAGTCGCTCGCGAACCTGTGAACGACTGTAATGGCCATTACCAGGAGAGCGATAAACAGAATCAGACCCAACAGAACTCGTATCTTTACCCAAAATGGTGACTCCTTCTCCGCAAGTGTGGGTACTCTGGGTACGGGATCTGTAACAGTTAGGTTGAAACGTCGAAGAAGGAATGATAAATCGTACCCGATGTTTCGACCTGGCCGTTCTTGGACACTTCCCTCAAATGCCCATGAGAGGTCGAAAAGAATCGACCTTTCAAGACCGATCTTAGCTCTGCTGTTGATGCTTGGTCCAGGTCCCGAAGGGAGGCCAATATCGCAGGATTTGATGAGACGAGGGATACGGTTCCCAATACTGTCGCAGGTTCGTGAGTCAGATGCAACGGCCTTCGTCTAGCCGTAGAGAGCCAGATTAATCCCAGCATGGTGAAGAAACAGAACGCAAAGAGCGCAACGAGAGCAGCAGCGGCCTCGACGCGTACTGTGATTCTGCGCTCTGATGCCATTGAACTGCCTGTTATTGTTTCGCTCTGCGATGCGCCACGAACGTCAAGAGAAGTCCGCAGGACTTCCCCAAAGTGACGTCTCTGTAATCGTGCAGCTAGGTCCGGCAACTTTGTATCATTCTTCATCCCGTAAAAGTCGAACTCATATTTGGCAGCAAGCAATGCCATCGCTCCAGATGGAACGGCGGGTCCCATGTTTAGCTTCGGTACAACCATATACCAGTATGGGTCGGTATACGTCTTGATGAACTGTGAGGTCTTCAGTACGCTTGGCGGTACGTCCTGCTGTGCTTTCTGGAACGCGCCAGAATCGAAGTCGACGTGAAAGTCACTGGCGGAGGCCGAAACACGCACAGGTATGCTCGCCATTGTATGTGAAGAATTACACAGGTAACCTGATACGGTAAGATTGGGCAAAAATTTAGCCGTGACGTTTGAGAACGTTATCCAGTCGTGGCTGATCCACTGACTGCTCATGACCATGATCTCGTCCCCTTGGCATTTGTCGTTGTAGGTGGGTTTCCATGGTAGCGGTCGGTAATCGTAAGAATCAGTTGTGACAGCGTATTCGTTCTTCACAACGAAGGTATCCAGGTCGGACCATGAACCGAGTTCCCAAGAGTTCATATCGTACTTGGCACTAGCGTTGAAGCTCATGTTGTACTTGCACCCTGCCTCGTTTTCCAGTCGAACGGACATGCGATACTCATAATTAGTCATGTTGTAGTAGTCGTATGTGTAGGACCACACGTCGGTAGCAGCAAGTTTGAGTGGGGAACACTGCAAATCGTTGCGGAACACAGTTGTTTCAGCTTCCCATGTTTGAGGTGTGGAAATATGTTGCGCGTCCCAAGGTTTTCCATCGGAACCTTCGGGCCAGAAAGGAAGAACTGCATACTCATCAGATATCCAAGGCGATGTGACCACGTTCTGCAAAATTGCGCCAGTGGTTCGGAAATATGTGTCTCGTTTCACTGAAGGCTCCAGAGCTGAAGCTTTCTCCGGAATCAATCTGGTCATCTGCAGCGGCTGCCACATCTTAGTCTCTTCGGAAGCGAGGAGCGCAGAAGACAACGAGATAATAATGGACGATATGACGAGGACGACTGAAGCCCATATGATGATCCAGCTTCTTTTCCCTCCGTTGTGCTTCTTGTTGAAAGCATGAGCAAAAGCTGTCCACACTTGCCGTGGACGTTCCAAAATGGTTCTCGATGCGGGCGGGACAGATCCAGGAGGTCGTGCGAGGCGTGCGAAAGGTTCAGTACGTTGGATGTCGTTGAACAACATGGTGATGAGCTGGCCCCACAGAACCGCAACAAGCGTAGGAGCGAACCGCCAGCCAACGACAGCGGACGCTTCCGAGCATAGTCCATTGTTCTTGTGAGACCTCCAGTACAGAATGCCGACGACAATGGCAAGGATTAGTGAGGCTGCAGTGGGGATCCAGACCAGGGACCACCGCAAAGTGTACGGGCGCCATTCAGCAGCTGTATACGATTAAACAGTGTGCTTGAGCACTCGCAGGGGACCTTACAAGTGGAGTTCTTTGATGTATCGCTACTTGCAAGAGATTTGCCGAGAGAAGTCACCGAATGTGCTGCGGTCTTCGCGCGCTTTTCGTTGTTTGGATTGAGAGCATCGCTTTCTCGGGGGTAATTCGGAGGCGGATATTGGGATATGCGAACATCTTCAGGTTGGTGTCTTGTGTCTGCCATGTCCATAGCAGAACGCCTTCCCGTCGCGTCGCGGAGTGTTTGGTATGTGAACGTAGGCGCCTGGAGTTTTTATTGAAACCAAGATGTCGAAATAAGCGCCAAGGTCAGGCCAACCGCCCCATTGCTAGACCCTCCAACGCATCAAAGGCGAGCGACTAGCAGGGAATGGGGGCGCGTTTCAGCTCTCGCACCTCGCACGAAAGTGGAGCAGTGGACGTGCCACCACATAACACCGCCCGCAATTTGCCACCGCCCGGTAACGCCAACTGACCACGGAATTGTATCCATATTTGGCTCATAAATACCTCGGTCTCGCGCGAGGACGATGATGATGGAGCTGGTGTATGTGCAAGGTATCTTATCCGCTCAGAGGGTGAAACGGGGTCGGCGAAACCATCATCCCGACCTTACTACAAAGAGACGGGGAGGCAGCGTTACTTCCGCCTCCACTGGGGCGAACGCTTACTGTGTTGCATGCCTTGACCATAACGTCCACTCGAACGTGCTCACAGTGCTGACACACGGACATGGCATCCACGGTTATGGCGCCAAAAGGCAACAGGCCGGGGCCGTTGAGTACATGTGTGTGGGGCCATCGACTTAATTCACAAACGCAGATATCACAGATCATTGGCACGAGTGTTCCGGTCGGTCCAAAACTCAACATGACCCTAGATGCTGTCAACCATGCATATCGGGCAGGACAGATGCTGGAATCCACGTTGTCGCGTGACGTGACTCCCGCGGTCAGCCCGAAGCTGGATCTCCGTCTTTGACCACGCTGCAAGCCTGACCGAATGAGCCCTAAAAACGGAGAGTTGAACTGGTATCTTCACCGCTCACCGGAAAGTCCAGAGGTTTGATGCTCCGCATTATGACATTACCTGCTACTGCTGTATCCTATGCAGCAAATCCATCCCAGGCCGTCACCCATACTTGACCCCTAGCTCTGATGCAACAGCACCCAAAACAACACCGCCCCGCCCCCCACAGTAACCAGCACAAACACCGCAAAGAAGTAAATCAGCAAACACGCATCCCACGCCTCACACCGTTTGTTCTGCCGCAGCTGCCCTCCGCCACCGCCAGACGCTCCGAGATCCCACCGCCGCCGCGGCTGATGCGTCCCAAAGACGTCGAGCCCCTCGTAGCTGCTGTCTGAGGGCGAGCCAGGCCCGGGCTCGAGATCCGGGAACGGCTCGGGAGGGTGCGTGTGGCCGGGAGAGAAGGACTTGGAGGGGCCAAGGGGGGAAACCACGGGGGAGAAGGTGGAGAGGAGAGGTGTACGTTCCGTGGGTGCGGGTGCTGTTTGGTGATGTGCAGTAGGATACCCGGCTGGTGGGGTGATCGTGCTGCTAGATGAGTGCATGGAGCTTAGAGTGTCGGAAGGGGCGGGCTCGAAGCTTTCTCGGGTGGTCGATGTTGGGGAAGCGGAAGGAGATATTTGCACGCTGCGGGAGGTGTAGACACGCTGGATAGCTTCGAGCGCAGCGCGGGCGAGGTGCGAGCTAGAGTTAGAGGAGCTGCCAGATGACCTCCTGGATGCGCTGCGTTTGCGGGTCATTGTTGCTTGTCCTGTTGTTGTAGCGCGGCTGGGTGTTGGTTGCGGTGAGAGCTTGGGACGTGGTTGGGTATGCTCGTTTGGCGGCGAGGACGTAGTAGTATCCGCGGGTCTCGTGATTTGTACGTGTTCCGCGTGGGAATCTGTGAAGTCTTGATGCTATCGCTGGTCTTGCGTGTCAAACTTGTCTCGGTATAAGAGAAAAGCGGGCGAGTTGGAAGTGCTGCTGTGAAGGCGGGAACGTGACACTGAACGGTGCTCACGCGGTAGCTCGTACGGCGAAGGATCGGGGACTTGGGGAGAGTCTTCATGCGCGCGAAGATCCTCATGGCACGGTATCAAATAGGGTTGATTTCCCGGTGCGAAGGGCGTCGTGTTTGCGGACAGCCTGTCCCAGAACATCTTCAGGGAGTTGAAGTTCGGCATGACGACGAGGGGACGGGGGAGTGGGTGAGTGTGGTGCTGAATACTGCAAGAGAAGAAGTGGGTTGTTTATCAGTGCTTGGAGGCTTGGGTCCACTGAAACAGTCGCAGTACACAAGTTGGTTCCATTTGCTTGAGACGCTACGACCCGACCAACGATATGCCAGCTTATGCCTATGCAAAGTGTGGCAAGTTGCCTTTGAAAAGTAAGTGGTGTACGTTTGACGTCTCCGCCGTGGCCTGTTAGAAGCGACACTGGTATTCGTTGACGTATGGTAGCACACATGAATTCATTTGATCTAGTGGCTGTCAATCACCCTGGAAAGAGGGACTCGGTGTTGAATTGGCATCGATGCCTAGGAGTCTACAGGTGCAGGGGAACAAGCACAGTAGTCGCACGTGGAATATTCATCGGCAGAGCCGGGATGTTGTTCAGTTTGTTGTTACAGCTTCAGGTATCTTATGGCAAGACCACGCGGATCTGCATCATGTACAAAGTCTACGCGAAGATTACACTATCATACAAGGCACACGCGCACTCACATCTGGAAATTCTTGCCCAGCACAGAGGGCTCGGCCTGCACCTCCTCCAGCGAGGCCTCGAACTCTGTGCTCTCCAAGCTGGTGGACTCGCTCGGGACGCCCGAGAACATCTGTGCGCGTGCGGCCTCCTCGTCGTCGATTTGCTCGCGTGCCCAACTCTTCCAGTTCTCCCAGACGTTGTCTTCGAGCTCCATGCCAATCTCCAGCGGGCCCTTGCCGAAGTAGGCGCCACAGTGCAGGGCCTCCTCCCGGGCGACGCGGCGGCGGATGTCGTCGCGGTGGCGGTGGAAGTAGAACTCGCGGCGGGCGACGTCGTAGGCCGTGGGCTTGGACATGGCGCGGTGCTTCATGAGCCACATCTGGCGCTGGACGACGCTGTTGCGGTGGTTAGCATGCGCCCTCGCTAGCACAGGCATGAGGGTGGCCGTACCTCTCGCCGTCGAGCTGCTTCCCGGGCTGCACGATGTTGCTCCAGTCATGGTGCTTCGAGTCGTTGCCGCTGTCTTCGACGATGATCCTCGGCCGGGCCAGCTCCCACGGGTGGTCGCCGAAGAAGTCGGAGCGCAGCTTGTCCTCTGGGTATGCGATGGGCAGCGGCTGGAACATGCGGCTGGGCTTGCGCGCCTTCTTGGGCGTGGGGGCGCGCTGCAGCGGGCGGGCAAGCGTCTCGCTGGGGGGGATGTCGCCGATGATGTTGTACCATTGCGGCAGGCTGGCGTTGCGGCGCGAGTCGAAGAGGGCCTTTGCCGTCTGGCGCACGCGCATCGGGCGGAAGTCGTAGCGGCCCATGGCGGGCGGCGGGTGCGGGTGCCAGCTACGGGGGCAGGGCTATCGCATGCAGCGCGGGCGGGCGGGGCGGGCGAGGGCGGCGGAACGAGCGTGTGCGAGTGCGAGTGCGTGTGCGTGTGCGTGCAATGGGTTGGGTGGGCGTGGTGCTGGGCCGCCCGTGAGGGTGCGGAGAAAAGATCGGGCGGAAGTTGCCGCAGGAGCTAGCAAAATGCTGGCGACGACGCGACGAGAGCAGCGCGCAGCTCCCCTCGCCATCGTCCCTGAGTGCCAATGGCGCACGCCTGAGCTCGCATCCGCCGCGCCGCCAATGCTGCTACCTGCAACCCGCCGCCGCTGACACGATGCTCGTCCTCTCATGTCCCTCCTCCGCACCCTCGATCGGACCTCCGCCGTCTCACGCAAATCTCCCCTCTGCCCGCTTCTCACGTTCCTATGTCCTGCCCTGTCCGGCCCGGCGCCGAGGAGGAGCTTCAGCAACGCCGCAGTAGACCGCGCCCCCAGGATCAGCGCGGCCGATGGGGCGCCCGCCGAGAAGCTCTTCCTCCGGGCGCTGGCGCGGGCGGCGTCGTGCCCCGAGCACGCAAAGCACATGTCGACGCAGCGAGACGGCCTGGTGCTTGTTGCACCACAGCACAGGAAGACGACCAAGAGCGCGGACGCTGCCGTGAAGCGCGAATACGCCTCGGACAAGCCGTCCAAGAAGGGGCCATTCAGGATAGCAAAAACATTTGCCGAGAAGGAGCTGAAGGCCTTGGTCGACTACTACGGCATCGACGCCCAGCCTGCCTCGGGAGAAGATGCAGACGTAGAGGACGAGGGCTCGCTGGTCTGGAACGTGGGCGACGACCATCAGCAATGGCCGCCCAAGGTCCCCATGGACGCGCGGCTCGTCGACAAGCTCAACGCCCTCGTCAAGCTCGACGAGCCCTCGCACGATGACATGTGGGATGCCTACCGCCGCCTATCGGAGCCGCGCATCGTTTACCTGCCCCGCAACACCATACACGACATGCTCCACCACCTGTCCATCGTGGAGCGCCCGGGCCTCGACGCCATGCAGCGCTACCTCTCCATCCTCGACGACATGAAGGACGCACACATCCACATCAAGCGTAACGAATGGACCGCCGCCACCCATTTTGCAGGCCGCTACAGAGGCATTGTATCTGCAGACGACCTCCAGTCTTCCCTCTACCTCTGGCGCGACATGGAACAACGCGCCAATCTCAAAGGCAGCACCGTAACCTTCAACGTCCTCTTCGACATCGCTGTCAAGGCCGGCAAGTTCACGCTCGCTGAGCTCTTCCTGAAAGAGATGAAGGCCCGACGTCTAAAATTCCACCGCCATTTCCGCGTATCGCTGATATACTACCACGGCGTGATGCAGAATGGGAGCGGCGTCAGGCGCGTGTACCAAGAGATGGTCCAACAGCGCGACATCGTCGACGTCGTCGTCATGAACGCCGTCATTGCCGCCCTGATCCGCGCCGGCGAGCCCTCTGCCGCAGAGCACGTCTTCGAGCGCATGAAACGGCTCGCGGCGGCTGCCAGCAACGGCAGCCTCTCCTATACCATCCCGGGCGGCCCTACCATGACCAAGTCCGACCGCTCCTGGCGCGGCAAGCGCAAGCTTGGGCTGCAACTCACCTACAATGGACGCAATCTGGCTCGCGAGCAGGACCCGCAGGGCCTGAAAAACCTTCAAGACTGGGCGCCCATCGCCCCCAACTCGCGCACCTACAGCCTCCTCATTCGGCACGAAGCCACCTCGACAGGCAACATCGACCGCGTCAACGAGCTGCTCCGCGAAATGGGCTACAATGGCGTCCCCCTCGAGGGCTCCATCTTCATCGTCGTCTTCCACGGCTTCGCGCAATTCGGCGGCGTGCGTTACTCCTCCTGGACCCGTGCCAAGCTCGAGCAGACCTGGACCGAGTACCTGCAAGCTGTCGACGACAGGCTGGACCGCACGTGGATCAGTACGACGAGCGTCGTCGCGGCCCTCAAAGCGTTTCGCAAGTGCGCCGATGTGGAAAGGATGCTCGAGGTGTGGAAGGAGGTTAGGGAGATATGGCTGCCGAGTGCGGAGGAGAAGGAGAGTGTGCATACGGTGCTGCGGAAGTTGGTGCGGTCGAAGGCGTCCTTTGATGGGAGCAGGGACCATGTATGATAGATTCTGGCGATGTGCTGTACGTGTAGACTTGGATTGTATCTGTATATACGAGAGTGTGTAAGAGCCCACATAATGCTGGCGTTTGAAATGTACCATGAGGTTTGACGTGTCATAATGATGGGTATTGGAAGAAATGGGGGTGAGGCGACAGTCGTAATGATTTTACATGCGCAGGGGTTCCAAGGTGACGCCATGAAGCAGGTCACGTTCGCTTTCTCGGGCATTCCAAGAATCTCGACTTCATGGATGATCAGGTGGCAGGCATGCGTGTGCGCCGGTTGTAGATACGAGCACCCTGAGATCTAGAGGGCATCATTCCCTGCCCCGTTCTCCGCGACCCAGTACAGCGTCTCCCCCAGCCTTGCGCCGAACGGCGTCGATTCGCCATTCTTTTCGTGCTCTTTTCGACACTTGTCCATCGTTCTCATAATGTCTCTTTTCTGCTCCTCTTCTACAAGCCCACTGGCCAGCATCATCCGCACGAATGTCCACGGCGACTCGTTCGTCAGCCTTACATTCACCCCATAGGTGACCATCTCTTGCACAACACGCCCCCTCTCGTCCGATGACCTCGTGAGGCTGAGCACCCACATCAAGAACGAGAATCCCGAAATGTCGCTCACGTGCAGCATGCACCACGACTTTACCTTTTGTGCGCAGTCGGTGAGGAAAGACTCCCACTCCGAGCTACCTGCAGGTTGCGAATCTCCCCTCTTCAAGACCACGCGCCGTGCATACTGCCACGCATAGTAGTTCTTCGGATGCCGCTCCCCGCCCTTAATAGCGGCGTTCAGCTCTTCCATGAAGAAGGCTGGGATATCGTACTCGATAGCAAGGAGAGCCGGCAGGATCAGGTCCAACCACCAGGCCCGGTGTCCCCAAAGCGTGGGCGACTTGGACTGGCGGTGCAGCGGGGACGTGAGTATGCTGTTCATGAAGCAACCCTCCGCCCCCATGGCCTTGACGAAAGCCTCGTCGTCGCCGCATGCTTCCAGGCGGAGGAGATGCCGCTTTCGATGGTTGGCAGCGGTCAGATGCTCCGGGTCAAACAGCAGCATCACACGCGTCGCTTCGTGTGCCAGTCTCTGCTCTTCTTCGACATCAGATCTGTAATGCGCGAAGAACAGATGGCGCGCGTGCACGAAGGCCAGGGCGAGGATCTTCTTTGGCACGCCGAGGTTTACGCCATCTTCAAGGATGAGGGCGTCGGTGGTCTCCAAAGCTGGTGGGAGGACCTCGATTTCCAGCGTGCGGTTGGCGTGGGTTGTAAAGTAGGTGTTTAGGGCGTCGTAGGCGGCGACTTGCAGCTGGGCATGCTGCGTGGGCCGAGGGGACATTGTGGCATTTTGCTTCTTTTTCTATCCCGTGGCCTAGACTACCTCTTTTTCTAAGTAGGAATTGTGTGAAGTCCGTCCCATGTTTGCTCGATGGATGGAGAACGTCGCAGTCACGAGGGGTACGTGGAGTACAGCTACCGCACGGACCCGCAACCACCAACCCGGCAGAAATTCAACATGACGCGCCGCCGCCTACCCTACCTCAGCGTACCCATCAAGCCTGCGCTCGACACCGGCGAACAGCGCTCCACCACCCACCATGCCGTCTCTCCTCCTGGTCATGTTCGTCCTGCAGACGGTGCTGCACATCATCAACACCGTGGGCGCCAGCACGATCAACGAGCTGGTACGTGGTGCCCCGCTATGCACATGTGGCAGGACAGTTGCTAACAAGCACACAGCTATGGGTTCTCTACAACAAGCTGCCTACCCCGACCTCCTCCTCCGCACAGCGCGTGCAGATCCTCAAGCGCGAAATTGTCCGTCTGAAGCGCGAGCTAGCTGCTACGTCGCCGCAGGACAACTTCTCGGGCTGGGCGAAGCTAGACCGCCAACACAACAAGGCCACGGCCGAGTACCAGAAACTGGGCATGTCTCTCTCTCTGCCACCATCTACATTTCCCGGCTAACACGATATCCCAGACGCCTCCCTCCGCACGCACCAGACCACCTTCACCAGCACCGTGTCGACCCTCCGCTGGCTCGGCACACAGGGCGCGCGCTTCCTGCTGCAGATGTACTTTGCGAAGTCGCCCATGTTCTGGGTACCGGCGGGATGGGTGCCGTACTATGTTGAATGGATTCTGTCGTTCCCGCGGGCGCCGCTGGGCAGCGTGAGCATCAACGTGTGGGGCATCGCGTGCGCGAGCATGCTGGCGCTGGTGTCGGAGGCGGTCGCGGCGAGTTATGTGCTTGCGACGAAGAAGGCGGTGCCGGTGGGAGAGAAGAAGGGGGAGCCGATGGCGTTCGAAGCACAGCCAAAAGGCGGCGCCGGGAAGGGTGCGGCGAGGGAGAAGGAGCTGTAAGATGGTTCAGTTCACGCGCGTAGACACAGACATGGCGTCTATCACGCACGACATGCATATGCATCTCTCTGCATCACTCGCCGCATCGTAAGAAACGTGACTGCACCCGCTTCCCCCCATCTCTCGGCGATCTCAGCCACGACTCATCCTCACTCATGACACTTCACTCACACTTCACTTTGCATGATACGGTATGTTTCCCAAGCAATAGACGCAGAACCGTCCTGGGCGCCACGCTTTCGCGCGACCCTCAGATCCTGCAACACGAGTGGGATGGACCTTGGCAGGTCGTGTGCTTCATTCTGGGCCACCAATTTGAACTCGTGATTGTGTGGAAGCGAAATCGCCGAGTCTTCGAATGGGCCTGTCCTCGTTCCTTTTCTCCGTCCGTCTGTCCGTTCACATGTCCAAGACGTCTGCGATGTCTACTATGCAGCAGGGATAGGCAGCTTTCATTGTGCTGCGCGGGGGCGTGGCGGTTGTGCGCACGGCGAGAGCAGAGGTTGTTTTGACGATGGGGAACGGACGCGGGAGAGAAAAGTCATTGGGTGCCAAGGAGGACCGGGCCGTCTTTGCTTCCGGGAGGGTCACGTGCGCGAGCGTCTTTGGGTGCCGAGTAGTTTCTTGATTGGTGCAGCGTTATCGAGGCTTGAAAGATTGCGGATCTGGTTTCTGTGCGTTGACTTTGCAACACTGAATCCTGATGGTTCGAGAGGCTGGAGGATATGTATTGAATGGGGTGGTAGAAATAGAAGCTCTGCCTTGTTGATATAGCAGTGATAAAAGAAGTCAATATCAACATGACTTCTTCTTCTATCACTGCTATATCAACAGTCGAGATCGCTGTTGATTGCGAGCTGGTTCTGGTATAAAGATGCGCCGCAACCACTCTAGGCTAGTTGCCTTAGATATCCATCCATTTTCTGAGGTCGTCTATAGCCAATCGGGTATGTTATAATCAAACCGTGTTGTTTGTAGGTGTTGACCTTTGAAGGTGACAAAGCATATCCTCTCGCCGTAACTATGCGTTTGGAAGATGTGAGTGATAACCATGTAGCCCAATTGTAAGCCAAGACAATCCACTCAACACCGAGGCGATTGCAGGTTCTCCGCACTTCTAACAACAGAACAGAGGTACACGGTAAGTTGCGGAGAACATCTTCTCGTTGATGGAGTATATATAAACTCAGTGATAGCCCAAAAGGCACATCTGGTATCGTGATGTTGTCTCCTTCTCCTGTTCCAACTCAATCATCCTCTTCATCCACCTCCAATCCCACATCGCCTTGGCAAGCCACCCTCTACGAAGCGAGCATAAAAGCTTAGCACAGCACGCGTCCATCCACATTCATCTACAAAGTCTGCTTGCCCTGCGTCTCGATCGGCAAGAATATCATGCTCACGAACGCGGCCAAGATCAATCCGCCCGACGCATAGATCGGCGCCTTCGGGTTCGCACTGCCGGCATTGACAGCCACAATCGGCGCGCAAAGACCAGCGAGGCGGTTCAGCGTGCTCGCGATGCCCGAGCCCGTCCCGCGGTTCGGCGCAGGGATTACCTCCGGCGTGTAGGCGAAGAGCACACCGTACATGATCTGCTGGAAGCAAGCCTCCAGACACGAGAACGCGAGCTGGAAGTCCGGATCACCAGAGATGGTAAAGAGGAATACAAAGACACCAGTAAGTGCAGTGCCAACGATCATGGTCTTCTTGCGGCCGAGGAACGGGATGTTGACGAGGTAGTATGCGAGGAAGGAGCCGGGGACGCCGCAGATGGAGGTGATGGCGTAGTTGCGGTAGGTGACGGAGACAGCGGTAGGCTGCTCGCTGCCGGAGTTGGCGAGGTACTGCGGGAGGAAAGCGTTGAAGAGCGGGTAGCCCATGCCGATGGTGGTCCACTGGAACCAGAGGAGCACCATGGTGAGGCCGATTTTCTTGTCCTTGAAGAGGGGGCTGACGCGCTGGGTGGAGAACTTGCCCATGGAGTTCTTGACGATTTGGATGGTGCTGAGTTTCGTGGTTGCGACTTCGGCGTCGACTCCGCCGACTTGGTCGAGGATGTCTTCCGTGAGCCAAGTCTTGGTCTTGTTGAAGTAGGCCATGCCGTGGACAACGGCTACAGCCTCACGTTGCTTTCCGCGAGAAAGCAGATACTTAGGCGATTCGAAGAGGTGGAAGAGGAAGAAGCGGCACAGGAACATGATGAAGGTGATGGCGCCAAGGGTAAGGACGAGATAGCGCCAACCCCAGTTTTGGTCCTTCGTGCAGGAATTTGCATCAGCCGGGCATGAAAAGTTTGGGATGAAAGACCAAGCTAAGAGAGACGCAATGAGCTGGCCGAACGACCAGAAAGTGGAAAGCAGTGTGAGCAGGTTGTTGTTGGCGCCGGGGAGGAACTCCAGGAACAAGGCTCCGTCAACGGGAAGGTTGCCACCAACTCCAAGACCCAAACAGGCATACAGTGCGCAAACTCCATACCAGTTAGGGCCACCGCCAGCAGCGAGACCGAAGATGCCTGCAAACATCAAAGTGAAGTTAAAGGCCAGGCGACGACCAATGACATCGGACGCAACTCCCCAGAAGCTTGCTCCGATGCAGAGACCCAAGAAAAGAGCCAGGGTCGTGTAACGAACTTCGTTCTCACTGACACCAAATTCAGCAGAAAGAGACGGGAGGGTCAGAGCAACACCTTGGAGCCAAAGACTGAGGCTTATTAGCACACAGGACGAGAGGGGGCATAAGTCAGTAGACTCACTTGTCTGCCATCCAGCCGCAGCCGCATAGGACGAAAAGCTGCCACTGATATCTTCCCATGCCCATGTCGGCGATTGCCCGGTTGATGACCTTGGCCTTCTCTACGAAAGAAGTCAACATCTAGAACGAGATTCCTACCACGACCGGTCACAAAACTTACTATCATAAATCGACTGGCTATCATTGGCGCCAACGTCGAGGCCGACTTCTTCGCGCAATTCGGCGACGGTGAGTCCTCGAGTAGTGCCAGCGCGAATGCTGGCACCGCCGCTGTGGGAGTCACTTTCTTTACCTGATTCGGCATCTTTCTCCGCATCGGCGTGCGGGTGCGGTTTGTGACGTGCATCTACTACTGAACCTGCATCTGCGAGGTCGATGTGAGTGTCTGGGAACTCGGAAAGATCGTGCTGCTTGAACGGGTTCAAGAAGAACATATTGGCGCGAAGGAGATTGTCGCTAGACGGTATATCTGTGGCATATACCGGGGCTCGGCAGATTTGTTGCAGTGGGGGATTGCTGCTAGGGACGTCGAGCCTTCGAGGGCAATTGTTGCTTGGAGGTTTGCTAGAATGTCGCTTGGGTATCGAACCTTCACTGGGTCACTGCAAAAAGATGCGTGTGAAGATGTGAGGCTTGGTGAAGCTTGGTATAGCTTGTATTTGGTTGAGGTATCGGCACGCACAATTGAATGTGCAATGCTGTTGTTGAGATGCCCGAAACGTGCGCAAGTCGGTTAGAATGGGGGATGCCAGGCTATTGATATAGTCCCCAGACAAGTAGCTAGGCGGTGGGTAGCAATCACAGACATGTCGAATTAATGGGGTTTGCTGCACAGTGCTGGAAGGAGTATAGTGTGCTACGGTATGGCAGGCCTTGCCAAGCCGTTGCATGACGGAGATCGCCCACACCGGTGGGCAAAGCCTTCGATGCAAGTGCGCGGTAGACCAGCGCGGGTTGCCGGCAGCGGGATCCTGCGTTTTGCTGCAGTTCCCATTCGCCAGGGGGATTTGTTACGATCCTGAGTGTGGCGGCGTGGGAGCATTTTGTGTGCATTAAGCTCTTTTCGGCGCAGCTTCTTTCGGCAGAGCTACCAACGGGTACTGACGTTAAGGATAGGAAATATGAAATTGAACAGTGACGACTTTGCTGTCCGGGAAGCTTTGCCGGCCTACGTTCGAGATGGATGGTTTGCCGCTAGCTGCTCACGCTCGCAAGTCACGTAAAAATTTGCGAGGGCAAGTTCCCACCAGCCTACAGTCCCACCCATTACGTTTCGGACGCCAATGAGCGGGTGGCTGGATCAACAATCGGCTGTGGCGCGAGGCTCCCGTTGATGCCACTGTCGAATCCTGGTATGCGCCGCAACTGATCTCTTCAACAGGACCCTCTTGGATTGAAGCGGGGTGCGCAAACGTGCAAAAGATGGACGTCAAAGGGGAGAGCAAAACATTGCTGTAGGCCGAAAATCCGACCCATGCCTGTAAGTATTGAAGGATCTCGTCATACCTACCGCGACCTTGTGTATGCTGCTTCGCCCCTCGCCGAGTCACGAACCTCCGCTGCAACGGCAGGGGCGATTCAGGCTTTCGCTGTTGTCCGACGGGTACCAGCGGCTTGATGCTACTAGTATCCTAGATGCACACGACACCGTAACTATTCCTTGCAAGTCAAAGTGGACCATGGCAACATCGTCCGATATTCGATAGCCGGGCCCAATCTCACGCAACGCCATACATAGTCCACTCTCAAAGTTCGCTATTATCACCGATTGGACCTCGACACCAGGCGGGCCTTGATGCTTCATCTCCCAGTAAGATTACGTCTGTGGCGCCTGCTGCAAACCACAGTGACACCGAGCTGTCTCCTGACAGGGCGGTAGGATTACGGCATCGAAAATACAAACGGTGAACGTGAGTGCACGTGTCGAGTATCCGAGTCTGCAGTATGTACACACATACACATGGCACAGTAGATGTGTAGACTATAATGAGTCCTGCTTCACCTGTCTAGATTTGTGGGCTGCTGCACCCCAGAACACTGAACAAACGACCTAGGCCGGACCTCAAGACTGTTCTTTGAAGACTCCTTCGCCCGCGACCGAGCACAAGGCGAGTATGAAACACTTGTGTAATCTCAAGTTTCGCTCGTGAATCCCCAAGCCAGCTGATACAGGAGCGCTCGCGGCACCCTCCGAAAGAGCAGGTCTGTGGAATGACGTCATTGGTTCCGACGCCAGCATATCAAGCAGCTCCTAACCCACAGCATCGCAAGCTAGTTGTCCACAACGTAAGAACCTTTGACCGCGCGCAAAATAAGCCTGGATTACACAGCGAGCTTCTGGCCAATCGCGGTTTCCCTGTCCCCACCGCCGCGTTCTCCTCAGCCCGAACACGCGAGCATGACTCACAACGTGGCACAACCCCTCGCGTTCCCCTCACTCCCCACGATCCAAATGCACCTCAACCTATCTACTTGACCATCTTCCCTAGCTTACTTCCCTGGCTTACTTCCCCGGTTTATATTGTCATTTGCGCAACATTACATAATACACTCAATTAAAACAACCGGCTTCATGGTCTAGTGGTGTAAGTAGCAGCCCATCCGCTGCTACAGGATGTAGACTAATGTGCTTTCAGATGATTCCTGCTTTGGGTTACTACTTAAAGTGCAGGAGGCCCCGCGTTCGAATCGCGGTGGAGCCCGTCTCTTTTTCCTCACGCCAGAGCCTACGAATTGGATTCACTCAGGTATGGCGTGCCTTTTTTTGTCGCTATGTGCTGGAGGTGGGCAATGGTTGGCTGTAGGTAACCCATGTATCAGACACTGAACGCTGCACTCAATCACCACCTTTTTGGCCTCTACGAATAGAGATTCCCGGGCAACTTGTCCCATTGGATGGACGCGGACTCCACTTCAGCATACTATGCGGACTAGCTTACTTGCTCCCACACAGAGGAGTTATATATTCCTTGCCACACTAAATAGTCAACCCGTTACCTCCCAAAGGATCGGGGGATTGGCGCAATGGTAAGACCGACCGATTGTATAACCATCTCCGACACACATACTTACAGCAAACCAGGTAGCGCGTTAGTTTTCGGTCCTTCTGAAATACACTAAAGGTTGTGGGTTCGAGCCCCATGTCCCTCGCTTTTTGTTCCTGCCTTGTCTCCTCAGATCAACTCGTATGCTGTTCTTTTTGCACGTACCCTCCAGCTCCGACATCGCCAATCCTACCGCCTCGCCCAGACAACCCAGGCTCAGCCCTCGCCCTCGTGCTCTTGCTCTAGATGTTTAACCCTTCCAGTTATATCAAAAACAAAGAGACCATATGTCTCGCTTTTTGTTCCCACTCCTTCGACCCAATCCCCTCTTATACACTTCCATTTCTGCCACCATCTACCCTCCCTCTATCTTTCTTTGCTGCTGCTGCTGCTGCTGCTGCTACTGCCTTCATCTCCATCTTGACCTTCCCTACCACCCCTTTCGTTTCCCTCTGGTTCACTTATCCCTCCCTCTCCAAGTCACACATCCCCACCCAATCCTATTTCAACCATTGCCCAAAGAACCCCGCAAGCTTCGGCCCACTCTCACTCAACTCGTCATACAAATCAACGTGCCCCCTCCCCTCCACAATAAACAACTCCTTTGGTTCCCCCGCCCTTTGCACAGCCCTCTCACTAAAGTACTTCGTATCCGCTTCTCCGCCCACAACCATCAGCAGCGGCCGCGGCGAGATCATGTCGACAAACTGGAAACTATCATAATTCGCGCACAGATCCATACTCCGCGCAACCCACGTCCCCGTGCTCCGCGGATGTGCGCCTCGTGCCGTGCGGTAGTAGTCCCAGCCGTCACTGAGCAATTGCGGCGCATCTGCGGGAATAGCGCTGCGCTCCTTCGGCAAGAACTCCATTATGCGTGCTTCGCCGTCGGCAGCTTCGAGACTGCGCAGGGCGTTTGCGCCGGCGAGCTGCTCAGTGAGTTGGGCGCGTGTGATTGCGCCTTTGGGCTGCAGCCCGTCGCGCAGGACGCTGCCCATGCAGGCTGCGCTCACTGTGGCCACGGCCCGAATCCGCGTGTCTGTCTGCGCGGCGAAGGGGACGTACCCGCCCGACGCGCAGATGCCCAGTGCGCCAATGCGCTTGGGGTCGATGGAATCCAGGGTAGTTAGGTACGACACTGCGGCGCGGACATCTTCAGCGCGCTGGAAGGGGTTCTCGAGGCCGTGCGGGGATCCGCCGGATTCGCCTTGGTAGGCGGCGTCGAAGGTGAGGGCGTGGAAGCCTGCCGCGGAGAGGTGGCGGGCGTAGGTAGCAGCGGTTTGTTCTTTTACGGCAAAGGCAGGATGACCGATGACAATGGCGGCGGTGTTGCGAGATGTTGGGGTGCCTGGAGAGGGGGCGTAGAGTTCGCCAACTAGGGTGATCCCGTGGGACAGGAAGGTCACTTTTTGGGGTTGTTGGGTAGCCATGGTAATGCGGTATCTCTATATGTTGGAGGTATCTGCATAGTAGGTACCGTTGACGATGAGTTATTTATGTCGTGGTGTATACGGGCACCGATGGACTTAAGTGGTATTGCCGTAAGTCTTTCTGCGTTAACCCCTTCACGGACGACTATTGAGTCATATATCTCTCCTTTTTCCTATCTCTACGTCCGTGAAAAGAAGAGTTACTGGGGATAGCCGAGTCCGTCCTTGCTTTGAAAGGGGAAAGTTCATCGGGCTCATCCGAAACCGGTCCGACGCTAGTTGTCATTGGTCGCACCGTTGGGACATGAGTGTGTCGCATCTTGAGGGAACGATCAGCCATATGGCTGAGCACGTGGCCAAACCAAATTGAGGGTATCATGAGCGCACTGGCGAGTAAAATAGGATGCATTTTTCGCAAGGATCTGTATGTACATGCAGATATATGGGCCAGGATTTAGACGTCATGGGTACAATGATCATCACATTAGACATCTAAGGCGAGACCCCGTCATCATTCGCAGCGATAATTTTTCCAGTCATTGACGTTTTCGCCGACCAAATGTGCCGTCTGAGGCCAAGGGCAGAGCTTCCTCGTTCGATTGCTCTTGTCTGGAGGGTCTGACGAGAGAAGCTGCGCTGGCGGTGTGCCGGCCTCGACCCACTCGATGAGAGGACCAAGATAATGATACTCTGCCGGGACTTCCGGTGAGTACTGCGCTGCACCGCAATGACCTCCTCCGGGGATCATGAACAAACGATAAAAATCGCTGATGTCACCGCCCAGAAGAGCTTGAATGTCCTCTAGGTGAGATACGGGCAGCTCGCCGGCATTGTACGAATCGCTCCAGCCTTGTGAGGTTAGGAATTTGCCGCCCGTTCGTCGGTAGGATGTGAGATTCGCGCTGATCTCATCTATCAAGACTGAAGCGCGGGAACCGACGAGGTCGACGTCTGTAGACCAGTCGAAAGTTGAAGGATCCCAATTGAGATCATCGAAAACCATGTTTCGCAACACCGGCACGGCGTATTCGTTTCCTAGGGAACCCTCTTGCAGTAGCCATTCCCGCTCACTGCCGAAGCTAAAGCCGGGGTAGAGAATTTCTCCGTTGTCAGCTCGCCGCGGCCCTGCATAAATGCCTTTTGCGGCTTCGATCTGATCAGGCGAGAGGCATCGATCAGGTTCCGAGGAGCCTCCACAGACTAACGAATCAATGTCGAAATTGCACAGCAGGGGGTTTTCGATGAGCCCATCTTGAACACCGTCCAATGTATCACAGGTGTCCAGAACTGCCTGAGCGGTGAAGTTCAGTTGCGCTTGACTAAGTTTGGTCGCCGACGACTGTTCTATTATCAGCCCCGGACGTTTTCTCAGGGATGTACCACCTACATTGGTCTTCTGTAGGTTCCACAAGAATGAAAGCATCAGGTGGCTGTACCAGAATCCGGGGGATCCAGCGTAGATGCCGTCGAACAAGTGGGGATGATATTGCGCCAAAGCATATCCCTGAGCTCCGCCTGTAGAGCATCCGGCATAGTAGGATTTCTTTGCTGCTTTCCCATAATAAGCCAAGACTACTTCTTTTGCAGCGCTAGTGAAGAGACTAATTCCATCATGAATCCAAGCACGAATTTGGCCAGGGTCGTGCATGAAGGGCAGAAAACCGTCTCCAGTGTTCCCTGTGGCTTCGTGACCGCCGTTTCCTCCAGCCACGACGAGCCCCAGGCCAGCATTGAGTTGCTTCAGCATGGATACCGTGTCGATGGTTCCTGCGAAGCCGCCGTTACCGACGGCTAAGAAACGTTGCTGGTAATCGCACTCATCTGGTAGCCATACGACGAATGAAAGCGAATTGTTCTTCCCATACGGTACCTGGGCCTGTACTTCACAGAAGGGGATGTCGTTGAACGTCTCGGAAACATTGAAGGCATTGGCGGCATGGTACGTTGCGTTGACGATGGAAGCGTTGAACTGCTCGAGGGACAGGGATCTTAATTTGGCACAGTGTGAGGAAATATGTGCGGGAGCGGCAACTGCTACGGCAGCCTGGACCAGCAAGAACGTTGCAAGGCGACAGAGGCGAGCCATGGTAGCGTGAGTCCTTGAAGGCCTTGCGTCGGAGTCGGCCACAGGCCCAGTGCCGAATATGTAGATTTTCCCCCACTGCCAGCGTCGGCATGATGCTGGCTGAACATTTCCCCATCATGCTCTTTCCCCGACATTTTTGTCCGTCTAGCAGGCTTCGTGCGGGGATCCCTGCAGATCAGAGGTGGTCGACGTCAGTAGTGCAATGTTGACCAGCCCGAAGCGGCAATGCGAAGGCAATGGGTCTCAGGCCCGCGTTCGGAGCCACCTCGACACAGCAAGGCGTGGATGGGGATCGTGACGGTCAATGTGGACGTCACCGCGGGCGAGTCGTTGAGCGAGAGCGAAATCGAGGGCACGAGTCATGGCAGATGATCCTGAACCGCCCTCAGCGACTCTCGTCTCCGTCGCCAACAGACGGTTCATGGTCGTTGAAGATAACGAGTTCAGTGTTGCGCAACATTGCTGCGGACGTCATCTGTACCGCTACTCGGCGCCGTCGCAGGCGTAGTAGTGCCAAGGTGCACTCGGGGTACCAAGGCACATGTTGTGTACAGTGGTGCGAGGTCGGTGCTGGGAACGAGCAGAGATGCAGTCCAGATGAGACACGGGACATGCATGCGTGGGTGTTCAAAGAAGTCGCTGGAGGCTGAGGAGGCCCTCGGCGTGGGGGTACCTTCGGCTGCGGCGAACACCCTGGCCCTTTCCGGTTGTAGCTAGCGAGAACGGGGATGCTCTTTCTGAATTCACGGCCGCAGTTGCTGACAGCTGGAGCCTCCGACACACGACCTCTGGACTCTCCTCGCCCCTCCTTACGATGCCACGATGAGCGAGTCGCAGAAGCTCCTGTACGAGCACCACGACGATTCCGACTCAGACCCCAGCCACGACATACAGCCCTTCCCACAACGCCGCCGCCCGTCGCCCGCCAGCGTATCGCGGTCGCGCTCACGCCAGTCGTCGGCTTCGCCCGCGCCTGGCGCTGAACCCAATGGCCGCTTCGGCCCGCCCAAGCGGCAGTCATCCTTTGCGCAGCCCCGGCCAGACGGCGCGCCGCGGACGCCCAACCGGGTGCGCTTTGAGGAGCCGCGCCGGAGCATGAATGGGGATGCACCGGGCGGGGACTGGGTGGAGCTGGAGGGCGACGACTACCTCGAGGCGGGGCACCAGGGGCGGGAACGGACACAGCGCTTGCCATTGCTCACAGGCATCGAGGCCCCGAGCGTGACGGTCGCGTCCGAGGCATTCAACCCGGAAGACCACCTGGAGAGCGCACGCCCGAGAAGTAACATGCGGAGCGCCTTCATGAACATGGCAAACAGTATAATGTGAGTGCAACAGTCTGGCGACGCGCACTGCAAAGAGCTGCGGCTCGGATGGGCGCTGACAAGACGCAGAGGCGCAGGCATCATCGGCCAGCCCTATGCTTTCCACAACGCGGGCCTCCTCACGGGCACCCTCCTGCTCATCGGTCTCACCATTACCGTCGACTGGACCATACAGCTTATAGTCATCAACTCGAAGCTCAGCGGCACCGACTCCTTCCAGGCCACCGTCGAACACTGCTTTGGGAAGTCGGGGCTCGTGGCCATCTCGTTGGCGCAATGGATATTGTACGTGCGTCGGAATATTCCACGTGAGGTGGATGCTGACTCTACAGTGCGTTTGGTGGCATGATGGCCTTTTGCGTCATTGTAGGAGACACGATACCAAAGGTGCTGGACGCTTTGTTTCCTTCCTTGTCCGACACGTCCTTTCTGTGGCTCCTCACCAACCGTCGAGCCATCATTATTCTCTTGGTGCTTGGCATTTCGTATCCTCTGTCCCTCTACCGGGACATTGCAAAGGCAAGTTCGCCGTAGTCCAGCGTGACTTTGGAGACTAATAGCCTCCAGCTCGCAAAAGCCAGTGGTCTTGCCATGGTCAGCATGGCCATCATCATCGTCACCGTAATCACGCAGTCTTTCCGCGTCCCTCCCGAGTCCCGCGGCAAAATAGAAGGCTCCGTCGTAATTCGTCCAGGCATCTTCGAAGCGGTAGGCGTGATATCCTTTGCCTTTGTCTGCCACCACAACTCCCTCCTCATATACGGCTCCCTGCGCACACCCACCATCGACCGCTTCGCCCGTGTTACGCACTACAGTACTGGTATCTCTCTCATTGCATGCCTCGTCATGGCGTACTTTGGCTACCTCACCTTCGGCGACAAAACCCAAGGCAACGTTCTCAACAACTTTCCCAACGACAATGTCTTCGTTAATATCGCGCGCTTCTGCTTCGGACTGAACATGTTGACCACGCTTCCGCTCGAGGCTTTTGTCTGCCGGGAGGTTATGAACAACTACTGGTTTCCTGACGAGCCGTACCAACCAAACCGCCACATGATTTTCACTACTTCGCTTGTCGTGTCTGCCATGACGCTTTCTCTTCTCACTTGCGACTTGGGCGTCATTTTTGAACTTTTCGGTGCCACCTCTGCGTGTGCTCTAGCGTACATACTGCCGCCGCTTTGCTATATCAAGCTGAGTAAGAAGCGCACCTCGCAGACTTACCTGGCCATGGCGGTTATGGCGTTTGGTTGCGCTGTTATGGCCATTTCTTTGGTGAAAACGATGGGGAAGATGTCGAGCGGCACGGAAAGCCAGGCGCAGTGTTCGTAGATTTGACATCGTCGTCTTCTTGTCTGTTGCATACATCGGCGCTTTGGGAACGATACAGGGCATTGGACGTGTTGGCATATTCATACATTGGAGTTCAGCGGGTATTGTATCATATGGGGGACATGCTGTAGTATATACGATAACTTTAGTGACTGAGTGTTCTCCGTGAGCGATGCGCGCATGTTGGTCATTTGTCTCACTGCGATGGCAAAGGTCCCTCCGAGAACCTTCATTGTTGCAGGTCTTTTGACTTCCAGCGGCAGAGTCGGAACACCAAGAACCTCCGCTCGGAACTCGGCGCGGTACCCTGCGCCAGAGGTGCAAATAAGCTACACTAGCTCTTGCCCAGTTCCTGGATCGCTGGACCCATTCTTACAACTGACCCACATCGCCTCGCATCTCGATATCACGTTTACACAATGTATTATTTAACCCAACTTTTCGAGATGGGTTATTCGCACAATAAAACGATGCTCCAGCCGTGCGACAATGACCTCACACCCGCCCGTGATACGCGCTGATCCTGACGTCACACTCGGACCCCACGACCCTGAACCTGCTTTGGCCAGCGCATCACAGGCGTCATGCCCATCACCGACTCCTTATTCGCATATATATTTGAATGCGGAACCGTTGAAGTCCATCTCCAACAAGACCAATCGAACTCCACAATCGGTCCACTTGATCCACAGCTTCTAGCACCCCTACACTACACACGTCAAGTTCTACTACAGCAACAATGCCTCTCTTCGGATCCCGCCGTGAGCCTTCCCCGGCGCCTGCCCCAGTGCAGACCCGCTCCTCAGGCTTGTTCTCCTCCCACAAAACCACCTCTCCGCCACCCACGACCACCTCGCCCACAACCCGCTCCGGCCTGTTCTCCCGGCGCCGCTCCTCGTCGCCCTCCCTCCACAACACCCACACCTCGTCAACTTCCCCCCACAAACGCCACTCCCTCCTCCACAAGACCGGCTCTGAGGACGCTAGCATTGTCTCCGCCCGCGAGCGCGTTATGAGCGCCGAGGCCGCGGAACGGGAAGCCGATCGCGCCTTGTTTGCGGCAAAGGCGGCGGTTAGGGAGGCGAGAGAGCACGTCAAGGCGCTGGAGAGGGAGGCGGCTGAGCAGGCGCGGTTGGCGAAGGCGAAGCAGGCTGCGGCGAAGGGACTGGGGAAGAGGGGGAAGGCGTTGGGTCGTAAGTAGTCACTGATTGCGACATTGATCGGACAGGGGCTAACGTGTGAACAGGTCACGATCACATTTAGGAGATGTAGAGGGCTTGACGGCTTGCGCGCAGGCGATGCAGGTATTCTAGGGGGGAGGCTTACGATCTGATTTGATAACGATGCTTGTACGATTAGCGTGGTGGTGGTTTCTTTGAGCGAGCGAGCGCGTTATGGTGTTTTCCCCATCTGTCTGATATACTAGCAAATACCCAATTACTTGTTTTGATAAGACAGTTCCCGTCCCCTGGCCAAGCACATTCTACACTGCCGTTCTTCCAGCTGAAGCTCCTTCCCGACTCGGATATTCACTAGACCTCCGCACTCCCCTCCCAAGCACCAGTATGCTCGTACGATTCTGTTGGGAGATAAAGGTGCTGATGTGAGATGTGTTTACATGCATATCATCTTAGAATTACCATGGCACAAATTGTGCAGGAATGTTGTTTTGCTTACCCTATCGTGGATGCTGAGGTCGGGGCTTTTCGTGTAGTTAAGGACCCACGTTGGAGTCAGGCTTGTGAGGGTATAACTAGCCAGATTGGTGTTTCCGGCAAGAGCAAAAGAATCCTGGTGAGTCTGCTCGTGTGATCCTCGGGGCACGGTTTTGGGTACGCATAGTAATTGGGTGTTGGGATTTTCATCTCCATCCCGCCTGGACAACGGACATCTCATTGAAACTAGAGGGTCGCATGAGAGAAAGCAGCACCCTGCGTGTCGACGCGCTGTGACATTGCATACTCGCTGCTAGTGGATCATGGCGATGTGAGCTGCCGACATCTCCATGGCAGACAAGTACTGCTCTATCTCGTCCTCGAAGCCGTGCTCCTGCTCGCGGCTTTCGCGGTCTACCTCATCTTCGCTTTCACGTGGCTGGCATGCGCGGTTGATCCCGACTCCGCTTCATGTGTGTAACTCGTCATCTATTTTACCCCAACGACGATCGAGATTTACCGTCCACAGACCGCAAGCTCCAGCCCCGTGCGGTACAACAAGGCGAGCTTCTTCACCGAGAACATCGATCTGATGCGCGAGACCAACGAGGCGGAGAATGTTCAGATGGGATTTTTGCAGTGTATGTCACTCGTTCTGGTTCAGAGATCACCAGTATGAGCATGCAAGTGACCGAGTAAAGCCAGCCGACGGCGTAGTCTCCGCACCCACAGTATGGGCGATTGACGCAGGCTTCGCTGCCTCGCTGGAGAATCATGAACATCCAGGCGAGAACGTGTATCAGGTGAACATGTACCAGTCGCTTCACTGTCTTGTATGATCCCCGTGTCCCTATTTTCGCCTCCGACACTATCTGTCGGTGATCGTTCCTAAGAGCTAATTCCTCTTGTAATAAGAAACGCAACGCTGGCCTCTTCAGGACCACATCCGCCACCCCCTCGTCGCTAAGGTACCCTTGAGCAAGTGGCTGCGAGATAAGCACGGGCTGCACTGCGCTAATTTCCTCCGGCAGCAGATCATGTGCCACGCGGATGTTAGGCTGGGAGGCACGGATTACGTGCTGCATTATGCATTGAATGACGGCTATCGGTGTAGAGACCATCAATCGGTTGTGGAGTGGACGCGCAGGCCTGAGTGGAAGGGCCATGTTGGGTGGATTGAGAGGATGTATGGATTTACTGCTAGAGCGGGGAGGTAGATGGGCCCACAATGATAGCGAAATTGGGGATGGATGTGGAGACGAGGGTTGTGGAGAAGCATGTCGCGATGAGACATAGTGCAAACAGGCGGAGAGCTGACGATTTCCTGTATCAGTTTCAAACGTGCTGTCAGGCTGTGCGTGCAGATGCATTGGTTTGAGGAGAGGTACGTTGTGAGTAGTGGTGGGCACTCCAGTGCCCGCCCAGGTGGAATGTAGAGAGGGCTGGGAACGCAATTGCAAAGGTCTTGTTCTCAGACTAAGACGGAAAGATGTGCGCGGTATCGCAAGGACTACAGTCCCAACTAAATGGAGACGTCAGAGCGGAATCGAGCAGAAATGTTATGTACGTTTCGTTGAGGTCGAGATGGAGACTGACGTCGCTTGTAGCTCTACACAACACGAAAATGACGCGCTACCGCAAGGTAAGCCGCGCTAGCAACACACTCATTTCTCCTCCACCTCCAGCTGTTAAAATCGAATGATGGTATCGCAGTAAAACTGATTCTATCAGCAATTTTGAGGTCTGTATCTAATTTCATCAAGCTTTATCATACTTGGTCTAGCATGTATGGACAATCTCTGCGTTGCCTGAACCTCTTAGGGGCAAGCCTGAATTGGGTATAGCGTCTGCTGTTGACTGAAGGATTCAGGCAAGACCTAGCAATCCGGCGTTGGATCGCAACGTTCGTATGTCTCTCAAGGATCACTCTCCGGCATAAAGTCCGCATTGTTCCCTTCTCGCTGCAGCTCACTATCCATTCAGCAGCCGACGAGCATACAGCATCATGTCGTCGCAACCCCGTCCCGAACTCCTTGGTCTTGCACCAGAACTAGTCCAGAATGTGATTAAGCAAGTCGGTGACAAAGGAGACTTGACCAACGTGCGACTGTCTTGCAAGACATTGAATAAGCACGCCACGACTGAGCTCTTCAAGGACGTGTTCGTCTCCCCCGAGCATTCGCATATAAGCTCCTGGAACTCCATCAGCCAGCATGACGTTCTCAGGCATGTACCCCGCCACGCAATTATCCATACGCAGCCAGTCATTGAAGACCTTGGCCTCGACACGTTCAGAGAGCGCGAGGAAATTGGCGAGGACTTTGAGGAAGCCCTTGCTGCCTTATCAAGATTCCCAAACCTCGACTCGGTCGAGATCGGCTTTACTCCAGAATGTGTGGGTGCCGACGACCACCTTGACACGGAGTTGGCGGAGAGTAAAACACAGCGCGAAGATATGTTGAAGCTCATCTTTCAGGCCATCAGAGACAGGGCCGAAGACGGGAAGAACAGGAAGATCCGTAAGATGACCATCATCAACTTACAGAACTACCCCCTCCCGAATTTCTCCTCTTCCGATCTCTTCCGCGACGTCATGAGCCAGCTGGAAGAGCTGCATATATCTATGACCCAGGAGTTCAACGAGCATGGACCCGACCACGACTACACCAAAATCGAGCTGCAAACCTTCCCGGCGTACCTCTGCTCCGACTGGCTGGCACCCATCTCCACCCATCTGAAGGCATTGTCTGTTTATCACCAAACGGACAATTGGGGCCCCTTCCCTGGCTACTTTGACCCTAGCGGTATCTCCTTTCCGAAGCTCGAGACACTGGCTCTGGGCTACTACACGCTTGCGCACGACAACGACATCGACTGGATTCTTGCTATCAAATCGTTACGAAAACTCATCCTGCAAAAGTGCATGATTGCCTCCTGGATCAAAATCGATGCCAACAACCTGGCTACGTGGAAGCCCCGGACGCGCGATTGGACCAAGATGCCCGACCAATATGGAGGCAGCTGGTGCGAGGGTTTCGTGTACGATGGGAAGTGGAGCCAGAATCTGGACCGAATTGCGAGCGACTTGCCAAATCTAGTCGACTTCCGATTCGATACTATTTCGGGATGGGGAGACGAGGCTACGTACGGGGTAGAATACCGCGACCGCTGTGGCATTAGGATTTCACCCCAAAGATATGTCAGCTTTGATAATGGGATCTTGCCGACTCACTGGGTTGAGGCGGATGATGCTGGCGAGATAGAGGGCTGGATCGAAGAGCTGGAGGACGACTTGATAACCAACAAGCACGACGATAACTTCGAGGCTGACCAGAAGAGTCTGGATGCGCTGTTGGAAAAGCTGAAGTCAAGGAAGTCAATGGGCCAATCTGGAGCTACCTAGTATCCGATGATGTCTGGTGTATGGTGTTGCAAAAGGCGGATCATTCGACGGATGATTGAATCTTGCTCGGGACCACTGTCTGCAAGAGGAGGTTGTGCGACCGTTCCGTACGGCCTATACTCTGTCATAGGCGATAGATAAGTGCTAACCTCAAAATTTCCCGTCGTTTGTACATCTTGAGATATCTTGCGGCCGCAAAAGACGCTTGATGACGTCGAGAATGAATATTGCACTTATCCAAATGATTTTCGGGGGAGGATGCTCGGACATGTACGCAGCGTTGGGGTAATGCACGCAAGTCTTCTACTATTCGTTGGTTTTACCGAGGCCGAGTCCGCTACCGGTACCGCCTGCTTGATCTCAGCCTCAGGTCTCAAGTTGGCTTCACCCCGCTTTACTCAGCCTCTCTCAGACACCCAGATACACAATTTATTTCTAACTTGTTCGGCCGCAGCCTTGCGAGACCGAAATAGCTCGGCCTCTCCCATAACAACACGTTATCGAATCGCATCATTTTCCACCAAGTGCTACCTTATCGCACAGGCAAAGCAGCCTAAAGAAGCATCAAATCTGAAATTCTTCAAAAGACTACCGAGGTATCATCGTCCACGCCTTGCATTCTGTCGACAGGTGAACCGTCTGAGAATGGATGTTGAAAGCCCAGAATTGCGGGGATACCCCTACAAACCTCTGAAGTCGCTCAGTGATATTCGCGTGATTTCGCTGCTACCGGCGCGAACATACAACACCAGACTGGAAATCCGGCTTACAGACGTTAACCGCTTTGATATACTCCTTGGGAGTGCCGATACTCCTTCTTATGAAGCGGTATCGTACTGTTGGGGCGAGCCAAATCTTTCGCATACATTGGTCTGCGACGGCCAGTGGACTTTGGGTATTACTGCAAACGTCGATACAATGCTACGAACTCTCCGAAAACAGAACAAGACTCGCTATCTTTGGATTGATGCGATTTGTTTGAACCAGAAAGATAATGAGGAGAAACGGGTTCAAGTGGGCCTGATGGGAGACATCTTCTCGGAAGCTGCTAAGGTACATATCTGGCTTGGGGAAGGTGAAGATGATGCAATCAAAAAGATTTTTACAGCTATGAGATATATTGACGCTCGCCGCACTGTAAGACCAGGAGGGATAGGAGACTACAGCGTTTTTGTCCTCAACTCTATGTGCGGCAAGGATAGCGTTCGGATCTTCAACGCCTTCTTCGCACGTCCCTGGTTCACAAGGCGATGGATATTACAGGAAGCGGCCCTTGGTCGTAACAAGACTGTTCGGTGCGGGCGCCACAAAATTAGCTGGAGTACCTTCGTTAACGCAGTACATCGTCTCTCACATTCTAATCCGCCGTTCCCAACACTAAGGATTCGATTTAAGTCAACACTGGATCATATTGGAACATATGATAGTGTCCAAGAGAACGATTTACTTCCTTTTCTGTGGGATTTCGACGAGGCTGATTGCGTGATGCCACACGACCGTATATATGCTCTCTATGGTATGATTAATTTCGAACGGCCATTCTCTCTACCGGAAGTCGACTATTCAAAACCATGGCCCGCGGTCTTCATGGAGATTGCACAAATATATTACCATGATACGTCGCGCTGGAAGATGCATGGGGCTTCCATACTCCAGCATCTAATTTCGTTCGGCTCACTAGCTTCAACAGATCCTGATTTACCATCCTGGGTGCCAAATTGGACCGCAACCCGCACTCGAAGGCACATAATCGACGGACACTTCCTGCGCGGGGACCTCCCAAGCACCGCGAACGCGTTAAACGACCACAATTTTACTGGTGCATTTCCCAAGCCTTTCCACCAAGGTGAGAGATATGTTCAGGTCTCTGCGGCGATGTCTGGAAAGGTGACGAGTCTGATTACGTCGCTCAGAGAGGCAGTCCTAGCAGCCGCCAAAGGACTCACACTCGCCGTACCTGTACATGAGGTTATGATGGATCTTCTACACACCGTGCTCCTTGATGATCGTGATCGTCTACTTCTTCCCCTAGGCTATGATCACGATCGAGTGGATGAAAAGTACATAAGTGCAGAGAAAGTAGACTTTCCACGTGTAGACGACGAAGCTTTCTACAATGCGCTAGTCGAAGTCTATAGCCGAAATCTTGACTCTCTGGAAGGAAGAACTGTTAGTAGCTCAGAGTCGTCCCTTGGATCTGCAAATCTTCCTGGGGGCTCAAGTTTGAATAATAACACGAGAGACTACGACTATTTTCTTCAACACATCGTGCAGCAGGCACTGCACTTACTATTTGCTCACCACAGGATTTGCGTAGTCCATGGTCTAGGAGATGCGTTTTTCGCTGCAGGAACGGTGGGTATTGAAACTGGGGATCTGATAATTCATCCTCCCGCTCTAAGCTGGATCCGACTACCCTCCAAAAGGTTTCTCACGTCTATCAGGCTGGCATTGCGGCGATTATGTCCATCTCAGCACAGAGAATCAATTTACAATTCTACGGATCACAGAATGACCGCAACTGTAGGATACAAGTATATTGGACCCTGCTTCACTTTGGAGGGAGTCCATCCGCTCAATCTAGAAGATTATGTCCTTCTATGAATAGGTTCCCGGGTTGAGTGCGCTATGGCGAAGTGTATTTTTCACATTCATTCGGCAAGCTCGATCAACGTAGTGTGAACGGCTTTTGCAAAGCATCGCTGAGCACCGGTACTAGTTGAAGCCGATTGAAGCATTTGTGAAAGTATGCCGGCTAGAGGATGTTCTATTTTTTTCTTTCATAGAAGTCTATGCAACGACAAAGTCTAATGTTCTTCTCCTCTTCATCAACGAGTATTATTGCCCAAAGTGTCGCCTACGAAACTATTCAAAATTCTATGCCATGCCTGCCTTCGATTCATCCCGGTATTCTACTGAATCGTGTGGTCCGGAGTGGTTGCCGCTTATTCCTCCGAGGAGTGGCTTAAGGCCGGGGAGCGCGACAACAATGATCGAGAGCGCCATTTCGAGCATACTGAGAGGGTCTATGGGAACTTCATGTCAGATTTTTTGTTGTGTTGACAGATCTTGTGGTGCATCGACAACTTACAAACGAGATTCTCTTGCCCGGTGCCCACTTTGAGGGTGACAAAACGCACGATGCTGGACGCGATGGTCAGACCTCCCAACACGAACGTAAGAGTGACGCCTTTCGAAGCCCTGAGAATGCCCTGGGAAAGCAGAATCAGGGGAATGGCGTATACCACAAGGTAGCATGCCAGATTGAGGGTGAAGTTCAGGATGAATGGCTCAGGCGCATAGAAGACAGAGCAAGCGCCGTCTTCCTGGGACCATTGAACTGAGACCGGTGTTCCACAGAAGAAGGTGTCGTCGAAGAGGATGGTCAGGTAGCAGATGATGACGAAGCCAGTGAACCCCCAAAGCATCTTGCGCATCGCAGGCCTAGCGTGGAAGTCGAAGAACGCCCAGTAGAAAGCTAGCATACTGAGTTTAGGGAAGCCCATGCCGAAGTCGTAGAAATAGTTGGACGAGAACGAGATCTGCAAATTGTGAGTGCAAGTCGCATATTTTTGTAAGAGTCTGTCGGGAAATCCTCATCTGGAGAAGTGAAAAAATAGCAGAACTTACTTTGGAAAGTTTGACAGAGGGTACATAATCATCTAGCACACCCATCCGGTAGGTGAGAGTGTCGCATATTATCAGACCCAAAGCATCAATCGCGGAGGCAATCAACAGCCAGTCTGCCCAGTTCAACTTCTCACGGAGCTTGATCAGACGCGTGTAGATGCGCGCGGCAACAAAAGCGTAGGCGAGGATCAACAAAATCCATTCCGAGATCTAATACAACGCATGGTGTTAGGCGGTGAACTTATCGCCACTATACGCATGGGGAATCCACTACCACTTACCATGCAGTCCTTGCCGTCAATGAAGTAAGCCATCTTGACTAAATGATCGGTTTGCAGGAGGAGAAAACGGGAGAAGGAGACACAAAGATTGAGGATGTAACTTCAATGGCTTGCTTTTAACCGGAGTGCGGCCTGCACGACCGTATTGTAGGGACCCTCAGCCTTGCATGCCCTGGCCTGTACGTACTCGACCAAACCGCCATGATAAGTCGTATGAGCGCGGCAACACGCAACCGACCCTGCATGGAACAGGGCTAATCTAGACACACAATGAAATTTTCTTGGGGAACAAGGGAACCTCTTCCCTCGTCCGATAGCCACCAACCGCTTGCACGGGCTGTATATACTGCGTGGACTATACCTTGATGGTTGTTTTATCTTGCAACACACGCGCGGGGACGGCGTTCCAACTAATGATCAGACGCCATAGGCGGCAGGGGAGGTCCACAAGAATGTGGTGTGTTCCAATGCAGACCTTGCTCGGTCGTTTCGACGGGTGAACCACGCCCCTGGACCCTTTGCAATACAAGCGGCAAATATCAATCAACTTGGCATTTATCTTACTGCACTCCGTTTGAATATCGTCTCATTCCTGCAATGCTATGGTGAAGGACGTAAACTAGTTGTGAGTTGTTTGTCGATCCTCGGTGGTCACATTCGAGGGAGAAATCAAGGTGTACAAACTCGCACGAAGCGCAGAACACGAGGACGCCATGCACTGAGTGCGCCCACGCTTACTATTGTATTGGAATGAAGGGCTCAACACGGTTCCTCCGCGGGAGAATAAGCGCGGGACAAACGGGTCGCTTGCCATACCCTGCACATAATCAGAGTGGGACCGAATCGGCGCTATGCCGATCGTGCCGTGCGGCGTAGCGGGACGACTTCCCCCGGACCCGAATGCGCTTGGATCGAGTGATCGTTCCTCGGGCTGTCACTGCCAATTCCTGGGCCTCCGTGCTTCTGGAGAGAGTCTGCGTAGACGCTCAAACACCGCACGTGCAGAGGTGCATGGATAATGAGCTCGTTGTGTGCATCATTCAAACAAGAGAAGGAAATACATCGCGCACTGAAGAAAGTGCCACGGGTATCTGGAGTTCTGCAAACCTTACTCATACAGGCCATTAATTTGAAGAATGTAGTGCCTCGCAAGTCCTCATCCTATTGTCATCCACTCGATGCAGCACTTTAGGGTATCCTGGCCCTCTGGTATCGGGGACCTGCCCCAGATCCATTCTAGGGCCATGACAGATACGCTTTTAATCTGACACCCCGAGGTCCATATCAGACCAACAGTGCGCGCCTCCTGAACCTTCATGGATTTTTTCCTTTAGAGAAGTCCGTCTCATCTAGCGAATTCGAAAATTGTACGCTGACCTGTTTCGTCTCGTAAATGACATCTTTTCTCTGCATTGTATTGAGCTCGACCTCGCTCCCTGAGTCGTCCAAGATATCGTCTATCCGTGCTTTTCTTCTCCCTGAAGTCCCGAAGGTCACGATCGGTGTCTGGACTCCGTATCCTGTTCGTGAAGTCGAAGACCCGTAGGTCTTCTTAGATGAAAATAGGGAGCCGCGGCGGAGGAATGATCGCATCGAAGGGAGAGCTACTACCATGATGGAAACGGACATTTCGGCCATTGAAAGCACATCTGCACAAGTGTCAATGCTGGTCTTTGCGCCGATACTATTCGGTACGATGACTTACAGACGTTCGTCCAAGCCTGGATCACCTCAATGGTTGCGAACCGCACAACGCTGACAGATATGGTTATAACACCAAGCCCAAAAGTTATGACAAGACCCCAGATCTGGCGCCGGCCAAGCTGGAGTTTGTATAGAAGCGGAAAAGGAAGTGTGAAAACTGTAAAGACATCAGTGTGACTCTCAATATGACACCGTGGAGACCCACTCGATAAATCTGACGTGACATTAAGTGCCCAATCCGTCCGGAACACTTCCTTAGAGGCGAAGGTATTGCACGCTTCTTCATCAGTGGACCAGTTCGAAGACACTTGACGACCACACCAGAATGTGTCTAAGAAGCAGGTCGTCACCATGGCTGCTCCTACGAAGGCGCTCACTATATAAAGCGCTTTTCGTAACCAAGGCATGGTAGGTGGAATCAGTCTGTAGTAAAGCGCTACTATCGCTAACTTGGGAAGATATATCCCCGTATCGTAGAAGTAGTTGCCGGCGAATTGCACCTGGAGTATCAGCTGTCAGCACGATTTGCCTAGTTTCCAAGATACAGTATGTCCTACTTTCTTGAGCTTGATCAGGTCGGCTTCTGAGGGCCCAGCGTCAGACATGCCACCCAACTTGTAGGTCATAGTATCGGTTATAAAGAGTGCGAGCATATTGAGGATCGATGCGATCAAGAAGCTGTCGCTGGTGGTCGGATGTATATGTTGTAACACGCGTGGAACAAGGCGTCCTGAGGCCAGCATTATAGCAAGTGCCATGAGGGTGGCCTCGATGGGCTTTATGGTCGAAAGTCAGAACCAAAACCAGCAGCGAAGCTCTTGCGTCTCTCGGATTGAGTACCTACAATTACAGCCTCTGGCGCTGCACCTTGAGCCATTGTGGAGATCAGTCGTGAATACAATGGTCGGCGCAGAACTAGATCGCGGACGATAAAATGCCAACCCAAGTAGGAGAATGGATCTCGCAAGCCTTCGAACGGTGGGCGTAACTCCTTCAAGGCGGTACAATCTGGGGAAGGGGTTCATTCAGCGATGCATCATTCGTTCATATGGATGATGTGACACTATCGGTTTGGATGCATTGCCAGACCGCTCTGGCGGATCAATCTTATGCCGTGTTTGCCTGCCACCAACACGATACATGCAGGTACCAAATCTCGGCGAGTTTTATAATCGGCTGAACTCTGTATGATCTCGTACCGATAACCGAGATCCAGGTCGCTGTCTTTTTAGCCTAGTGGTGAGCGAGATTTCTGTCTGGGATCCAAACACAGTTTAATATACCTGAAAGTGGCGTTACTCTATGCAGAAGAATGATGCACACAATTTCAGAACCTTGCACGCCCACGCCGCACCGCATACAAAAGATTGATGATCGGGCCCATCACCTTCCGGGCGAGGAAATTTCTGCGCCTTCGGTACGAACTCGATGTCTCCCGCGCAGGTCGGATCCCAAAGGCTATGTAAGAGCGCTCGCTTCGGATGTTGGTCGCTTCACTTTTTTGCGTCCCAACACTCCTCGTACATGTTCAACAGGCATATGCTGTGTTTTAAGGTCAACCCTATTGCTATCCGCTACGAAGGAGGCTCGAGCTAATATTATTCGTGCAGTGATGGACTGCCAAGAAAATAACCCCTGTGCTCTGTCAAGAAGGTCGAAGGCTTGCAATGTCCACCTTCGACTTCTGCTCCGTGCGACGACTCCAGGAAGCCCAATCCAGTCGTGAACCTTTGCAGGGTCGCATTCAGTTCGACTTCAAAGGAATTAGATGCAGCCTACAAGTCTTCTAAGCTTAGATTAGCAAAACGATCGTGTTGCCAGCGCGAATGGCTTTCAGCCCACATTAAAGGTGCATGTCGCTCGTATCGAAAGCTTGAGCAGCCACAAGATAGCCAGCCATCGAAGTGTTGGTATCCCACGTACAGTAGTGCGAAGCAGAAATTGCCATGGCTCTCGCCAGCAAATGCCTACTCAGTCAATTTCGACATCGCACGTCCTGTCGCATTCTTCAACTTCGAATACCAGCTGTCCCCTGGGCTCACCGAACCTCCACCCTCCTTTTCGAGCTCTTCGACATTTTCTTTATACCAAAGGCCTATCGTTCCTTTCGCAAATGCGTGAAGCCTTTTGTTTTTCGACTCATCCTCCAAGCCACCCCAACGCCACCATGTTGCCCCCACGTATGCATCGCTTAAGTCCGCTTTGTACCGCTCCTCCACTATCAGATCATCGGCACTCTTCCCATAAGCGTAAGTAAACAACCGCGCCGAGGTTAACGTGTGCTTGACTACGACCTATTTTCCGGTGTTCTGGGCGGGGATGGTAAGAAATAGTGGCACCGGGCCTGTCGCGAAGATCAGGGCCGTGGCCGTTCTCCTGACCTGCGCGATGTATCTTGAAGTATCCAAAAGAAATGCGCTTTAAGCCATCTTCCGCAGCGCAAGTCAGGCTTCCACCAAGCATCCTCCCGCGAGCCAGGTTGTCCATGTGTCCATCTTCTGGCCGGTGACTATCGCTGAAGATGGTGTCCGCGGTGAATATCGTGATTCGACGCGTTGGCTGCTTAGACGATATACACCGTATATGGACGTAGAATCCGAAGAGCGGCTTCGATCCGGAAGCCTTGAGAATGGAAAGCGAGATTGCAGGAGAAGCCACTACACTTGGCCCCGCCGGCGAATCCGCTTGTGCAAATTTGGGGGACTATTCTTCAAGTCTTTGATCTCACGAAGAATTTCGGTACAACATTGCAGGTGCCACTCATCCTTCCGTCCGATGTTGTGATGGCGCGGCGCAACTACATTCTGCGGTGAAAGACTTCTCTCGCTCTTTGTATCGCCGTATTAAGTATCGTGTTTAGGCTCTAGCAAAGACATATGCACCAAATTGATGAAGCGATATTATAGTCTTATATAATAGAACGTTCTGTCCTAGAAATACTATGTTACACACATCCCCGTCCAGAATAAGGTTCATTCGATGAATACATTCATCGGATAGGTATAATCGTACACAGGAGACTACAAGACTTTGATTGCGTACATAGTATTTCAGCTATAAGTCCCCACGTGCTGAGGTATTTTTTTGAGACATGAGCTATGTTCCCCAGTTAAAGTTAGACCAGATAACTTGCTTCAGAGTTTACCCTGTTTCATCTACCATACATATTATCTCCCCTCGTGATTCGGTCGCGCCTAACGTGATATAAGTATCATTTTTGCACGTATCACTACAAATGGATGCCATAAAGCTATGTGCTGTTGTTCATCGTAGTACATCTTGTACGAACACAAGAAACCAGCGTCCAAAATCTTTCATCTACCGTCCTTGCTTACCAAATACGAAAGCGGAATCCTATCCATTTTATCTTCCAAAATATACCGCATCCAATCAACGAGGCCGGCGACGCAGACGAGTGAAGTAGTTCTCCAAACCAACATGAGCAAACTTTCTTATGTTTGATATTGAATACATTCCAAGATCGGTGTTTCCTTATCACTTGAGCCTTGTGATAAATTATGACCGCTGCAGATAGAATCTAGAAGGAGGTACATGATTACGTTGAACTGTACGAAAGTAAAGCATCTTCCTACCGAGAGGACTGTTTGAACCCAGGATCCCATGTCGTGTTCAAGAACTCCTGCGACATGCACGCGTTGTAGAACTTAGAGTGTGTGCATTAATTCCCTCACAGTTTCTTGCTTCTTGAACTCGGTCTTGATTGGAGAGTACTCGTAGTACCTGGCTGGTGAAGATCGCACAACAGACTGGTGAGACAACGATATTGGCGGCTGTGCTTGAACTACAGCCGGCAACGACCCATAAAGGCTGTGAACATCCGGAATTTTCATGCTCACAAACTTCACCGCTGCCATTCTCTCGCACATTCCTACGAGGTTGTCAGCTACTGCTGGGAAAAGCCGGATCACGACTTTGACTGGATCTGCCACGGACACGTGCTCAAAGTTACACAAAGTTTGCATGCGTTGCTGTGTCGCCTGAAAAAGACAGGCCGTGATCGCAGGTCTTCGTTGGATCATGTATGCATCAACCAGGCCAAAATCAGAGAGAAAGTAATGCAGATGTGGCTGATAGGAAAATATTTGGTGGCGCTGCAAAGGTACATGTGTGGCTGGGAGAAGCTAGTGCCGAGGATGACGTTCGATGACTCTTTGCGTGCTTTGTGGACATGGTCGGGCTTGGAAAACACTTGGAACCATGAAATTTTACGAAGAGAGATGATTTGTGTTCTTCGTTAATGAGTAGGAAAGATCTGAAGAAGTTCGAGAGGACTCTCGCATAGAATGAGTCTAAAGCGCTCCCATTTGGTATAGCCACATATCAAACAACTTGAATGATTACTATTGCAACCCTGCTTTCAACGGCGCTGGATACTTAATGACGTATCTTGTGGACACAACGTGGTTTTATATATAGGAATGGTACGCTGCCGTGAGCCTGGTTCAACGACGCTGTACACCGGTTTCGACGATTCCAGCGAAACATGATTCCAACACAGAAGTTGGCATGGAAAATCCTTGATTCGATAGGAGTTTTGGATACAATATCACATCTCGAAGGGCGGAAACCTCATATCCCGCAATTACTGTGGGATTGCCATGACCGCGATTGCAAAGAACATTCGGATAGGGTCATGTCATTGCTTGGCTTGGCCAGTCCAAACGTTCCAGGGCCCTCAAAGATCTCAGTAATGAAGAACAAACCAACTGGACAATTGGCACCGGAATACGCCGAAGACTGGATAGAAATGTTCACACACATCATAAAAATGTACATTAAAGAGGAAAATTTCCACGATATAGCTGAGCATTGAGTGCCTTTGGCAGCCTATCTCAAATAAATAACGAGCGACCTTCCTGGATTCCTGCATGGTAGAGTTTCGCTTCATGACAGCCCGTGATGCTCTAGAATATTTGAGTTTGGCGCACTCAATGCATTGGAACCAGCCTCGCCTAAAGTCATACATCGATGATTGTACAAGGCTGAGTAAGTGCTGCGCTAAGCTCATCTCAGCCAGTGGACATGTCACGCGATTACAGCCCCGGGTCCTTTGGTCCTGATGATCATGGATTTCATGACTAACGAAGTGAGAGGAAGGGATTCCGCCAAGTGGTGGCAATGACACGACGGAACATATCCTTCTGCATGATCGAACCGAAACGGTCATTCAATTACATTTCATCTGAGGCCCAGTTGTCAAGCTTCCCTCCCACCAAAACGCCGCTGTAAATATCAAAATGCCGCCCTGGGTATCGGACACGAAAACTTTCAAGAAAATTACTTTTTATCCTACTCCTAAAGCACCCACTTATCCTTCTTTTTCGCCGCGACATCCGTTCTCACAGCCGGCCGCTCCTGCGCCGAGTCCCCAAACGGATCCACCGTCGCTGCCACATACGGGTCCCTGTAGTGCTCCTGCAGATTCTTCCCGCTGACCTCCCGCGTGATAACCAAGCTCTCCCGGCTCGTGCTCTGCGTCTTGACGCTCGCCTGCCGGCGCATGGTATCGCTGTGCTCGAGCTCGTACGCGAGTCCGCGGTCAGCGAAGGAGTACCGGCGCTGCTCGGTGATCTGGACCTCGCGGGTGACGAATATGGCGGCGAAGGACTCCTCGATAACGGGCCAGAAGATGGGCATCGAGGCGCACATGATGGCGAGGTCGATTTCGAGACACGAGAGGATGATGCTGATTGGAGTCCACCAGGTGAAGTCAATGTAGGGGTAGGTTGCGGCGCGGTTGTCGACGATGGAGTAGAGGCGCCAGATGGAGGTGAAGACGACGCTGGTAGGGTTAGCATCATGGTTTGGGTGTGTTCGCCTTGATGCGCCCGAAACTAGGCGAGTGAGGATTGGGTGGGAAGACTAACACTGCACCGACGATGAAAATGCCTGACATGGCAACTAAGTTCTTCATCCGTAAGTTGGGCTTGGTGAATAAGACCATGGGTGTGACAAAGACCGTAACGTCGAAAACCATGTTCAGCGCGGTGTGGCTCTCGAATAGGCCAATAAAATCCTTCGCGTTCACAAAGCCAAAACCGTAGCACTTAGCATTCGGATATTTGAGCGAGTCATAGTATGCTTGTGGAGGAAAGCCTGTGGGGTATGAGTGCCAGTCTGTGAGTTGTATGAGGAGACTTACAGGGAAACCAAGCCATGAATCCATAGGTAAAGCCCCATGCACCAATGATGACAATCAAGGCTTTGCATATCCAGTGCATTGTTCCGGCTTTGAAGATACGGAGGTACTGTGTGAGAAGCGATAGCTTGATCACAGCAGTATTTGTTATATAGAGCGCGTTCTCAAAATAAAACATCTATTCGTATTAGTAGGTCTTCACACATAGCCTTATACACCACACAAACCTTGACATAGCCCATCATTTGCGAAACCTCGAGGTACAAGAAGTGTTGCCCAAGGCCATATCGTATAGCTGTCAGTGATCGTTAGTCCTAGAATATTGGCGAGCGCGAGAACACTTACATATTAGTACCAATACAGTAGCAGCCGTGTTCAGCAACATCGCTAGCAGAACGAGCGCATCGTCCCATCCTGGCTCGCGCATAACTCGAAATCGCACCCAAAAGCGTAGGAACACAGCGGCCCATGTTATCACCTACTTGTTGTCAGCATCGATACAAAACCACGGATTCGACAACTCATACGAGAAAAGGCATCGTCGTACCCCATATTGTCTCCCGGCGATTTGCGAGCGGCAGCTTCTCGTTAGGATCCGGGGCATTCATCAGCATTGCAGCTATCAAGTCATCGTAGGTGACGCCCATCTTGCTGGCTGTGGGAGTCGACCTTCTCGTTTCGAATGCGACGTTGACAGGAAGTTTCACTCGTGCTTCCCCAACTCCGTCGTGAACAGCCACTGGGGAGTCCGTTCTATATTAGCTCTGCGTCTTCGGCACATGGCACGACAAGGGTGCTGAGCTAGATTTTAGTGTAGCGACCAACGTAACGGCAGCAAGGCTGGTGCAGGGCATAGAAGGGCCCGACAGGGAGCCAGCATGACGTTTAGACCACATGAATCGCGGACCTAGAAGCGGATGAGGCGGGACATCGCGCGTAGAGGAACGATCCTCACAAGCCCATGGCTGGGCACGATACCTCGATGCTCAAGAAGTCATTCGCCTCTCGAAGGACAATTGCAAACATATGCTGGTTAAGGTTCAGCACTTGTTGCCAGTCTGACAAACTTGTTTTAACCATTGTCGCACGCATGGGTGTGATACTCTTTCCTCTTCTATAGCATTGCGCATATGTCTCTTGCCACGGTATAACAAGATTTGCGACTATCACTTACCGCTGTCAAGGTGTGCGATTCGGATGTTATCTCAAGGCACTGCACCGACGCCATTGGAAGAGTGGCCGCGCAACGCGTAAGCCAGCGAACTGCAGCTCACTTTGGAAACCGGAGGACCTTCTTCGTTGAATCTGGCCCGGACATCTACGACCCCACATGAATGGGTGGCCCCTGTTGGCTTCCAAAGGTGATGAGGCATCGATTGTGTGATTCGTCTCTGGAGGGTCCCCTTCGACCCATTAAACTGGTCTGGGAACGATAGAAACGACAAGGATGTGATTTTGTGTCGGACCCTCGTTGCTCTCCACAACACTAGGTAAAATATCCCGACGTGTGGCGACGGACGTGGTAGTTGCCGTGGCTAGGGTTTCGATAATATTCCCTAAAGAAACCGAGACCGTGATGACTGTGAGCCCAGTACGGCAGACAGAATTCAGACGTGCACAAGAGTTTGTTCATGCGCATTACGAAATTGCGCTGGAAAGTCCACGGAGGATCGAAAAGCTCGTGCGAAGATAGGAGTTTTGGCCCTAATGTAGGCGAGTCTTCCACGTGCGCAGAAGCACGGCACGGATTGTTCGCCCGGCGAATACAGAATGAGCACCTCAGCTCATTATCCAAGCCATGAGGAAAGACATTCTTGAATGCAGGTACGTTGTCGTGCTTGCGCCGAATACATTGGTACACTGTACTTGCTCGCTTGAATGCGAATGCGATGGGAGACGATCAGACGGATAGCAGATCAGGAGTTCCAGACGCGATTGCGGTTGCAGTCATGCGTTCCAGCACCCGCAACGCTATGTCTCCTTAGCTGGCAAGAACTTATCGCCGAGGAGCGCGATGAGAGGTGCCACTACCAGTGCTACCGTCACGCACCCAGCATTGGCCGTGGAGCATATATCGCGCATTGCACGCTCTGGAAGTGTGTTTCGACGGAAGCGCACTCTTCGTGGGACTGTGACCTTTGCGTGCTCGTCTGGTTCCACCGAATTTGATTCCCCGTGCTGAGAACGATACGCGAGTCGTGTCTGCACACCGGCCAGTCATCGGCAAGTGCCCAGCTCATGTCCCGAGCGTAACTTTCCATGACATTGACGTGCCGCAACTTTCGCGATTCATTGACGACGCGGAGTGTTTCACTTGCAACGACCGGCATTTGGAGCCTGAGGCCTAGATGGCGAATCGAAAAGGTGTGCGGAGTAGCGTGCTGAGGTGCAAGGGTGTCACGGTTTTCTGGGGATACCATGGAAGAAGGCCCGGTGCTGCCCTATCAACGGAATGATATTTGGAGTTCACATTGTCACTGCGCAAACTAACGTACGATATCTGTGCGCCACCGTTCTCCTCATCGTCCGGCGCTTGTTGCCGATGGTTCTCGCGGCTGTTGGTTTAGGCATAGTGATAAGGATTGCGACCAAGCGCCTAAAGTAGTGGGTTCGAGGACGTGGTTGACACCCGCGGCCCGCCCGCGCATGCAGGATGTCGCCATGATGATGAGGGGTACATGCGCTGCAATTGTGTTAAGGTGCCACGCCAAGAGATCATATCGCGTCTTCTCAGAACCGACAGTGGAGTGGTGTTGGTAACATCAGCAACCACCATCCACCCCTATCTCAATTTCATGTTGCCGAACGTTTTGATTCCCAATACCTGAAGAGTCAGGCTTCAGAAGTAGCAGGATGCTGGTTAAGAAGCAGAGCGTCGCACTGCTCGGTGCCGTGCAAGTCGCTGAAGAGCGTCTTCCGTGCACCTTGTTGCTGGAAGGACCCTTCGCCAGCACTCAGGACTGAATCTCACCATCCACTTACTAGCGCTTGGCGCATCCTATCTATACAGTGACTCTGCCAGCGATTTACCCGCAGCATCAATTTATTTAGCGACGACAAGGGCACCACGAAGGACGCGGAAAAGAGCGCAAGACCGAGGACCACCCATCAAGAGCTCACCTACGAAACTGAATTCGCCAAAAGCAGCAGCCACTCCCAAACTTTAGCACAGGCATGCCGGCCTTGTGGTTATATAGCTTCGAAGACATATCCTCCCTCTTCTTACCACCACATTCATACCTGTTGCAACAAGAACAAGTCTGTAAATGGCCTACTACGCATCACGGAAGCACCTCGAATCGACGTCACAAGAAGTCTTCGTCGATGCAATACGATCGCTAGATACACGCGCCCCTACACGAGCACCGAACTAGACGCCCTCAATCTTCCTTCATCCCCATCCATTATTTACCTCTTCGACGCAACATTCGACCGACCTGCATGTATGCTTCCACCGCCTATGGGCCAAACAAATCCTCACCACCAAGGCCGAGCCTTTCACTCCCGAACACCATCCCATCATGCCCTCGCACATCACCACTCCCCACTCATGTCCAGCCCCAAATACGCACTCCATTCCTCCTCATACTGCTGCCCTCTCTCCGCTTCTGCTTCTCTCCACGTGCTCTTCACCTCCCGGGAGTCTTTGAGCACATATCCCCACTCATCCTCAAGGCCTAGGTACGCGGTCCACTCCGCGTCATAGAGGTTTTGAGTGGTGTGGTTGGAGGTGGAGGTGGATGATGGGAAGGACAGCGAGACGGCGCTGTCTGCACGTTTGGCGGGGCGGGTTAGGGGCTGTTTGGTTGCGGTGGTGGTGGTGGTGGTGGTGGTGGACATGGTGTATGTTGAGTATGTGTCGTGCAGCGCTTTTAGGCCCTGGAATGTAGGAGATGGGTATGTTGGGTCTGGGCTGCAGCAGGGAGGTGCTGTAGGATTGGTATGTCTGCGCTATGTCGAGTCGTAGTATGCGCGACAGAAGACGGGTTGACGGATAGCAATTCGAAACTGGCACGTCTGTAGTTACCCAGCTGTTTAAATTCCGGGTCATCTTTTCGCTAGCTGGACTCGCCGACAAGTATCCTCTGCGCCCAAGACACTGGATCCCCACGCCGACCGGAGTACACTTTCTGACATCCACCATCGCCCTCTCGCCCCGCCTGCTCCAGCCCCCGCACTCCGCCCTCAACTCCCCTCTTTTACACTTATTTCACGCTATGACGCAGTCCACACACATTCTAATAATACACCATAAGGGCTCGCAGGTCTCATAGTCAGCTTACCTCAACTGCACCAGCACAGCACCCACGATCCGCCTCCCTCACCAGAAACAGCATCCCGATTGCGATAGGTCACACCCACCCTTGATCTATTGATCGCCAGAGCCATGGAAACTCTCCCCTAGTCATGTGCTGACCAAAAGCTGGAATGCTACGGGGAGCCGCTAGCACGGCGCTGTGATTGGCCCGCGTGGGGAGCGGAGGCGGACTTCGGCATGCTACACCATGTCTACCCCGCTATAGGAGGGGACTTGAGGAAAGAAGTATGACATGTAAGATTGGTGTAGAGTGGTTATAGAAACGAGTTTGGTAAGTGAGAGAAGCTAGAAAGAGGTGAAAAGGAGGTGTGTGCGAGAGTAGCTGTTGGACGCCGTATCTGGGAAGTTGCAAGTTCAAGTTCAGTGTATGATTTTCCAGCGTCGGACGGTTTCCTGCATGCCCATGGTATAGAAAAGCAGCCACGGCACCGCTGCAGAACGATATGTCCACGCACACAAACAGCGTGCAGACCAGGCAAACAGAGACTCTCCAAACGCCGCGCCATGCAGCCAAGGTGAAATTATATTTCCCAACCGTCTAATCAACACCGATAAATGCATGCCTGGTATCGCTCATGGCGCTGAAGTCTCACTTGCACTTAGCACCTGCGAGCCTCTCAACCCATCGATCGCCGACAGGATCCCATCCGCAACCTCGCCCACCTTGCCCTCGAGCGCGCCAAAGTCCATCCTCCCAATCGCTGCATTGATCTTCTCCGTGACCTCGGGCTCCGCCACTGCCTCGGACATAACCTGCCCTTCGGTGCGCCAGTACTCCTCGCGGACCTGGCGGAGCCCCGGATCGCGGTTGATGCTGTTCTCGAGCAGGCCGAGCGCGCGCAGCTTGTGGAGTGTCTCCTCGGCGGTTTTGGTCGTGGCCTCGAGGCGGTTGGCGATGGGCTCGGGGCGCGCGAGCCAGCGGTTTGTGGAGGTGGCCCAGAGCGTGCCTGCGAGGGCGAGGTCGGCGAGCGCAAATGCGAGGTAGCGGAACAGGCGGATGCGCCAGTGCGCGGGTTCGATGTCCTCGAGCACCTTGGCGCGCTTGTTCGCGGAGGGATCGTAGGTGCCGAGATACCACGTTTCCGTGAAGAGCAGCGCGAGCCCGGCGATTGTGGCGTGTGTGCGGAAGCGGGTGCCCTCAGGCCCGACCATGCTGGATGTCGCGAGGCCGAGGACGGCGAGGTGCGCAATGTGCGGCGTGAGCAGCTTCGGCAGCGCGTAGAGGAAGTAGTTGCGTGTGCTGCTGGAGCCGTCGGCGGCGTTGCACCACACGCAGTTGAGCAGCGTGTCCGGGCCAAAGGCAAAGTAGAGCATCTTGTTTGCGCTGTTGACGGTGAACTTCTCGCGCAGCACCTCATCCGTGGGCGTCAGCTCCCGCAGCAGCCGCAGCCGCGTGAAGAGGACGTTGGGCTCGATCTGCCATCGGCTCTGCGTCTTCTGGAAGATGTTCTCGTCCGCGAAATACGGCAGACACAGCGCGAAGGAAGCGAGGGCGCTGACGAATAGCAGGTTCAGCACGCGCTGGACGTTGGTCGGCACATCGCGGACGGGGACGCTGCGGGAGGCGGCGCGGGACGTGTTGAAGAGATTTATGACGCGCGGGAGGAGGAAGGGCCCGAAGACGATGAGGAGCGTGTGGAGGGACGAGGGGAGGAAGGTGAGGCGCGGGATGACAACGTAGGAGAGGACGAGCAGCACGATGTTCTGCCAGTTGAACATGTTGGCGGCTGCGAACGGCGCATGAGGCCTGCCAGGCAAGAGAACGTAGGGCGCGTGGCCGCTGAGCGAGCGAAGAGGGTGACGTGTGAGCTTTTGGACATGCACGGCGCATCTTTCCCCGTGCTTGCGACGGGCCGCCGCAGGGTCTAGGGTCTGGCTTGGCGTAGAGGGGCGTCAGCCCGCGTTTGGATCTTATTGGTACATGGCTATTGCGTACAAAAGAAGATGGTATGGATACCCCTTGGCCTTCAGATGATTGCCCCATCCCAAGCCTATCGACATCTCACTGCTGACTTGCCTTTGCTCCGGCGAGTCCCACTGGGCCTCTGGTTGGAATTCACTATCGCAGCACCCGCTCCATTCCGCGCCCCTTCCCTCTCCCATGGCTTCCCCCCCGGGCTGGCAAAACTTTCCAGCATAAACGTCCTCATCGCCTTGGTCAGTACATCCTCCACGAGCACCTCCCACAGCTTCTCTTCCTCGAGCCAAGTAGCGTTCTTGACTTGTAACCGCGGCTTCTGTACCTTGACGTCCTGCAGCCTCGCCACAGTATCCACAAATTCTGGCTCCAGCATCTCAATCCATAGCTGGTCGACCAGGGTCCCAGAGTACTTATCTACCATTGTGTTTTTTTTTTGTGTTGTGATCTTCATCGATGTCGGTGTCGTATTGCTCCATTAGGACGTGAGCCATAGTCTTGACATGATCCTGAGTGTCGGCTAGCTTGGCGGACGTGTGGATAGATTTGGTATAGGAAAGGGTGTGTGCCGCGTGTGACCTGTGGAATACGACGGCATAGTTCCGTCCATCGTCAGAGGCTGGAAGGGTGGGCCTTGAACGGAGGATGTGCGGATGCCCAGGTTGCCATGAGATATGTTATTGATTGTTGGTAGGTTGCCGATTGCTATGCTATGTTGAGAGAATGGTAATGAGGGAATTGGAGGAGACATTGACTGTGCTTATACGCCGTAGGAACAGTACTTGCGTTTGAGTAGGTGTGAATCAGAGTGTCACTATCTGACAAGGAGCGATTGAACGCAGTCGTGGAATGTTGTGCCAGTGAATCTCGACCTTCATCTTTCCACAGAGATTGCGAGAGATAACCGCAATTGAATCGCCAAGCTCATTGAGGCCTATTGTTGTTTGCGTCGTTGTTCATCAATCCGAAGTCAAGGTTGAGTTCATCCCAGTCCCAAACAACCTCCATACCCCCGATGTCTAGGCTAGACGAGCTCCCCCAAGGATTTTGTGCCAGGAATTGCTCCATGTCGAACGAGAGATCGTCTGTAGTCGCGACTTCTGGGACCGGCACAGGATCGAACGCGGGAGCGACCGGCTTCGCTTCTGGTTCCATCACAGGCGCGGAAGTTGTAGGCAGCGGTTGCTCTGGCAGCAGGGTTCGTACTTCTGATCCCAATTTGCTAGAGTCTAACCTCTTCAATGTCCGCTGGCGTTTGGTGATCGGGGCATATTGCGATAGCACCGGCGCGGCCTGCACGAGCTTGAATAAGAACCAATAAGACGATGCGCCTAGCTTTGTGGTGTGGCTGAGTTGCTGAAGCATGTCGAGTGCGCTCTCTACCGCATCCATGACTCTTTCACGATGGGGCAATACTTCGTCGACATCGTGAATGATGGCCGAGCAAAGAGTTGTCGCAGTGTCGAAGATGGCGAAAACGACCATGTGAAACTTCGCGTTGATCGGAAACTCGTGATTGAAGAGCAATCGCGCGATGTTGAGCATCTTCAGTGCTATCTCCACACCCTCTTTGCGTAGCTTTGCATCGTGCGAAGTCTTGGGATTCCTCGGATCGCCGGTAAGGTAGGGCTTCAGTAGATCGAGCATCGCTATGTGGATAACGACGTGTAGCTGATAACGCTGGAAGACATAGTATGGGTGAGCCTCGTCTAGGCTTAGGTCGGGATCTTCTATGCGAAATACTGGAGGAAGCTCATCGATGAATGTACGTATCTCCTGCAGGGCCCTGGACACTTGCTCGGGAGACAGATCGCTGATGACCTGGACATCCCCCATCAGAGGTGCTATCCGTCGGGCTATATGAGCCTGGAGTGCTATGTGAGCAAACGGCGAGAGAAGGTTAGGCTCAGATCCCACTGAGTCAAGGCGTAGGTTAGGGAACTCGAAAGACAAGTCCTTTTGGTCGATCAAATGCGGTCTTCCTAGCCATGCGGACATTTGCCAATCCCAAATGTACAGCAAAGTCCATAATCGGCGACGTATCTCAGCATCAAACTCAGGGAGTCCGGCGTGTGAGGATTCTTTGTCGAGGCCAAGCTCTTGAGCTTCCCGAATAGTACATCCGAGCGAGTGCCATGATTCCACGATGCGTGACTCTGATTTCAGCCAGGCACCTTTGTAAAAGAGTTCTTGCACTCTTTCTATGCATGTATTTGAGGCCGAAAAACTTTTACTTAGCTGTTCAGCGGCCTCATGGAAGCTGTCTGTCATGGTCTGGGGGGTGCAAGCCATCTCAAATTCGATCATCTTTCGAAGTTCGGGAGTGAGGTATTGCACTGAGTACGAGAGCACTCTAAGTAGCAAACAGGTAAACTCTGGTGAAAGACTCCGGCCATTAACACGGTCGAACCACCATTGCACATACTGGTCGGTAAAGGTGGGGGCGTAGATGGCGCTGTACCGGTAGTTGACAACCGAAAGGAAATGGTTCACGATAGCATCTGAAAAATACAATCAGTATTGGGTCCGGGCCACCATGATTGAACATACCTGTGATAGATCTAGGAGGTATTGCACTCAGCACACGCCCCACGGCGTCCGACTTGTCGGAACCTTCTGAATTCTCCTTCTTGAGCGATGGCTACAAGCGGTTAGAACAATTCCAATAAATCTCATAGAGCTAATTACCTCGCCATTAGCGTTACCTATATTATAGTGAACATGCCCTGGCATGTAACCCCATATCTTCAGGCCGTCTTCAGGTTCATCGTGCTCACCGTCCAGGCCATTCGAGGATATGTCGGCAGAGTCGGGTTGGCTTCTCTTTCGTCCTCGTGTCTCAGTTGACTTCTCACTATTCCACTTCCATGTTACTATGTCGAAGACTAAACGGTTTTCGCGATAGAAGTTCGGCATACCGAGAAGCAGACTCTGGAGGCGAGGGCTGCTGCGATCGTTTCGTCCCAAATTGACAAAGATGTGGGACCTTCCTCGCTTGACAGTGATTGCAAGGCCATTCTCGCGAGCACTGCGTAACGTGATCAGTCGCGATCGATCGCGAGCAGGGACGGGTGCTCCCATGCTCCTCCTCCGACTTTCGGACGCACCTTTTGTTTCCGGCGTTGACATTCCGTGCACGAAGTCGTAGCGCGACTTTCTTTATTACCTATGGTAGCTGGCTGCATGGCGATTGAATCGACTTGCAAATGGACAGAATAGTTGAAGTTTTGCACGTTCAGACACTTGTCGAGATTGTCATTTGGTACCTTCGGATTTAAGTAAAGTGCGTTGCAAAGTCCCCGCTTCAGCCGCCAAGCTGGAGTGACTAATGGCACGTGATGTTTGTAACACCGTGCAGAAGGCTGAGCACTGTGGCAAGAATCCTCTACAATATGCTTCTCGAAATCGACGGTTCGGCCGTAGCGTAGCAAGGCTTTGTTCGTCCGTCATTCAGAGTGGGGCTGTCAAGGACCCTCATTCTGGGGTGTGGGTCTAGACCGGATGACACCACATTGAAAGCGCCACAGCGTCATAAAGCTGTTGCGATTCCGAATGGCGACCGGATTTTTTATGCTTTTGAAGGTGGTATCGTGTTCGGAAGGTCGATAATGCTGAATTGGAAGAGATACGAAGCTGCAAAGTGAGGCGAAATCTAGCGAAGTCCAATTCGAAGCAACTTGCCTCTAACCGATCAAGGCTATGGATACAAGGGTTTAGACGAAAGTAATGTCGATCTCTCAAGCATATCCGCAGGGCGCATACAAGACAAGAATTTGAGGGAGTGATGTATACGCAGATACCAGGGTGGCGGAAGGCAAAAACGGCCGGAGATAGTGCTCGGGTTTATCGTTTACGGAAAAGCGCGAACCACAAACGATCGCCCCCGAACAAGCTCGTCGCAGTGAGGCAACACTCCGCTTTACACGTTCCTGTCGTATGCGCATGCTGCTCGACCGCGGAAAAAGCGATGAGTGAAACCCAGCCGCAGCAACGCCACGTACCTCCGAGCCGGCGGCGCGACAAGCCCATACTATCGTGCACCCTTTGCCGGCGTCGAAAGTAGGAATTTTGACCTTGTTTCCATGAGTGTCACGTGCTGACTTGACATCGAAGGCTGAAATGCGACCGTCAACAGCCGTGCAAGACATGCGTGGACCGCGGCTTGTCACTCTCTTGCACATACTCCCGCAATGTCTCAACTCCCGCGGCATCGTCTGCAACAAACACTGGTATCAATGTCCACGACCGTATTGATCAATTGGAGAAATTGGTAACCACACTGATGGCTGAAAAAACCGGTGGCGGCTCCAGGAGAATGAACACCATTCCCAGCATAGCCTCACCATTTCGTCCCGATCTCAACGATGAGAGTGCAGATGTTGAGGCCCCCAACACCCCTGTGCACATGACCCTGGACAGCCATGAGACGCAGTATACTGATAGTGGTCATTGGATGAGTATACTCGATAGTATCGCTGAGCTTAAAGACGAACTTGACCAGATAGCTTCTGAGCCACAGCCATATAGCCATACAGGTGAAGATCTTGGGCCAGAGCTGCTGCTTGGAATCAATACACAGGCAACGCGGCAAGACATCATAGCAGGTCTTCCTCCCAAAGCTGAAGCAGATCTTCTACTCGAAAGGTATTGGAACTTTGTGGATGTCGCACCGACTATCATGCATAGGCCAAAATTTGTACGTGAGTACCATGAGTTCTGGAGTAACCCAACAGAAACTCCGGTCATGTGGATTGGGATGCTGTATGGAATCTTTGCCATTGCTATACGCATACAATCGCTCGTTGAAGAACACGACAATGGCATCACCGACCCATCCCAGCGAACCTTCTCGCAAGCTCGTCAAGACCTATATCGACAAAAGATCGCACAATGTTTGGTTTTGGCTAACTACACCAAATGTCCACCATACACGATGGAGACATTCCTATCCTACTTTGTTGTGGAATATCTTCGGACGCGGGATACACAACATGGCATCTGGCTTCTCGTTGGGATGCTTGTGCGGACTGCATTCCGCATGGGCTTGCACAGGGAACCAACAAATATAACTAATAATAGTCTCACCCCATTTGAGGCTGAGATGAGGCGCAGAATGTGGTCCATGATTGTCCGACTGGATCTCATGTCGTCCGGACAAGTGGGGCTACCTCGGATGATCCACCCAGCGATGACTGATACATTGGAGCCCCGTAACCTTATCGACGAGGATTTAAAAGAGGATATGATCGAACTACCGCCTTCAAGACCGGACACAGAATTTACTCCGATGCTTTATACAATAATCCGAAACCGCCTTTTAGGGGTCTTCGCGCGTATCGTGGATCTAGTCAACGCTAGCGAGCCGCCCACATACCGAGAGGTCCTCGAGTTAGACGAGGTTCTGCGCGAAACCTACGAGAATATACCAGGAGCGCTCAAAGGAATGGACATGAACGACTTTGATCCATTTGCAGAAGGAGCCATGTCGATCGTGATCCTTGCCATGACGTTTCTGAAAGCACTGGAGATTCTTCATCGCCCATTTTTGTTCTTGGCACATGGGAACACTAGATACGAGTACTCTAGGTCAGCTTGCATAGATGCCGCGCTCGAGATCATGGATACTCAGCACCTTCTGGAAGTCAAATCACGAGAAAAAAGTAATTGGGACAAACAATCAATGTGGTGGACCTCCAGTTGGCGGCTATCCTCGCTAATGAGCCACGACTTTCTTTTGGCTACAACTCTGCTCATCCTAGATTTGGACCGGGATCTCGCCAACCCGATACCAATCAGTCAAGTGCCTAGAGAACGCTTCAAGAGCGGACAGCCGACACGCGATGAGATAATTCGAGCTTTGACCAGGGCTTACGAGTTCTGGGCACGTCTGGGACCCAAGTCAAGAGAAGCGCGAAGAGTGGCTGCCGCTGCCAAACATGTGCTGGGGAAGGCAGGTATCAGTGGGTTCACTCCTAGTTGTAAGAGCCCCCCCCCCCCCTTTTAGATATGCGGATCAGATGGAACAGGATTCGACTAGTCCCCCCGCAGAAGGACAATAGCTCATATGGTCTGGTCATATATGCTGACCCCTGCTAACAGCAACCGTGGAAAACACCCCTCGACAAACAGAGATCGACTTGCTGCCACAACAGCCTCTTCCTGACCCTTCGTTCTTTTTCGATCTCCAGAACCCACAAGACCCGCTGTTACCTCTGTCGACTGATGATGTGCCCATAGATTTTGGCGAGTACGGTGAACAGTTTGATTGGGTAAGTTCGTCGTCGATCTGCTCTCCTAATCCTTGAAAACTCACAACCGTACAGACGGGATTCGAATCGGCTTACTCAACGGCACCATTCGGCGACCCCAATATGCGCCAATACTTTGGTTAGAGAAATCGGTTCTAGTCGAGATGACGGCAAGCAACGCATCCGTAGCTGAACATGGACATACACCGCTCTAGAACAATAATACCCCAGCCATCGAATCGCTAATTTGGTCAAAAGCACAGCTGAAATACGTCACTGCATGTGGGACCTCGAGCTGGGTTTTGCCCAGTGCCGTGCGCTCAACCGTCTATCCGGTTTCGCACTAATCAACGTGCTTCGGATGTTTCCCGACTCACCGGATTTTCAATGTTACATGTCGCGCCAAATGTCGGGTACATGCCGTTGGTTCGGGACGGGGTCTAAGGCATGACTACAGAGTCCTTCGGGGTCCCTTGCAGAACCCGGAATACGGGCATTACCCTTGCTCATTGATTTTCCCGTATGTCGATGGAATTGGTCCCTCGAGCAAACGATGACATTTGTTCATACGTACTCTAAATCTTCCCAAGGCCTGCGCCAGCCTTGACTACCTTTTCAACGTCGCCCAGCGCCGTGAGAGTATACTTGTACGGCGCCTTAGTGAAGTTTCCAACCCTAGTAATATTGATACTTGCAGGACCCCAATCATTTTCTACAATCAGGTTAGTATCATGTTCTCTCCACTCGCTCCAAAAAAAAAAGACAGCAGTATCGACTTACTTGCGCCCAGATTCGCAAACCCATCTAGCTCGTAGTCCCCGTCAGGACTCGTATTCGGACTGTCATTTGGAATGACCAGTCCATACGTCGACAGCGCCTCGCTTGTGTTCCCGCGGAACACATTACCTTCGACAAGGACCTGATTGTCACTGCGACTGTGTATAGCCTGGAAAAGGTAGTCCTCATACAAGTTGTTGTATACATGTTGGTGTCCGAAGCGCCCAGCTGGGCCGCGCGTGCCCTCGTTGCGCCAGTAATTGTGGCTTGCCAAATATTCAGTATGTCTCTTTCCGAACGCCTGGTCATGCTTAAGACGACTTACTGATACGTGACGTGCAAATGCCCCTGATCAACGTCCCTCAACGCATCGCTATTACCCACCAAACTACTCTTCCAATGATCATGGAAGTAATTCCAGCTCACCGTAATCCAGTCACTCGCCCGTATAATGTCGCACTGCCCGTCATACGCATCCGGCCCGTTCGCAGGGAAACCCCCGCTCTCGAACTCATTGTGGTCGATCCATACACGCGTGCTGTTCTGTATGGTTATTCCGTCATTGCCCGTGATCCCTCGGATGCCAATGTTGCGAATGATCACATTGGACACGGACTTGATGTTGAAGCCGTTGGCGAGGATGTTCGCCCCGGGGCCGGTGCCGATGAGGGACTTGTTGGGGCCGATGGAGAGGCGTCCGGTGAGGGTGAAGTTACCAGTCAGGTAGATGGTGCGCGGGGCTGTATCTGCGATGGCTGCCTTGAGGGCTGCGGGCGTGGTGACTGTTATGGTCTCGCCGCCCGCGCCGCCGGTCGTTACGCCGAGCGGGTTGTCTTTTGCGAAGCCGGCAAGGCTATAATCTGAAGCTTTCGGACGCGCGGAGGCGCCGAGGAGGGATGTACTGAGGGCAAAGACGGAGAGCTTCATTGTGGGTGAAAATGCAGATGAATGAAGTGGCGACAGTATTTCAGGATCCTGTACTGCATTCTTTGAACTGGACAGAAGATGTCACCTGGACCGCCACATCCTTTTGCCCTGTCGACTTCGGCTATTCATCCGGAATTTAGGTTTTGCGCAGATGATTGCGAAGTGCGATAGGTAAGTGTGTGTGTGGCGCGAATTTTACAACAATTGCGACGGGCATCGATCCGCAATGCCTAAGGTGTTCCTGGCTGTGACGATTGGCGAGGCCGGTGGCCTGGAAGTTCAGTGGCGGAAAATTATGTTCCCCGGATTTGCTGGAAGGGGATCGGCTGCTTGGCTGCATTGTGGGGGAGTCGACATGGGCCACTTTGCCGTCATACCGTCTGTCATTTCCGCCGCCCTCGCAATTCTGTGTCAAGGATTGAATTGCGTTCTCCATAGTGGCTGAGAGACCGGCCAAGCGCTGTGTGTAGGCAACGGATAGCAAGAGCACATGATCTGTATGGACTGCGTATTGACAAAACTGTCTGCAGGTAGCTATTCGACCTGCAGCATATTTTGATTAACAAAGGCTATTGTCATAAGATGTTACAGTTCCTGCGGGAGCGCAGCCTGTCCCAAATGATCTGCACACTCTTGGGATCTGACAGGATAGTCATGGTTGTCTACTTTAGGAATTGGATCCGTGACCGCAACTCCCATTACCTCCAACACGTCGATAGACTCATAGAACGGCTTACTACTCCATCAATTCATGCACATGCTCCACACACGATCAATCTTGGTTCCCAATGCTACACCGTCAAGATCATCGCTCAGCGCTTTTGACCGTTCTTCCCAGGACATTGTCATCGGAATTTCGAGCATGGGCTTCGACACCGCGTCATCTTCGTATCGTGTTCTAAGCATTTGATGACGTTACAACCCACACCACCTCTTGAGTTCACAAGCAACGCCCGTGCTATGTTAGGAAACGCGTTCAGCGAATTGCATTCTGTCCCCGGATTTGCATGCTCAGCCGAAGCCTTCGCTTATTTATTTCTCGTAATTCGAGGAAGCATCTTGCCTCATGATGTCCTATCTACTGTAGTGGATACTCGGTTTCGAATTAGGAAAGGGGGATTCTCGTCGAGCCAGTCCTCAATCTGTTGAACATAAAAAGACAGCACGCATTCTTTCTCATGTCTGACGCATGCCTCTTCCGCTTGGCGAGCTTGTACTCCAGCTGCGTTTTCCGCTTGCACGCGCCGCTGTTGGAGGGTGAAGATAGGACCCATTATTTGCGGATGGGTCATGGTACCCATGGCAGCGTGGAATAGGATCTCGTGTATAGTGGCTTCAGGCAGCGAAGAGATAGTCCTCCAGAGGTCATTGGGATTGATTGTGTTTTGCTGTGTGGTAACGACATAGGTATTCATCGGCGTTGGTACCACGACGGCATAGCTTGGTGGATACCCGTGCGCGATGCTGTAGCTCGCATCGATTCGTTGGCGCTGTTGTGAGTGCCGTGCCGATATGATGGAAAGTGAAGGGTTGAGTTGATGAAAGGTTGGATGAACACGCAACGCGTTGAGAACGCCTGAGCACGTGCCAGCGCGTTAGCCTTGGAGCTATTCGCTAATGTCGCGTAGTTGTCAAGGCTCAACAATGAACGTTGTTTATTCCTCCACAACCTCCATCGACATCTACGGCCAACTTCCCATTCATATTGCTTTTCTGTAGCCAGCGTGGTGTGCCCATTACATTACACAATCTTATCCGTCAGCGCTTCCCGGGGTCCAGCCAATCTCACGTGCCTCGTCATTCACCAATGAAATGAACGCCTCCACCCCGCGCAGCAGAGGTCGACCAAAGAAGTACCATACTGAAGAAGAAAGGCGAGAGGCATCCCGGATATCTGCCAAAAAGAGTGCACAGAAAAAGAGAGAGGAACAACGTGCAGCTGCAGATGCATCGCAAACTCGGACAGCTAGCAGTCTCCAGCGCTCATCTGTTAACAGTACGCAAGACGTCTTCGTCCAGCTTGAGTTACTAATACAGATCAGTCACATCGAATCACTTCCGATCAGAATGGGAAGGGAATCCTAAATTTCCGTCGGATCTTGAAGGATTTGCCTATGTTCAGAACAAAATTGCGACTGACCCTGCGCGCTTCGACGTCCAGGCACCACTTTCCTCTGAATATAGTGGGAGAACCCCAACCCAATTTGAAGTCTCAATGAATTTTGTCGGAACTTCACTACCATACAGTCCGCATGGCCTTCCTCATGCCAATACTGGTCCTAGTCATGACCTGAATCCTGACGCATTCGGCTACCCACCATGGAATCCGGTCAAAGTGAATTCCATGGCAATTCCATCAGAGTATTCCGAAATTGCGCGGCAGAACTCGCAAATGGGGCACTCCCGTTCACCGCAGCTTCTCAATTTACTACGCAATAAGGGGAGAAGCTCTGCCGGTCATGAAACAACAGCAAAAGCGAGGAATGCCCAGGAGGGTCCCGCAACGAAGCTTGCTCAAACATCCCGTCTCATTGAAGGCGGCCACGCCACCTTGAACGGGGGACCTCCTCGGCCAGACACCGAAACTAAGGCGGCAAAACACCTTGCTCGAGTAGTCAACGCGGACCCTCCTCGGCCGGGCGCCGTACTCAAGCAGGCATTATACCTTGATCACTTACTAGCTGATGCCGTCGAAGCGAAGGAGCTTGCCGAAAAGGAGGCTGCCGCCCGCAGGATGGACGAAACTACCCGACAAGAGCGCCTACGAAGAGCCGCGCAACAAGAGAAAAGCACACTCAAGAGAGCACATGATCAAGCTCAAGCACTTGCAGAACAACCGCAAGACGATTTCGACCGTCACATACGCTTTGTATTCGAGTGGCTCCAGGCCGACTCCTACGGCAGACAACACACCTTTCCTACCGATGGCCAAGCGATCTACACCACGAAGATCAGACCACGTATTCATCAAATACAACGGAGTTCGCTAAGCCAGAGTGCCACATTCGCTATACAGTATGTTGGATTGATGGCTCTGACGCACATACTGCGCCTTATTTACGTCCACAGAGGAAGTCGAGTCGGCGACGAAATTCTGCGGTATTACGACGCTGACGCCAGACTCAACAACGTCGACGAGCTCACGAGTGCTATGCTGGCGATATTTGAGAATGTTGTCACTACTGAAAAAGAGTGGTTGAAGATGCAGCAGGGAGCTGCTGCCGTGTTGATGCAAGAGATGTACGAGGTATGGCCTATGGTGTGCGCTGCTGGTCCAGCACAAGTACAGCGGAACCTAGGCGGCGTCCTGTGGACATGCTTCAGATATAAGGCTGTCCCACGTTTCCACTACCTAGCTTCCTCGGCCTCTCTAAATTCATAGCGATCTCAACATCTTCATAACTTCGCTAGCAGCTGTCTTCCCCCGTCTCCACTACCCAGTACCACTTCCTCGCTCCGCCAGTCCACATTGAACGTCGTCCTATTTAAAGGATTCTTCCGATGCGCCCGCTCAAACAAGTCCTCGTACACCTTTCCATCGTATCTTCCCAAAGCACTGTCCAACAACCAATCCGGCACAGCCCAAGCATCCACCAACTTCACCGCATGTGGGCGCAGCTCTCCCATCACTTCCAGGATTTTGGCGTCCAGCACTTGCAAGTCTGACGCGGAGATGGAAGAAGTGAGTAGGAAGGAGGATGCGGATTGGGAAAGCGTGTGAAGGGCGAACAAGCGGAAGCACGTGCGGAGCACAGAGGGTGTGGGATTGGAAAGGGAGGTCACGGAGGATGAGGAGAGGGCGGTGCGGAAGGTCGAGACGAGGATGTGGTAAGAGTAGGCGTGGGACAGGTTGTGTAGCTGGATCATCAGGCTGGTCCAAGGTTTCTTCTCTTCCACGCGAGCCTGATACGCTGCGTACGCAAGGGCTGCGGCGCGCCACCGGAAGATCTGGACGAGTGCGTCATCATCGATTGATCCGTCTGCGGCGAGAAACGACGGTGGCGTGTGCTGCGCACGACCACGGAGGTAATCCTTCAGCAGCTCCTCCGTGGGGTCTTGGGTTGCACTCGCCACGTTCTGCACGCACTCCGTCGTCTTCTTGATCAGGTACGCGGCGACCTGCTGTGTGATCATCCAGTTGTCACCCTCGACGGTCGGCTTGGACAGGTAACTACGGCCTCGCATTAGCGCCATCTCATCTCGAGTCGCCACACGCAGATCCGATCTCTCATGCCTGAGAGCCTGCACCTACCCACCCCAACCGTTTCGGGATACGAGAAGCCCTGCGGGCTCCCACAACAGACAAGGAAACAAAACCTGCAGTGCAGGAAAAGAGTGACTCACTCAGCGTTCAATCCCACCAATCCGCTGCCGCCACCAAAACCATGCCCGCCCATAGCCCGTCGACACGTCTCAATCCCATCAGCCGCTATTGTAGTGCACAGACTCTTCAGCCCGCTACTGGCACTGTGCAACGCGGCCAACGGTCCGAAATCCCCCTCCTCGATGGTCCTCCTGCTCTGGTGATAAAGATTGTACATATACTCGCCCGTATAATGCAGTGCAAAGGTGGCCGCTAGCAACGGCAGGATCCGGATTTGAACGGTCGGATAGTCGAGAACTTGCACTTCGTCCTGTGGGCGAGAGTGCGTGGGGGCGACACCATCGCGGTCCTGGAACTGCCGCCGCACGGCACAATATCGAACAGCGACCGTCACGGCCCGAGCCAAGACCAACCTGGTCGTATGTTAGCTCACCATTACCAGTTCATATCAGAAAAAGGAGTCACATGCCTTGCATGCATGATAATCTGCCCTCGTACAAAGGTCAAGCTCCCGTAGACCACGGCTGGGTGACCCCGCCGTATCAACGCGCCCGTCTCATCCGAGACCTCTGCATACCGCGACAACATGGCCGACTTGGGCACCCGAACACGGTCAAAGAGCATGTATCCATTGTCCATGCTAGCATATCCGTACTTCGGCCCGATGTCACCTACGGCAATACCCTGCATCGGCTGATGTGACTTCTTGTCCCGGATCTGCACGATGAACGTTTGCGGGCCGTAAGGGACGTATTCGGAGGTAGTATGAGATCTCGAAGGATTCTCGGAATCGGTAGTGCTGGGCTGGGCTGTACTACTCTTCGGCAGGAGGAGCTGCGCAACGACGATCTACGCGTGCGATTGATTAGTAGACCCTGCGCAAGGTTTGCGATGTTACACATGGCGCCTGTACAGAAGTGGGCTTACGCCCAAAGGAGAAGACAAGAGGATGATTAAGAAACGTAACGTACGGCGTGCGTGGCAGTCCTCCCCATGCCGCCGTTCCACCATTTACTCGCAGTCAAATGCGGGCTGTGGATCTCGAACTCTTGAGCCACTGGGTCCCATCTGGCTTCCGTCTCGAGGCCTTTTACGTTGCTCCCGTGGCCGAGCTCGCTCTGCGCATAGCACCCGATTATGTCGTAGTCGAGGATGCGCGGCATCCAGGATTTGTTTTGGGCCGGCGAACCTTGCTCGCGTATCGTCGTCACTGCACAAGGAACAAGGGTCAGTCAGTCAGTCAGACACCTAGTCTTACGCCCCCGTTACACGGAGCTGAGCGTAAAGTCGAGTTGCGCCTGCGTACCGAACATGGTCATGTGGAGGTGGAACGGGCTCATTTCGTCATTGAGATACTCAGCCATCTTGTAATCCTCATGATCCCAGGCCTCTCGCCGCACCAGCCGCCGGATTGCTTTGGCTCGCGCGAGCCCTAGGTGATACCGCTCTGGCCGCGAGAGATTCAATTGCTGGTCCTTGTTGAACAGCTTCTCCTTTCGCAGCACCTTGAGGACTTTCTCCTGACGTCCGAGGAAATCATCGCGCGAGAGGAGATGCTTCGACAGCTCGTCTATGCCCAAGACCGAAGCGCTGCGCTCGGCTTCCAGGATAGCTGCGCCATCATAGCGCGGCTTGAGGTTGTCCGTGAAATCTGTCATCGCGTGGGAGGTCGACGCAAACGTTAAGGAAACGACCGTGAAAACGATTGAAGCTGGCCTCTTTTCGAAAAGCAGACAAGGACCTGGACATGTTCCAAGACTATTCCTGGCCTGTAGCCTCGGTTGACGTCGATGAGTGGTATTCTAGTCGCGTGTAGCTACGCGTCTGTTCCTAGCGTGTAAGCCCCGCACTGGGCGGTAACTCTCGGTAAAGCATACCAAGATGCTGGGGCAAGTAAAGTACACCACACATGTGAGACGCTGGGTTCGGAGGGAGGGACCTGCGGTTTGTGTAGCTGGCGTTGGCGACATGGCGACAGCCCTATAGACAGGGAGCAAGGAAGCTATACCGGGGTAATGTATAGGGTAATGACCCGCGGTGTGGTAAGACGGGCCCCTGCCACATCCGCAGCTAGCGGACACCGACAATTTCGCTTGCTAGGTGAGGGGATACCCCCAGGCGTATAATTATTATTTTAAGAAAGGAGGCCTGCTCGAAGGAGACAGTCAATCTGTCAGGAAAGAACAAAACTCAGGATAGTTGTACAGGATATCAGATGTCCGGCCCAAGAAAAAGCATAATAACCCAAATCCTCCGAGATGCATATGCCACTAGAGAACGCCGTGCAGATGTTGCCAGAAAAGAAAATTACGCCCGGTTTGAACATCTACAAGGTCCGGGGCTCGAGAGCCTGTATGCGTATTTCCAGGATGTACCATGTGGGTATGAAAGTCGTCGCGAATGCGCATGCAGCTGTCGTGCCTGCCAACCAGCTCGCTAGATAATGCGCTCTGCCCATTGGGACAGACCGCCCTTCTCTTGCAAGAGGCGCTCCATGTCGACTTTCGCAAGTCTAACCATGACTTCGTACGGTGCATCGTTGCCGTTCATTTGATGGCGACGGCGAGGCATGATCATCATGCCTCCATCGGCAACACCATACGATCGTCGTATGAACTCGGGACGCCCGCCGAGGGATTGATCCTCCATGTCAGTGCCGGGTATGCCCCACTGAAGATCTGCGCCGAAGTTCATCCAAGACGTGATATAGATATCCATGCCAAAGCGGAACCCGAGGCCAAGTTCAGTGTCAGTGATAGTGTCAACTGACTTGAAGAATCCTAAGTGGTTCGAGACCCAGTCATTATCGACTTTCGCAATCGTACGTCGTATTTCCTTAATCGTGCAGACGATGGTCTCTTCGGTTACCCTGTACCACCTGTCAGTAAAGTTCGTGTTACGCTGTAAATTGAGTGACAAGTGAGCCCGAAGTAAGAGCGACCGGAATATAGGCGGCAGTGAGGGTGCCAACGCGATACTCTTTCTGAAGTCCCGCCTAATGTAACCATTGTAGGTGTGAAGCCATGAGAGGTTGTACAGCGAGATCGGAACGGGATAATCATCCATCGAGGCGAAAGGACTTACAATTCATCTTTCGTGAGTTCATGAACATCCAGGGCCCCTGTGGAGAAGATTGCCATGTTACCCGTGTAGTTGTCTTGTAGAGGCGGACTCATCCGCTTGCGGAGGTCGGTGGCGATACCGATCTTCGTCTCCTCTTTTCCGCAATCACCTCTTCGATGTGCCCTCGCTCGTGTGACATGAATCCATAGTAATGCGGCGATGACGTTACAGATAGTCGGTGGTGATTCCCCAGGGAAGTACTTGCGCAGGTCATCCCGGTAGTTGCGGATGCGGGCGGCGGAGATGATCAGATACTTCATTGTGCATTCGGTATCATCGGGCAGCGACTTTTCGTATTTGTAGGTCCCTTCAACGTAGGCTTCTGCGCAGGGCGACTGTCCACAAGCATAAGTAGGTGCACGGTTGTCTACTTGTCGCCTCATGGTCCGTTGATCAGCACCATAGTCTGCCGCTGTGAAATCCGGTCAGCGTTGTGTAGCAATAGCAGGTGTTGTTACTACCTAGCCCAGGAATGATACGCCGTCCTAGTGATAGAGACGAGACGTTCTCTGCAAAACATTTCCAGAAGATATTGATGCCGGCGAAGTCCATGACCGTATGGTGAACGTATGTGCTTAGGATGAGACCTCCAGGAATAAAGTCCGCCTGAACCCGCATAACGGGGGCCTGGTTCCCATGGTCGAAGTTGACGAGGCCTTCGCCGTCCGGCGGAATACCAGGGTATCTACCGAAATCATCTGGTCGAAGTTTACTTCCAGGGAAGGCATCTGGTGGCATGCCTCCCTCCTTGAGATCTTCGTAGGTGCGGAAAGTTTCATTAGTCTTCCAGGCAAAGACGCCAGATGCTCCACAATCGGGCAGATGGGTGGGGAAGGTGAGCACCAGTTTGCCGGAAGAGTCATTAGCGAGGCGAAGCGTGCCTGCGAGGAACGGGAAGCTCTGAAGAGTCGCCTGGAGTCCGCTTTCCAAAGCTTGGATTGCAATCTCACGTTGATTAGCATCAGGAAACGGAAAGATCAAGAACACCTGCGTATACACGCGCACGATGTTCTGGTCCAGGGCCGAAAGATGCAGCCGCTCCTCGACAGTGGCAGGCGTCGGGGACTTAAGTATCATCCTCGGAAAGGAACGTAATTTCAAGGATAGAGTGTCCAACAAAGTAGGTGCAAATGCTGGGGCCATTTCGCATGCGTGGGCGTATTTGTACCCCAAGGGTGAAGAGTCGCACATACGTGGTTACGGTGGGCAAACACCAGGTATATGAACCAAGACACTGCCAACCTGGATTCACCGCCGTATAGGCAGTGCTTGTGTAACCGCGACCCTGCCCAGGCCTCTGTGATGTTTGGCGGCCCGGCAGCTCTGACCAGCTGTGACCAACGCGACGTGTCCGTAAACGGCTAGTAGCTTATCTGACCCGGCTGAGCACCCGCTTCCCCGGCGAAGCTTTTATGGATACGGTTGCACCCGCATCACCAAAAAGGCGGTTTGATGCTTCCGCGTTCCCCGATGGCGATGTGCTTCGTTCCTCAGGAGTTCTCAAGCCTCGCGCATGCACTCGACGGCTAGACCCGCGCGTAACGTGCACCCCATTCCTGCAACCTGGTACCGTGTCCGGTCAATCGCCTAGGCGCTCTTTCCGACGGAATTGCATAGCCTCATCTGGACGGCGTTTTTGCGGAACAGCCAACGCCCCGATGACTGGTGGCTAGACGGGGCAACGTAACGGATGGCGGTGGAGTAGCGGGCTGAACGAGACAGGCGTGTTTGTTTGCTTTTTGGACGTTCTCCACAGTAGGCCCCATAAGTAGATCATAGCGCGGGAGCATACACCGTGCTAGGCTTCATGAAACTCTGAAACGGAAGGGGTAAGTACTCGTCGAAACCAGTAGGAAGGAGACATGTCGTCGAACAGTCGTGGAATGCTGCTGGAGCTCGCGCCGTGCCCTTCATGAGGCGGTGATGGATGACAGCTCATCATGACACGACACCAGTCGGCATCGAGTAAGGCCGCGTCGCGAGGACGTCGGCACGATGACCCACGATCCCACGATCCAGGTACATGGAATTGTAGAGTCCTCTGAACCCATTCTCGATGCGTGTTGATGGCCAGTATGCCAATCTCTTGGTCCGCGGTGACAATGTAACGGGGATAGCGTGCCACGCAGGAGCTGAGGCCAACACGTTGCTAGCAAGGATTTTGGAATGCACGTTCTCTGTCATCGCAAGCCTGTGTTAGTGAAACGATTCCTTGCCGCGTGGATAGATCATCAGGGCTCCGCTAGCGAGCGTGGCAGTCTGCTCCAGCCTGCTAACATTATTCCACTGATTATGCCAGGCAAGGATTCGGCTCCTACCAGGCGTAGACTCTGTGATCATGTATTTTTGGGACCCGCCAGTGCGACGTATGCAAGAAACTTACATGTCTCTCACCGATCTCGGTACCATCGGTATGTACTGCAAGCGGCTACGGCCCAGGCAATTGCAAATCGGTAAGCCGAACCGAGCACACATTGAAAGATTGCTGTGCGCTGTAAGACAGACTCAGGGAGGAAAGGGTGCTCTTCTTTGAACCAGGGACAGCTTCACGACTCTATTGCCTGCGGTACCACCTCGTTGTGTAGCGGTCGTAGGTCTAGGGACGATGTCATTCGTCGATATGCACAGCCAGTCCAGCCGACGTGTGTAGCGCAGATTCTCCAGCGAAAGTTTATTGATTCGGGGAAAGAAAGTCACCACGAGCCGTCGTCGAAGCCCGCCACGGCGAAAAGGTGGAACATGCTGCTATCAAAGAACGTTTGAGAAGAGCCATGTTCAGAGAAGACCCCAGGATTAGGTAGGGCGCCGTTCGATGTAGATTCATCATGCAGTGAGATTATGCGGAACATGATGCGGGCTGGAGGCGTGGCTCTGTGATCGCTAGGCGATTTTGGGTGGCTGCATCTGTGCGTGAACCAAATTGGCAATTGCTTCGACTGGAAAACCTTCCTGCTCTTGTACAATCCGGGGACGGAACGGTCTTTATGGTGCCAATTACGGGGACACGCGCAGTGCAAATAGATTCTAGTGTAGGCAGACGGACGGACCCTGGCGCTCCTCCGACTCGGCGCTGATAGGTAGCTCCAACATGCTCCGCTTCTGTCGGCGAACTTGACGACGACTCTTTCGGGTCGGCAAGGATGCCAGGATACATGGCCGTTTCCATGAAGCGTCTTACTTCAATGTTCGGTAAGATACTGCCTGTCACACGTCAGCTAAGTTGTTCGTCGGTAGTCGGCAGCCTGGATGCGGGGCAACCGACCAAGTCGATGGATTGTCGAAGATACCGACGCTGGCCGGCATTGTATGATGACACTCACAAGGTGACTCGTGATCTTTCTGCTTGCATAGATATTGTAGCCCCCCAGCGCAATGTCAAGACGCTGCCTCGGTATAGAAAGGATTCGGGGACAACTCTTTTCTGCGCAAGCCTAGATGAACGATCGTTGTCTCTTGGTTCCTCCGCATGCGGGGTACCACGTACTGCCGAACTCAGTGAGCGTCCTTTGATACATTTATGCTACTTATTTGCGAAATCCGACTGATGGACGTAAGCCTCTATTCAGTAGGCTGCTTCGCTTCGCAGGACAATCGCCCGCACGCATAGCCATTGTTGATGCACGGTCCGGACACCAACGTACACATCTCGAGTTGCTCTCCGATGTACTGGCTTTGCGCGAGAAGGTTCTCAGCAGTTTAGTCTGTGCAACAGCTGCAGCGCTCGAGCAACGTGATGAGGCATACATCGCGATATTGGCAAGCGGTGGGTATGAGTACACGGTAGCCATGCTGGCTATACTGGCACTCGGGGCCGCTGCAGTGCCCATCGCATCAGCTTTATCAGTGCAGGAAGCGGCTTACTACGTAGAAAAGTCGTGTGCTTCAGTGGTACTGGTGAGCTCTGCAGATCAAGCAAAAGCTGTTCAGCTCGAGAAATTGATCCGGTCCACGAGCGACGAACAATTCCAAAGCGTATCGATTGCGCCCTCCACTTCCACACCCACGCTCAGCGCGGCCATGATCCAGATCTCGTCAGATCGTGTCCTCGAAGAAAATAGCCCAGCTGTTGTTATCTTTACCAGCGGGACGACAGGCCCTCCCAAAGGCGCGGTCATGAGACGGTCGTTCGTGTCTGACTGCGCTCTCTCGGTGGCAGACCACTTTCGCCTCACTGAAGACGATGTGATGCTCCATGTCTTGCCAGTGCACCATGCCACTGGCGTTGGTATCAATTTCTTCCCATTCCTGCTTTCTGGGAGCCGTATCGAATTCCGCAGCGGCAGCTTCGACGAGGAGTGGATGTGGGAGCGGTGGAAAGAAGGTGCAACAGACAAGAGCCGGCGGCTGACGTTTTTCTCCGGGGTCCCAACAATCTACATGCGCATGAGACGCCACTATCAACGCAGGCTGGTGATGTTACCATCGGCAGAGCTTCATAAATATGTAGCGGGTGCCAGACAGTTCCGAGCTTGTCTCTGTGGAACGTCGGCGCTTCCTTCTTCACTCAACCACTTTTGGGCGACAATAATGCAGAAAAAAATCAGGCAAAGGTATGGTGCCACGGAGTTCGGGGCGATTTTTATGGTTGGCTTGGATGATGATAAGGCGCCCGATGGCTCAGTTGGCGAATGCGTGAGCGGCGTGGATGTCAAGCTCTCTGCGGGGGACGAAGGCGAGGTACTCGTTCGCAGCCCAGTACGCAAGCTCTTCTGTGATATAGCATGTCGTGTGTTACTGACGAGCCAATCCAGCACATGTTTAGTGCCTATCTCCGAGATCCTCAGGCCACAGCTCAAGCCCACGACGAGGAAGGCTACTTTCGTACTGGAGACATTGCGAGACGGGAGGTTGTTGCGAACGGAACGTCGTACTATTACATCGTCGGAAGGGCATCGGTCGATATTATAAAATCAGGTGGTTATAAGATCTCTGCACTCGACGTCGAGCGAGAATTACTAGCTCTGCCGTATATCGCGGAGGCGGTTTGTTGTGGTGTATCCGATGAGGAGTTCGGCCAGAGGGTTGCGGCGCTCGTATCGCTGCAGGATGAAGAGCTGACCGGCGCTTTCCTGTTGTCACATGGAAATGGGGAGCATATCTTGACCATTGATGCTGTGCGCAACGATCTGCGAGCGCGGCTAGCTGGGTACAAAATGCCCACTCTGCTGCGCGTTGTGAGTGGTGAGCTACCAAAAACGGCCACAGGCAAAGTACAAAAAAAGGTCCTTGGGCCGCGATACTTTCCTCAGGTGTTCGATCCGGAGGTGCAACGATGGGAACGACCTTTGCGAGAGGTTGCGAAGTTGTAACGTGGATAGTAAGAAGGGAGGACTGGAAGTGGGGGACGGAGTAAAGGTGCAAGGAGCGCGACATGGGGAAGCTACGATGCTTATTGTGGTCGACAATGATAATCCCAAACATGAAACCTTTCGTCGCAAAAGTCCATGCACAGTAACCCCTGAATAAGAAGCCCTCACAAATGATATCGACGATTACGCCCTGGCGGCACGCGTAGCGCGAATGATTCGTGGATGCCGAGGTCTACGGGAATGAATTGGGCACCAAACATCCTTCTGAGCCTGACTATGTCTCAAATCTTCACGCATTCTGCTTATGCGCCAACACATTGTGCTGATAAATTATGCCAAGCCTCTTAAATAGCATATAGCTGTACGTGCATGGAAGCACTTGTGTGCATAAAGAGGTAGACAAACGAATGTTCATCTACCACTTGGCAGCACATCATTCAGCAAGACTAAACCCCGCATTCAGGGGTGTGCAGACTGCGCAAATGCATACAGTTATCATTTGCTTCGATCAATTTACAAAGCCGCGATTGAACTTTGCTGGAAGCTGTGTTTCTACGTTCCAATCACCTCAACACCACCCCTCATCAATATACCCTATTTCCCGCAGCGATCGCACGCGAACCAGCCTGAAGGACACGTTCCGGTCCCCGCAACTGTCTTCACCAGCGATGGCTACTTCCAGCGTCGACGACGGGGCTACCCAGGCCACATGATTCAACATCAGCATCGCCGACATCATTTGTTTTCGGCTTCTCTTTCTACATGGCTACTTCTACAGTACCACGATTGCACCAAACACGTATTGCCTACCTCTGAAATGTCTGAAAACGCCCAAGATTGCTTAAGTGAGCTTATATCGCGCTTTCAAAGAGGCTGGATCTCTATGGTTGCATACATAGAGTCGGACCTTTTAAGAAACGACTTCTTGAAAACGAAATTGTACCTATATTTGGGCTGGATCGTTGAGCCACTGGTCCCAGTCAACTTGACGGGTTTTCTTATGATTAACTACATAAGGCTTTACGACTCGCTACACTATTCTTCACCGAAGATTGTACTCTAGGTTGGTTCACCCACTAGTTATACATATGGTCGTCGCAAAGAGACTCCATCTGGGAGAATGTATATCTCTTCAAAGAAATACTCCAAATCCGACGAAGCTTGCGACAACGTCAAGGATAAACTCGACGCACTAGGTAAGGATCCTACCCTGATAATCAGGCCTGGATTTGGCGAGGAAGGTGGAAACTTTGGTGCTACATATGAGAGTATTCGTCACCTACACTTTTTCCGCCACTTCGGAGAACGCGACTGGCGTGACATCGCCGACCCTCATCGCCACCATCCTGTCATAGTCCTACACAATGACTTTCTACCAGCACTTCTCACAGGATCTGCAGAATGCAGACGTGGATACCTGGATGCGAACACAGTTTCTCTTCGCTGCAACTCTTGTCCACAAAGTATTTCACGCCTATAGCAAGTGGCTCAATTTAGAACACGACGATCCACTATTTCGTAGAGGAGACATGGAAGCCGAGCTCGGAAATTCCTGGGAGAGGAAAGTTTTGGGATACAACTGCAATCCTGTGTTCCATGACATCGCAAGATGCGAAATGCTGCTGTCCATGAAAGCTATAGCCTACCGAGAGGACCGAATGCAGCCTGAGATCGTCCGGAAATTGATAGGAGACCATCCTTTCCACTTAAACCGCATGAACCCTGCTCACTACCAAGGCCTCTTTCAGATGCAGAGCTACCGCGGGGGCGATTTTTACACCGTCGGAACAATCCGCGCCGCAAATGGATTATTGCAATATCCGCTCTGAGCTTGGACTGGGTAGCTTCGCGGTTCGATCAAATTGCAAGGGAGGTACGCCGGGTTCATTGGCGAAACACGGACATGTACCTACCTACACTTCCACGAAGCTTTGTGTTGGTGTATCAAAAGAAAGGCGATGTCGTTTGGGTGCATTATCCGCTAGATCCGAGGATTGACGAGGACATTGAGTGGATACCAGTGGCTGCAGAGTTGAAAAGGCAGCGCGGTGGAGACAACTTGCCTTGCAGTCCGTAAAAAATTGCTAGTGGTAGCTTATGCGAGCTTACATCTTCCAATGATGGAGAGGGGGGTGTAGCACAGAGTGGGTCACAGACAGAGCATGTCTCGAGAAGTATGATGAACTGAAGACGAATTTGGGTTGTTCTATTTCTAGATCCTCGGGAGCTTCAAAGTTGGAACTCGATTAATGCTTCACACGGGATGCTTGGATTGATCAATAGAACCGGAAAAGTCTCTACGCGCAAGGCTTCACAGTGCAAATTAGGGTAACCCGGACGTCATCGAAACAAAAAAGTACACCCAAATAGGCAATACTTTCTAGCGCATGCAGCCCATAAAGCCGATGCAACGCAATTGGCTCTTCATCACCACGGTAAGCATAAGGGACCCGTGAGCTTATTTTCGGACCCGAAGATAGCTCGCTCATTCATAGTGTAACGGCGCAGATTACAAGGTGCGCGAGCTTATCATTTGTCCTCGCTAGGCTAGTGACATTCTCGGCCTGTAATCTGGCCGATCCATCGGGCATTTTGCTGGCGGAATAATCTAAACGCCGCAGTTTTGCGTACAATTCGTAACCATGCCTGCATTTGTCGACCTGCCCCACCTCAGCCCCTCATCACGTCAATACTATAAGTTCAGCTTCAGTGAAGGCGTTTTGGTTTCTCAGCACAATCAGACACTTCAACAGCAATTTCATTGTTACATTATCACTCAATTTCTATCACAATGTCGTCCTGCGAAAAGTGCAAAAGCGGCTTCAACTGGAACGGCACGCCGAACGGCTCCGAGTCCAAGATCGCAGGCAGCAAAGCCTACGTAACAGGCGACAACAAAGATGCCGCCGTCATGATCATCCACGACATTTTTGGTTGGACGTTTCCCAACCTGAGACTGTTGGCAGACCACTTTGCGAAAGAAGCAAACGTCACCGTCTATCTCCCGGACTTGTACGTACACCAGCGCTATGCTCTCTTATGATCACGTGCTCACCAGCGCCATCCAGCTTCGACGGCGAGGTCATCCCTCCGGAGACCCTCACCAACCCAGCAAAGCGCGAAAAGTTCTCCGTGCCAGACTTCATCGGCCGACACGGCAAGGACACGCGCTTCCCTGAGATTTTGGAGGTGGCGAAGGCCCTAAAGGCGAAGTACAAGAAAACTGCCGCCATTGGGTACTGCTGGGGTGCTTGGGCGTGCTTCCGACTCGGCGCGGATCCGTCTCTGGTTGATGCGATTAGCATGGCGCATCCTTCGCTTGTGGAGCAGACTGAGATCGACAATGTGAAGGTGCCTGTGCAGATTCTCGCTCCGGAGCACGACCAGATGTTTACGCCTGAGCTGAAGGAGTACGCAAACAAGGTTATTCCGACCATTGGTGTGCCGTATGAGTACGTTTACTTCCCTGGACTGACGCATGGGTTTGCCGCGAAGGGTGATCAGAATGATCCGAAGCAGAAGGATGGACTGGAGAGGGCGAAGAACTCGGCTGTTAGTTATTTCAAAGAGTTCCTGCACTCTTCTTAGAGCGTTGGTGTTGGGTAAAGAAGGCTGCCGACTCGTAGCAGGGAAATGTGTTGAAGGGGGGACGGACTGGCCTGCGTGTATTCCTGAATGATCAACAACTTCTAATCGCTTCCTCCACTCAACTCGGGCCGATATCTCACCGGACATCCAAAATGTCACCTGCACATTCTGTTTATTTCCTTAAAGCTACGATTGTATCCTATGTTGGCAGGGATTGCAATTGAGCTCTACACCAGCATACCTACACATCGATGTGTAGGTAGCTACTCTTGCCGAGCCAATTCTGTCCACGTATGCAAGAAGTGGGAGCAGATCTGCCTTCCAACCTTCTGGTCCCACATCTACATCACGAACGAACATATTATTCGCTACCGGGAGACGCTTAAAACTTTTGGCCAGCGCAAGGAACTATTGGTACGCAGCTTGACGGTCCACATGCGCCCCAGGCCGCAGCGGAATCTGCGCGAGCTTCCACTCCCGAGCTCGCTGAGTCTCTAACCGCGCGCCGTCTCACTATTCCAGATTCTCAAGCAACTTCAATCTCGTTCCCCCAGCTCGGCACCGAAAAATCCAGGCACATTGGCGCTCGAGAATCTGATGATCCAATCCGTGAGTCTTGCATATTGCATCAAGTGCAACGGGCAGATGCGAATCAGAGTGATATGCCCATACTAAGGTACTACAGTCAAAGACTGCAGAACCGAGCTTGGATAAGCCTCTGTGTCAATTCAAATGCTCCTTTTCTATGTACCACTAGGTTTCCTGCCATCATGTTCAAGGATTCCTACCTGTGGTAACTAGCAGAAATGAAAAGTTTGATCCAGTACGCTAGGCCCACCAATAAATCACTGGACCTCTGAATCTCCCGCTCAAACGATGAGAATAGAAAGAACATAGGTCCGGGGGGCCGGAAGCGCAAGTTTAGTCACTTCACATGTTGTTGCATTAAATCTTCGACAACACGAGCACCACAAATGCATAATCATGTATACTTCCCAAGTCCGGTCAAATCAACGTTTGCCTTGTCAACATTAGCCAACAGGCCTGAAATGTGGCGCGACCGGGTCATACTGGGTGGTCAACAGCAACAAGGCTGAGGATTCTGAAATTTGTAGGTGGCAACGATATACGAGTCGAACAAGGGTATCAAGCGCTATCTTTTTGTGGCCAGCCTGATGCTGTAGCCGCACACGGACGCAGAGATGAGAGCCTTGGGTTCTCCTCTGCGTTCCATCTTTCACGCTTCTTTTCGATCTCCATCACATTGTTGCGTGGCGATATGGCACGCTCCTCTGGTTTCTACGGGCAGCAACCAAGTATGGAAGCCCATTACTCACCGATCAGCCCTCGCCTTGATATAGAAACCCATCGACAATGCTACCGTTAAGAAAAGACAAACTTCAACACCAATGCCTACGAGACCAGCGGAAGAACAGGATTGTACCGGATAAGCGAGTGACAATGGGAACTGTTCGCTTGGATTATGGATGTAGCGATAATCGCGAGTACGGTATATATTCTGACCAGTTTTCACAACAAATCTATAGAAGAGTGGCCTATATCCATACAGATCAGCACGGTCGTGGCGTTTCTTGCGCAAGTTGCTTGAGTTGACGCCTTCTGGCTTGCTATGTGCGAACACCACCAACAGATCGTCCCAACTCTATTGTCAGCTTTCCGACTGAAGCTTTCATTGGCCAGTTGAAATGGCTGTGGTTCAAAAAGTAACGCAAAGCGATACACGTGCAGAAATTTGACGAAGCCACTCGAGCCCACTGGGCAGCCTGGTCTTGTTCTTCACCCTATCTACGGTACCGTGAGTGTCATCAGAGAGCTCTTTCCTAGCCGATCTAAATTGCTGAATCTTCCTGTTGGTCGACTCGTCCATTTAGGTGCTCTGATTATTATATTCATGCTGATTTTCTCAATATTCCTCTAGCAAGCGGTTCAGATTCAGCTATAGCCCCTGCAGTACACAGCTCGGCCGACAACGGTGCCACGATCGACGCACTACTTCTGGCCTTCAGGGCCAGATGCGTGGTCGAATGGATTCATCGACGGTAACGATATCACAAGTAGGCATCCCTAATGACCCCAGTTCACTCTTTCATTCGTTGACGAAGGCAAACACAGGATCAAACGCCAATCTTACGAACACGACCATCTCCAGCATCATTGGAGATCATCGGAGCTTATCCGACATCAACGCCACAGTGCTGAGTACGGCGAAGGTGCCGGTATGGAAGTCTTCGCAGCTTGCAGTGCTGTATGCCATGCATGAGCCCCAGAAACTGGACACAAAGAGTGAGGTGGGGTTCAGTGCTAGGGGGGATTGGCAGCTTGAGCACAAATGATGAAGACGCGAATTGTCGATTTGGTGAGATGAGGCATTGTTGATGAGACCGTACGACCACGGCCACTCTCGGTCCTGAGAACAAGTAGATTTATTTATATCGGAGCTGTTCGTTGGCAGTGTAGTGCTGTGGTAGCGGCCTAGCGTGAGATGTAGAGTCACACATGACTCGCTTTTCGTCATTGCTACAACGACAAATGACTCAGCGTTTGCATCCCAAACATCCCGGAGGTCTGCTGCGCGCAGTCCACCACATCACAATGGACGACATGTCGACGCGAATCTCCACTCTCCGATCGCTCCTCCCTTCTCTCCAATCGTCTCTCGAGACGTTCAACGCCTCACCGTCGAAGTTCCACGTCGTCCGGACGATCAACCCGTCACCCACGCAACCCCGCACGCTCTACATCCTCGACTCGTCCTTCAACCCGCCCTCTCGCGCGCACCTATCGCTCGCGACTTCCGCTTTGAACAATCGACTACAGGGTGAAGAGAACCCCGCCCGCTTACTCCTGCTCTTCAGCACACACAATGCCGATAAAGCGCCCAGCCCCGCGAGCTTCGTGCAGCGCATCGCGCTCATGACTGTCTTCGCCGAGGACGTCTTGCGCAACCTTCAGGGCTCCTCGAGCGCTTCCGAAGACACGAAGAATGTCAGCATCGACATCGGCCTAACAAAAGAGCCGTACTACACAGACAAATCCGTCGCCATTGCCGCCGAGGCACCCGAGATCTACGCCTCAAAGCCCATACACGTTCATCTTGTTGGCTACGACACGCTGATTCGCTTGTGCAATCCGAAATATTACGCTGAATACAAGCCGCCGCTGTCTGCGCTTAAGCCATTTTTCGATGCGGGGCACAAGCTGAGGGTTACGCAGAGGCCGTATGATAAGAATGACTCTTCCTCCAAAGAGTTTGGGACGGTAGAGGACCAGGAGAAGTACTTGCAGAACATCAAGGACGGTGCGCTGGAGAAAGATGGGTTCGAGGCGGGATGGGGAGAAAACATCGACATGGTTGAGGGTACCGGCATGGGTATTAGCTCGACGAGGGTGAGGAAGGAGGCGAAAGACGGGAACTGGGACGAGGTGGGAAGGTTGTGTACCGAGGGCGTTACTGCATGGATACGAGAGGAGGTATTGTATGCGGAGGATGACAGTGGGAAGAAGATGATGGGGTGATGAGGATGATGCTTCACAGACAAAGGAACCTAGAAGAGGGCACGAGACATATCCGTGCAATAGTAGTCTCTATTGCAGATCCGCAAAGCCCAAGGAGCTACGCTGCGCTTTCGGGGCAATGAAGGGCAATGGCTGACCGGCTGGGGGACACCGGAGCCGCAAAGCTGCGGTCGGGCCATGATTAGGATTCCGAATCGAACGGGTCCTTCCCATATTGGCGGATGCACGGGGCTGGGGCCTGACGTTGCATCAACACGGGCCGGTCACCCAGGCAAAGAGGTACAAACAATTGCCATTCATTCGTGTAACATATCGGCATAGTCATCCGCGACTATGTAAGGAGAGTAAATAGCGGCAGATGGGAAATTGTCGGAACCCGAGGTACCATACAACATTCACGGAAACATACACCACTTCAGAAAGAAGTAGATTACTGCGATGATTGTGAGAAGAACAACATCGATATGTAGATAACCGCACTATCGACAGTAGCCCTGCTAGCCACGTCTGGAAGTGTCGCAGAGCATCTTCCATTCTCACCGCCACATTCCGACGCTTATTGCCAATGGAGATGTTCAACATACCATGGTGCATCCGAGAAGTATATACAAACTCTATATCGTCAGTGCAGTCGAGGTTATCAGGTCGAATTTCAAGTAACACTTCCATCCAAATTTGATCGTCGGAATCTGAGCCTGCAGCTTTGTCTTGTAATTCACTTGCACGATCGCTTCATATCTTTTTCTTTGCTCTGAAAAAACACCTCCCGATGCGGACGTTCAGCATCATCCTCCCCGCAGCATCCCTCCTCCTCCACTCTATTCCCTCGCTCGCCGCCTCCTTCGCCCCCGTCGCACTCACGCCGCCGCTCAATTGGGTGGCAGATTCCTATCTCTTCCCCGCCAACATCATCGCAGGCTACAATGCCAACTTGACCGAGTACAACGCCACCACCTGGGGCGCGCATGTGCTCGCAGCTTGCGCCAGCTTCACTGCCTGCACCAGCGCGCTTGCTTTCCAAGGTAACAATAAACTGTGATGATACGTGGAAATTGATGACGAGGCTGATAGTAATGAAGCAACCAACAGCGGGAGCACGGGCGGAAGATTCTGGTTCGGGTATGCGTTTCGCGGGGGTCCTACCGATGAGTCTTTCTATGAGAGGGACGATGACCCGTATGGTGGGGTGACGGAGTCAGCGGCGTGGACGATTTTGGTGTAAGCGATGCCCCGTAAGAACAGTTGGGGAACAAGAGAATGGGTGCGTGATGAGCGCATGTGATGCTATGCTATGCTATGCTATGCCGAAAATGCAGATCAATCTTATCCAGTAAACCTATGGATCCTTTTGGGTCCCAACGCCAATGCTACCATCGCTGTCACGTTGCCCGACTCCGCGGACACACCCTTAGCCCATGATACGCCGCCGTCTCCCACTGTCCACGCTCACAGTGTTGTCCGGCCCGATCGAGATGCTCAAGCTCGAATTCTCATCTTCGGACGCGTTCCGTCTTCGAAGAGCGGCACCCTGGGACTTGCTCCGCTCAGGGTTGATGACGAGCCAGGTGGCACCGCCATCGGCATCCTCCTGCTGCATGAGCTGGAGTTGTGCTCCGTTCCGGCCTCTTGGCCGTGGTGACTTGGGCGAGGGCGGAGGCGGGAAAAGTGTCGCAAACTTGGTGACCTTGATTGGCAGTGTGGTGAGAGCTGTGGGTAGTGGCATCGACTCTACCAGTGTTACCTTCTCCAGCGGCATGTTAGATAGTAGTGAAGCGGGTAGATCCGTGGGTGAGCATGCCACGATGACGTGGCGGAGATGCACGCTTGATGTGTAGAAGGACAGGTTCTCTGTAGCTAGTGAGTTTGACTGTTGAAAGAGTTGTTGGGAACACGTACCTCTAAGCTTACGTCCTGAACTACCCTCTTTACCGACGCCAATGTCGATGAAGTCGAAGCTCGAGATTCGCCCGCAGAAGCCCGTCGACATCGCACGGAGTGCACCCAGGTTCCTTACTTTGTCTTGCCGAACCAGGTAGTTCGCCATTCCCTCCAGATTAGCGTACACCCGTACGAGGATGTCCATGCTGTCTGCGTCGTCGAACTGCGGCCTCAGGTACTCCCTTGTCCGGATCAGGAGCTCGTCTGCCAACTGCTCGCCACCTTGTGCTTTCCTGGTCAGGTACTTGTCTTGGAACTACTCGCATTAGTTCGGTGCCTCCCAATAGACGGACCGACGCACCAAGAACCCGTCCGCATCAGCATCAATCAGGACTAGCGCGAACGGTCGTCGTGCCTACAATGTATGAGAGAAGAACGTGTCGAAGTCTGAAGCACGACGGACCTGTCTCTGTGCCATCGCACTCTCCTTCTCTCTCGCCTCGACGACCTCAGCCTGCAGTGTGCGTCGGACATTTTGCTCCGAATTGAGGTCGAGTTCGGTCTGTGCCAGCTTCGCTTCGGTTTTCTCGAGCTTCTCCAACAATTCCTACCGAGGCGATGATCAGCAACGCGTTCTTAACCAATCGAAGCCCGACCTCCGAGGAGTCATACTTCAATCAACTCGAATCTCTTCTCTTCCAAGATCCTAAATTGTGCGAGTCGCTCGCGGTACGTCGTTGGGACGGGCGGGACTGTGGGAGCCGGTGCATCCGCCATTGTGATGCTTGCAACGTTGAATTCTGGGGCAACCTTGCATTTAAACAGATGGGTGCACGCTTTGGGTTCCGCGCGTCATGTCGGGCCTGGGTGGCTGCATGCAGGTAAAGTGCGGTGACCCGGCGACGATTGGGATGTTAAACGTAGCGAGCGCTGATTGGCTCGCGAAGTGGAGGCCAGAAGCGTGATTCGATGCTTTGCGCTTAGAGTTGACCGGATGAGGAGGCTGATGCGGGACTGCTGGCGAGCGCTGGCGGAGTTGGTGTCGCTACGCGTTGGTGGTGCTGTGTTGTTGGACGCTACAGTACCTCGGTGGCAATTCACCTAGCTATGGTCGCTGTATAGCTTCGAAACAACCGTCTCGATATGTGAACCACCATAGTCCTCACTGTGGCACTGGTGTGGAGCAGCTTGCACGAATGTTCGCTATTTATACATTGTGAATCGTGCGGGATATACCCGGCATTCGATCTCTGGGGGCGCAGCGAGAGGCCTTCTATGCAGTTTACAGAAGTTGCGATAGCAACGAATAATGATACACACCTTTGGGACCTTAGAACCGAACGGTACCAGCGAGCCTGAAACGTGGCCCCGGTATAATACATACAATTACATCCTTGCGGCTCTTTCACCTCCGAAGTACCGCTGCGCCAGTTCCACTCCGCTTCTGTTTACACCGTTGTCTGCGCCGGCTTTGTTGCCTTCGAGCGATAAGCGCGCTTCTTGGGTGGGTTCGTCGGATCAGTCCAGTTCCTGTGGCGATCAAAGTCCTTGGGATCCTTCTTCGCGGTTTTCGACACCCAGTCTTCGTGGATATCCGAATCTGCTGGCGCCAAACCCTTCTCTTGCAATTCTGCCAACAGTTCTTTGTCCAACCTTCCGATCTGGTACGCTTTGGCCGCGTCGACTTCAGTCGCCCGTGCCCAGACGAGCACACCCTCACACTCCTTATCATGCATTGCCCGAATAGCCTCGTCAGCGCCCTGTTTGGTGGTGAAGTCGATGTGGCAGAAGAACTTGGGATGGAACGTCTTCTCTCCGAACTGGGGTGTGAGTCTGCTGATTGACTCGATGCCAAATCGATCGAATGAACGCTCCAACACTTTCAGATCTGTGTTACGGCGCTGAGCGGGCGAATCGCCTTTGCTACCCCATGCAGGATATTTAACGGAAATCCGTACACGGCGGCCTTCAAGAAGAGGCATGACCGCTTGCCGAATTCCGGATTGGTCCTCGCGCACCAGGTAAGTGTGTCTATAACGATTGCCTGACAGGAAATCGTCCCAATTAAACTCCGGGTTCAGCGCTCTGAGGTACACTTCATTACCCATGGACGCGTTTCCGTTGAGTTCCTTGACGGCTCTCTGGGCTTGCTGTTCATCTGCCAGCTCCACTGATGCAAACGTATCGCCTTCATATCTGAAACGATCAATGCTCATATGGGTATCAACACTAACACGAATGGGTCAGCTTCAATCACGTGAGCCTCCACATGCGTCGATGGAGCCCCATATGGCAAGGAAGAAGGACTGACACTTGAAAACCTGCATCCGTAAAGAATGCTTCAACTCTGCTCCTCGTGGCACGCCTGGGTATTTTGAAAACTTTGACCGAACGGGCATTTTTCCTTCGTTGTTCTTCAGGTATTGGTGCCTGAGAAGCCAGGGCAGGTGCATTTGCAGAGCTACTCGTAGTAGACTGGACAGCCTCTTGTAAATGGCGGGATGCCGAGATGAATGAGCGATGCGGAACTGTGATGCGCCCGGATAAGAAGACAGAGGTGGCCAAACGTGACATAGGGCCCCTGAAGACAAGCCCGCGCCCTAGTGAGCAAATGCGGGGCAGAGCCATGCTGAACGGGTATTATAGGTCTGTCGAGAAAGCCAAACGGGAAGGTTGAGCAGAAAATAATAATAAATAACAGAGCGATTGATGGAATCGCGAAGCAAGCGCTGCAACGAAAAGTTAATTAGGAAACGCCAAGAGATACCACGTGATCATATCGATAACGTAAATTAGTGTTACGGTTCAACCTCAGAACACCTTTATCTTCAGTTTAGGTACCGATGCGCTGTCATCAACTTCTCGACGCGCCTTGAAAACGTTCGAAGGTATGGCCCTCGGCATAGTTTCCTAGCGAAGTAGACGTTTTCGCAGTGCATTCCATCTGGAATAATTAGATCCGTTTAAATTCTCAAGTTCCTCGAGGATATCTCTTTTGTGCTCCTCACTGCTCTGGTATCTAGGCACAACAATCTCCGTCACATTACTTCGCTCTCTACAGGCCCTGGCCGGGATGCTGTCCGCTTCATGCATGATGTGCAGGAGGAGGCCCAGTACACACAACCAGACTACATTGGCTTGGCCGTTGATGTGATTCCACGCATTGTGTATATCAATTGCCAAAAGATTGCCTTCAGGGCGCACGTAGAGGCGTTACTTGCTCGAACTGGACTTCCCGTGTGAGTCGTGAATTGGGCGTAAGCCACTACCTAGGTAGCTCTTCAAGCAAGAGCGGACGGTCCCACATACCTTACCGAGAGAAGGTACATATAAAGTTTCGGACATTGGTATTAAGCTAAGCTACAATACCCACTTCTACCCAACGCCCTTAGCTTTTACTTATTTCACTTACTTTGTGCCCCACAGTTGTGCCTACAATTCCCAGACGCCACTTACGCCGACAATGCCCAACCAATCATTGAAAAGTACACATTGTTTGGCGAACCGATCCGTGTTACTTGCCCAAATCAATTTGAAGGCTACAGGAACTATGATAGAAGATGGTGATTCAGCGGTTGGCACAGTAACCCATCACCAAGGTCCCCACAAGCTATGCAAGTGCGCGCTTCTCCCTGCAACTTTCTACCGGAAGATTTCACGAAATCTATGAGGGAGGGCCGGCGGCGCTGGATCCAAAATACACCACCAATGGCCACGACCACAAGACTAGAAATATTGGAAGGAATATACGAAGTGCCCCATGGCCTGAACGTGATGGATATAGCAGGCAGAATATAGCGCCACGGAAACCGTTCAAATCACACCCAGTGAATGGCTGGGCCTTGTACACGGAATTGGAGACAAATGAGAAGGCCGCTAAGCGGAAGCGCGACTGGATAATTTCGACTTGTTTGGTCATCGCTTGATACGCAGGATTGCGCAGGACTAATGGCTCAGTCGGTTTCGGGTCCGCGAAAGGAAGCAAACTGGAAGCATTGGAGGATGATGCACTGGAGAGTAAGGTACGTCGACATAAGTTCAAGAAAGATTCTATATCAGGACCTCCAGACGATGCTATCGGATCAATAGAAGTCAGCGTCCCATCTGGTAAGGACGGCAAAATTTAGCGTCAATGACCTTGAGGACTGAGCTCCGACTGCCTGGCTCGGAACTGTAACATAGGCCCATCCTTCATACTCGCAAACCGATCTTCGATCTGATACTCTGATGCCCGCGTCCTCCCCACTTCCAAATCCTTGTTTCCCGCGCCCAATGTCGAACCCGGTGCCAACCTCAGGTCATACAGATACAACACTCGCGCAATCGTAACAGTTAACTCGACGTACGCCAATCCCTTACCAATGCATCCTCTTGGACCTATACTGAAGGGACAAAAGGCAGCATGGGCCTCTGAAAGCTTGTTGTGCAATGGGTTGGCTACCGGATCGGAAAGCCATCGCTCGGGCACGTAGTCGAACGGACGCGGAAAGTAGTCGGCGTTGTGGTGGACAGCGTAGTGCGGCACGCCCACGTCCACACCGGCGGGAATGTGGTGGCCGTCAATGTCGATCCCACCTGGAAGAACTTGCCGGGGGAGAGCACCAGCGACTGGTGGCGTCATGCGCATGGACTCATCGATGCATGCACGCAGGTATGCGCAGCCGCTAAGCGTCGGCCCGGAAACAATCTCCTCGACATCCGCGAACGTAGCACGTATCTCCTGACACAACTTCTGAAGAGTGGCCGGGTTATGGACAAGGTAGAAGAATGTGGCAGCCATGGCGGTGGATGTCGTGTCCGAGCCAGCAATGATCAACAAATTCGACTCGCCCCACAGCTCGTCCATGCTGAACCCGTTGCCCGTCTCAGGATCCTTCGCATTCAGCAAATGGAAGAAGAAATCTCTGCGGTCGACGTCGAGCCCCATCTTCGTCCTCTCCATCGCCTGGGCTTTGCTGTACTGCATGTACTGTCCTCGCTGCGCCGCAATCTTGCGGAACAGAATCTTGTCCAGGTGCCAATTGTGTATCGTCAAATGCGTTCCACACTGCTCACGTTAGCATCGTCCCGTTCCCGTCAACAACAAAACTTACGATCAAATGTCGATGCGCCGCATTCCCAACCAGATCCACCGCAAACCGGTTCGCAGGACTCTCCAGCATACCGAACGCTTTACCAAAGACCAAATCACCCATGATGTCGAACACCAACCAGTTACACCAATCTGCCGCGTTCCACGGCTCGTTCCATCCCTTCTCACCACCCCTCTTCTCTCCCAACAATCGACACGCAGTTCTCACGTTCGCCAAGATATACTTCTCCAGACTCTTAATCGCCTGATCACTAAACGCATGGCTCATGACTCTCCTCTTCCGCGCATGCTGCAACTTGTCGATGCTGCTGTGCACATTCACCGTCTTCTTGTTCGCCGGAAACGCGGTGTAGAAATCAGCCTTGCGCACGTTGGCGCGGAACCCGTAGATGGTTTTCAGAGCGGTGGCGGTGTTGCAGGAGAGCGTGTTGGGCCCGAGGCGGACATAGGGACCGTAATTTTCGTGGGCGCGCTGGAAGGCGAGGTGTCGAGAGCCGCGGTAGGCGTAGTAGGTGAGGTAGATGTCTGTTATGGCGGCGAGCTTGGGGCCGGGGTAGCGCGCGAGGGGATGGAGGGTGAGGCGGTATGTGATTACCGCAAAGACCTGCGCAAATTAAAAAGTGAATGAGCAAGGTTGGAATGGTACCTACGTAGAGGAAAAGCACGCCGAAGATGGAGGCTAGCAGGACCAGCGGAGACGTGAGTATGCTGAGGAGAAACTCCATGTTGGGTGGCAGAGCTTGGTGATGCTATCGAATCATGGGCACAAGATATAGAGGCGCTTCGTATGTTTTGACTGTTCGAACAAACCACTACCATTCACAGCTGCGCAAACCGACTCTATATACGCCCGTGCCCTCTCCACCACCATCCGCGCTCCTTGAAATGCCACCGCACAATCAGCAATATTGCATTGTCAGCAACGCTTACAACCCCACTCTAACGTTTCTCGTTGTAAAATTCGGTCATGTGCGCGAGTGCAGGTGCGGGCGGTCGCGCTGATATGAAGCGGGCGGTAGCGGTTATTCGCGGGTATCGGTGCACGTTACAAAGATCGCACTAGTGTCGGCGGATATTGCAGTCTGGCGCGGATACTCAGGTACATAATGTACATTAGTGTAGAGCCGCGGAAGACGTAGGATTTCGTAATGGATGGGCGCGGATATTGAGCTTTCGCGAGTTCGCAGAAGGGTGGAAAGACCACAGACCTGGACCGAGGTACCCGGTGCTGAGGTTGATGGACGCGATACACGCCGCGATTATCTTATGATTGTGGAATTACTCCTTTTGAGGAACAGCATTCATACATTAAGAATACATTTTCATCTTGGGATCGTTCTTTCCCTCCTAGGTTCGCCCTACATATCTCAGACCTCCTTTCTCGTGCACTCCCCATCCCTTACGCACCGCCTTCCCTCTTCGCATACTCATCCTCCATCCTCTCCTCATACTCCCGATCCCTCGCCGCCTGTCCCTCGGTATCAGTCACATCCTCGATCCTGCCTCTCTCCCCCGTGCTCTCAATCCTCCGCCCAGCGCTATCATACTCGAGCTTCTCTTCGCGCGCGGCCTGTCCAGGCTCCTGCGAGCTGCGATGGACTTTGGTGCCAGAGGGGTCACTGTAGGTGGCTTCGGTGCGGGACCGGGTTTCGCCGTTGACGGTAGAGGAGGAGAAGGAGTACGAGGCGGAGGAGAATGTGGAGGTGGTGCGGTTGTTCGACATTGTTGTGTGTACTTTGGTGTTGTTGGTGTAGAGTTGAGTTCAGATGTTCGGTAGCCGTATGTAGTTGGTTTTTCAAGGTAGGAGTCTTTGGCAGACGGAGACGTTGGGGTATTATATCATAAGGTTGTGAGTGCTGGGCTGAGGGTGACGAATATGACGTCATGTTCCACATTCTCTGTCGCGACAATGGAACCGCGACAAGCGATCGGGAGATATCATGATCTTCAGTAATGCCTGACGACTCCACTCCGAATCACCCTATAATTCTGCCTACTAGTCCCTTGGTTATCTTTGTGTGAATGCACAGCATCCGACGGCAACATGCCGAGACAGAGATGCGCGACGTGCTTGAGCCGCATTCACGAATTGACTCACAAACGAACAAGGGCAAGGATCATATCAACCAGCAGCAATAAGCCTAGCGACTCGAGATTAACTCCAGAATGGAGCATTGCGCCACTGGCACATTCAGCCATTGTATACTCGTGGGCCACCATGAGGCACGACACGCGTACTGTCTACAGCATTGTGCCACTGGCACAACAGCTGCCGCAATGTTAATCTAGTACGTTAGTTGAACTACAAGATTCGTATCTCTAACAACAACACTGTGACGATGTCTCTCTCATTGATGGGTCTGGTCTTACATTCAACAACTGCGAGCATTGCTGTAAGTAAACACCACCCTCGCTTCAACCTTCCATTCATCTACGAAACGCGTAGGTACCTACAGCTGGGAAACTCAAGGAAAGGTGCACAGAGACCAACAAGCACATTACGCTTATTCCTTGATTACTACTCTTGCTGTTGTTATCCCTCTTCCGATGCCTCCACACACCGAAAACCTTATCCCGTGGATTGCCAATGAAGAATTCCAGAAGGCTTACAGGAAGACGCATCGATAATCTACCAGAGAAGCACTCTAGACTTTCGAAGGAACTATTCAACCGAGGGGACTCATGGTATTGGGGCCCTGAAAGTGCAAACGGCGTGTTCGTGTCCAGGGGCCGTCCTTCCGCCATGAATTATATGCGTCGGGAAAAAGCGTATTTCATGGACTCGACATCAATACTCGCGCCCTCTTCTAAAAAAGACTCCTGGAAGAGTACACCAAGTTCAAGGTTGAACGCCAAGAGGGCGCAATCCGGTGGGGGTTCCAAATGGCGTATGGGACCACAAAGACGGTGGATTTCGAAGATCATCAATTTATATTCGAGTACCGAGGGCCGAACATGGAGCCTAAGCTGTCGAAGGAGAATTTTGACGGCGGGGATTGATTACATTGGAGTTCCAGCAAGGATAATCCGGACCCAAATAAGAACCCTTACACCCGGAAGGAGTCCTCTTACAAGTATCTGACCAGCCCGCCACCGACATAAACTGGCAGTAGCACCCACTGAGATGCTGTGAAAGGGAGTTGTTGGGCGGGCTGGGGTTCTTTTGTTCACGCGGCCGGTCTGCAGCGCAGAGGCTTCCCCTCTTTGAATGTGCACCTGGGCATCTTAGAATGTTGATTGTACCAGGTAGCATGTGTGTCTATCCGAGGATCTTGTAGTCTTGTTACACGATTGTGAAGCTTGCACAAAGTGTCCAGGGCTTGCGTGCCTCTTCCACGTGCATAGCCGCGCAACACTGAAAAAGCTGCGCCCCCACGCCAAGCAGCTAGCAGGTGGCCCACTGCCTACCGGCAACGTGGGGACAGTCCCGCTGCCCGTCGGAACCACCAAACATGCGTTCGCTGCCATATGCTCTGCCGGCGCTGTCGCTGTTCCTCCCGCGAGCAGTCGTCGGCAGCCCGGAGCTGTCGCTCGACTGCGCCAGCCACGATGGCAGAACAAACGACGAGTGCAAGCGGCCCATGCAGGCTGTCACGACGGTTACCCCTGGCGCATATTACATCGCAAAGATCGCCTGCCCGGACTGTGCTGTGCCGGAGTTCTCTGGCGAGCGCGAGAACCGGACGTACAGCCTTGTGCAAAAAGAGAATGATCTGGTAGGTGCTGCCATCTTCCCGGGAGGAGCGCAGGCTAACGGGTGCTCCACCGCAGTTCTTCAACATCTCTCTCACGCGCGACCACCGCACGCTGCTATTGAACGGCCAGCCGATATTCCCGTCGCTCTCTACGAATCCGCACCCACCGTACATATCAACCCCGCAGATAGCCCCAAACTTCACGCGCAGCGACCTCGCCGACACCCTCGCATGTGCCCGCAAATGCCGCGACGAGAGCCACGGCTGCGCCTGCATCGAGTCCGTCATATCGACCGCAGAACTAGATTTCGACTACTACTCCAAGTGGCTGGACTCGCACCCCGAGACACAGACGGAGAAGTGGGAGGTCACGCTTGACGCGATCGGGGGCAGCAACGGCCCGGACAAGGACGCTGGACGCGTCTTCGGCAGCGACGACCAGTCTGTGCTGCGCATCATCATGCAAGGCAAAGAGATACAAAAAGACAGACCAGGCAGCCACAAGCAGGCAGGCAGCCCTTTGTCCGGCGGCTACCAGGAGCCCGAGACCGTCTATGACTACGAGATCGCGAGCATCGAGTTCTCGCAGCGCTACGCCGAGGTGCCGCGGGTCGAGAAGCTTGGGCTGTGGGATAAACTGCGCCGCTTTTTTGGCAGCGACGTCGTGCGCGGGGACGGGCATGTCGTGTACCTCGCCGAGGAATGGGGCGGATATGGCAAGAAAGGCTCGCTGCGCCAGGGCTTCGGCATCGTGGTCCACGAGTGGCGCTGGGACATCGTCTTCACCATTGTGGGCGTCGTCGCGCTGGGCCTCGCAGCCGCCTGGTTCTCATGGTGGCTCTTCTTCGCGGTGAAGCGGCAACGCGAGCTCGCGCGGTGGGACGGCATGGATCAGGTGTGGGCGCGCATGCGGCGGGATGGCGGTGACGAGGAGGACGCGCAGCTACTGGCTGCTGGGTACAGAGACGAGAATGCGTATAGGGATAGAGAGAGCGCTGACGAGGGGTATAGGGATGAGCCCGGGGACAGTCCGCCGAGTTACTCGGATGAGATTCAGACGAACAAGCCGCTACCGAGCAAGCCTCTGCCCGAGAAGCCGCTGCCTGCGGTTCCGCTCATCGAGTCGTAGACGGCTGAGCGTGTTGGGTTGTTTTGGGCTATATAATGTATTCATTTTATGGTACGTGAATACCAGAATGAGGCCATCCGTGATACACCAAGCGCTTGAAATTGCTTCTCAGGAAACACAAGCACTTACACCATCCACCATCACGTTCACCACTTTTGCACATTTTAAGAGCCAAGCCCTCCATGAATGTGCACTCGGAGTTAGGCATCTACTATCTTGGGGCAACAAGGCGGACGCTTCCTCGGTCAGCACTGAAGGGTGTCCTTGTGTAACATCAAATCACTGCACCCCCATACTTCCCGCAAGGAACATGAGGAGATAGCCCTTTCGGCCCGTTTCGGCGTAGACAGTAATAACACCCCACATCGCGCACGTAGCCCCGCCAAAGTCCGGCATGAAGCATGACGCAGGTAGACCCCCGCCGACGTTGCACATGAGTCGAGACTGGGATACAAAGGCCCGTTGCTCCGGTGTGATATCTTCGCATTGAGGAATTGTCACAGTCGCAGAGTCAGGAAACGTCGGTGAACTCTGAGAAGTACAGCAAGTCAATCACAAAGGGAAACAGGTATCCGCAACAGCTTGCAAGTTTCAAGGGGCGCACATCTCAGCCGGCACAACAGTAAGAGCAGGGAACCAAGTGAGACGCCGAATAGAATGGTTCGCGTCGCCGTAGCGGGTGGCACAGGCAGTACGTCTTCCTTCTCACTCCCTATATCTGCGACCCCAGACGAATCTCGACCCAGGAAAACCATTCTCGATTTCACTTCCCTCCCCCCATACCACCAACCATACTACATACTGCCCCGAATACTCACCTCTGCAGACGTCGCCACCGAGATCCTCCGCGCCCCGATCGCCTCCGGCACTCACGACATCACCATCTTCACCCGCTCACCCCCCACCACCAGCACCCCAGGCGTATCCTACAAAGTCGTCGACTACACGGACCGCGCCGCTCTCACGGACGCGCTCAAGGGCTTTGATGTCTGCCTCTCCTTCCTGGTAGTCCACCTCGATGTCGACTGCGTGGTCCAAAAGAACCTCATCCACGCATGCATCTCCGCCGGCGTGAAGCGCTTTGCACCTTCCGAATGGGGAATAAAGAATGGGAGCGGCGTCCCGCCGTACAAGAACAAAGACATCATCGCAAAGTACTTGGCAGAGTTGCGTGAGAAGGGCGAGCTGGGCGGGATGCAGTATTGTTTATTCCAGCCGAGCATCTTCATGGACTACTTTGCGCATCCTCATCCGCTCAGTCCCAACCTCATCACCTGGCCTTTCTTCATCGACTTTGAGAAGAGAAGGGCGATGGTGCTGGATGGCGGGGATCAGCCGCTTGCCGTGACGGCTATTGCTGACATCTCTGGGATGCTGGATCTCGCGCTTTCCTCCTCTGCGCCTTGGCCCACGATCGGCGGCATGCAGGGTGCCCGCACCTCCATCAACGAGCTCCTCGCGCTGGGCAAGAAGTTAAGGGGCGGCGATTGGAGCGTTGAACACGTCCGTGGGGAAGACATCGAGAATGGCATCCTCACGACCTCTTGGATCCCGATTATGAGCCATCCGGTTATACCGCAAGACGACCGCGAGGCTTTCAGCAAGGAGTTTGTCATTATGTTTTTCAAGGGAATACTGAGAGGGGCATGGGATGTGAGTAAGGAGTGGAATGAAAAGTTCCCAGAGTATAAGTTTACGGGCTTGGAAGAGTATCTGGGACGGGCGTGGGAGGGGAAGGATTGAGTAGCGGATGAGAGGTCGGGTGTATGGAGATATGCTTTGGGTGAGTGAGAAGTAGGATCTTGGGGGAAGTTGATGTGTACATGGCTGAGTAGTGAGCTTGACGGAAATGGTTGGAGGGTCTTGGGATACGTATTCCTCGTCCACGGTACAAATTGCAGTGGAGGTGCGGCTCTGTGTCCATGAAGAGTCGCAAAGAGACATTATCGCCAAAGCGAGGCGAGTAGCCAGAAAGCTGTGATGTGTGACGTAGACTGGCTCTGCTTTGGTAGGTCAAGCTTCTACACGGGCATGTTGCGTTCAATCAAGGGGTTGCCAGATTCAGATTATCAGCTTCCAAACCTACCAGTCAGGAAAGCAACTCTCCGCTTAATCCCTCAATAGCCGACAACTCCCCGCAGCATGCACTTTTGCATTTCCGAACAGCCTACCAAAAGTTCCATGACACATGTTACATCCCAATTTTCTTCTATCTCATCAAACTGTTTATATAAGCCACGCCCTCCGTCCGATCTTGGTCGTCCTCGATATAACTCTTATCCGCCCGGAACACAAAGTTTGTGACGTTTTGGCTGTATTGCGGCCATGCGGGGACGCCGGACACCCCATGTCCGTTTGGGTCAAGATCGTACGCGAAGGACGTCCACATCCTGCCGACGAGGTGCGAGAGCGCGATGTTCTCGGTTGAGTTACCCAAAGGCGTGATGGTCTGTTCTTGATTGCCGAAGACGAAGGGGATCTGGAGGCAGAGTTAGTCATCTCTGGTATTTATACCTGTGGTGCCCAGGTGGTGGGCGGTGCAGTATCTCGACTATCTCTCCGGCCTCCACTTGTAGTAGCCATTACCAATTCAAAATTCAGCATCTAGAAGAAGCGCACTCACCTCCGAGAAATGATTTATGCCAATCGTCGTCGGCGTATTGTTGAACTTCGGCGCATCCCACCGATACGAATATACCCCCTTCACATATTTGCTCATACTCTCTGCCATCAGTCTCCTCGGCCCAAACATAGTCAGGTCTGTCGCGATGCTGGTATATCGCTTATACTGCGCCCCGTACTGCGGCCACGTTCTGTTTCCCCAGCCATACGGCGCGCCAACTGCAGGATCGTTCGGATAGAGTTCTAGTATGCGTTCCGCTACAGTTGTGTTGACGTTCCACCTCTTCGAATGTGTTAATTGCTCGATGGCTTGCGCGTCAGTGTTTACGCCATTAACGCCGAAGCCCTCATCTGTGTTGGTGCCTAGGATGATAGGGATCTTCGCAAATTTGCCCTGAGTGAGGGATTCCTGGCCGTACCGCGGAATGAACGTGCCATCTTTGACATGGAACCATTCCAGGCCGACGTAGCCATATGGTGCAATCTTTTCGTAAGGCACTTCGCGGATGCATTGAAGTGTGTCGGTGGCGTTCGTACAACCAAGGGAGGCAGTCAGGTTGTCGTACATATGTTGGTACCAATCTGTGCCGTTGAGAGGCGCGCCGACGGCTCCGCCGCTTTCCATGATAGCTGCACGGAAGAGGCCGCCGGTCTCGCCGTTGTAGGCGTTAATGTGGTCCCCGACAGAATAGGCGCCTGCGGACTCGCCCCAGATAGTCACCTTCTTTGGGTCGCCACCGAAGGCCGAAATGTGCTTATTCACCCATTGCATGGCCAGGCGCTGGTCGCGAAGACCGAGGTTTTGGTTTCCGGTTGCATCAATCTCCTTGCTGGAGATGAAGCCGAAGGCTGCCATGCGGTAGTTGATAGAGATGCCGATCACGGGCTTGTTGTTGAGGGAAGACTGCTCGACTATGTAGCTTAGGTTGTATCTGTGAGTGTGAGTCAAAAGAAAGCATTGCTTGTAATGTAGAATGACAAACCTGGGGTCGCTGGTAGCGCCCTGTTGCCAACCACCGCCATATATCCATAACAACACGGGGAGCTTCTCCTTGCGCTTTTTCACCATAGGTTTGATGATGTTCAAATGGAGGCAATCTTCACCTAGCGTGGTCCAGCCTTGGGAAACAAGTGTGTTCGTATCTGAACCATAGCCCGTGCAATCTACGCCATACTGTGTAGCATTGAAATGCGTCGAAGGAGCATCTTCAGCTAGTTTTGCAGGTGCAAAGCGCTCTGGCTTCGGCGCAAATTTGATCCCGAGGTAGACATCCTGGTCGAAAGTAGGCAGGTGGCGACCGTGGAATATGCCAGCTCTTGAATGCACAACAGGGGGTTGGGACGCTGAGGACAAGGCGATCAGAGACGCTGCGAAGGAAGAAGAGAGTAGCATCGTCTCAATTGCGCAATTGCTCCTGCCGCGCAGTTAACTGCGGGACTACATCTTTATGTACTTCTTGCACGATTTCTAGGTCGCCCTCGGAGGACAGTGTCAATGTTAAGTATAGCGTGTATGCGTTGAAAATCCACCAATGACCGGGTGAGCTGCAAGGTTCCGGAAGAAGTCCCCATGGAGAGCGCAAAGTTTGGGGAAATAGCAAGCGAGCGCCAGTGTCTGGGCATCCGGAGATTGCCAAGACGCATGCGAAGCAGCTTGTAACCCATGACACCTGAGCGGGCTTCAATAGGAATTTTCAACACGGTATTTGAAGATGGCTATGGCAGTGATGTGTTGTGGTGATCCCCACGGGTCGCCCCTACCCCACATTTCCCCCGCAATCGAGATTGGAGATCTCGGTAGCGAGGCCCTGCTGGCCTTGAACTAATCAAAGCACTCCTTTCCTCCTAATTTGCTCCTCAAGCAAACCTCATATCCTGAAGGATAGCTATCACAATGGAAGGCGCCACTTCCATGTAATCACCTGTCGACCAAGACCTAGTATTCGAAGACAGATCGCGGAGATTCTCTCCAACAAGAACGTGCGCATGCGTCCGAAACGATGCTTCGTACTCAATTGCTTTCCATCCTTCTCAGGGGGCCACTCGCGCAGTAGCCGACGCAAGATCTTCCCTGTTGGGTTCCGCGGTATGCTATCACTAAACACAATTTCTGCGGGTACTTTGTACTTTGCTAGCGATACCGCAGCGAAGCGTTGTATTTCGCTCTCCGTCACACTGCTATTCGGAAGACTCAGTGGGACATAGACCCTGTACAAAGTATGTACTCACCTATCGCGACGGCGGACAACGTTCGCCCGCACAAGCTCTCCCTGGCCGCTGCCCAGAGGCACTCCCACCACTCCAACATCGAGGATGTCTGGGTGCTGGCGAACACGACTTTCGACTTCACTAGGGCTGACCTGCCATCCGCGCACCTTGATCAAATCCTTCTTCCGGTCCACAATGAATATGTTGCCTTTCTCGGTGACGTAGCCGATATCACCGCTGTTGACCCATTTTTCGCGTGAATCGACGGAGAAGATCTCCTTATTGGCTTCCGCATTGTTGAGATACCCTAGCATGGGATGCGGAGCCAGTATCTGTAGCTCTCCTGTGGCGCTTGGGCTTTGATGAGGACGGCCAGCATCGTCGATCACGCTTCATGACAGGTCAGCGGTAGGGGCAAAGTGCGAAGAGGAAAGAGATGTCTTACCGGACTCGAAAACCTTCCAATGGCTTCCCTACGCTATCATCGGAGCGTTTAGAGGGCCATGTGACAGTAGTAATCCATCCAACTTCCGTCATTCCCCACACAGGAGATATTCTAGCCTCTGGGTGGAGAGAAGCTTGTAGCGGGAGCTGATCGTTGTGGGAGAGCGGTGCTCCTCCATGCCAGATCTGGCGAATGGACTGCAATGCTGTCTTCGTCGCAAGCTGTGATTTCGCGATTGAGAGAATTGGCGGTGGAGGCAGCCAGGTCTCCGTTATCTCATGACGCTCAATTGAATTGATGAACTCAGTCTCGTCATACCGTCGCAATATATAAGTTGGAGATCCGATGCGAATGCTCGACGCCACTATTGGAGTTGCGAAAGCATGCATCGGTGCAAGTGGTGTTAGACGACGCACCTATGTTGAGTAAGCTTCAATAAGCACCACGATCAACCTCCCGATACCTACCTCATAAGGCAACTCACTGCTACTCATACGAAGGCTGGCCTGGGATTTCAGATACGAATGAGGAATCATCGCGGCTTTTGGCAGTCCAGAAGTTCCACTCGAAGACTGATACGCTGCCACAGTATTTTCCGGATCATAACAATCATCGCAATCGCTCAGGCCGTAGCCAAGAAGAACCGACCAAGACTGTACATCCACATTCTGAGGAACAGGGTCATGCACGTCGAACGCTAGGATCTTAGACTTGGAGAGACCGCGCGAAGCAGCTGCATTCATAGACTTGTTCAGCATGGGTGGCTCCACGATCATCAACTTTGCACCGACCAAGCTGATATGGTGGGAGAGCTCATGTTCTGAGTATGCTGGGTTTACGCCAGTGAATATAGCTCCAGCACCAATGACGCCGAGGTAGAGAACGTGGTAAGAGATCTATCCAACTTTAAGAAACAAGGCATAATCACCATGGATGAGTTACCTACATTGTTGAAGGCATTAACACAAACACAGTCTCCTCGCTGGATGCCGATTGCTTTTAAACCTGCAATTAACTGCTGGACTTGGGTCCTCAACTGACTGAATGAGAAGCTGTGCTGTGGGTTTGATGCATCAATCAAAAGCTTGGAATATCAGCATGGTGGAACAATGTGGGTGAGAATGGCTGACAGCATGTCCATCATGATACTTACTGGCTTGTCAACATCGTAGGTTACGGGGGAGAGTGCCCACGCTGCGAAGTTCATGCTGATTCCGCGAGTACACGGCATCACTAATGCTGCACAAAGTACAAGACAAGATTATGATGCTATAAAATGCTGGAGGGGTTTCTCGAGAGCTTAAGGCGCAGTGCGTCACCTGTCACATTGGTAAACGCAACTCTTAAACTTAAGGAGCAGACGTCAACCAGACTTCTCATGACTTAGAACGCATTGGCATTTCGACCCGATGCTGATTACACCATTTGACACTGGCTCGATATGCGGCGCGCTATCTCTCCGGGACTCCACCCTGCCTACGGTTACACTGAGGTCCATCTCCCAGAGGCCTGGTTTGAATGCCTAGGGTCTGACGAAAGTGGTAGGAATCTAGGGCCCGCAAAGGCGGCATCCTGTATGGGTATTGGCTATTGTCGACATGGCAATCCTTTGTACACAGACCCAACACTGGGTTTCCAAGCCAGGGGTGGGGTAGATCTTTGAACTTTGATAAAGAGACCCTGAAGCGCCCATCCACCTCGCCGAGCTGATAGTGGCGGCGCTCAAGCCCAATCATTATGCCAGCTGATCAAATATGGTGAATGCTGGTGGCTGCGGACTATAACCGTGTGGCTGATCCGTTCGGTTGGTTGTTTGACCCTGATTTCATGGAAGGCAGTGCAAACGAGGCTGATTGCAATGTACGTGTCATTCAGAAGCACAATATGTGACGGTAGATAGCATCATATGTACTGCGTTTAGACATTGTTCAAATAGACGTGCCAACTGTCCCCTGTTAGAAGCGTCGCAGCATCAGAATGTTTAAGTCTCATTATAGTACCAAACCGAGGTTCCATTTTGTCGTCTCCGGCTCCAAGTTACAGAAGGACGGGCGAAACCTATGACTGGGTTCCGTCTTCGATAGAGAACCCCAATCTCGTGCGAATCCTGCCTGTATACGAATGGTGCATACTACCGGTAAACCCCGAAGCGACACACCGAACCTATAGTCAAGTGTAGCCCGCCATCCCTCTGCAGATACACGAGCGTAGCTGAGACATTACTCTGGGTAGAATAACCGTGTCGAGTTGAAGCGCGTATCCAGATCGTTTAGGCGCCTATGCGACACCATCTCAGGACGTAAGATACGCATATGCATGCCGCCCGCTCGTGCCACTTCAGCCCAAGTGTACGACGCAGCCGGCCCAACGACGGCCCGAGCCACGCCCGCCGCACGTGTATGCATCCTTCCTGCAGCCTTGCTAGCTGAACATTGTCAAAAGAGGGTGTGGTGTCTGACCTCGTTCGGCCATATGCGCATCTCGCATGTGCGGGGGGGGTGAGCGCAGGGTACGTTTTACGGGTCGCGAGGGCGGCTGCCGTAGTCCGGGCTGGGGGCTGGGGCGTAGTTACGCCCCACCGCGGTAGAGGTTACAAGGCGTCCAAACAATGAAGCATGTACGTGCGAGGCTGCAGAATTTGTCAGTCCTAGGGGTAGGGAGGGGGGTCGGGCCTCTTGCACTTTTGGGAATAAGCATCCGCTGTGGGGATGGCGTCACGCAAGGCTGGCGTGAATGTCGGCGAGGTGCACATGTGTAAGACAATCGATTGAATGGACCCTCATGACTATTCTCTCGGTCGGCAATCGTTTGTAGGGGCCCCCTTGGTAGCTGGACCCCCCACGCAAAGTGCACGTGTATCTTGCGGTAGCAGGACTTTGTTCTCACGTAGCTGGGACCACCTACCTTATCTTTATCCGCACCAGTAATCTATAAACACCTGATACATGGTGCCAACATCCCAGCTGCATCCCATATGTCTTCTTTTTCGAGCTACGTGAGTAGCTTCACTGCTCAGCAAATGCAAGAGTACGAAGCTCGAATGAAAACATCTACTTCACCCACCGATGCCCCACCAGTCACGCTTCCTCTAGCCATACACTCCTCCGTTCTCATATCGCCACCTCATTTAGAAGAAGAACACCAGTTACACACATCGTCCAGTGAAAACACCCTCGTACCGGAACACGCCAACCGAAACGTCACCTTCGATATCGAAAAACTCCAACTACCAGCAAAGCGGCAGTCCCGTATTGTCCGACTCTTCCGCCACACCTTATTGAACGTATACCGGCGCCTCTTCTCGATAGTGTTCATCGCCAACGCTGTGGCTCTCGTTGTCTTCCTCGCCAAATCGAGCGACATTCTCCACGTCAACATATGGAACCTAGCAACCGCTGCCAGCGCTAATGTCTTCGTTGCAACGGCTATCAGACAGGACTACGTACAGAACATTCTGTACTATATGGTCTGGCTGACACCGCAATCTGCACCGCTGCGAGTTCGTCGTGTTGTCGCGAAGCTGTACGAAAATGGCGGAGTGCACTCGGGCTGCGGGATCGCAGGGACCCTATGGTTTGCCGCGTTGACCATCATCTTGTCTGTCCAGTTCGTGGAGGAGATATTCACATCGCGAGCGGTCCTGACAGTGACGTGGATCCTGCAGGCTTTACTCCTCCTCATCGTAGGCTTTGCGTACCCGACCTTGCGCGCAAGATACCACAACATCTTCGAGATTTCCCATCGATTTGCTGGGTGGGCGGTCGTCATTCTCTTCTGGGTTGAGCTGGGGCTGCTTTCCCACACTGTGGCGCAGGAGAACCGCGTCACAGCTGGACACGTTCTGATTCGGCAACCGAGTTTCTGGCTTCTGATGCTGATCACCTTCCATGCGGTTCTCCCATGGCTATTCCTGCGAAGATGGGAGTTTAGGGCGGAGGGGCTGACGAAGCATGCAGTCCGCTTACACTTTGAGCGTAACGTTGGGCCCTGCACTGGCATCGCCATCTCCAAGTCTCCGCTGCTGGAGTGGCATCCGTTTGCCACGCTTCCATCTCTAGACCCAACGCAGAAAGGCGGATCGGTGATTGTCTCGCGCGCAGGTGACTGGACCAAGTCAGCAGTGGAGGAGCCGCGGAGCTACTACTGGGTCAAAGGTGTGCCTAAGCCTGGCGTCTTGGGCCTCTCACTCATCTTCAAAAGCGTTGTGATCGTTACGACAGGGTCTGGTATTGGGCCGTGCTTGTCCATCATTGCATCGCCTACTCGTCGCACGGCTTGTCGCATATTATGGACGGGACCGCGACCAGAGCAGACGTTTGGCTCGGAGATCGTACATTATGTCCGCCAAGCGGATCCCGAGGCTATGATCATCGATAGCAAGAAGGAGGGACGTCCGGACATGGTCGCTCTGTCATACCGACTTTATGTTGAAGCAAAAGCTGAAGCGGTCTTTGTGATCAGTAACCCAGCGCTGACACGCAAGATTGTATATAGCCTGGAGTCCCGCGGTGTTCCGGCGTTTGGACCTATTTGGGACTCATGATGCCGGAAGTGTTGTACATAGTAGAGGCCGTCATCTAGCGGTGCGCAGTGTTATTCAATGACGCTTCAGTCTGCTTTGATTGCCTAGCATTTAATGCAATTGAGATGATATCCTCACTAGTTCCGATGACAAAGGTCAAGCATGAGCATACGCACAGACGCTTCAATCTTCCTTCATGCTCGTAAATTGCCGCTTCAGGCTAGCGCCGTGGGAGCATCCACAATCGTGGATGCTGGAGTTACAGCTGCGGTAGTCGCCCTAATTGGCGACGTAGGCTGTAAGAATGTGATAGTCGTATATAATGATGTGATGGTCCGCCTGGTCTATTTTTTCCACACCCTAGCCGCAATGAAACTCCAACTTTTGTCGCTCGTTTTCTACACGAATCTCATCATTCCTGGCCACGCTCATGGGCACAATGCTGACGACTCAAGCCAACTCACGGTGAAGACGCTCACGGGAGCTTACACCGGCGTTTTAGATCCTACATTCCCCAAGACACGACGATTTGGTTCCATCCCGTTCGCTGAGCCGCCGATTCAGGCACGCCGGTGGCTACCGCCACAGAAGCTTTCACCATCCACTGAACAGCACGATGCTTCCGAGCTGCCCCCATCATGCCCGCAGTTCTTGTCTTCAGTTCCGTCACTGTTGAGCACGTACTTCGCTGAGGGAGCTCTGATCAACAACGGTGACCAGAACCACACATCTGGGCTCGTTGGTGCAGCTACATCCGAAGATTGCCTCTACCTCGCTGTCTGGACGCCTGCGAATGCGAGCTCACACTCGAAACTACCAGTTCTCGTTTTCCTGCCCGGCGGCGGTTTCTCAGCTGGCGGCGTCGATTCTGGATACTACAATCCCGCATCGTGGATCGAACGTTCGCAGTCACATATCGTGATTACTGTCAATTACCGCGTCAACATCTTCGGGTTCCCCAACGCACCAGGCCTGTCGGATCAAAATCTTGGTATTCTGGATCAGAGGATGGCACTGGAATGGGTGCGCGATAACGTTGCGGCATTTGGTGGTGATTCGGATAAGATCACGCAGTGGGGTCAGTCTGCTGGTTCGATGTCGACCGACATACATGCGCATGCGTTCCCTGAAGATCCAATTGCTAGCGCATATTTTTTAATGTCGGGCACCGCGTTCAGTGGGAGTGCGGTTGCGGATACGACGTTTTCGAATTTCACGTTTGTCGCGCAGCACTTTGGGTGCGAGCCTAGTGGAAGAAATGGCAGCACAAGTGCACTTGATTGCCTACGGAAAGTGCCATTCGAAAACATAACGAACTTCATCGGGCAATATGGCGACAGTGGTTCGACTCCGGCCTTATCTTTCCTACCAGTAGTGGACGATCGTATCATCTTCTCCGACTACTATGCCCGCGCCAACGCTGGCAAGGTCGCACGCCTGCCAGTCATCCTCTCGAACACGGCCAACGAAGGCAGCTCGCTCGTCCCATTCCCGGCTAACGATCCATCGTCAGGGTTCCCACAGGAAGTCATTCTCGGTATCGCGCTGGCAGGATTTGTCTGTCCGACATACAGTTCAACACTAGAGCGTAGCAATCTCTCTGTACCAGTATATCGCTACCAGTACGCAGGGGTATTCCCAAACCTCAATCCGCTGGGATGGACTGGGGCGTGGCATGGCGAAGACATCTCGCTGGTATTCGGAACGTATGACCTTGTCAAAGGAGTGGGTGAAGTTCCTCAGCTTGAGGTCGAAACTAGCCGGGCGATGCAAGACCATGTCCATGCTTTCATGAGGGATCCCCTTCGTGGTCCCCAAAAACTGGGCTGGCAAGCTGTAGATGCCAGGAACTCCCGGAATGGGACTCTCATCAGATTCGGCACAGGCGGAAAAGCAATTCAGTATGTGAATAGCTTCGAGGTGGATCGTGTCTGTCAAGGACTAGGGGAGTATGATGCATTTCCTTAAGGAGCCTGCCTCGAGCCAGCCTCCTTAGGTTCGAGATATTCGTGGTGAGCTGAATGCAAAAGGCCGACGGTTTCTAGATGAATCGGTTCGCCAGATGATGTCGATGCTTGTGTCAATTTTCGGCTTCGTGATGCTGCAATGCTCGTCTAACGTCCTGATGTTGCGCACTCTGTCCTGTGACAGCCCTCTTCAACGCCATGCTATGCCTTTTGCACGCCAGGCTTCTTGAGCACGAGCTGCCGTTCGGCAAAGGAGCGGCGCATCCACGTCAACTGGGCTCGCAGCAGCTTGCATGGTGAATAGTTGAGCAGTGTCGATGATCAGCATTGAATGTTATCTCAAGTAGGGAGTGGTGCCTGGCCAATCACAACGATGCAAATGACTGGTGATCTGTGCACGATGGCCTTGGCGCGCGACCAGCTCCGACGACTTTCACGGCTTCACGTCACACCTGCCCGAACGCTGCACCTCAGGCGCCCGCCAATCGACCCTCTACGACCGCCAATTGCACTTTCGCAAACAAGGTGCCTACAATGGCGGCCAAATCCGGGGCCCAGCGCTTCGTCGTACGTCCAGAACCTCCCATCACTACCTTCTCTGGCCGTTGCGCCCCTCCGTTGCTACGCCACGCCCTAGCTTGGGGATGATGTCGCTGATGTGAAGTCGCGTAGAAATACACACTCGAACCCCAAGGTGTCTATGCCAGAATCAAGAACTTCCTCTCCATCGACCCCGGCCGGTCCTCGGGTGTCCCGCTCAATGTTTCGTACCGCAACCCACCTCCCGCGGGTGTTGATCCCATGAGATACGACGACCCCACCACCGTTCCCGCTGCCGATATCGCCGAGAACCCGTACTGGAAGCGCGACGTGCGACGCCGCTACCCGCAGCTCTCGACCGTTACCCAGGCTGATGCCGTAGCGCTGCTGGAGGTTGGAAGCGCGGCGGCGCCGAAGCAGGAGTTGATTGGCGAGGCGGGCTCGAAGCAGCTGGTTGCTGCGCAGGAAAATGGTGCGAAGGGTTTGGCTGTGGCTTTTGAGAAGAACACCGGGCTTGCGAAGGATGTCCTAGGACCCGGTGGAATGCCCCCGCTGCCGAGTGGCATGAGCCTCGCGCCGCTTGGAGAAAAGCGATATGAGATCGACACAACACATGGTTTCCCTGAGCAGTAAGTGTCATTTCCCAGATACTGCAACAGCGTGCTAACCTACATAGATACCCTTGCCGACAATTCCAGTAAGCCGGTGGCTTACACACTGAGATAGAGCTCTTAGATGCAGTGTAAATATGACCACTAGTTTCCTTGTGTGGTTCCTTTCCCCTTTATGTCCAATGGCGCTCTCTGCTTTCAATTTCCATCTGACTGCGTACCCTCGCTCCCCCCAAACACAGCCTGCGCGACACGATGCTCCATATATTGTGTCCAGGCCCCTATCAAGCTGTAGCAGGGCGAAGCATTCTGATGTGCGCTTCTGCATAATTCTGAGTGCGCACGAGGAAGCTACCGGGCCCGCAGTGCATATATGAGTAAGCCATGACACTCGATACTCACCAAGACCCCGCAGTTTCCACTGTGGTCAATTCATACCATTCCCACTTCTCTGGTCTACTATACCTGTGGTGGTGAGCATGCGCTTGCTGTTGCGATTGGTCTTGGCGGGCTCGGGGTTGCGCCTGCCTCAAGTTTCGCCGCGCTTCATTTGCGAAGCAGCCCTCACGCCACGCCCACCATGCCTTCCTTGTTCTCTTCCACTACTCAGGCAAAGAGGTCGTTGAAGGGTCTGGCGGCCATGGGCTCGAAGGTGCCGCCTAAAGATGAGGGCATCACGCCTCTGGACTGCATCTTCGCATGCTCAGTCTGTGGGGACATTTTCTCCAGCGTTTACCAGCAGCACGACTCGGTGCATGGCCTCTCCGACGGTATCAATCCCAAGGAGCGTATTGTGACCCGTCTGTACGTGACAAGCTGCTGTCATGTCGTCTGCATCAAGCATATCAACGACGGCAATGGTAAGTGTGGGCGAGCTTTGCACGGCTTTTCCGCTAATGCTTCTTGATAAGGTCCCGCATTTCACCAGGCGGGTCAACAGCCACAAGCTTCGTGCCCTTTATGCGTCAAAGAGAACGGCGACGATACGGCACGCCAGCTTTTTTCGGTGCGCGGCTTCGGCGATGATGAGCACGATCCTGCGATACCCAGTTTCTGGTTCAAGTCTCCGCCGATAGCGTTGGAGGGCAAAAACAAGGAGATGGAGGCTTTGCGAGTCCGTTGACGTGTACCTCCACATCGAATGACTTGCTGACAGGATTCAGTTCCAGTACCTCGCTCTTATACGGTTCAGTAAAACAATAGCCACTTCCCATAAGCAAGCTGCGAGGAGCCGCGCTGAGACCGAAGCCAAGCTTCGGAGTATGCAGGACCTAGCAGCTGAAGAGCATGAGAAGGTCAAGACCCTCCAGCGGGAGCTTGAGCGGCTTCGTCCCATGGAAGGTGAAGCGCAGAAGTTGCGTAGACTCGAAGCGAGGCTACCTGAGACACGGCACTATCTCAATCTTATTCCAAAGCTGGTCGAGTACGCGAACTACCACGAACACGCAAATGTAATTCTAACAAGGTGCAGGCAAAACACCAAGATGCAGCAACGCTTAGCTTCGCTGGGATTCGCAATGAGCTTGGAGCCCATACACAATGAACCTCTCCCTCTCAATAACAATGACGGGCTTGATCAAGACAATGCACGAGATAGGCCCGTGGATTCGCTCAAAACGGGTTCTATTCATACGGACGGCGGATCCGCGCAAAACACTGGCTTCGGGGAAGAAATGGATGAGGGACCATCTCCCAGCGCTCAACGTCAACGCCCACTTAAGCGGTCCAGGGTCGACTCACCTACAACAGCGAACAACGTTCACGCAGGCCCTTCAAGCCGCGACATAATGCCACCTCCGTTCAAGCCTCTCTCTAAAATTAAGTCGATGCGCAAGATCATTCCGAGCCTTCGCAATAAGTTTACAAACGGACGCTCACCTGGAGCGGCCGCTCACAAAAGTTCCTCCGGTATGGACGTGCAAAAGTACGATAATGGCCAGTGGGAGGTTCTCGACGAAGTTCCGAAGTTGAGTGAGATCGACGAACGACCCCCTACTCGTTACGGATCCCCGTCAGATACGCCATACATGACAGGCGCGCTACCTGTGGACGATGGTCCGTTGGATGAACCCGCACAATCAAACTTCCTTTCCGGTCTCGGCATACACAATAATGCGTTGGACTTCACGTTCCAGTCCCCTTCCATGTTATCGTGGTCCAAACAACGCTCTTGCAAGCTACCCACCGCCCCGTCGTATATTCGCCTGCTTGATGGTCTCGGCCAACATGAAGGCCTTGATTTGGGTTTAGAAGATCCTAGGGATCGTAATGGAGCAGATGATGCATACACACACCCACCCGAGCAATATCTGCAGCGACCTCGACCTAACAATGGCTCACAATTCAATGTTCGTTCAAACCCGCCAGAAGTCCAAACAAAAACAAAAAATCGTCAGAAGCAATGGAACTTTGGCCATGCGTTTCTAGAGCAGTCAACGATCAATGCTAACCCGAATTCGGCTTATCACCAGTCTGGTCGAGTTCACGACAGGGACGACGATGCCGTAATGAACATCTCCCAGAGTCGCACTATCACGAATCCAGTCACACCAGCACCTGTCCGGTTCCAGCGACCTATAGACAAGGTGGACAACGTAGTAAGTCCTTTCCTTGGGGGCAGCAGTCATCGTTCGCAGCCACTCCCGAGATCCCAGTTCACTGAACACGACACTAGTTCACGTCGCTCCGGCGTCTTTCAATCGCGCCACCACAGACCCTCTTTGGACACGGACTGGCGTGAGCCGCGCAGCCTGAACGGTCTTTCCTTCCTTGACTCGCCCATGAACGAGAGAAGTGAACTCATTGACTGGCGAGGAGAGACACGACCGCAGGAACATGCAACGTCACTGACACAGCATCGCGGTCGATACATCAACTCTCAGGGGTTCCTCGTGAGGCCTGATGCAGCAGGCTCGCCTGGCGCCCATGGAGCATATACGCCCCTTGATCAAAAACAATTCTCGTCACTGCGAACGCCAAATCTTTCTGCAACCTCGTTTTCATCTTTCAGTCGTCGTCCATCGCAGTCACAAGCTACTCGTCTTCCATGCGCGATGCCATCCATAATATCTGGCTCTTCCCCCCGCCGGAGACCACAGACGCATAACGTTGGATTGCCTGGAGTGAGAGGTAGCCATCATCCACGAGGGCATGTTTCTGGGGGTGCGCATTCAATTTCGGCAAGACCAGTCTATTCAAGTACGAGGCGACGTGTTATTCGGCGGTGAACATGAAAAGCTATGTATGGGGTCATGTTATTTAATGGATCATCTCCTGCGATTCAACTCTTAAATGTTCATATCGGACGATTACCTGTGTTGCTGTTGATCGGCACGTACAGGAAGTGACTTAGCGCGTGCAATCACGTCAAGTGGACCCGGAAATCTCGGGACGGCAGTCCTATTAACCAAACCTGATCATCACCGGCATCTCCCAATATTTTCTGCATACTGTTGGGCAATCTTCTCAGTCAAATTCTCGAGCACAACCGAGCGTACGCTTACAGCAGTACTTCTCCGGGCACGGAGGAGTGCCTCCGCTCGTTTTCATGTTCACTAAGGGTTTTCCAGAAACCAGGTCGATTATTGCGCAAGCATGGGTTTCGGCGAGATTAGTATGCACGAGGGAGCGCATGCAATATGCGAGGCGTCTAGGTTGCCGGCATTTAATCTACGCACCCCAAATTTTAGGTACTAGCGTCGGTGTTTCAACAGTCACCCACCACCCGCCACGAGTTTTGGTACGTCACGAGAGGAAATTTTGTTTCGAATGGCATGTGTTAGCACGTTTTGGGGTTTCCGCGAATGAAAGCCCTTGTCTCCCCGCAACGCCAGCTCGTAATTCCCCACCACTCGTGTTACCTAAGCTAGCCTTTAATCTGGACAAACAATTTATCCTCGGCTGCGCCTAGCTAGATGAAGCTTGGAGAACCTTTGAGCCGCAATGTAGACAGTGATTCTTGATGGGGACCTGGTCTGGTTTGGAAGCTATTCATTTGGAGAGCGGACAGATTCGATCCGTGCCATAAATGGGTGGGTGTAGTGCCCTTAGCATGGACTTGGAGTATAAAGATGGTGGTTCTCCGATGGGGGTGCTGTAGCCAGGCTCTGCAGCTCTTTCGACAACTACATAGCTTTTGTAATTGATTAAGAAGATCAGCTATGCGTTTCCAACTTCTTGCAACGCTGGCCTTGGCCTCGAGTGCGCTTGCGCAGACTCGCAAGCTCAAGTGGTTTGGCATCAATGAGTCTGGCGCCGAGTTCGGCGAGGGAACGTACCCAGGAACTTACGGAAAGCACTACATTTGGTACGACTACAACACGATCGACCAGTTCATTGCCCAGGGCATGAACATGTTCCGTCTGAACTTTGGTAAGAAACCTCCCTTGCCCCTATCAACATTGTGAAAACTAAGCAACCCCTAGCCATGGAGCGCCTCACTCCTAATAGCCTGACCGGCGCCTTCGACCAATACTACCTCGGCAACCTCACCGAGCAGGTAAACTACATCACTAAGAAGGGCGCCTACGCCATGATCCAGCCGCACAACTACGGCCGCTTCTACTCAAACATCATCACCGACACCGCGGGCTTCAAGACTTGGTGGCAAAACGTCGCCGCAAAGTTCAAAGACAACGAGCTCGTCGTTTTCGACACCAACAACGAGTACCACGACATGGACCAAACGCTCGTCTTCAACCTCAACCAAGCCGCCATCGACGGCGTTCGCGCAGCAGGCGCTACAAAGCAGTACATCACCCCCGAGGGCAACAGCTGGTCCGGCGCGTGGACATGGGTGTCCTCGGGCAACGGCGCGTCCCTTGTCAACCTCAAGGACCCGCAAAATAAGCTCGTCTACCAGATGCACCAGTACCTCGACACTGACGGCTCCGGCACACACGCGGAGTGCGTGTCCACCACGATCTTCAAAGAGCGGTTGCAGGCTGCGACGCAGTGGCTCAAGGACAACAAGAAGGTTGGCGTGATTGGAGAGTTTGCCGGCGGGAACAACACGCAGTGCATCACTGCCCTGCAGAATGGGCTCAGCTACCTTGGACAGAATTCGGATGTTTGGTACGGCGCGCTGTGGTGGGCTGCGGGGCCGTGGTGGGCGGACTATATGTACAACATGGAGCCGACTAGTGGAACCGCGTGGAAGGTGGTGCTGCCGAAGATTAAGAGTTATTTCGTGTCGTAGGGGATGTTGAAAGGAGGGGATTCGCTTCTACTGTATCAATTTATTGGATTGTGTTGAGATTTTTGACTTGCTGTTTGGGGTTGAACTGATGTTGGACATGCCCAGCTGCTCTGCTTCTGCAACGCATTGCTGAACAAAGTGAATTCTTTAGGCTACAGGACGAGGGTGCTCTGCTATATGGACTAGGCGGACGTCGGAGACGAGAGGATTCAGCAGAGACGCGAGATGACTAGTTACTCAAAAATGACGCAACATAACATACTGTGACGCTGTGGGTGATCAACAAGTCGACGTGGAAAGAAGTCCTGTAGTACTGTGGGCGGCCTATAGCTCAACGTACAAAGAGTGCTGTGAAGCTGTAGTGCTATGTTGGCTACGCATCACAAGTCAGCGTGACTCAACTTTGCACATGCTTGAAGCTGTGGCAGAATCAGTGAAATACATTCTGGCGAGACAGTGCTGGTCTCAGATGGTATCAACTCGTACCATGCACCCCCTCCCTATCCCCACACCTCCAGCCTCGAACGATCCCTCAATCCACTCTCCTCCACCACAACACCCCCCTATACCCCCCACCCCTCTCACTCCCAATCTTCAAAAACGTCTCCCCACCCTCCCTAACAACTGTATAATTTCTCTTCTGCTCCGTCCCCGTCCACGTTGGCACATTCGCCACGACCAGCGGCCCATGGAACACCTGCCCGTGCGTCTTGTTCGCGGGCAAGGCCTCATTTACGCGGAACGGGCCTGCGTATCCTATGCTATGCTTGCCGACGAGCGCCCAGTCGGAGTCGAGATCGCTGTCTTGGTAGGGGAAGGTTAGGTTGGGGCGGAAGGCGGGTTCTGTCGCGGTTATGGTGGCAGACATGTAACCGGTTTTTGAGTAGGTGAGTATGCCCACTGGCGCTTCTCCATAGGCAAGGTCGGGGATGGGAACGTTGTTCAGGGTGCTAGGGATGGTTTAGTTGGTAAGGGTAGAGAGGATAGTGGTGGCAGACCTGCTTGTGTTTACAAGAGTATAGGTCCCTGCTAGGGCGTTGATGATGTCTTGTGGTTTGACTGGCTTTGGATTTGCGTTTGGAAGGGCGGTAGTGAGGGATGTGGCTGTCAGGATCGCTAGGATAGTAGGGAAATGCATGTTTGCAATGAAGCGTATCGCCAGGTGTTATCGGAAACACTGCTCCCTTTACCACTGCCGAATTTGCTGGCTTCTCAGGATCCGGGATGGTTTAAGACTTCGTCCCTAGTCAGTGCTGCTGTGCCTGACTATTTGTATTGTGACCCTTGCTTGCATGCTATGATCTGCTCGCTTCTAGCCAACACCTCAGGCCAAACCTGGATCTTGGAAACACGGGATCGCAGTAACCCCGTCGCCAATCCGGAGTGGTTCCATACCGGAACTTGTCCGCATCTGTAAGGTCCCAAGTTGATGTTCAGGCAAAGTAGGCAAATCTCCGAAATGGCGCCATCAGCACACGGAAACAACGGAAGTAATTTTAAGAAGCGCCGTGTAGGAAAGCGCAAATGATTGATAGTATTGATATAAAACTACGAGGATGATTGATTAGCTCTAGGATCTATGTTGTGCAAGCGTTCTTTACGAGTGTTTTGAGCAAGTGTGGGGGAAGGCACAAGTGTGTCCCAGACGCCCAGGTGTACCCCGGATGTACCCCGCCCGTCGCCAAGTGTAAGCCCCAACGTCAGGCACCACGATTTCGAGCAATACAGATGCTTTGAGTTTATCGGTAAATTCAGATGACCTTGGAACGAAGTACGTCACTCAACATCAAAATCTCAATCATGAACGTGTAAACTGCTGCCTGCTAAAGCTTATCTCGAGAATTCCCCATGCAAACATTTTGAGCAACGTCCAAAATATATCCTATGGAAGTTAGCTTCTAGTGGCATCTTCGGATAAACTCTATCAGTGGGCACTTCAGTGTCGACCTGCCATGGCGAGAAGGTAAAGCTCTTGCCGGCTTACCTCACGTCGAAAGAAGCTACCCCCTCTGTCATCCAACGGCAGTTTGGACAAGACACCAACGGTCGATTCGACAAATATTTATCAGTTCGAGAAATCCTGGAGATGGCGCGTTACCTCAGCAGTCATAACACTACTGTAATAGTGCCGGATCGCATTGCTGACAAGCACCCTCTCACTGTGTATTCAAATTCAAATGCTGTAGACAGGAAATCTCTTACCTGTGCCCCCGGATTCAAGTACAGCCTCACGTTCACTTCCCACTATCAGGAGCTATGGTTTGTACACACGCAGTACCTAGCTGCAACCAAATGGCAAAGCTGTCCTCAACTACATTACTACACTCACAAGTAGCCCTTGGCTTTTAAACTCGCAACCCAATGGCCAATTTTAAACACGATGTGCAAGTTCTACCTCCAGACCGTATACTGCTGCCGCTGCCACGGCCACCCCAATCTACCCGGCCGAATCTGTGCCTATTATAGGCATTCCTTAACAGCAGCACACAGCAAGCGAGGCACCGGAGACGTCACAAGTCGGCCATGCATCAGCGTCGCTCCAATGATCCCGTTCAAATACGCCTGTCCGCAACACAGAGGAAGTCAGGATTATTGGTTTGTCACTGCTAGGCTGGGAAGCAAATGTCTCGCCCATGTCTGGACGAATGGCTCAATCACCTGCGCCCAGTGAGATAGGCGTGGGGCCGCCTCTACGTAAACGCCGGCGAAGCCGTTGAGCGACCGTTGCTCGTAGTCATTTATGGTGAAAAGGTGTTTCTGGACCAAGCTTTGGCAGTCATGATCTATAGGAATCGTAGTGGCTATAAACTACCAGTAACGACTGTGTCGATCTTCACCATGATCTCTCGCAAGGTCGCGCAACTTGTGCTCAGCGTAGAATCCCATCGAGCGCAAGCTGACAACACGTATTCAACACCTTGCTTTTTGCCCGATGCGTCTCACTCTCGACCACCAGCGCCCATGCAAACGCGCGCAAGCAAGCCCAAGCGATATGTCACCCCACACTTCTTCTATCCTTTGCTGTCCCTCTGCACGACAAACTTCCTCATGCGGCAACTCCCAACTCCGTCGATCGCGGGAGGACACAGGAGACAGTCTATCGCATCCAATCAACTTGCTTTTCCTGCTGCGGCTATCCCTGCCTGCATGGCACTAGTCCGTGCAGAGGCAGGCGCGATCCTGGCTGGTGGTACGACGGTGGTGACACTGCGTGCACCACATCGTGGGAAGGCAGGGTGCTGTCACGCCATTCTCATCTCACGACGGACCATGTGCGCTGAGGCGTGGACGCCTTGATGGAGGATGGCGGACGGCGAGGGGATATAAGCATGTGGAGGCGCGATACTGCTTTTGCTATCAACACTGTGTTCGAGTATTCAGGAAGAGAGAGCTTGTTGGGAACTTGGTGTTGACGACGAAACGCGAAAATTGAGACATACATCGCATTCGAATATCCAAAACTCTTGGAAGAAGCACAGCATGGCTCAATTCTACCGCCGTCCGATGATGCACTTTGACAGGAGGGAGCTGTATACCGACTTGGAGACGAGGGTACGGTATCTGCACTCATTTCTCGACTTCAGCAGCCGTACGTGTACATCTGCATCCGCCCTTCGAGAGAAGAGAGCTAACACGACCAGGCGACATCGAAGCGCTGATATCGGGAGCGAAGTACATCAAAGCTCTAATCCCCGCACTCGTCAACATCGTGTACAAGAAACTGCTGCAATACGACATCACAGCGCGTGCATTCGAGACAAGGTCGACATCGTACGAAGGCCCGGTGGATATGAACTTGAACGAGACCTCGCCCCAGATTCTGCATCGGAAGATGTTTCTAAGGGCGTATCTGACGAAACTGTGTAGCGATCCCAGCAAGATGTACGTCTCCGCAACACAGTTCTCAACTTCATGCTAACTGCCACAGGGAATACTGGGAGTATCTCGACAAGGTTGGCATGATGCACGTCGGACAAGGTCGTGCACACCCTCTGCACGTTGAATATGTGCACATAGGCGTTACGCTCTCCTTCATTCAAGACGTCCTCACCGAAGCCATCCTCTCGCATCCGCGGCTGAAAATGGACCGCAAGATCGGCCTCGTCAAGGCGCTCTCCAAAGTCATCTGGATCCAGAACGACCTCTTCGCGAAGTGGTATGTGCGCGACGGAGATGAATTTTCCGAGGAGCGACTGGTGCCCGAGATCGAGCCTGAGGGCTATCTCCACGGCAAGAAGATACTGCGGAGCGGCAGTGACAGCGAGAGCGAGATCGAAGACGCGGACATGGCGACGGGCAGTTGTCCGTTCAAGAACTTGGCTACGCCTGTGGCGAGTGGGCCGAGGGTCACGCCGAAGAGCCCGCTGAGTCCGCACTTCAAGCACATGAGCTTGAACGAGGAGATGGCGAGCGCACCGAAGACCGAGCCTGCGGACAGTCGTCTTTCGCCGAGCCCTGTTCCACCAGCATCGCCGTCGATATCGCTGAGTGCGATTCCGCGGCCAGTCGCAGGCAGTGCGTAGGCCCCGTACACAGTAGCGCAGGGGTAGATCTGCAACCGAGTGCGTATAATCTGGAGTGCATACACTATACGATGATACTAGGGAGTAAGCACGAACTTTAGCTTTCTAATAGTGACCTGAAGGGAAATTCTGGGTGTAGGACGCATATTGGCGGTGTTGGGGGTGTTGGTGGGGTCTTCGGAACTTTTCGGAGGGGCGGGCATCGATTTCCTCGGCTGCACCGGAGCACTCGATCGATCACAACTCACCTTGTTTCTGCACTCTTCTCACAATAGAATGTGATTCCAAATGCGATGACTCATTGAACGCGCAACACCCAAGTGACTCACGCAGCACGTCCAGAACGCTCGCTTGCCACACTTGCCACCGCGGCGACGGGCATCACGTGGGCGCATAGGAGCGATCTCATCATGGTGTTGACTGCTCGCGATGTTTCAGGCCGCAGGCCGCAGGCGGCGCTGTGGCTTGCGTGGGCCCGCAGGAGAGGAGCCGGCCCAGAGGCGTCGTGGCACTCGCACCAGGGCTTGGCCGGCGCACACACCCACACCCTCCACGGATGAGCGTGGGCGGGTCGTCAAGGTGATACGTCGCCCTGGAAGCGTTTGGTATGCGCTGGGTTGTTTCTGTGAAGGGATCCCGCTGTAACAGCGCCGCGACGGCTTGACACGGCATCGTGAGACAAGTTGCGATGGCGAGACAAGTTGCGATGGCCATCACAGTACATACACATCCAAGAGGACAGCTATGCTGGGGTTAGAGTTGGCGCGAGGCGTGAGCTATCGCTGCTATCCCCTCGGCGCGGTCCACTTATGACGATGCGCAACGAGTATAGTGCGCGCGGAGGCCGGCATCGCTCCGTCGCACCGGGCGCTGAAGACAGCCGCGGCAGCGCACATCCTGCTTGCTCAACAAAGAGCGTCGCGATGGGCTGCGCGAGTTTCTGCGGGAGGGCTGTGCCAAGGTGCATTCCGCTGCTTTTCCAGAATGACTGGCGAGAGCATAACGCGGCGCGCAGCAGGGTGCTGAGCATGCCACGGCGCCCCTGATTGGCGTCGACGCTGGCCCCCCGGTCGCTCTTGCCCGCTGCGCGAGATTGTGGCTCGCATCCAGGCTAGTGCTGCTGGCCGCTGCCCCGTCAAGTTGGGTCAGAGCTTCTCAGGAAGGCGCGACTCCCCCCAACTCTCGTCCGCCGCTGCCTTCGCTCGCAACATCACCAACACATCAACCTCCCACCACCCGCATCTCCACCACCCCACCTCAGGACCCGGTTTCCTTGCGCTGCACTCTGCTGCGCGGCCGTCTCCTTTGTATTTACGACTCTGCGTTTTGTATTTCGCCCGACAGTGCCTGTACTTGCAGTCACTGGCGCCGCTCGGCCGATCTTCGCGGACACCTTGCACAGCTCCCAACACGTCACCACTCTGCCCTAGGTAGTTTCTCTTCTTTCACTCCTTGCGCACCACTTATACCCCCTATACATTGTAATTTTTTGCACTTTTTCGCGTCTGTAATTCTTGCTGTCCACTCTGAGTCTGCTCGCGCTCTCTCTGCGACGCCACTCCGCAGCCTCTCAGCTTCTGTACTTTGATGCGCAGGACCCTTGCCACGACAGATGAGCGCTGTTTGTACTAGACCTTCACTCCTATCACAATGCAGTCCATGTTCCGCCTCGCATCATGGGGTACCGAATCACCTGGCGACAAGATCATGGAGAAGTCGGCACTACACAAGTCAAAACCGATGCCTGTCGTTGAGATCCCTTCTTTCCTACAACAAATCAAGCGGAAGAGGACAGATAGCCCTGAACCGGCACCGGCGCACGTGGTGAAAAAGTGGAAGGATGCTCAAGGGATCGATGTACCAACCAGCGCCCCTGAGAACATTAACTCGGCCAACTACACCAGCGGAGCAACACTTCAGCCACAGACGGAGCCCCAGCAAGGACCGAGGATCGCGGCTGCAGAGGTTTTGGATGCGCGGCCAAAGGCGCAGCCCATGAAAAGAGAAGGCGCGAACAAGAGCAAGGTCCAAAAGCCAACTGTCAAAATCGAGGCTTCTTCCACTGAAACTCCGGCTCCCACCATGGCTTCCAGCTTGTCGGCGCTGCAGCAGTCGATTGAGGCGCAAATCAACTACGAAATTCTGCTCAAGCACAACGAGCTGCGCCTGATCGAGCAAGAGTTGGCAAAGTGTCAGGTGTCGCTGGAGCAGCTGAGGCGTTGTTCCCTGATTCCGTTCCCAGGCACCCATGGACCCTCGGAAAGTCTTAGCATGGGCGTCGGCGCTGCTTTGCAGCCACACGCAGGCTACACGGAGCCTCAGTTTGCCGCCCCTTGGGGAGTCACCGATGGTCCATACACTCGTCATTACGCGAAGTGGTTGATCTCGGATGTCAAGTTCGACTCCGTGTCGGAACGCGCTCTGGCACAGCAGGCTCACGGTTATTTTGGTATGGGTGAAGGCCGAGCGACGCGCGGCAGCTTTGCCGAGTTCGGTGCAACTGGCAAGGCGCGCACGTCGCGAACTTCAACTGGAACGTTGAAGCTCCCGGCTCTTGGTGAAAATCCAGCCCCCGCACCAAAGATCGATCCTTTACTGCACAAGCGCTCCGACAACGGCCAGTGGGTCCGGTTATACTGCGCAGCCTGCGGACACAGTAACTTCTCGAACACTCAAGGTTTCCTCAACCATTGCCGCATCAAGCACAACCAAGTTTTCAAGAGTCACGATGCTGCCGCGATCGCTTGTGGTGTTCCTGTCGATACCAGTGAAGGCGGCAATCCAGTCCCAGCCAGTGAACCGACGAACACTCCAGCCGCCACTCCGACAGTCAGCTTCCCGGTGAGCATGAACCCTGGGAATGTGCATGCACTTGTCCGCTCCAACCCTCCCGAGCTGGCCAAGGACGTGCACCGCGATTTCAGCACGCCACGAGACGTAATGAAGACAGCGCCACCGGCCAAATCTAACATGACCACATCTGCGTCGACACCGCATCTGACTGCTTTACTGCAACAGCGCGGTTTCAACGGCGATCTGAAGGGTCTGGTCGACACTGCACGCTCCAAGGTGGATCTGGATGTCATCGAGACCTCCGACGATGATCTTCTTGACAGTGCCGTTCAAACGCCTATCGTTGCTAAGCCGAACCAGTTGGCGCGCCTCCCGGTCAGCGCTCCCAACGCCGCACCTGCAAGCAAGGCATCGACCGGCCGACCAGTTAGCAAGAAGGGGCACTCCAGCGGCCACGCGCGCCTGCCGCTCACTTTCTCAACGCACGTCTCCCATGGTCATGATCGTCACATGCCACTTTCCCCGGTAGAACTCAGCCCAAATGCAGTTGAGTCTAACCCGGGTTTAGTATCAGACCACGATGATGATGACGACGAGGATGCCGATGATGCGCACAGCCAGCCAGACTTCATCTTGAATGACGATGTGATGGTCGAGGATGCCAGCGACGTCGAGGGTGCGGAGCGTAGCGGATCACGACCAGGCCTTGACAGCTGCTGTTTTGCCAAGGGAGAAGGAAGCCGCAAGCATTAGACGAGGGGCCGGTTAAGTCAGGCTCTTCGTCGCCTTTCTGAAAAGATTGTGTATTGCTTTCCTTATTTCTTATCCCCACCTCGGTGTTATAGAGTTTCTCGCCTTTCTATTGCTCCTTCAACAGAGATGCGTTTCGGGGACGGATATACGTGATTGCCAGCAATGGGTTGGGCGGTTTGCTGGACCGGGCTCTTTCTCCAAAGGCTCGTTTTTTCCTCTTATCTCTTTTGCGCATTTCATTGTCTCATCATCATGTGGCCAGTCATCCTGGCCTTGCAATTTTGCAGAATCTCTTCTCAAAACTACTCATGAATGCGCGCCTTACACGGTGTCTCACACCCCCTAGGCGCTGGGTTCGTCTGTGTATTTTACCTTGTATGGAACGGATTGGATGGGCTTGCTTTGGATAGCGGGGTAGACGGGATATGGCTGGCGTGGTGTCTGGGCTACCAGCGTTTGCTTGGGCTCTGGATCTGGATATGATTTGGGGGCAAAAGACCAAAAATGCAGGCATCTCGGCCTGCTGTATATATTTTAATGCTAGCGATATGTGCTTCTTATTGTTTGCACCTGGTGTGATATGGAGTGAGCGGAATTGGCTGGAAGGGTATAAAATTCGGAGGACAGCTGTGCTGAATGGTATATGTAGCTCACAACCCCACGCCGTACGCCGTCCATGCTGAACGCCTGCCTAGCGCGCCATCCCAGCGCGCCAGGTCAATGTCATGACTTCCTGTCGAAACTCAATGCCCTGACCTATGCAAGTGAGCCCCGGCTCCCTCACCGTGCCACCATCCCCCTCCTCGATGCGTCCCCACCTATCCCCAGAACTCCATCATCTGCCACTCATCAGCGCCTGCTCTTGCATACAGCCTAGTCTGCACTCACCGCCATGACGACCAAACCAAGCGCGATATACGGACTCATGCGCTCGCCGACGCGCGCGCACTTCCAGAAGACGCCCATGAAGTAGTTATTCTTGTTGCGGTCTATGAAGGCCGGGAAATAGTAGTGGGCGTAGGTGGAGGTGCAGATTGTGAGGAGGATGACGAGGATGAGGGATTGGAAGTTGAAGAGGGCGGTCTGAGGTTGTTAGCTTTCGCTGCTTTGTGCAAGCGGAATTGGGGGTACTTGCCATTCTGAATCGGGGTTGTGAGTTCAGTCAGGCTGGCGATTGAAGGTGTGGAAGCTGGAGTGGGTGGGGGTCTGCGCGGGCGATGTCTGTAGGTGGGTGCTGGGGGAATAAGGGCACCTGGGTGGACTTGAGGGCTGGTGGGAGGAGGACAGTTGGTGGGTGTGGAAAAGTGTGGGCAAGGCGCCGACGTCGAGGTGGTAAAGCGGGCGGGCGGGCGCGCAACGTCTGTGCGGTGCACAGGGTAGATCGTCCCGCAGCTAGACGCAACTCACTACCACAAAACTTCCAATACCATCGTATATGAATACCATTTCCAGGCTATCAATCTTATCCATCCGCAACTGATCATCTCGTCATCTTACCCTGTTGCTCCGACATCACGAACATCTGCCACCCCCCCGCCCACGGCGCAGACACAGCTAGCTTTCTGGCACGGGAGCGCGCAGCAGCAAGCCTATCCGTCGCTCTACACGGCACAAAGAGAGAGGGTAGACGCATAGACACGGCACAGCATGACGGAGCCGCGCATGAGACAGCGCGGCAAGGGCCCGCAGTGGGAGCAGCGAGACTGTGAGTACGCGCCTTTGTTCCCGCGTTATCGCCTTCAGCTTCACCGCACCTGCCCTTCCCGCGCGTACCTTGCCTTCCTTGAGCAGCTCGCGCGGAGTGGATATAAACAAAGCCGCTCTTGGCGGCTTGCTCTTCTATCTGCCACCCCGCGCGCTCTTGACTCAACGACCGGCCGCGCGCAACACATCATGGCCGCCCGCAACAACCTCCGCACCCGCCACCGCATCCTGCCCCGCGTGCCCGTCCCCCGGGGCGAAGATCGCTCCCGCAACCCAAACTACCACTTCAACTCCTCTGACGCCTTCGCAGTAGAATCCTTCCTCATCGCCTACGGCGACACAGCCCCGCCCCTCAAGGCCACGGTCCTCACCCTCGACGAGATAATCACCGACTACATCATCGAAACCTGCCACGAGGCCGCCGCTGTCGCGACCCACGCGCGCCGCCAGAAGATCAAGCTGGATGACTTCAAGTTCATGCTGCGGCGGGACACCGCCAAGTTGGGTAGGGTGAGCGAGCTCCTGGAGACGGACAAGGAGTTGAAGCGGAAGAGGAAGGCGTTTGATACGGATGAGGGGGCGGTGGTGGATACGGTTGAGGAGGTGCCGGGAGAGAAGGGGAAGAGGGGGAAGAAGGTTGAAGGTGGCGGCGAGGGGGATGAGGGCGAGCGCAAGAAGAAGAGAAAGAAGAAGGTCAAGACGGATGATGCGAGCACGGTGGTCAGTGGTTGAATGGGAGGACGAATTTGTGCGGGTTCGAGCAATGGATTCCTGAACGGCCGAGATTCATGGCCTCCGGCGCGTGGAACATTGACCATTGCTCGGAATCGCTGGCACATCGCCTCCTCTACATACCGGGATCCTTCGACTCGCGAGAATGCCGTCGAGAGCATCTGCACCACCACCTACGCGCACCACTATCCCCCCCACCTTCATGGACCGCAACGGGATCAAAATCCTTCATCCATTCAGAATCCTTCGTTGCCTCTGTCTTCGAGCATACCGCGAGTTATCACTGGAAGCTCGATTGAGACAGTACATGGCGGTACACTACCAGTTTCCGTACTCGGCTCTTAGCCTAGATTTTAATTGAGCTAAGGGGGTACCGCTTTCAGGAGCGGTGGAGTTGGTCATCAGCTGGGCACTCTTCATTGGCCTCGTTTCTGCTACTGGAACGAAACTATCACCTAGCATCGACATGGCGTTTGGAGAAACATAATATTTGGGTGGCTATCAGGCATTCACAGGCAGCATTCCGGACAGGCGTTGGCAGTGGGTTTCAAGATAACTTCATTGAGCTAATCGAACAATGGCCACAAACGTGGCACCCTGATGGGTATCCTGCGGCTTGCTTTTCGGGGACCCTCTATGTTGTGTAAAAGCGCATCCCTCTCATGTCGTGATATTCATGCCCTGCGTGCCTCATCCCTCGTGTCGCCAGCTATCCGCCATCGCGCTCTCCTTGTCGGGCGACGTGCCCCCGCTCCGGGCACCGCTCAATCCGTTGCTCCCCTCGACCAGCGCCGCACTCGCCCAGGTTTTCATCGCACCAATCTTCGCAGAAGTCCCTATCACAAAATGCATCAGTACACCAAACAGTAGAGCAGCGGGAGTCAAAAGTAGGGCAGCATCAAGAAGTCGAATCGCGGGCAATTCATGCTTCCTGTTGTCTTTGCTGCCTACCTTGGCCTCCGCCACGTCCACCGCGGCCACCTCGTTGCCTGTCGCCGCCGCGTCCGCCCTGCTGCTCGCCGTCGCCGGTAATGGCATCGCCGGTGCCGAGAGTCAGCGCGGCGGTAGCGAGGCGGTTGGAAAGGTCGATCTGTGTGCGGATGGTGTTGGCGAGGTAGGACACGACGAGGACGTCCTGGATGTGGTTGTTGAAGTCGCGCTCGATGTCCTGAGCGTCGACCTTGGGCGCAAGGCTCAGCGCGTTCATGAGGTACTGGCCGAGGGCGGAGGACGGCTCGGCCTCCTCGTCCAGTACGTTGTTAACGTACGTGGATACGCGGTCGAGCATCTCGAGGACGTGCGTGATGGCGCGCTCGAGGGCCTCGAGGTCGGTGATGATGGGCTGCGAGCGGTCCTCGCGGTCCTTGGCCGACGAGATGAGCTCCAGACCAGACTTCTCCGCCTCGCCGTACTTGAGCTCGTGCGGCACGGGGATGAACAGACACGAGTCTGCGGCGCGCTCTGCGGTCACGCCGATGGGGGCGCTGATGTACGTCCTGCTCTCGATCTCCTGGCCGGGGTCGGTGCTGACTGTGAGGTGGACGGCGGGGTGGGGCCAGGTGCCGTCACCCTGCTGGCCGTAAAAGTTCTGGATGAGGGCAGAGAAGGTGTTCAGGTCGCTGCTCGTGGCGTACCAGCCGACGAGAACCTCCCTAGGGTTCGCGCGCAGGTGCAGCTGGAGCATCTGCTTCTGGTAGTCCATGTCGACCTCGACTTGCTCGGCGGTTTCGGTGTGCGGGACAGCATAGCAGTTGCGGATCTCAACCTCGGTGCCGTCTTCGCTGCGGGTGCCCAGGAGCGTGCCGATGACGCGTTCCTGGTCGGCGGGCCGGCGGAGGGCGTGGTCGAGAATTGAGAAGATGGCCTGCGGTTGGACGACGACGTTCAGCGGAGCCGTCGACGGCTGGGCTCCCAGGGGCGCCGGGCCAAGCGGGCGGGCCAGGTGGAGGAACGACTCTTTGTCTGCCATGTTGGAGGCAGCGATGCGGGCGGACGGGGCGCGGGAGAGTCTTGTAGCGGTGCTGAGTGTGGCCGTGGGGTGTCGAAGCGAAGGTTTGGCGGGGCTGCGAACAATTTGTTCTCCGGCCAAGATTTCGGTGGGCGGCTCGCCTGCGCACGGGCCGTGTGAATTAATTCTTGGGCTGTTACTACAAATCCAGACGACAACAACTACAATTATCCCCGGAATATGGCGCCCTTTCGTGGAAGAGGCGGAATGCGCGGTCAAAGCCGCGGTGGTTCCAGAGGCGGCCGGGGCGGTTCGCGCGGCGGGCGCGGTGGGAGAGGTGGACGCGGTGGGCGAGGCGGCACAAGAGGCGGGAAGAGAAACGACTTTGCCGCTGCAAGAGTGCAGGATCCCGTTGCGGATGGGTAAGAACGGAGCAAAGCACAAGCATGAACTATGCTGATCGCCATAGAAACGAGCAAGTCTCCGCGTCTGAATCCGAAAGCGAGCCCGAATACAGCGACGGTTCCTCCAGCGAAGAGGAGGAAGCGCAACCCGTCTCGAATGCCTATCACTCCCTACTGGCCTCCTTCACCGCCAACAATGCGAAAACAAGCCAAGAGGAACCACGGCGGAAGCGACGGAAGCTTGATCACAGCGTGCGTCCGCTGCAAGAACAAGTAGAACCAAAGATGTATGAGGACGGAGACCCCAATTCGAAGGAACACTACAAATTGGAGGGCATCAGCAAGACTGGCTCCGTTGTGGGTGTCGAGAATTCCGAAATAGATGAGCACGAAGAGGAGGGATCGGACGAGTCGGACGTGGAATCTCTGCATCCAGATCACGAGCTGGATGCCCAACTTGAGGATGAAGACAACGAGGGCGATGAAGTCGACTCTTTCGGCATTCATTTTGATCGACCGGATGATAATGAGCTAGCGATGCGGATAAAGGCCATATCAGCGAATCAATGGACAACGCAAAAGCTGGATACTGGAGATGGAGGCAGAGGTTCATTGCAGATTCCCGGCGCGGTCGAAGGGGTGGCAGCCAGACGGAAGGTAAAGAGCGTACAGGACCTGCGACTGAAGGGACGACTCGTGGCCACTGCAGAGAAGGCTTTGGGCAACTTCAACGCTGTTGAGCAAGCCATCGCACCTTCTCTTTTCGACTACCAGGATGTTCTGTTTGGCGCAAGGACGGTGCAAAACGCTGGGAGGGTACGCGACATGTGCTGTCTACACGCGCTGAATCACATCCTGAAAACCAGGGATCGCATATTGAAGAACAACTCTAAGTTGGCGGCAGCGTCGGACAACGATGATGCAGAGTACCGCGACCAGGGTTTCACGCGTCCGAAGGTACTGTTCCTCCTCGAGACCAAAGAAGCATGTGTCCGCGTCCTGGACTCCCTTACCAAGCTCCACGAATTCGAGCAACAGGAAAACAAGAAGCGCTTCATCGAGAACTTCTCCGCAAGCGACCACATTTTCTCAGACGACAAGCCGGAAGACTTCCGCGAGCTCTTCGAGGGTAACGACGAGAACGAGTTCCGCATCGGCGTGAAGCTGACCCGCAAAACAATGAAATACTTCTCCAAATTCTACGCTTCAGACATCATTTTCGCGTCCACGCTCGGCCTCCGCCGCGCCATCGAATCTAATGAAAAGAAGAAGAAAGATTACGACTTCCTCTCCTCCATCGAGCTCGTCATCATGGAACAAGCCGACGCAACCCTCATGCAAAATTGGGAACATGCCGAATTCGTGTTCCAGCACCTGAACCTCCAGCCCAAAGAAACACACGGCTGCGACTTCTCCCGCGTCCGCTCCTGGTACCTCGACGGCCACGCCCCACACATCCGCCAGACCGTTGTCCTCTCCGCGTACCTCGCCCCAAAGATAAACACCCTCTACAACAAGTATATGCGCAATTTCGCAGGGCGCCTCAAATACACGCCCTCCTACGACACCGGCGTCATCGAGACACTCCCTTACGGTATCAAGCAGACTTTCGCGCGCTTCGACTCCCCCTCGTACGTCACCGACCCCGACGCCCGCTTCAAGTACTTCACCTCTAGCGTGCTCCCCAAAATCCTCAAGACGCCGAAGCCCTCGGAAGGCGGAATTGGCGTCCTGCTCTTCATTCCCTCGTACCTCGACTTCGTCCGCGTGCGCAACGCCCTCGTAGATATCGACATCTCGTACGCGTCGATATCGGAGTACACGGATACCACGGACGTACGGCGGGCGCGGTCGCACTTCATGAGCGGGCGGCACTCACTGTTGATCTACACGGGACGCGCGCACCACTTCCACCGGTACTCCATCCGCGGCGTAAAGAGGGTTGTATTCTACGGCGTGCCTGAGAATCCGAAGTTCTATGAGGAGATTGTGGGGTTTGTGGGGAAGACGGTTGAGCGCGGTGAGATATCGAAGAGCGAGGCGAATGTGCGTGTGGTCTTTTCTAAGTGGGAGAGGTTGGAGTTGGAGAGAGTGGTGGGTGCAAAGAGGGTGGGGAAGATGGTGGTAGATAAGGGGGACTTGTTTGACTTTGTATAGGGAGTTGGTGCATGATTGTACTTGTCGGGTGGTGACATGGTAAATGTGGAATGCGATAAGTGAGTCTAGGACAACTCGAGGCCATTATGTGTTTCGCGATTTTGTGTTATCGTACATTCGTTGATGTCGAATGTAACACCCTTTGTAATATTATTGCGGCTTCGATTGGGGCTGGACGGTGGAAATGTCCTGCTATCGTCATTGAATGCATTATGGAGAGCCATTACGATGCATCTCAATCCGCTCAATAACCTAAGTCAAACTTGGTGGTTTCCTGTATATGGCTTGTTGACCTGCGTTGTGACACTCTACTGAGTTCATGTACTGCTATTTGCTGCGGCGTGCGAAAGGACGCGAAGAATCATCAATCAATGGCTTGTTCGCCGGAAGATGCTGCGTCTCAGGGAGCCTTTCTAGCTCTTCAGCCCATGTGACGATAATCTGAACATGGTAGGCGGGCCTTCCCGACTGCCATAGTCATGGTAACTGAATTCGGAAGCCTATCCATCGACGATATGACAAGGATACCGCTTTTCTGCGGGATCGCAACGAGCTACTGCGGTGCTAGACAAACGGCAATGCTCTAGATGTCTATGGAGACAATCTTATTGTGCTAGCGCATTGTATGTCCAGGCACATCGCCTGCTCCTTTGGTAACTTAGGGTTGAGTCAGTGCGAATGTGGTGGTAAAGCGGCAGTACGACGTCAGATTCTAAGTCGTAGAGGAATATACCACGCTGCAGACGCTCGAAACGCCCTGCTGTATTGAAGCTTGTTGAGCATGGTCGTGCGCATCGTATGTGTAGTCGGATACTGACTCGTCTCGAGCCCCGGTGTGATGACCATGCTCCGGGATTCAATGCAAATCGCTAAAGGTCATATTTTTTCGTCGTGCGGTATGACTCGTGACACGGATCGGGCCCAGTAGCATCTGCATAACGCCTCTGTAATTGCAATAGAGGCGATTGAAGCCGCTCGTTCGCGAATGCAACAGCACTTCGTTTTCTTTACAAATCGAAGTAACGTTGGAGTGGGTCGCGAAAGAGGAAATCATAGCCACCACTCAGGTGACCGCAAGCTTTCTGCCGTCGGCCCGATAGGGGAACTCCATCCACCGGCGCTAATCCCACCAGTCGAGTGATATTCACGACGGCAAGTCCACAAACCCACATGACTGCAACCTTGTTGGCAGAGCATGGTTCATTTCTGCAGCTTTGGGGATGCGTGTGGGCCCCCGCATTCCTCTCAATGGGGTCGACAAATCAACATCCCCATGGAGTCCCGCTAGCGGGTTGGCTACCTAATCCAATGTCGAACGCGGGCTCGTGAAACAGGTGTTGACAGCAAGTGTGAGCGACTGGTATAAGAGGAAGGTTGCCGATCGTACTTTACTTCTCTAGCACTCGTGTATTTATGCGTCTACTCTCGAGACGTCAGTGTTACCAAGAACTGCATTTGACAGCGGTTAGGAACGAGAAGACAGTGTCAAAATGGATGCTACCAATCGCAACGCGTCTGTCACGTCAGCACAGGTCCGAACCCAGGCTGCATACAAGAACAGGTGGAGGACTTTGCTCAATAACCCAAAGCTCCTGATCATTGCCTTCTTTGCCTCGTAAGACATCATCCTCTCAAGTTGGTGAGGTCCTACTAATTTATGACAGGTTTGGAGGGTTTGAATATGGCTATCAGCAAGGAGTTTTGGGCCAGTCCCTCGTCATGACCCGATTCAAGGACAACTTCCCATCTGTGGTCAACTCGTCGTCAGCTACTGGTTGGTTGACCTCCATCCTACAGCTGGGTGGAATTTTGGGTTCGCTATCGGCTGGTGTGCTCGGTGAGATCTTCTCGCGCAAATACACCATGTTCAGCGCCTGTCTCTGCGTCGTGCTCGGGTCGTATCTTTACATCGGCGCAAGTTACCACAAGCCCGGACTTCTTTACGCCGGTCGGTTCTTCACTGGTGTAGGAGTCGGTTTGTTCTCTGGTGTGGGTCCTTTATACAACGCCGAAATTGCCGCACCGGAACTACGTGGCCTGATCGTGTCTTTCTACCAGTTTGCTACTATTCTAGGAATCATGCTTTCGTTCTGGATTGGATATGGCTCAAACTACATTGGCGGCACTGGCGAAGCGCAGAAGAATCTCGCGTGGCAACTCCCCTCCATTATCCAAGGTATCCCGGCCGCTATCCTTGCTTGCGGTATTTGGTGGTTACCATTCTCTCCTCGCTGGCTCGTCAAGAAGGGTCGCGACGAAGAAGCGTTAAAGACCATCGGGTACCTCCGCAAACTACCAATCGAGCATGAGCTCGTCCAGATCGAATACAAGGAGATCAAGGCCGAAGCTCTCTTCGAACAGCGCAACTTCGAGAAACACTTCCCTAAATTGGCTGCCAAAGAAGCAGGCAGTCTCTGGGCCCGGGAATTTGCTCAGTACTACCAAATCGTCCGCACATGGGACAACTTCAAGAGAGTCGCTACCGCTTGGCTCGTCATGGTATGGTTTTTTCTCATCATTTGACGTGGATAAAGCTGACCTTTCCAACAGTTCTTCCAGCAGTGGTCGGGTAGGTTCCATCCTGTTGCCTCCTCTTGACAGCCATGCTAAGATATTGCAGGTATCGACGCCATCATCTACTACGCAAGTAACGTCTTCCTGTCGCTGGGCTTGACTGGAGGCACGCAAGCTCTTCTCGCAACTGGCGTTACCGGTGTCGTGTTCTTTGTCAGCACCCTTCCGGCCATGGCTGTGATTGACAAAGTCGGCCGCAAGCCCATGTTGATTGTCGGCTCCGTAGTTATGTTCTGCTCCATGATCATCGCCGGAGTCATGGTTGCGAAGTTCAGACATGATTGGGTAGCCCATTCCGCGGAGGGTTGGATCGTCGTTGCTTTCATCTGGATCTACGTCGGCGCTTTTGGCGCCACCTGGGGCCCAGTCTCTTGGACGCTTGTATCTGAGATATTCCCGCTTTCTATTCGCGCCAAGGGTGCCTCCATCGGAGCTAGCAGTAACTGGCTCAACAATTTCGCTGTAAGCAGACCAGCCCGTGTGCATTCTCTATTCAGAAACTAACACCGTCATAGGTCGCGTTCTTCGTTCCTCCGATGCTTGAGTCCTGGGCTTGGGGAACCTACATCTTCTTCGCCGGGTTCCTTGCCGTCGGTATCGTATGGGTCATTTTTCAGCTCCCAGAAACTAAAGGTGCTACTTTGGAAGAGATGGATCGTGTGTTCGGGAGCCGGACTGGTGCCGAGGACGCTATCTTGCTTGCTGAGGCTAGGAGAGAGATTGGTCTGAGCATGACACTTGAGGCAGATGCGATCATGGCTGTCAAGCACGCGGATCAGGTCCATGAAAAGGGACATGAGCGTGTTGAGGAAGTTTAGAATGGGCAATCCTCGAGAGAATTTGGATACTTACGAGCGCGCTATAAATTCGATGCCTGATCTATTTCAGATGGCCCATGCACGTATTGCACTTCACTTGAAGGGAGTTTGCAATTGCCCGGGTACGTCATCGGATCTCATAATTCGAAAGCTCACCTTTGCCCAGTGCTTGAAGCCATCTGGATCAAGCTATGTGGAGCGTCGGAGAGATGAGCGCTGACTGGGCTTCGTAATGGGAGTCGCGCTCGCAAAATGCCATATATCTATCACACTGCTTAGCATCATGAAAGCGATTGGGTTGAATGGAAAGATTTGGTATAGTTGGTACCGGGATATCAAAAAATTTAAGAACTAGAAAAAACTCCATCATGTTTCGTTGCCCCCCTCTCTGTGTACGGCCCTGTTCATCGATCATATCATTTCACATCACTCAAGCAGCAGCCTGTTGTGCCAGAAACGTCGTGGATGCCGCGGGACAACCCACACCCCTCCCATTCAGGTTCTGCAATACGATGATGCTCGCCCCGATTCTAGCCTTCTTGCTCGCACTAGAGCCACCGAGCGGGAACTTGATTGGTACGCCCTCAGAGTTGCCGGCAGCAGCAGCGGCTTGCACTTTCTGTATGAACTCTTGACGGTCAGGTGGGCAAGAGCAGGGGATCTTGACGTTGTTCAGGCCAAGACAGTTTCCTGTGCCATCGGGGGTTTGACCTGCTTCGACGCCAAACTCTGGGACGAGAGAGACATCAAAGCCGCCTGTTGTTTGGTTTGCGCCATTTTGGCTGCCGCCGGTTTGGTTCTGTCGGTTTTGACTTCCGGCATTCTGGTTTGGCCCGTTCTGAACACCACCATTCTGATTCTGGCCGTTTTGGTTCTGACCATCATTTCCAGGAAGAGTGCCGTTGTACTTGACGTTTCCGGCCCCTTGGTTGGGTAGGCCATCTTGGTTGTTCGGTGGTTCCTGCCCTTGGTTGTTCGGTGGTTCCTGCCCTTGGTTGTTCGGTGGTTCCTGCCCTTGGTTGTTCGGTGGTTCCTGCCCTTGGTCGTTTAGGTTGCCTTCAGTTGCAGCACCATTACCAACACCAGCTTGTGCGTTGCCAGGCGTAGCACCGGTTGAAGGGAAGTGAAATTCGGACAAATCGGCTGACTGAACACTGCCATCCTGAGCACTCTGATCAGATGGACGGCCACCTCGAAACCGGCCTTGACCGGCAGCTCTCTGTGGCAAGGCAGTGGCGACAGCGGAGAGGCCGGCCACGACAAAAAGAGAGAAGCGCATTTTGACGGAAGTGGAATGAAAGTTTGGTGTAGGGTACTATTCCAATCGAGGTAACGCAGAAGCAGAGAGGGGCTGGATGAAGAACCTAGTGGTGAGAATAGAACGAAAAGGGTAAGAGAAGAGAACCGAGTATCCTGCTCGTGGGGGTATCAAAAAGTACGAAGAAAGAAAAAGAAGAAGACAAGATCACCACGATGCGTAGAGAACGTACACTCGAGAGCGCATGATCGCCCTGACAGTCGGTGATTACTGCCTTTAAATCGCTTTCTCCAGCAAAAATGCGATGGAAATCACCATGCCCAGAATTACTCTCGTCTTACCTTAGTCGCACCAGATTCGTGGCCTGTCGTCTCTCGGGAGTGATAACTCGTTGTCACGCAAGGTCAGAATCCGGGTCGTGCCTCAGGTGGAAGTGTGAAACGCGGTAGAGCACCCTCAGTGACAGTGTTCAACCGCTCTCTCGAAACAAATTGCTACTTCTCGGGCAGAAAATGGGGTACGATTTCAAACGCAGCGCTAAAATTCAGGTTTCAGCGAGGGGATACAGACGCGCGAACGTCAAAAGGCTCATTGCGCGCAGTGAATATTGCACAGCCCGTCTATGCGAGGATTAAAACCGCTCTCACGATGAAGCTTTCAAAGTCCGTCGCATTCATGCAACTCTTGCATCTGCGACGACTGCGCGTTTTTGGAGTTGGTGCCGCAACTACAATCCGTCGGACTTCGCGGTGTTGAGGATTCGGGTAGGTGGTGTTTCACGAGCGTCGATCTGGGTTTGAGAACATCTCGACGCTAAGCCGAAAGCGGGACATGGTGTTCGTGCTTTCCATGTTTCGCATAAATGAGCGACGGGATCGACTAAACTTCGGCGGTGGGTCTCTGGGGATGGAGCAAGTATTGCCGGGTTTCGAAGAGATCAGGTTGTAGAACAAGCGACTGAGAGCCAGTGTTCGCTTTGCGCCCTGACGTGTTCTAAAGTCGTGTAAATGTACGTCTTACCAATATACTACATTTCTCGACATCCGAGACTCTACGCCTGGTGAAGTCTCTTATGGTAACAGGATGTCGGGCAGCTATGTCTCTGCTTCATTACCTCTCCTTCGCATTTGTCACATGCGTGAACACCGCCGTCTTATCCTGTCAACAACCTAGAAATCCAAAACATCGATAATCACGCAGGATAAACTTGTTGAGCAGAAGACGAAACTTGGCACCACAAGTTCCCTGAATACTGCATGCGCTTTGAATAAGCTCTTGGTCTACAACTCTGGAAGTGACCCGTTCAAGGTTGCCTTCGAGCTCACCTTGGCCAAGTTAATGCAGCTCTCGTGGGTAGCGCAAGTTGCCTGCAAACCTAGACTTTCACCTATCTACTATTGCCTAGTCATACAAGCTTCACACCTCGGCGTAGTCTCCTAGCGCATCTCATATGTTTCTTCCAAAAACATCGATAAGGACTTCAAGCGGACCACAAATCTTCACGCGACGCGAGCGCAACCGTCAAAGGACTTTCAAGAAGGTGGAGGATCCGCCACTACTAACTCCGAGTATGATCTGAGTCTGGTTCGATGGGTAGGTATAGAAGCACATCTGTTAATAGTGTTATGCAGTCGGGCCTACTATCTTCGGTTTACCCTCTATCGGTAGTTTGCATGTGGGTGGCGCAATGCCGATAAGCCAGCCAGCCTGCTGTCAATTACTTCGAGGTGAAGTGGCGATCTTGGTTGGCCTACGATCTAGCATGTCTTACATTCGTTGGCTGTGAACCCCTGCACATGCAATCCCGCTACGCCTCGTCCCGCTGAGCCACCCGGCTTCATGCAAGCACCCTCGTGTGTACCAGTACCCCGCTGCGCGATGCCGCCCACATGCTCAAAGGTATCAGTTATTCCCCGATACACTGCACTTAAAGTAGGCGTAATGCGCAGCCTCGTGGTTGCCTTCTTTTGCCGTCTCGCCCTGGTTGAGTGTTGTATCCGGCGTTTGATTGGTACCTTGAGCGCGAATGTTCGACCTTTGCTCTGAGCGTTTGGTCGATAGTGAGGAGAGGTTTGCTGGAAGAGATGGGCATAGGTTTGCAGAAATTTGGGTGCGCGAGGTACATCCCACCCGAGAATGGTAGATGTGTTGTAACTAATGCTAAGTTATTCAGGATGGAAAGACGCCAATGTATCAATCGGGTGATTTGAAAGAGCAGGAAATTGTGGGTTGGATGCATGAGGTGGGATCTTGATGTAGTCGCAACAGATACTAGTCTAAACGCTGCAGGAACGAAACGCGAGTGGCTCGATGCAGTCAGGATTGCGCATCTTGTACGTATACGCCAACGCCGTCTCTTGGCTTTTATTGACCACACAAGACTCTCGCCAAAACCTTCAGGCAAATCATCGAGCGGTAAACTCCCATATACAAGACAGACGTACCTCGCTCTGTCGCGCGCCTGGCGTATTCCGTCGACATTCATCCGCGCAGTGACACAAAAGCTTTCTATTGTTACTCAGGGTTCCATCGCACCCATCGCCGCATCATCTCCAGTCTCATCGTCACCAACAGTACCGTGGTTTGCTCATCAGGTCAGAGAACCTAAGAGATGTGACAGAGATGCGAAACCGTTACCAGAAAGCAGTATTGTCTCCAACTGCGCAAAGCACCTCTTGATCCGCGGCGATGTCGATTGGACGTGGGATTACACGTTCATACAGATAGATGACCCCGTTACTCACGCGACCTACGCTCTCATTGTTGGTCTCACAGCTACAGAAATCGATCTGCTGCTATGCTACTTGGCTTACATGGCATCATCATGTATAGCGTCGACACACCGTGCCATCTTACCACTGATCTTGCTCGATCTTGCTGCCGATGAAACAGCATCGCTACTCAAGCTGCGCGTCAAGCTTATGGGCCAGATTCAACAGCTCACTGGCATGGATCGCTTCAATTCTCTCAAGAGCGCGATAATAGCAGGGGAACGCGAGGCAAGAAAGAGCTATGCTGAGGAAAGAAAAGAGTTAGACTTGGATGCTATTATGTTACGATTGACATGTTTGAGCGACTGGGTTGCTGCCCAGCGAGGATTTATCGGTATACAAGAGCGTGTCAGCAACGTCGTTCAGCATATGCTGGGCTCCGATGACGATAAAGATACCCTTGCTGTCTTTCGCGAGAGGTTAGCATTCGTCAAAGAGAGCCTACTCGCAGCGGAGCAGAGGTGTTTGTATCTCGAGAGGTCCATATCTGCACAGGTACAAACCGTATACTCGCTCATCGCCCAGAAAGACAATCGTCTGAATCATTCCGCGGCACGCGCCAGTTGCCAGATCGCATCCGACTCGCGCCGCATCGCTATTCTCACCCGACGCGATAGCACAGACATGCGGATTATAGCAGCCGTTACACTCGTCTTTCTTCCAGGCACTTTCGTCGCCACAATATTTTCGACTGGGCTTTTCGATTGGGGTCACGGCGATCCCACGTCTTCAGAATCGGAAGACAGCGAAGGTGGCGGGAGAATGATTTCGAAGTATATCTGGGTATACTTCATGTTGACGGGAGTACTTACAGCTGTGGTTCTGGTGGCATGGGCCTTGTTTTCATGGGTACAGAACAGAAAAATGGTTCGGAAATTTGGCCTTGATATCGATTGTGAAGAGGGAAGTGAGTGGAGTCTATCGGAAGAGCAAGAGATGAAAGCAAGAAGAGATACTCAGATCACATTGTTTGACAAACCCATAGTGCACGCTGGCTGGCAACGGTTGCTGATTGGATCGAAGAAGATGTTAGGACGGAACATTGAGTCCATCCAAGAAGATGCTAAGTTGGCCTGAGAGCTTAGAAGCGGACCGTAGGAGCCATGTAGTACCCATACTTGAAAATCCGAAGTCCAATACAAGTCGACGATACTCGCGCAATATCCTTTCAATCGCTCATAAGGGCACTCAGTGATCCATGAACGGTGAAGTCAAATGACACATGAAAGAATGTGTATGCATTTGGAAAGATCGGTATCGCATCGCCACTGCCATGCTTCCTAAGCCACAATCCCGACTAGTCCTAGCGTGTTACACAGATATAGGGCTATGATCTTCCACCTCAAGGCTCCAACTTGTACACGAGCTCCTAACTCTCACAACCTATTTTGATCTCCATGTCTAGAGAAACACATCTATGCGACAGTTGCTTGAGCATTTTCTCAAAGCTTACAAACCTACCCACCGACCTAGGCCCAAAAGAGTACATCAGTTCTGGCCCCAACGGTAAAAGCGGTAGGCAGTGGCAGGACAAGACGAGCGGCAATTGCTGGACAGACGTGTGTGGCATGTTCCACGAAAGGTGGTGGAGTGCCAAAGATGTAAGCAAAGCCGCTTTAATTCGGTCCGCAGCGGAAGGTTGCTACATCTGTGTCAGCATTTGGAGGAGGTACTCGACTTTCACGAACACAGGCATCAGATATCGTCCAGATGTAGAAAAGATTTCTTACGAGATAAGTGAAGATGGAGAGTCATCATTTTCGCTCAAGATCACGGTGATTGGAGCTCAGGAATCGTGTGTGGGTTTATTGTGCGGCAAGCCCAGGACTTGTTTCCCCTTCCGCGGCGTCCTTTCGAACTGTAAGTGAACCATCCAATTCGCAGTGATCTCTAATGATGTTAGCACTGCCACCTAAGTCTGTTCAAAGCGACGTGGCCCCTACCACTCGATCTCAACAAACCATGACTCAAGCGAAAACATGGATCAACGACTGCAAGGAATACCACATGAAATGCCAGCGGCAAGAGGACTCTTATGATCTCCCAACGAGACTTGTTCGTGTTGATTATGCAGAGGATGGAGATGATCGTGAAATATTTGCTTCTCTATGTCGGGGCAGCACATTACCACCAGGCACGCAATACCTAACGCTCTCCCATCTATGGGGCAAGCACGAATTTCTCAAGTTGATGAAAAACAATGTCTGTCAATGGGAAAATTCGATACCTACGAACCAGCTGTCCCCAAGCTTCCAGGATGCACTCTATATGACGCGTTCTCTGGGCTTCAAGTTTATCTGGATTGATAGTCTTTGTATTATCCAAGATGATTTACAGGACTGGGAACAGGAATCTGAGGCTATGTGCCGCATTTACAAGGGTGCTGTGTGTAACATAGCCGCGTCTGCACGTCAGACAAGCGATGGACACGGCTTCCTTCCCTCGTCACGGTATTTGGAACCTGTTGTCCCACCTTTGGTACACATTGACTGGCACGCCTCTCCTGTCATACAAAGCAGGAATGTTTGTGGGAGGGATTTCGTTATCAGCGAAGCATTTCCTCAGCGGAACTTGCGTACAGACGAGCTATACGATCGTGCATGGGTTTTGCAGGAAGAGATGCTGGTGAGCTTGACCTACCGCTATTCAGCTATCGAGCTAACATCCTCCCAGGCGCTGCGTACGTTACACTGCCAGGGTGATCAAATTTATTGGGAATGCAGAACTTCCATATGCAACGAGGTCTGGCCCTCAGGCTGGGCTACATCCTTGGGAAGATACCGCGAAAGCGAGGGCACAATCGCGCCTTTCCTGCTCACTACTGATGATATTGAAGCGTCTCAGGTGAGTCGGACATCAGACTGCAGCATGCCGGCTGACTGACATCTGCCTGGTCAAGGCAGGACTCGCATACACCGTCTGGCTCGAGATGGTATCAAGTTACTCACGGCGAGCCATATCATACGGCACAGATCGCCTGCCAGCCCTCGCTGGTATTGCAGCTGACACAGCGTTCCTTCTAAACGATACTTATGCTTCGGGCATATGGCAAAAAGCGCTTCACAATGGCGTCCTGTACCAATCTCGAGGGACCCTGCAATCCTGTGAAGAACCCCCACAGCCCCTACCCTTGTGGGACAAGGTACCTAGCTGGTCTTGGGCGTCTCTGGATAGACCAGTCGTCTTCGTTACAACTCGTCACCCTCCGGAAACAGAAGGTCTCTGTGATATCGAAGTACTCCCTGCTATGCTCGGCCAACTGAGCGTTCTCGAGATGACTGGCCCGCTCATGCGGTTGGACTGGATCAAGACCAGTCCTGATGCAGTCGAGTGTCAAGCAATGTGGAAGCCTGCGTGGGACGACCCAGTATTTCACAGAATCGGCCGCTACGGCGGGGAAGCAACCTGGGAGGTCCACGTGCAAGAAGACCACTGGTTTGCACAAAAGTGCTATTCTGAGTCCTGCGCCCATCCGATCCCAAAGAAAGATTACGGCGAGCCATCGGAGAAGCCCTATTTCGCTGCCCTCTTCGATAACATATTTTTCATGCCCGTCCTGTATGAAGGCGAGCGAGAATACAAGGTAGTGAGATCGTTTGCCCAATACGGAGGGAGGCCACGTATCATTGGTCTATTACTGTGGGCAGAGCCAGGACAAATGCGTGGTACATATCGTAGAGTAGGTACAGCGCAGCTCGCGCTTCGACGAAAAGAGGGGAATGCCTTTTGTACCTTCAAGGAGAAGGTGAGCATGTACCAAGCGGGCATTCGTGAGGTAGACTCTTGTCGCTCCGATGGAAATGGACGATACACGGTCCGTGTTGTATGAGCTCTACCGTCCACTATTGGTTTCGGCGCTGGGTAGACTCTTCGTACTGCATATGCAATGCCTAGTCAAAACTTCGAAGTACTCGGTCAAGCTCTTCAAACTTCTACGGCATCTAACGCAGTCGACCCCAGGAGCAAATACGACCCTACGGTGAAGTCACTCCAATCGTCGAACCCATCAGGAGTCCTCTGACTTATTATTAGTGAGTGCGGTCGATACCAGAAGCAAAGCGACTCCAATCGTGAAGTCATCCCAAACAACCAAACCCCCACCACGAATCCTCTCCTAAATCCTTCCTCCTAAAAAAAGCCCCAACACGATCCTTCTATTCTACAACCGCCCGTTCCCCAAAAACAGCACCACCACGCCGCACCCCGCACGCGCGCCCGATCGATTCGAAACACAACGCCAACCCCCCGTCTTACCTCATCCCCACCCGCTGTGCTCCCAGCGTCTCACGAGACCGCGTGCCGCATCCAGCACAGTCAGCACTTGCATGCCGCGCCGCCCCCGCGCGATCTGCGACCGTCATGTCACTGACGCAGCGACGCAGCAGCGGCCTGCAAAGACGGCGGCATCTCGCAGCGCACCCAGGCGTGGCACTGTACAGTAAGAGCTTGACTGCTGCGGGTGTATGGGCACGTTTCGGCTGGGCGCCTGGGCACTATCGGGATAGATTGTCGACGGGGGGTGTCGGCGCGGGAACGTAGATTGAGTACTTTGCGTGCTTGGGGGGATAGATGGCGGTGACGGTATGCACGGTGAGTCTGGCAGCCAGAGATAGGGACGATGCGATTAAAGCAGCGGGTTGTGTTTGTTGTATGCGAGGGCTGTTTGCAGTGATGGAGACGGTGGGGAGGAAGCTAGGCGCGTTTGGGGTTAGAGCAGACCCCTACTACGGGAGGCTTTTGGCTGCAATCAGGACGGAGACGACATCACCACGCTCCACCAACTTGGGCAGATCCGCGAGATGAGTTCAGCGGGAAGGCTTGAGCTGAGCGAGCGGGACGACGCGGGACATCTCACGGTGACGTTCATCGAAACGGCTGCTGGGAAAGGGGGAAGCAGGGTCGATGCTGTGGTGTGTCCCAGCGCGTTTCTGTGTCCTGAATGCTGCTGACCACCGCAGCGGCCCAGAGAAAGCAAAACCTATGCACAGCAGCTGCTCGAAGTTTTTCTGCCTGCAGGATATCCGCACACTGTGACGGAAGACTACATACAGTATGTTGATCCAGGCAGATGCGAGGCAGCGCGCATGCCTCTGTACGTCACCAGCAGTGTCACTTGCTGATCTCGATGCTTGCGATCAACAGGTACCAGATCTACGTACGCACATCCTCGCGCCACTCCAAACACGTTAGGACATGAGTGATTGACGATTTCCGCTTGCACCAGGATTCGCTCCAAGCGTTCTCTTCATCAATTGCAGGACTCCTCTCCTCGCGTGCTGTCCTTGAAGGTGAGTTAAGCATATCGATTCATATACGCACCATGCACGTATTTCATATACAAGGCAAAGAAGTCATAAGCGAGTCGGTACCGTGGGCTTGGATCCGTATCCTCAGACATAACACCATCATGTAGATTGCTTCCGCATGGCCGTACATCCCGCTCTCGCCGGATCAGCAACCACCAGTCTGCAGGCCGAGCCTCGATACTTCGGATGCCATCCGCGCATATTGCAAACGAGCGGTGGACCCGTACCTCCTTAGGAGACAAGAGCTAACTGGCGGAACAATAGGTGTAGGCGTTGGTGACGCCGACGCTTCGCCAACGGCCGCACTGCTGCTCTCAGTACTGCAAGAGTCCATGGGGCGGATTGCTACCATTCTCTTCGCGCACAGGCTGGGTACGTCGCTGGAGCCGGAATGCAAAATGTACAGGCTCGCAGCAGATGTCTTCAATGACACGGCTATGATCCTGGACTGCTTGTCGCCGGCGTTCCCTAAGGCAACGCGTGTCCTGATACTGTCCTTCTCGAGCGTTCTCCGGTCGCTATGCGGTGTATGCGCAGGATCGTCAAAGGCAAGCTTATCGGCCCATTTCGCAAAACGTGGAAATCTAGGCGAACTTAATGCTGTGAGCCACCCCATATCGGAGGAATCCATGGCGTGAGGTTCATATACAGACCTGCGCTACTTCATCTACTCACATATACGCGAAAGTTTGCATGATAAGCTGGTGCTGATCATCTTGCAGAAGGACTCTAGTCAGGAAACCGTAATCTCGCTCCTGGGCATGTTGGTAAGTACCCCACGTTGCTCTAATGCCTGGTACCGTTCGTTGATGCATGCTGCTGCTGCATCGCCGAGCCGGTTTGCTCCGACGCACACGTTGTTTGTTGCCAGCTGCTTACCAGACAGGCTGGGAGCATTGTAGTATCCTGGATAAAGACACCGATGGCGACCTGGAGTACGCTCATTGCTCTGCTGTCGATACACTTGGCGACGAACTACGCTGCGGTGAAATCCGTCAGCATGCGCAGCTTGAACAGGCAGAGGGCTAACATAGTGCTGAGTAGCCTCCTGCGTGACGGTCGAATCCTGTCACCAGCCGAAGTCTCCGCTAGGGAGCGGATCTTTGAGCGCGACGGAGCACTGCGTTGGATTGATGGTAGCGTACTTGGTCACTGCAGGATTGGAGCACCATTGGAAAACATGCTCCACTTCATGGGGCACCGCCGCCACAAACGGTCAGGCGCGGTAGACTTGCAGGATCTCACCTTGGCCGACTTGGTTCGGGTCTATCAAGATGAGGCATATTTGCTCTGGTCTTGCGGGTCTGCAGCTGTAATCGTTCTGAAGCAAGACTGTTCCCCGCTCGACCAGCTCAAGGCGTGGACGCAGGCGCTCTTACTGGCTCGCAAGGGAACCATGAGGGATGAGCCTAAAGCCGCTGAGCATGACACATCAGGCGGACGACTGGCTGAGCTCAGATTCGCCTTGGAGGAAGTGAAGGAGTTGTTTGACGCGTACGAAACAAAGCTACGAGATGCGGGATGGGATCTGGATGTCGCTGTTCTAGAATCACGGCCCGGCGTGCGGGTACAGATTAAGACAGAGTGGGCAGCGTGAGACCATTGTTAACGGAGTTTCTACCTGCAACAGAATCGCGAGGTACGCAATATCACTTGGGCAGGTGGGCAGGGAACACCCTTAACTATCGGAGGTTAGGCGACCTGAGGCTGGTGACATGTAGAGATCGGGTGGTTGCAGGCGGCTCGGATGGATTGATCGACGACAGCATGTGTATCCCACGCTCCCCATGTTTCGCGGCGCTTGTCGTGTAGGCGGGCTGTTTGAACCCAAAGACAAGTCGAGCCCCCCACCCACATGTCACACGGTTAGAGAGATGCGGTCCACCTGTCACGTTTCACTCTGGCTAAGTAGCGCGGATGCCTGGGTCCGAACGACACAAGGTGGAGGCTGTTCGGAGCCGTGGCCTCAGAGTCCGGTCGGCAGCAACACCGTGTTGGGAGCACATCGGACGATGAGCATCCTGCTCCCAGATGTTCGGGCCAGCGTCATGGGAGATGCAGCCGCGTTGTGTTGGATCAGATGCATCATCCCACGCAACGCACAACAAGCTACGTGTGCAATACGTGCATGATGTTGCGAGACAAAAGGCGATCGATTATCGGAGTGTTTTATTATTATAGAGTGGCGTGGGCAGGGGTGCGGAGGCTTCTGGTCAGATCTCCGGTTGCCATGCGGCTAAAAGCGAGCCAGCTAGGCGGTGAGGAGAATGTCGCCTCACATGGAAGCAGATCTCCACTCGAGCGTCATGTGCGCGGGAGGTATTCTGTTCTGGAGACAAATTTTTGCTGCACTCATTTTTTTTTTTTTTTTACCGGTTGCTTCGCTTACCGGCGGCTGGATGAATCATGCTGGGACGACGTGAGTTGGCAAGTGTGGCTCCACAAGACCGAAGAGGCTCTTTCAAGCGCGGACTTGCAGTAGGCGAGGGAGGCGTTGGCGCTGTAACGCAAACGGACAACGGCTGTGTTGGTGTTGGCAACACGAAAGCGAGCGGATGATTAAGCTAGTCGTAGAAGGCCTGACTCGGATGCGGAAGGCTTCTGGAAGCAATTTCGAATTTTCTGTGCATGGAAGGACGGAGCACGGTGATGAAGGTGGAACAGGGGTTTGGTGAAACGTCAGCAGCTTGCGGTGGCCCCTCTTTGCACGCCGCGCTTTCAGCGGTGGAGGACACAAGAGGGGCTCTGGACGGTAGCGCTGGCTCTGGTGTGCGCGCTGAGGGGGTATTGCGGCCAAGTGCGATGGGACGATGGTGGGCTGGAGTTGCACGCTCAACAGGTGTCTCGAGTGGCGCTGGTGCGTGCGGATCTCGTGTGGATCTGCGTGGTGTTGAGGGTTCGCTCGGGCCAGTTCATTACCGTAAGAATCAGAGTCAGCGGCGCCTCAGGCAGCTCTGGGAGAGGCTCGCGTGTGCCTTGGCCCCAGCGATAGGGCGAAGAGTCAGACGAGATGTGATTCGCACGGGGCGGCTATTGGACGCAGCGCGCAAGGAATGGGCCTGGCGACGCTGCAACTGGCAGCTGGCAGCCAGGAGCACTGCAATGTTCGCGCGCTGGTGGCCGTCGCACGCAGCACCGCAGAGCGGATGGCATCATCGGTCTCGCTGTGGTTGTCTTTGTGCACGCGGCGGGTGATGCTGCCACTGGCACGGACGCGGTGGCCGGACAAAGCGAGGCCCTCTCGACGCCCTTCGGCTGGCCTTCCTTTGGCGTGGGTAGGGCACTTTAGCGTTTGCGGAGCGCGCCTGAGCATCGCTGTTGCCGCGGACTGGCGTCTCGTGGCCGGCGCAGGCAGTCGGCGCAAGGCAGCGGGACATGTCCACAGAGACAGCGAAAGCAAATGCAAATGGCACTCTCAGAGTTCGTGATCGGGCGGCTGCGATTCACGTGCCAAGCGCGGGAGCAATGGTGCAATACACCCCCCCAGCAATACGCATGTCGGCGGCCGGGCGTAACCTTGGGGCCTGTCGACGACGTAAGAGCCGGCCCCAGCAGCGCAGGCGCCGGAAATGGAGTCTGCACGCGCTGCACGTCTGATATGCCTGCGCGATACCGTGCTGCCTGCCTCAGAGCCTCTCGAGGTGCGCGCGGAGAGCACCACGGCGCCTCTGCGGCCGCGGGCAGTGCAGGTGTTGCAGCCCGGCGCGTCGTGGGTCGCTCGCTCGCTGGGCTGGTGGCGACTGCCCGTCTGCTGCAGCAAGCACAGCGTTTCAGCAGGGGCGCCGTTAGCTGCGTCGCGCTGCGTCCACGGCGGGCGGCGCTAGAATTCTTCGATCCTCGTTCGATGGCGCGTGCCCCCAATCAGCGCCCGCGCGCGGCCTGCCGCTTTAACGCACCGCGACTCTCGCCGCGCCGGCCCTCGCCAGCGCGCCATTCCTCATTCCCTAATCCCTTCCACCCCAACCCACTCGATACGGCGAACGTGCTCCCTCCTGGCCTGCGCTGACCTGCCCCGTCCGCCAGCCCAAGTCCAAAACGACACCTGCGCCAACACCAGCGGCCCAGCCCAGCCTGACTCCTGCACCTCCACCCGCACCCGCACGCTGCTCAAAACCACGCTGAGCCGCACCCCGGGCACTGAACTCTCCGCCCGCCATACCACTCCTGCTGCGAGAGCGCTGTCTCGGTCTCACCACCGCCCACTTCACAGCCTCCAGCCTGCAGCCTGCCGCCAAACCACCTCTCACTCAACCACTTCCGACCCCTACACCTCCAAACCCAACAAGGCCCGCCTGCAACCCGCCGTGTCCCCGCGTGCGACGCCAGACGCCCTGTCAAACCAAACCACCCGCCAGTGCCCTCGATGACCCGGTCGCTGCGATAACATCCGCCCATCGATCGACCTGCCACTGGGTTCTCCGAACCTCGTGCCACCACCCGCCAAACTGGCGCAACAATTCCGCCCTCAGTGCTGTTCCTGCGAAGGCCCAGACCCAACCGGTAGAAATAGCGCCCGCCGCGTCTACAAACAATTGCGGAGAAGCATCATGAACTCAAGAAAGACGGCCACCCAACCACTGCAAATACGAACCCCCTCCTCCACCGCCTCGTCGCCCACCACGTCGACGGTCGAGCCCGACGACGAAGACGTGAAGATGTCCATGGCCGAGTACCACCAGCCCTCGCGGCCGCTCACCGTCTCCATCCCTCGCAGCATCGCCTCTGCCTCCAACCGAAGACCCAACCTGTCCGAGATCCTAGCAAACACCGCTCCACCGCCCTACACACTTAGCTCCTTCATGGCCTTCCTGTCCCAGAACCACTGCTTGGAGAACCTTGAATTCACAATGGATGCCTCGCGGTACCGAAAGCACTACTCAAAGATGGTCAACCGCCATCCGGGCACTCCCATCTCCCCCCTCTCTGACGAATGTGCATACGTCTTGATGCTGTGGAGACGCTTGATAGACGCCTACATCCGCGAGTCCGGCCCTCGAGAGGTGAGCATCATCATTACCGCATACTGTACGCTTGCTAACGACTCTAGGTCAATCTACCTGCCGACGTGCGCGACACACTACTCAACCTCTCCGACTCGTACGTCCCACCACACCCGTCGGCATTGGACGAGGCTGTTAGCAAGATCTACGAGCTCATGGAGGAGAGCGTTCTGGTCTCGTTCCTCAACTCAGCGTCACCAATGAGTGCGTTGGCTTCAGCCGTCAGCCACGATAGCCACGAATCAAGCACGACTCGTTCGTCCACCCGGAGCTACGACGAACGCACCCTCTACCATCCGCGCACCTCTGCTCACCCTCCCGTCCATCAACGTGCTTCTGCACCATCATCACTCACCTCCAACTTTATGCATGCACGACCATTCTCTCACTCCCGCTTCAACTCCCAACCCGCAACATCCTCCGGATCACCTTCATCTCGCGGCCCGCTCAGCTACGCTAGCGGTAGTGACGCATTGACCGACGATTCCGGCAGCAGAAGCCCATCGGGCATGAGCGACCCTCTGACTCCACCGGGAACGCCGCCGATGAGCGACTACCCGATGACCGATTTCCAGCAAGCCTACTACGACAACGGATCCAACAGTGGCACTCCCAGTCCCCGGACAAGCCGTGGTGAACACAGCGGTCTGGCGAACGCAACCCGAGACAGCTGGAAACGAGTGAGCAGCAAGCTATGGCCGAAAAAGAGAAGCGGTGGCCAATTGAGAGAAGAAGAGCAAGGAGTCGTGGAGGGTGGACTATTCTAATTCGTTTCGACCATTTTGTATCTTGGAATTTTTCCCTTGATCCGGCAAGAACTGGATCGGATCCAAGTAAAACGATTACGACGGTGTGCTATCAGAGCGACTCGCATCTGCATTGGGCTGCATACCCCGGCGTCACTTGTCACATTTTCCTGCAAGGCGCACTGGCGATTTTACATCTACACCACATATTGGGTGGTTTACCTTTGGATTTATACCGGCATCATCTTCACTTCTAGATTCGGCGTTTACACACTGTGTTACAAAATACTGGGGCCTGGGACGGTGGGCTTCATTGTGCTTTTATCTGGATACCCAACCGTACGGGTGGGCTTGGGACCACGGCGTTCTGGTCCAGCTTGCAAAGTCAGGCTGGCATTATTCCTATCGCTGAGCCGATATCATGACGGAAGTGGATATGAAAGGGTCTCGGGCGGTTATTGTCTTACCATGTTGTACATTGTTCAAGGAGTTCATTCTTCACGTCTGCTGGCCCTGCAAAAGGGACCGGCTGGCGAGGTGGATCGCAAATAGATCCACAATACCCGCTCTACTGCAGAGCTAGCGAGCAATCGAATTTGATCTACTCGACTGCAATATTCATCCTGGAGTGCTCTGGCTGACGTGATCGCGTTGTTTGACAGGCCAGGCATTTTACGCCCATTGGCACTGCATGAGCCTCCGAAGCAGACTCAGGCACGCGAGCATTACCGATGTGCGGCGGGTCTGCATCGCCCTACGGCGAAGGAGCGCAGCTCGGGCGAGTCAAACCTATTGCCTGGCTTGCTCTCCGTGCTTCCACGTCACGAGGCTTCTAGAAGCCTTCCACACATGCACGCAACAACTCCACCTCACCGCCGCTCACCCCACCCCACCCACACCAACACCTTACCCGTCCGCAACAAGCTTGTCTTTCAGTCTCCCAGCCCAACGCCCACCCTACGACGCCGCGAGCCCCAGCTTTTCGCGTGGGATGCTGGCAGCGAGGAGGGAGCGTGTGCTGTTGGTGGCTTCAGGCAGCGCGGGCGGGTCGGCGGGCGTGCTTCCCCAGCGCAGTGCAGTGCAGCGTGGGCTGCGTGCGTGCTGCGCTGTCAGAAATGTGCAGGTACGGTGCAAACTGTGTGTATGTGAGAGGGCGCGTGTGTTGGACAGCGTGCGGGGCCGAGAGCTGGGTGTGTGAGCACGGTGCTGGTATGTGTGTTGATGTTGCTGTTGGGTTCTACCTCCATATGGAAGGATGGTCGCTCTGTGGGGGAAGCGAATTGGCGGCCCACGACGGAGTCGACGGAGCGGGAGGCCTGGACTCGTCTTGAGGTCTTGAATTGAGCTGAGCGCGAGGTTATGCTCGCTTGTGCCCGTCCGCATCCGATCCGCTGCATCCGTACATGTATGTGCATGCAGTGCGCGCCCACTGGTACCGCGGCCTCTGTTCTGAGGCGAGCACTCTATCGTACATCCAATACTCCATGTGTGTGTAACTACACACAGACATCAATCGACAGACGGTCCGAAGCCCTCAGCACGGTCGCTCTACAGAACGCTCGACCCTCCCTAAGTAATCTTCAACGTCCTTCCTTCCATCCTACCGGATCCTGCACAAACGAGGTCACGAGTATACAAGCCCAAGATTGAGTCATGTGCACCTGCGTTTCGCGCGAACCGCCAGCTTAGCCGCGCGCAAGCGTGCTCCTGAGCGATCCTCCACTCGCTCGCCGGATTTCCCCAGGCTCCGAGAAACCTTCGAGGCTTCGATGCAGGCGTTGCGCTTGCCGCTTCGAGGGCGTGCAGAAGGAAGGATGGCATCCAACAGCGGGCCACGTGGGTGTGCACGAATCACGCATGGGCGTGTGCTGGGGAATCCTGCATACGATTATGGTGGGAAGGCGAGAGGAGCCGAGTGAGGTTGTTCTACTGGAATGGGATGGGGTTGTATGGTAGGGACTGAGCGGTGTGGTCTACGTTTTACACATCCTGTGGTAGTGTGAGTTCGTGGCCAAGACAATACCTCTCCAAGGTACTCTACATGTAGACAGGCATTCCTGTGGGTAGGCCATGCTCGTACCATCAGCATCTCGATGCTCTGCATCCCAACCCACGTCCACGCCATTCTTACGCGCATACACAGTACAGATCCAGGAGCTCTCTTAATTGCCTCATTCTAGACTCTAGAATATAGCAGCTACATAGACGTATGTCGCACGACGTCAATCCCAGCCTGGCCCACCACGTATGTACACAACGCAGCACCGCATCTTCCCTCGTATCGTGTCGTCCCATGGGGACGTCGCACACACGCACACCACGAAAACCCCTCTGGCTGCGAGATAAAGTACCGCGGGCTCAGGGCTCCACTCTGTATCCCACGGCGGTGCTGCCTCGCGAGAACGCTGCCCGAGACCGTTACGTACTGGCTGCTTTGCTCGCGTTGCACGAGAAACGGTGGCGGGTGGGACGAGATCATGCATAGAGAGGAAGGGTTGCTGTCGAGGCAGACAGACACCAGCAGCGCTTTGGACGGGCATGGCATCCCGACGGAAAACAGTCCACACGTGAGCCGTCTGAACACCCCCACCACATCAGCTCCACCGATTTTCTTGAAATCCCGCACAAGGTTGACGTTCGAGCTCCACATTTTAGGGCTATGCAACTCGACTGATTGATGCGATGTCTTACTCCTCGCTCCTATTCCGCCGAAGTACTCCGTGTCCTAGCGCGACACGTGGTGGGGCAATCCACCCCCTATCCTTCTAGAAAACACGAAGAACAGTAAGAGAAAAACTGCCCGAGCGACTCGGCGCCGTGTGACGTACCCGGTCGATCGAAGCAATCGATCCGCGAGTGGATCGCCCAGCCAGGAACATGTTAGGAGTGGTGCGCATGTGACGGCGAGTAAGCTTACGCTCTGTTGATCGTTCGGAAGTTTACAAGTCGGCGGCCGGGCCTATCACGCTGATCGTTGTCGGGGCCCTGGGAGATCGGTGGCTGCGCTGGGACGCGGACGGCGGTGTTTGGGGGTGTTTTACGTGCTGCAACTTTGTTCCGAGTGTACATGGACGAGTTTCAAGACTACGCAATCGCAGTCTTCTACCACGCGAATAGGTAGCTGAGTCCCTGGCCTGGGCACAAAGAAGACTACAGTGCATAAAGCCTAGCTCACGATGTCCTCGATTCTCTCTTGTCCCAGCCCACCCCTCCCTAGCGCAGCCAGCATCCCCGCCTCACGAACGACCGCCCACCAAAAGCAGCGCTCAGGATCGACAACGCCCGCGCGGCGGCTTTTTTCACACCTGCACCTGCCCAGCCTAGCACGCTGCTGCTCCTCGTAATTCGTCACTAGTTGGCTGAACAGCTATGCAATTGTGAATGCCATGCTAGGGCGAGCTAAGCACTGCCATGTCCGATGTATGCGTGGCGAACGCGTGAGGTGTGCTGACGGTTTTACCCCGCCCTTCCGTGGAGCGCGCTGGGTTAGGTGATGACAATTGCTGGGCTGGAGCCAGAGCCACGATAGCGACGGAGCTCGGATTCAAGTCCACGCGCGGTGCTAATGCTAATGCTTGACCCCGCGGCATGGACAGAGCTTGTGCGCCCAGTTCCCAAGCAACGAGTGCGCACTTTGCCGCTGTGTAGGTCTACGCGTCGGACGCTATGCATAGTCGCAATTGACCTCAAAGCGCGCTACCCACAGCACACGACACCTGCTCTTCGGCGCGGAATGGGGCGGGTCCGAGTCTGTGCAAAGCCGACAGTATATTTGGCGTCCCACGACGCCGGAGTACCTAAATGCATCGTGACGCCGCGGGCTAGCTCTATCTGCCCATGTGCGCTGCGCAAATCCGATCCGCGAGCCTCGTCGACCAGGTAAAGCTGCAGCCGTTTAATATATACGACCGCACTGACCGGGGCCAGCGGTACAAGCTAGCCATTTGCACACGCCCGCTTAATATCATATGCCGAGAATGCTAATCTCGCGGTACTGCATTTGGAAGGTAACGATGTCAGCTATGCAGAGGGGGAACAGCGTGGGTCGCGATAAGCAGAGGAGGGTCCCGAGGAGAGTGGGTTTCTTCATAGCGGGCGCGATAGCTTTTCATTACGCGGGTGATCGAGATGCTGAGCGCAGAGATCTTCTCGCTCGCCGCTGCATGCATGGGCGTCACCCCGATTGACGACCGATAGACGACAACGTGATGGATCTGCGCATCCCTTAGCTCCTCACGTAAAGGTTGATTTGACTTCACTTCCGGGCATCAACCTCGGATCTAAGTAATCCACGCCCGAAAAATAGATATACATGCGTCCGTGGGACGCCGTCGTACTTTTTCATCCTTCGCAATAATCTGTGAGATATACTTAGCAGAGATTACCCGGGGAAGCGACGCTGTGATTTCCTGGTTGTCTAGGAGCAAGTGCCGAAGTCGATGAGAGTGCCGCTGTGTCGGTACAACGTGACTGTCGCAGCCCGGGCTCAGCATCTCGGCGCTGCACTCGATTCCGTCTATCATGTGCGATTCTTGGAGATAGGGTAATCTAGGAGGCGGGATATAAATGAAGACAAGATCAATGCGTGGACGGGCACGTGCGACGCAGGCTGACCGATGCGACCAGGGAAAGCGCCCGGCATTATCGTCAGCGGCTCCGACGTCTGTTCGTAGGGCCATGGAGACATTAAAGCAGCAAATTGTATAGCATCGGGCATGCCTGGAATTGTAAGCTGATTCCTGCACAAGGCCCTGCGAGCTATCATTGAAAGTGGAATGCATTCATACTGTATTATATGAAAGTGTTTCCTCCAATGGGGCTGACAAAGCGCCCTTTCCGTGCGGCCTTCATCTCCGCGTACAATGCCGGGTTAATGCCCTTCTTCTTACACTTCTTCAACTCGGCCTCGCTCAGGCTGCTTATGTCGAAGTTACTCGACTTCCAGTCCTTACTTGATACGGAGAGCTGTGATGTGCTGCCGTATGATGAGCCTGGGAAGGCAAGTTCGGAAGGTCTGCCAGAAGAGATGGTCATGGTTGAATTGGATGAGTTTGTGCGTGAACTCTGGTCGAGCGAAATCCTTTTCTCGATGTCCAGATTCTCTGGCGTCAGCAATGGCTCGGGTGTCTCCTCCCCTTTCAGCCTTCTCAAAATAGATGCGGTAGAGGATTTCTTCGAACCGCTGCTCGGCGTTGTTGTGGATGTAGACCGTACTGAATTGCTTGCAGAGGATGGGCGTGAATGGTCAGCGGGAGTACTTGGAAGTGGTACGCTGCTTGCTGGCGGCGTTCGGGGTATGTCTCCAGGAATCGAGTCTTCGTCTTCGCTGCCGTCGTCAAATGATAGATACTGCCGCTTAGAACTTGAGCTGGTCCCGGTGCGTACACTGTCCGTCCCGTCAATAGAGTTTTCTCTCGAGGTTTCCTGTGTTGTCTGAACAGAATCTATCGTGTCGAGTGAGCTCCATCGACGCAGGCTATAGGGTGCTCGAGAGCTGTTTCGATAGGACAGAGGTCTAGGCGGATTACGGAACGACGCTGTATTGGCATATTTGGGTTGCGTTTGGGGTTGCGATTGCGATTGCGGCTGAGATAGCAATTGCAGCTGCTTCTTGAATGGATGTGAAAAATTCTTTGCGTGGTTGGACCGGCTTGGCTTCAGAGACTGTGGTTCGAAATGTGATCGCCGAGGACTTTTACTTGGAAGCGGAGGTGCATATCTATCCGTTGAAGGAGAAGGATTTGTGTTTACACGAAGAGGCGGAATTCGATCTGTTTCTGGGGGTGGCTCTCTGGTCGGAACCGAAATCAAGTCGTTATACTGAGGGTATGGCTTTGCGACCATCCGAGTAGGAGATGCCGCAAAGCGTGGAACATGCGCCGGCTGTTTCGGTGACGAGCCTAGGCGTTTCGGAGCGACTGGAGACTTGTAGCCATGGTTGGAAGGTGATGAGCGCGAGGGAGTCGTCCTCAACCGTTGGATAGGTGGCGGGGCCGCTTCATCGTCGTCCAAGTCGCTATCTTCGAGATTGAAGTTGTCGATGGCCTTTTGCAGCTCGAGGACCTCGCGCGGTGCACGGCTGACGGGTGGCAGCAGGCCTTGTACGTCCATTCCACGCTGCTGAGTCGCAAAGAATATGGGTCCGTTCAAGGCAGATGGTCAAAGTGCTATACCGGCTGGTGGGGTTCTGCTCAGAAGTTCCAGGTAATGACGTTGGGAAATGGGCGTGCCGGCGTTAGCTTTGCGCGTCTGTCTAGTCGCACGCGTGGCTGACATCACCGTGATGGGCGCGTCGTCGCATGGCAGGCCCTTGTTTCGTCCCGAGCGCACGAGGTTCAACCCGTCCGGAGGAGATGCTGCGGGCCAGTCACAGCATGCGGTGCAGCTCTCTACGCGATCGAGGAGCTGTCAATGAGCGGAGCGGATCACGCCCACGTCGCCAGCGGCCTGGTATCCTTTGGTCTTGCGAGACGGCGCCATGCGACTAGAAGGCACCACGTCTAGCGAGCCGTTTGATGCTTGTCGCAACGTCGCGGCTCACGTGCGCGATCAGCGCCCGGCTGTCTACGTCCCAGGCGCTGTCGCCGCCAGCGCGGCTGCTTGGGCGCGCAGCTGCAGGGCGCGGGCGGTTGGCGGCCGCGAGCGACGTCCAGGCTGGAGACTGGCCGGCTGGTGCGGCCGCTTGGGGAGTGCAGACGCTGTTCAGAGGCCCTGGGTGGGCCGTGTGGAGCGTTCCTGCCTCTTGGCCCAAAGCAGGCTGGCGCGCCTTCCCGCCAGCAGCACGGGCTCCTTGCGTGCTTCAAGCCAACGCCACGGACAGCTCGTCCGCTGCCACCACCAGCATTCCGACGAGCATGCTGCCTCCGCCCAGGCCGTCCCTGCCCGCCCGCTGCGAACGCTCCCCGCCCCAGTCGCCATGAGCAACGACGTCCCCACGCCCATCTCCGACGACGAGGTCGTGGCCCTGGCCAAGGCCGCCTTCGAGCAGTCCCGCGACGACATCAACCACCGCGCCGCAGAGACGCCCAATGCCCAGCGCGACCTGCAGTCGCAGCAGCCCGGCATCACCATCGACCTCGGCCACAAGAGCATTGCCCGCCTGCCGGACGAGGTCATCGATGTCATCCGCGCCGAGATCGAGAGGTGCGCCCCAGCACGCGTGGCCTGCGCCCACGAGGCTAACTGACCGCCAGGCTTGCCCTCTCGCACAACCTCCTGACCACCCTGCCGACCCGCATCGTCGAGTGCAAGCGCCTCCGCTACCTCAACGTGCGCTACAATGCCATGCGCGAGATCCCCGACTGCGTGCGTTGCCCGCCTCCTGTGCACCCCTGCTTGCGTACTGATGCCCGCAGATCTTCGACATGACGTCGCTGGAGATTCTCGATGTGAGCAGGAACAAACTGAGATATATCCCGCCCAAGATCGCCAATCTCGCCTCGCTCAAGGTCCTGGCTATTGCCAAGAATCGGATAGAGGAGCTGCCCGTGTGCTTGGGGGAGATGAACAGTCTGCAGGTCCTGAAGCTCGACGGCAATCAGCTGGTGTTTCCTCCCCCTGATGTCTGCACAATCAAAACCAATGCTCCGTCGCCGGCGAACGAGAACGAGCGAGACGCAGTCATCTCGACCCAAGTCAAGAAATTCATGCGCCAGCACGCATCCAAGGAGAAGCAGCGCGTCGACATGGATCGCTTGCGGGTCGAATCGTCTGGTGATGAGAGGTACACCTCCACCGCCTTGTCCAATCGCTCCGCTAACTTCGGCAGTTGGACTGAAAGCAACCCCGAAACACCGCGCCCTTCAAGGCGCATCAATGGTGGACGGTTTCCCGTCAAGCCGAGTGTGAGCAACATCGAAGGCTTCCCAGAAAATCGCTCCGACTCACCGGGCATGGCGCCACCCGTGCCTGCCCGATCACACTACCGTGTAGCCTCCCAAACACAACCAAACGGCATGTCCCGACGCCCACATCCCTCGCCGCTCATCTTGACCAATGGCACCACCGGCTCCAACGAGCGTAACCGGAGTCAGAGCGAAGGTGGAGGCTCAGCATCGTCTAATCGCCAAACAAAGCGCATGGGTATCTACACGAAGCAGACTCCGACTCCCGAGCTCGGCGCTGTAGATGAGCTGAAAAAAACAAGTCACTTTCGCGGTTTCAGCCAGGGCTATCTCGTGCCTGGCAATACTCTTGCCAACGGCATGTCCGGCCCAGCTACAGCGATTGGCTACGGTGACTCTAGCAGCATGCGACCTTTGGCAAATCGCCCACTTTCTGATGTCTATGAGGATAAGCGCGGGTCTCAGGCCCCAGACATTGTTGTGGAAGCATCCAAGAACTTCCTCTACGCCATCTCGCAACTGCATGATTGCCTTTCACACATGATACGCTCAATCAAAAGGACCGCTCGGTCAAAAGACGAAATGCGCCGGAAAGAAGACTTTTTCCGTCGCCACCATACGACGTACCTGAACGTCCGCGCTTTGAATGACCTTTTGCACAGATTTGAGATGCTTGCTGAAGAAGACGAAGAGGATGCGCAGAAAATCTCCAAATCGGTCTATCGGTACGCTCTGAGGTGCCTCGATTCATTCTTAGCCCTCAGCCTCTCGGTGGCAGAGAATCGCGTCGAGATCACACGTTATGCAGACGCTCGTATCGTGCGGACTTTCCTCTTCCTCCAACAGGGCAGCTTGATAGAGATGCGAAACGCTTGCCAGATCTTAGGAGCTGAATTCCGCGACATAGCTGAGGCCAAACGACAAGTCAACGGTGCGAACAATGTTGGCACTTTGCGACCTCGCCCGCTCAAAACGCGACGATTCCAGCAGTCTTCACCCCAACGGAATGGATCTTCCCAGATGCCACCACCAGTCATATTACACAGCAATGACAATAGTAGGACAAATACCCTCACCAGCATTAGTTCCGCAACGCCTCGGTCAGGCGAGTCTTTCGCTACTTTGGCTACTACTATGTCACGGACCAACACGCTAACAAGCAATTACGAGGATGCAGATGAGGACAGTCGATTCGCAAGGATCTTCGACAAGCTCAAGGCGACATGCGAAAACTGCGAGTCGTCCATACCACAGATAATAGATCGTCTTACGACCAAGCACAGTCAACTATCCAAAGACTTGGACTCTGAGGACCCAAGACTAAAAGTACTAGGCAGCTTAATCGAGAAAAGCCACGAAGTACAGCACATATCCAACCGACTCTGGGACCGTTTGAGATACATGCAGTTTGGCGACCACTACGTGCGTAACCAACCGGACTTCTGGCAACAGTGCATGGGTCTCATCAAGGTGTGTTTTATTGTTTCAATCATGTCATTGAAACGCTGGTTGACAAGTTTTAGGCATGGGGTGACCTGGCACAAGCTAGCACGGCTCAAGGGCGAAATATGGGTCTGCTTAGTCCCGAGGTGAAACAACTGATGAAGCCACTACACAAGACAGTGAAGGATGCTAGTCTGGCTATCAACGATTCTCCCTGGTCGCATCTTACATCGAACAACCCTGGACTCATGTCTTCGCTCTCGTCCTTTACTTCCCGAACCCAGCCTCCAAGATTCTTGAGCAAGTCAACCATGAGTTCTGGCACTGGTCTCTCGCTTCCCGGTCCGATCAACACTGCCATCACGAATCTGAACTCGGCATATGCGCAGCCCTACTCCACCTCAAGCGTAGGGTCCCAGGGTTCAGGAGGTTACATCACCCCAGTGCCGGCAACACCGTTAAGTGCAGCTTTGGGTGCTGCTGCACAGGCAACGATTCCGAACACGCCTAGCCATCCTCCACATCTCTCTACCAGCACGATCAACTTCAACGAGCGTGCTGATCGATTTCTAAGCCAGACTGCCCGGCGCATTTGATGTCGGTAATTCAAGCGCCAGCTGTATATCTTCAGTGGCATAGACTTATCCACAACTACTTGTATCTTTATTCGACATTCCAGCGAAGGTGTTTGAGGTAACTTGGTCTTTCAGGTTCGTAAGGGCTCAATTGCATGGCTTAGGCGTTGGGGTGCGCCACTTGGGTACGCGCATTTCCTATCTGGCATTTGAGGTGTTGTGATGATTTCAAGTCATGTTTTACCGAGGGATCGCATCATGTGTATTGGAATGCTTCAGACGAGCAATGTATGTAGGACAATTGGTGTCATCCGGTGACACCTCTATTACCCACGATGAAGCCGCTCTACTTCTGGTATTGCTGCTGTGCATGTTTCCTAGGAGCGCGTGTTTTCCATTTGCGGAATTTCAGGTCGTTCAAAGTGCAGTCAATTTAGACGATGCTCTTGGCGTGAGGGAACCGGAGAATCATGGAGAAGATGTGTGTTTCGTATAGAGGTGTGCGTCTCTCGGCATTCTTGGTACGCCTTTGACAATACCCACAAAGTGCCTCGGTCTGGCCTCGACCCGGACTGCTACCATTGCTATTAGTTGCGTTCCGACCTCGTCTCTAGGCATGATTTGATCTTATGCCGCACATGTAGGCACTGTTGCCGGGCTAGCTCTGTCCGAAGCAATGTCGATCTGGGGTAATATCTGGGGAAGCTGCACGAGACTATTGGCTACAGTGTAGGCGAGAGAAAGCTTGGTATGCTAGGCCTATATACGCTTCGAGCCTATGCTGCTCGTGGAGATTATCAATGTCTTGTTACGGGCGTTATAGGACGGAAGAAAAGGAGCGGCTGTGGTGGGGACGATGGTTTGTGCCGAGGGGTGGAGATTTCGTGGAAGAATATGGTATGAATATAGGGCCTATAAAGATGGCTTGCTCTGTATTTCTCTACGCTTTGTGTTTTACGGTCAATATATTGAGTGATAATGATGACACGCCTCTCCCTGGTAGCAGCCGCGCTCGCCTTCGTCTCTTCCGTCGCCGCGCAATGTGGCTCCGGGACTCCAAATGCAAAAGTAACAGGGTCGGGGAGCTCTTTCACGGCTACGAAGGGCTCGGCGACGGTGTACACGGGGTCGGACTACCGCGCTGCGATACAAGCTGCTGTCGACTCCGTCAGTTAGTTCCCTCCCACCCCAACGTTGACTGCTCCATTATCTAACTCTGCTTTCGCATGCAGGCAGCGGCCAGCGCGTCTCCATCATCGCATCCGGTTCCATCGGTGCTAGTACTATTACCATTGGAAGCGGAAAGATTTTTGAAGGCTGTGGCACCATTAATACTGCGAATCGCGCGGGGCATGGGGCGATTGAAGTGCTGAATGCGCAAGGCGTGCAGATTCCGTATTTGACGATGACAGGCAATCCGTACTTTGGCCTTAGATTCTACGGTACGAAGGATCTTGTGCTTGGGAAAATCACAATGAACCTAAGTGGCGGATTGGGCAGTAAGATTTCTCTCCTACCCCGTCTTGGGTAGCAAGCAACTGACCTCGGGTGTCCTATAACAGTCCGCTTCGACCGCGACCAAGCGGCCAATACCAACGTCAAGATGGACGTCATCACCGTCACAGGCGCAGGAAGCCACGCCGTCGAAACTTGGAACATTGACGGGCTCACCATCAACCAAGTCATCGCCCGCAACGTCGGCGAGTCCGGGCTCCTCCTGCAGAAGACCACGAACGCGAAGGTTGGTCTCGTCGACGGGAACAACGTCGGCGCCGGCACGGGGTACGCCACCCTCCGCTTCGCAAACAACAACGGGCAGCTAGCCTCGGGCGCGTACACGACCAATGTTGTCGTCGACAAAGTTGTGTCACGCGGAGGCGGCCGGGGCATCTTCTGCGTGAGCCAGAGCGGCGGCGCAACGATTGGGACTGTGGACCTTGCAAGCAACGGGAATAACGCTGTGCTGATTGAGAATTGTTATAACCTGCGGATCAACGGCGGGACGGTCAATGGCGGCGGAGAGGTGAGGATTAGTGCGCGCAGCGAGTTTCCGAATACGAAGGATATCTGGATTACACTGAAGGTGGATGGGACAAGTGTGAAGGAAAGCCCGTGCGGGGAGAATACTAATTGGACGTTGAGTGGGAGTGGGGCGAGGAGTATTTGCTGAGGGGTGGGGTGTAGGTGTGCACTGGATCTGGGCTGGGCTTGAGAGATGGATTGAGTAAGTAGGTCTGGTAGCGCAGGGAGTACACAGGGCAGAGGAGCACACTGTAGAGCGCCTGTGAACAGAAGTGAGTACACTGATATTGTTATAGGCGTAAAGCAGTGATAAAACGCAGCAAGGTCTGAAAACTCTACGCATTATTTCTTGATGTCTAGAAATGTATGTAATCACTGTCACTCAGAAATTTGGCCACTCGATGATTTCATGTCTAAAGCTCGAATAGCTCCAATTTCTCAATTGTCCGCTTCTTTTGCATTCCGTACGCTTGTAGAAGGCTGACTTGCAGCTATGTAGGTTCGGTCAGGCAGTCGGTCTCTGTCCACGATCATGATGTGAATTTGGTCCGCTGGACAGGGGTTTTTGGTATGTCGGTAGAAAACGTGCTGTATTGCAGAGATCATCGAGTTGGTCCACGACATCAAGTTGTCGGTGGTGTATCTTTGCCAGCGCAAATGACCATCCAGCATTGCAATAGCCTCTAAATCTAGTCGGCTGAAGATGTCCTCGCGATTGAAACCGTAAAATCTACTAAGAGCCGCTTGTGAGGCACAAAATTCTAGCCACGTAGAGCCGTTAGATCTAGGGGCGTATATCCGGATAAGGTACTTAGGAACAACGTAGCAGTGACCAATACTTGGGAAGCCTCCGAAACGGTTGAGAAGGTGAGCGAGCCGAGCTCCGGGTCGAAAGGGTGTGGAGGTATCCCTGAAATTTTCCTGTTCTGTCCGTGAGCATGATGTGCGAGCCCACGGAACAGGAGCTTCTATCTATTCAACCTGCCGAAAATTGTCTGTACACGCATGTCTGATAAATCTACGACATGAACAGCTGGAGTGAGTATCCAGGTCTTAATCAGTGTATGGGATTGAGAAATGTCTCTGAGATCAACCCACGTATGTCAAATCTGTGAAACACTGAACTGCTAAACCATCGCCCTAGAGGACATTTGGAACAGCTTCGATGCAGGAACGAGGGATAAATAGGTGTGGAAAATGAGAAACGAAGCGTTCAGATCGCATAGACATAAATGAGAATCTCATTGCTCATGATAATGCTGAAAGGGTATACTTCTTCTCCGCTGCGCCAGACTTTCCATGCTTTGCTTACTGGGATCAAACTTGAATGCCTGCAACGTTTGAATCTCCTCTCTTAGCTGCTCAGGGCTCATATAGTCCCTTGTTATCCGATTCGTCGGACTTCGTATACTTTCATGTATATCGCTGCTTGATGCCAATGGCACGTTCAGCGGCTTCGGCACAGTCTTCGTGCTGTTGTCTCTGCTAATCCCAGGAGTTGGAGCAGCAGACTGGGGCCCCATAGACTGTGAATACATGCTGCTGCCAGATGATGGTGGACCGAGGTGGGTGTATCGATGCTCGCGAGGTAGGTCGAACTCCTCGCTCATGGAGGGTGGGCTTTGTTGCAGTTGGTTCATTTCAACAAATTGATTCGGCGGTTGTGGCATTTGTGTGCTGTTGCGCGAAGTGCTCTGCATAGTATCGTTTCGTGAATTGTTCATGGTGTTGTTCCGAGATTTCTCGCCTCGAGATAGGTTGAAGGTGCCGCTTCGGGACATGTTGCTCAGGCCACTGCGTAGAGAGTTGAAGGGAGATGAGGCTTTGGAAATTGCACGCTTGAGCTTCTTGCCTTTGGCCTGGATCAATTTGGGGAGACATAGGGCGCATGCGACCACAAATCCGAGTGTGCATTCGGTTTCAGTCCAAAGCCCTATGAAAAGTGCATTGTGCGAGACGTCTGCCTGGGTAATTACAGGAGCGATCTTGACTGTGAAAACAATGCGCATAGCCGATGCAATGCATGCACTGGATGCGCGTTAGTCCAGTCCACACCAGATTCTGGCAGTACTCACAGCAGACCCGTAGCGAATAACAATGTGACGGCAATTTTGCGACCCAAGGGTACGTTCAGTGACCACAATCCAGACGTAGGGAGTACCAGAATGATGATATCGGAGGCCATGTTGAAAGCACCTTGTGCCAGTGTGATGTCGTTCACATCGGAGCACTTCGCATCGGGAGTAAGCTTGTCCCAGATGGCCTTCCTTGGATGGCAGTAAAATGCGGTCCAGAATATCAAGACTGTGTATAGTATGATGCACGAGATTATTGTGCCCCAAGCTCCGAAGAACATAGCCCGGTTGACGCTGCGACTAGGCGCGAACAGGCGAAGATATTGGACCAGGATTGCCATCTTTACGAAGAAACTCAATGGACAGTATACTATCTGTCCTAGATTTGCCCACTTTCCTAACGATTAGCTTTGCGCGCGGCTGTAAGAAGAATTGGAGACATACATAAAGCTGATGGAATAACTGGTCATTTGTAACCTGCCATTGGTGTACACCAGATCCCCACTTGACCATCTGGTAGCCAATACCCACTTCTGCTAGGATGAGAGGCTGTGATGTGTTAGCAATGTGGTATGATTTGTTGCTGTTGACGTACAAAAGTCATGAACAGGAAGTAGTCCGCAAGCTCAAAGGACCTCACAATCGCTAGCTTAGTATACACTCGTACTATCAAGAAGATCCCGGCAAAGGCAATGCAGAGGATCGCGACAATCAGGAACCAATTTTGATCTGGCGAATCCACCGTCATCGTTCTATCCGCTCCTGGCGGTACAGCATCGCCCATCATTCCCGGAAGCGCAAGGAGTATTGGTCTTGGATCTACATTTGGTGGTATGCCCAACGCGGCAGCCAGTTTTGCTGGATCCTCTCTGGCAAAGATAGCATCGGCTATAGGCGCCATTTCGTATTCGTGGTGGCTTTCGTGGTCGCGCAAACGGTTGGAACCAGATTGGCGTAAGCAGTAAAGTGGAACATGAATCGATCAGGAGCCGGCAGACGGGTAGCAGCAGCGGGTGTCGTGCATGTTATGAGTGAAGGAACCGGACTTTGGTATGTGCTCCTGACTACTTTCCGAGCCCTGGCCGGGCCTGATCAGATCTCTGAAACGGGCGATGGGATAAGATGCGCCCTCTGACTTCACCAAGGGTGTGCCTGGAAAGGTGGCGTAGAGCACCGCTTGCTTGCCTGCCTCATATGCGCCACGATAAGGTTCTCCACCCAACTCTGGAGCATATGTGCTGTACATGACTGCACTGTGCGACAGCTGGGCGCATGTCGTTCGCACGAGTGTGTGGAGAGTGTCAAACTCGGGGGTTTTGGTGAGGTTGGGGGCCGCAGCTGGGATGATCGACACGCGAGGCCTGCGTGATTGGCCCGGACTTCGATTAGTCGATGCTTGAACGCCGAGAGCCCGGAACGCCTTACAATATGTTTAGAGTATATTGTTGTAGCACGTGGCGGGAGGCTGAAGGTCCGTTTCTCGAAGCTTTCTAAGGCGTGAGATGACCCGCAAGGCGGCCTTCCGAGACCCAGATGTCCCACTGCCTACGCCTTGGGATGCAAGGGACAGCTCACCTCCACGTGGAGGGATTATTCTTAGCACGGTAGATATAGAAGTGCCTGGACAGGATTAAGATGGTGGAAAGCGGAGATCTTCCGAACATAGCGAGATTGGGTACTCGCAATGTGTCTACAGATGCATACCGCAAAACGTGAGATGGAATGCGTACATCCGTCTCTCCGCGCTGATGAGGCATAGATATGATATTCGCCCTTAGACACACCGTTTGGATGAATATGACGTGAAGCTGAACACATGGTCAGCGTTAGCTAGCACTGTGGATTCTGAAAAACGGACAATTCGGTGACTGAGAGCAGTGTGGATATTTGGATCATCCTAGTATAGCTTTCGTGCTTAGTTTACCTGTACCTAATCGTGTAGCTGTTGCAAGTCGAGAAGAACACGATAATAGTTGCCTGGTATACTGCATGATACTTTTGAGGCCCCCGCCTTTTGCATTTAGGTAGAGGGAAAGGGTATCGGCTTCCTGCGACTGTGGATGACTTCAGCCAACATGTCCATCCGATCTTGACCCCAGAATGGTTCCCCTTGGTAGACATACGTAGGGGCGCCAAAGTATTGCTTTGTAACGGCTTCATCTGTCAGCGCCTGCTCTTGTTCAAAAAATTCCTTCTCCCGCCTCGCCCTTTCTAGTAAACGAGCCCCATCCAAGCCAGACGCATCCGCGTTCGCTGTTACCACCCTGGGATCCGCAAGGTCTGTCTCGTTCACCCACACTGTATCTTGACTGCGTAATACATATTCATGAATCGAATTTTTGTCAGACCCGATCTCGCTAACGGCGGCGAGGAGAAGTCGATGAGCCAGCGACGGGTCAGTTGGGTAGTATTTTGGATGTTTGACAATCGGCAGATTGTTTTTCTTCGTCCATCGCTCGATCTCTAAAAGACGATAGGCCTGTCGCTGCACGGCGCGATCTTTCACAGGCAGTCCGCCAGAGACTGAAAAGAGATGCATGAGGTCGACTGGCTTGTAAATGACCTGCGCGTTGTGTTTCTTTGCAAGGTCTCGGATGCGACGACTGCCGATGTAAGACCAAGACGAGATGAACGAGAAATAGTATTCGATGACGGGACGAGCAGCCATGATGAGCGCCGGTATTGAAGTGCGTCAACGATCGAGTAAACCTCTCCGTTACGACTCGCGATTACAGTCAATCCGTTGAGGTATTGGATTTGAACAAGCCGCACCTGAATGCGGGATGCTGGAGATTGTCGACACAGTAAGAATTGCTGACTAAGATCAAGTAGCGCGCTACTACGAGTACCGTCAGGCTTGCAGCTTCTTTCTCTCATATACTCCACTTGTATGCGCTGGAAAACAGTTTCGAGCTCAACAGACTTGTCAGAGCAACATACCCACACACATGATGAAGGGCAACCAAGTCTAAAACAATGATGATGATATTGTGGTACTATATCCCATGGAAACAGAGGGAATGGCACCCGCAACGAATCCCTTCCAGACCCTCCCGCCATACTCTCATGAAAACTCGTCGAACCCAATGACCTCCCCACAACCTCACTCCCTCCCCTTAAACACCCTGCCCCACCCCTTCTTAACACTGTCACTGAGGCTCCAGTCATTGAAAAGCCACGAGTTCGCATGCCGGCCGTAGTACTGAAACTCAGGCACACTCTTCGCGCCTTCGCTCCCACCGCTGTACCTCCTCCTCGCGCTGCCGGCCCTTGGCTTCGAGAAGTTGCCTCTGCGGACCTCGGCGCTGGCTTTGCTCTCGTGCGCAGAGGAGCACGCGCGCATGCCTGAGAATTGCGTTGAGGCAGACGAGGTCGTCGACATGGTAGCGGATTTGCGGAAGGTAGGGAGTTGCGAGAGGGATGCGGTCGGGGAGGAGGCGGTGGTTCCTTCTGCGCGTCCAGGGTGTCGGGGGAGTCGGGAGACGTCTGTGAGACGGTTAGTGGACGTGGGGTGGATTGGCTATGCGAGGGGAGCGGCTTACGGTCTCCATCGTTGGGCGTAGAGTGCGACTTCTGGATGCGATTGAGACGTTTGGTCAGATCGCGGGGGTCGACGGCGTAGTCGTAGTGGTCTTTCATCGGGCTTAGGTTGGGACTATGAAGTAGTTGCGACCTTTGCTCTGAGGCCGCAGTGTTGATGACGAAGACGTTGGAAGCGTGTTTGATATCTTCACAGTAGTATGTGAAGTCTGTTGTGGAGATGTGAAATGATGATTTTGATAGCAGGTGGTAAGACAGATCGAATAGCAGATGGATTCCTTCGATGCAGATCCCATCCCACGGGACACCCACATATTATATATCTACGCCGTCACACCCAGCCAAGTTGTCGCCGCGATATCATCACCGCATACCCGTCCCAAGTGGGTCACCGTCCGCCCAAAACGCCGCGGGACCCTGTCCCAGCGGGCGCTCTTGTGCTACCTCTCTCGGCAACACGGCTCCACGCTATGCCAGCTCCGCGAATCTCACAAGTTTCTCACCTTCCCCCGTAAATCCACTGGTCCGTGCGGCCCTTAAAGTGACATAAGGCTGCTTTAATAGCCGCACTAAGGCCTTTGCGGTCAGACCTCGTGACTAACGTGGTTCCGTGTTTGCCGAGTGATTCCTGCTTCGGGTTTAGCGGTGGCTCTTGATTGCGTGGCTGATGCGTGTGGCTCACGTAGTTCCTTCGGTCCCAAGAACCAAGGCGTGCTATCTCGGCGCGGATTAGGTCACCGGTCAGAACTGTGATAAGCTTGCTCCTCCGGGTATTTGCATGCGATGGGGGTCATTTTGAGGGAAAATTGTTGGCGAAGCGGAGGGGTTTCCAATGTTTCCGAGGAGGGCGGAATGCGTTATTTTTCGGCTCCATGGTTCGCGACGATTGCTGCTGCCTCTGAAAAGTCGCTACTTTTCCAATGGTGGCGTTACGTTGACGCTTAGAGGCATGTTCATCGTTCTTTTCTACTGTGTGTGTTGTTCCGATACCCTTGCTCAGGGAATAATCCTTCGGGCGTCATTGCAGATCCGCGCTGCAGGGATGAGTGCCCAGGCGCATTCCATTTGGAGACCCAAGCCTCGGCAAGTTGAAAGTTGAAAATACACATTTTACATTCCCAATTATACAACGCCGTAATGCCAGCTTCAGTCTGCACATCCCCTCTTTAGAATCTAATCTGACAATTCGCTCTGCCGTGTGACCTCTTCTCTTGCTTCAGCAGCACTCCTCGCCAACAGATTCAATGCGCTTCCTGCCAATACGAATCCGCATTGATCCTCGCTCAGTGTGTGCTTGGTCTTGATGACCTTCTCGCTTCCATCCTTCTTCTTGACGACCAGCTCGACCTCGCCCTTGCCTCCACTCTTCAGCACATCCAACAATCCCCTCGTCGCAACCTCGTCACACGAATCGAGGAGGTCGTAGTCCGCCTCGTTCGCGAACGTCAGAGGAACGACACCCTGCTTCTTCAGGTTGGTCTCGTGAATACGCGCGAACGACTTGGACAGGATAATGCGACCACCAAGGAATCGGGGCTGTAGCGCCGCATGCTCACGTGCAGAACCTTCACCGTAGTTGTGCTCCGCGACGACCAGCCATTCCTGGCCGTTCTCCTTCCACCTCTTCGCAAGGTCAGGGATGCCAGACTTCCTGCCGTCCACATCGTATGCGACATTGACTTCGTCCGTCTCTGCGTTGACTGCGCCGATGAGTGTGTTCTCTGAGATATTCGTAAGGTGGCCCTTATACTTGAGCCACGGGCCTGCGGCAGAGATGGTGTCCGTCGTGCACTGTCCCTTGACTTTGTAGAGGACACGGAGAGATTTGAGCTCAGAGTTGGGAAAAGCTGGGAAGGGATCGAGAAGCTCCAAGCGTGTGGAGTTGGGGTCTACAACAACCTCGACACTGGGGTCAGGAATTCCCGGCGTGGCGAAGAATTCAGGGTTACCATCCGCGAAACCCGCAGATGGAAGATCAGAGCCCCTTGGCGGTGAGAACTTGAAGGCCTCGCCTGATGGGGTAGGGATACTGTCGGTCATAGGGTTGAAGGTCGTGGATCCAGAGTAAGACATCGCCGTGATGAGTTCGGGAGAGGCGAGGAAGTTCATAGTGCCCCGATTGCCGTCATTGCGACCAGGGAAGTTCCGATTGTAGGAGGTAAAGATGGCATTGGCTTCACCCTTAGCTGGGCCATCATTGCGCTTCCATTGGCCAATGCCTATGTAAAAGCGGTAAAGTCAGTCAAATCATAACAGGAGGGGTCAGTTCGTGCTGGGGCATCACATACAAGGACCACATGCGTTTGCAAGAACGATGCCACCAGCAGATGTAAAGGTGGAGAGAGTGTTGTCGCGATCCAGAGTAGCCCTAATTTGCTCACTACCGGGGGTGATGAAGAACTCTGCCTTAGGCTTGAGACCAGCAGCTTCGGCTTGTTTAACGATTTCCTCGGAACGTGTCATGTCCTGGTAGGAGCTGTTTGTGCAACTGCCAATGAGGCCAGCACCGAAAGTCCTAGGCCAGTCCTTCTCTTCAACAACTGACTTGAATTTGGACAGAGGCGTAGAAAGATCCGGCGTAAAAGGTCCGTTGATGTGGGGCTCTAAGGTAGAGAGGTTGATAGTGATGACCTTGTCGTATTCGGCTTCAGGGTCGGCGCGCAGGAGATTTCTTTGCATGGGCGAGTTCGCAATCTTCAAGGCTTCTTGGGCAATACTACCTCTGTGTGTCGCTTCCAGATACGGTACGTGAGCAGGAGAGAAGGGGAATAGCGATGTCGTCGCGCCAACTTCAGCGCCCATGTTACAGATCGTAGACATCCCAGTAGAGCTGAGCGTCTGAACGCCAGGGCCAAAATACTCGATGATAAAACCAGTTCCGCCCTGGATCGATTAGCTGACTGTATTCTCCCCAAATTAGATCTTCACATACCCTGACTGTGAGCTCGCCCGCCAATTTCAAGATCACATCCTTTGGCGAAGCCCATCCGCTCAATTCACCTTCGAGCCTGACACCCAACACCTTGGGCGCCTTCAGCTCCCACGGCGCATCCACGAGAGCGTCGACCGCATCGGCACCACCGACACCAATCGCAATAGCTCCAAGACCACCCGCGTTCGGTGTGTGGCTGTCCGTTCCTAGCATCATCAGACCAGGGGCCGAATAGTTCTCCAGCACCGACTGATGGATGATACCCGCACCTGGCGGCCAGAACTCAATTCCATACTTCTTCGCCGCACTCTCCAAGAAATCAAAGACCTCCTTGTTTCCGGCAATCGAGTTGGGTAGGTCGGTATCCGCGCCCTTCTCGCCAACAATCATGTGATCGCAGTGAATACTGGCGGGAACTGCCGTGCTCGGAAGACCACAGGACATGAACTGTAATAGTGCCATTTGCGCCGAAGCATCCTGCATGGCCACACGATCAGGCTTGAGCTTGAGATTGGCCTTTCCCCTAATATCCTTGCCATTGTTGGTGTTGGAGAGTAGCGACTCTTCAGGATTGGCAAGATGCGAGTACAAAATCTTCTCGGCGAGCGTCAATTGCCTTGTAGAGCCGAGCACGCGGCGAACTTCCTCGAGACGTCCAAGCAGCTTCTGGTACGGGGGGGTGCGAGACACGATGTCGAATTTTTGGGACGGTGGGACGTTGTGTGTGGTTGCGAGACATCTTCGCAGAGGTACGGGGGAGGTTCGGAGGGAGGCGTGCAGCAATGACTGGGGACGTCAGCATTCAATGTTTCGGGAGAGGCGTCGCATGCACAATATACAGGCGCAAACAGACAAAAGGGAGCTGTAGCGCGCCGAGATGGCACTCACCCTGCAATTTGCAGCCTGTCCGGCCCGCATCACTGGCGACCGCATCGTTACGGTATTATCTGGCACAACGCGGTGGATGCGGAGGACGACGAATGTCTGTCTCGAAATTTGACGATTGCGAAATCGGCCCGGCGAGTCTGGGGTAGCTCGGGCCAATCAGGTCCGACTTGGAGTCATCAGGGTAAACGTATCACAGTGGATTCAGGATAATTTCGGACACCTCAACTGCAGTCGTGATCGAAAAGATCCTAGCCTTCCCTGCATGTACTTTGCATACAAAATTAATCACGGATGATGGTTCAAATGGATTTTGATCGATTCAAAGCTGGGCTAACAGTTCCCGTCAAAGATATGGGCGGAGGCTGGCGAGACCGTATGCCGAAGCACAACAGCGGTGGTATGTCCTGGCATTGAATTGACATGAAGGACACAAAATCATAGCATACCGCCCTAATCAGGGCGGTAGTGGAAGAGGCACTACAGCGTGAAGAATCCCCAACCCTCATACTTACAAACCAGGAGGCGGCGGAACCTGATGTGATCAGCATGGTTAAGTAGAAGCAGTTGGGATACATACCGCGCCGTAGCCTGAAGGAGGCGAACCAGATGGAGGAGGAGGCGGCGGAGCGGCACCGGGGGGCGCAGGCTCCCCGGGCGGGGGCGGGGGAGCAGCTGCAGTACCCGGGGGAGGTGACTGGTGGGTCCCAGCTTGAGCTTGCTGCTGCTGGTAGTACGCGTAGTACATCTGCATGTAGGCCTCGTATCCACCATAAGCTGCATATGGGTCCTCGGCCTGCTGTCCTGTCTGTCCCTGCTGCCCTTGCGCAGCGTAGTATGCGGCCCATTGTTCGTTGTAGTTCTGGGCAGCCTGGTTGGTCGCGCTGTCTCCGCCGACTGGAGAATGAAGGTCAGAGTGGCCATTGTGACCGCCATAGCCACTGTAGGTGCCACCATGCCCATAGCTCTGACTGCGATCGCGATCACCACGGTCGCCGTAACCTGGACGTCCTCCTCCTCCGCCGTAGCGGTCGCCACCACCAAACCGACCCTGTGATGCGTTCTCCTTGAAAGACTGATAGTCGCTCCTCACTTTGTTAAGAAGCTCCTCGCACAGCTCCTTCGCTTTCTCTACGCCCTCGGGCTTCGGTCCAGCAATGTGAAGGAACATGGGCTCATCGCTTTCGGCGCCAGTCTGCTGCTCCATAAAACCTGAGCCACGGCCTTTGATCTGGACCTTACAGCCGGTTTCTTGCTGGATGTACTTGACGTTGTCACCGCCGCGACCTACCACTTGCGCGCGTAGATTAAAGCCGGTAATGGGTTCCAGGTCGACAGGGAGCTTCTCTTCGGGCCATTTACGCTGCGACTGTCAGCTTCCATTAGAGTTTGAACCACAATATACATACCCTTCCGAACTCGTCACGCTCAAACTGTTCGGGCTCGCGACGGCGGAATCTACGTTGATCAACCAGGTCGGGTAGCTCCTGATTCATCAGGTCTTGAATCTGCTGCACAGCGGCCTCAAGGCCTTCCTTGGAGGTGCTGGTGACGCGCAGGTACAACGGCGGGTTCTGAGACAAGTCAGCTACGAGCCCAAGAAGATCTGATGCACACTTACAGCAGCAGTGGCCATGGCCTTGTCCGGATAGTATTCGCCTCGAGTAGTGACATCTTGTGCACGTATAAGCAGGTATTCTAAATGGTTAATCAATGTTCGGGAAAAAGCGTACCGGCGCCTGTCTCGTCTTTGATCTAGATGTCACAGTAGAGGTCAGCAACTGCAGTATGTGTGGGGCGGCTAGATGTCTGTAAGCTCTGAAAACGCTCAAACATGGGCTCCCGCTCCGGCTGGTGGCAGGCAGCTGTCCAGCAAGCTTAACACCGAACACAGCCGGAAACGGGGATTGGAGGGAAGAGCCCTGGGAGAATCAGTGATGGACGCAAAAGCTAATTACCCTTTTCTGCACAGCTCCTTTGGTCAGTGTGTATCGGTTCTTCAGATCATTGATTTCTATGTCCTTGATGTAGTCGCCATCTTGCTGGAAGATCTCGCCGGAGGTGTTGCGTTCTGCATTGACGGCCGGCGACCGAACGACTGGAGGACTAGGTGCCTGCTCCGGGGTCAGCGGGGGTTCTCCCTGGAAGGGTCATTGAGTACGTACAGCGCGAATCGGGGGCACGTCGACATGCTGGATGCCCTTCTTCGCTTGAATCTGCGCGTTGATCCTCGCAGCCGCGGCCGCCGCCTTCGCAGCAGCGTCCGTAGCCTTTGCCTTTTTGGCCTCGGCGGCTGCGGGGCTGTCTGTGCCTTCGCGCGCAACAGGGCTGCGCGTGCGCGTGCGACGCGAGTCCGGCTCCCTGCTGGAGGGAGACCGCGACCGCGAACGGCGATCGAAGCGCGAGCGCGGCGGGCGGTCGGACTCGGTCTTGTCGAAGCGCGAGCGCGGGCGGGGGCTGTCAGACATGGTTGCGGTGCGGCGTCTCCCGTTGGCGCAGCAAGATGGTGTTGGAGTGCAAGTTTTGAGGCGAGGCTGCGTGTGCAGACCGAGCCGGTGCCAAGGCTGGCTCGTGCCAATCCCTGTTCGCATCGGAGCGAACTTCGGCGCTGCGAGGAAGCGACAAAGCTCAGAAAAGCGTTCCCGCGACTCGTCACCGCCCACGGACAGTCATCGACGCCTTCACCTCTCCCAGCAGCTCAATTGCAGTCGCTGTGGCAGTCGCCTTCACAATGGCTTCTCGGCGAGCCGTACAGGCGCTCCCTCTGCGCCGCCTGCTCAACCCGCAGTGCGCAAACGGCATTCGCCAAAGCCGCGCATCGAGCTCCTCGTCCACACAGGCCCTGGCCTACAAAGCCCTACACCGTCGCATTGCACCCCTCCCTACCGAAGACCGCCCGGCATGGTCCGCACAGGCAGCCGTCAGCAGCATTCTCTACGAGACCCCGCTGCCCTCGCAAGCACCGCCGAAGCGTCACATCCTCAACTGCTTGGTGCAGAACGAGCCTGGTGTGCTGTCTCGTGTCTCAGGAATTCTTGCTGCCCGCGGCTTCAACATTGACAGTTTGGTCGTCTGCAACACCGAGGTCGATGACCTCTCTCGCATGACCATTGTGCTGCAGGGCCAAGACGGTGTCATCGAACAGGCTCGCCGCCAGCTCGAGGACCTTGTCCCGGTGTGGGCCGTTCTCGACTATACCCAGTCTCCTCTTGTCCAACGCGAGTTGCTTCTCGCTAAGGTCTCCATCTTGGGCCCTGAGTACTTTGAGGAGCTCCTCGCCCATCACCGAGAGATGGCTCACATGCCCGAAATCGAGGAAGGTGTCCCGCTGGAAGAGCTGTCTGAAGAAGAGCGCGAAGTAATCGCCAATGCGGCAGCCCGCGAGACGCTCAAGAAGGACTACCACCCCGGCAACTTGCCCACCAGTCAAGCTCTCCGTCAAAAACACGAGCACCTAAAGGACATCACCTTCCTGACTCATCAATTCGGCGGCAAGGTCCTAGACATCAGCACGAACAACTGCATTGTCGAAGTGTCAGCCAAGTCATATAGGATCGATGCCTTTATGAAGCTCATCGCTCCTTTTGGTATCTTGGAGTCTGCAAGGACAGGTAAGACAATCAGCTAATGGTAACCAGGCGCATGGCTAACGGTGCACAGGTCTTATGGCGCTACCGCGTTCTCCACTGCACGGCCCCAACGAGGTTGAGGAGAAGGACGCTCAAGACGTTGTCGATACGAGCACCCTTCCCCCGGGTTAAGCTTGTTATCCGACAGGAAGAGCGGCCGCGGACCCTGATCATGTACGCGTTCACGCAGTGTATATAATAGTTGGCGTACTCGCAAAGGGAATTGATTTGGTTGGTTGAATCAAGCTTATCTCTCACGTTTGACAAAATGTAGAAATCCCTGCCGCAACTGCATTGCCGCGGTACGAGGTGTGATTGCAACGGACTGCAGCCTGCAGCTTTGGTTTTCATGCAGACCTATTAAATTGTGGGGTGTATGCCGCTGTGTGCACGCTTCGGGTAGCTGAGCGCGTGACCAAGCGCCCGAGAACGAATTTGTACCCGTCGGGTCCAATGAATACCTGCAATCCATGTATATCGTGCATATTGATCCTTGGTGCGGAATTTTTATTTCCCGATTCGCAATCGAAACAAGTTCGGGATTCGTTATGATAACTTGACACTGCCGCACTCCGTCCCTGTCCTCCAGCACGTTCACGCGTCAACGGACCTATAGGAAGACCTCACCTGGCCAGACCTTATCTGGAGCAACCTTACGAGGCGATAATGCCAATGAGCTCCACCGAGTCCACTCCAGTAGCCGCAGCTAGACCCTGACGATTCTGGGCGTGAGTGTGGAGGACTGGGTCCGTCCTATTACATGCCTCATCCACGGTATACCGACCCACAAAGCGCACGCGAGTCACGATTTGACATTTGCAGTTTAAAGTTCGAATCAGAGGAAACGGTTCAACACTTCTGACGGCGGCTTTTCACGGACGGGGCAGAGATAGGGCTGCAGCGGCCAGCTGCGCCGATGCAGCATGCGTCCGTTCATGGCGCGCGGGCCCCTCTCGTTGTCCGGATCGGGAACCTCAGCCATGGTATACGGTAATCTCGTACCCACCGTCATCGAGTCATTACACAAGTCCTGAGCGTGGGCCGCGGAGGTGCAACAACAGGAAAATCGTGCGAAAGGGTCATCGTGGAATTAGGCTCGATGCTGCATGGTGTTGCATGGGTTGCATGCGCAAGCGAGGCGTGGGTTTGAGGTTTGCAGATTGGAAACGCACGCTTCCTATACGCTAATCAGACCACCTGCTAACCTAGCTTGTGCCCAGAGACCAGCCGCAGCACCTCTGCCAACTGTGATTGAGCCTGCCAGGGCATGCGCGCGCGGACGAGCAACCCACTTAATAAGTGGCCGCGTTCCGCATGCGTACATCGCTGCATCGCTGGTTTCTTCCCTTCCTTGCCATTGCCATTGCCCATTGAGAATTGATATACAGGCGCGTGCCGCTGTGCCATTCCCTCACGCCTGTGTTTGCTTTTGTTGTGCCTTGCGGTCGCCGTTGGAACAGTGCTAAGCTCGGTGGTTGCGTCATCGCTCATCTTCACACCTCCGGACTTATTATTGCTTGCGGACCACCATTGCACTAAGGAACTTCCCGCTCATCACTCCAGTCCAAGTCATCGGATATCCTCCGCCTCCTGTTCCTCGTCTCAACACTGTCACGTCGATAGCCTGCATTCGTTTGGTATGCGCCTTCAAATTGCCGTGTAGTAGCCGGTGAAAAAAAAACAGCAGCTACCGCTCGCATCCAGATATCGACACCAGCATCTCTGTGTGACGCTGCACCAGGCGGAGGCCTCCGCGCTAGGGCGCTGCAACAGTCACTTTCTTCAATTCTTCATAGGACATGAAATACGGCGATACGCTGCGCCAGCGGTCTACGCCAGAATGGGCCCACTGTATGCTTTGACTTCACCAGTCACATACCTCTGGCTTGCAAGACGCTAACGAGGTACAGATAACATTGACTACGACTACCTCAAAGACCTCATCAAACATCAGACGACATCTGGAACTAGCAAAGCGCTCTCTATCCCCGGCCAGGGCGAGTCGAGCGAGAAAGCCTTCGGTGGCACCTTCTATCGCGACTTAAAGGCTCAGCATGACCGCATCAACCTATTCGTACGAAGCAAGAGTGGAGAGATTCAGCGCAGGCTGGAGCACATTCACAAAAGCCTCAAGCGCCTGCAGTCGCGGCGCGCGCATGGCGACCAGCTCCCTGCCAGCATAGTCGAGAAATTCGCCAAGATTGACGCGGATGTGAACAAGTGAGTACTTTGATTTGCTATGCGGCAATTGTTTGCAGATGGAATAGTTTTCCATATTGAGAATTCAGCCTCCGAATAGCCACGGCTGTTGCCCTCCCGCCGCTACTCCGGGCACCTCTAACACTAAGCAGGGCGGGCGAAGAAATTCGCGCATTATCACGTTTCCAAGTCGCTCAGCGAACAGGCTTCCGTAAGATACTGAAAAAGTATAAGCGTTGGACAAAGGACGCCGAACTGGAACGCCGATTCAGGAGTGAAGTCACAAGTAGTCCAACCAGTTTCTACCAGCTGGACCTGGGATACCTCCTGGATCAATACATTGAAGTTCTTGGTGCTTTGCGCGCCCATTTCGATGCCGCCAACGCATCCGAGTCTTCCAACGGCGTGAAGCCTTCATCGCCTACCGGGCGGATTGCTCAGACTTGTCGGGATGGAAGTGAACTTGATTTCGATGTTGCATTGTCCTTGACGCCACTGGGGTCCCGTGGGAATAGGGCCACTTACTGGATACACCCAGACCATATTGTTGAGGCTGAGGTGCTTCTATTGCAACATATGCGGCTCATCGCAGCGTCTAGCCCACCTGCAACGAGGGGCTCACCCGAAGCAAATCCCCTTCGTCGCATATCTTCCGCAACCACCGATCGTTTCCTAGGCAGCGAAGATGGTGTGGGCCTATTGGTCCTCGACCATCCGGAGTCGTTCGCCATCAAGCAGAACGCCAGTTCGCTTGGTTCTGGCGAAGACATAGCAGGCACCTTGCAAGTAAACGCTGCCGGCAATGCTCGTTGGACTTCTTCTGGCGACGCGGCGCTCGCACTCGATCTTGAGAAGTCGCCGGAAGACGTACTCACAGCCAAGTTAGATAGAAAGCATTTACCAGACTTCCTCGACACATCTGTGGCACTAGCGGAGCTGAACATCCCTAGCCTGCAGGAATCCGATTCATCACGCCCGATTACCGATAATTCGGCGACCGTCAGTACTGCCCGTAATTGGCTGGAGGGGCACAAGGGTATCAGACCGATTGTAGGAATATCGTCCAAGCGCACTAGGTTAATGGGCCTTCACAACAACGACTCGGGAGGTATGTGGGCTACGCTGGACAGAGATGTATTCATGAACAGCTCGCTGCACAAGCATTTGGGCAACGACGACTGGATGTCTGCTGGTCGCGCGGGATCGATCACCTTTCCCCACGCTATTTTGGAGATCCGGAAAGAAGGAGCGCATGCATCAGCACTGATACAGACTCTAGACCGCAGTCATTTGGTATGTTGACGGGATTCATCATACACACACACGCTGACCCCAATAGGTTGAACGAGTTCGCGGATTTTCACTACAAGCGCAAGCAGTATGGGCATGTTGCAGACCAACGGCAATGTCTGCACCGATTTGGGTGAGTAAAATACCTTGCCTTCTTACCATACAAATCCCTAGTTGATACAATGGCACACTCTAGCCGGAAAAGCACTGACACTCTTAGATACCGTTGCTTGAGAAGGATATTCGAAAGCTCCCACCAACAGCAAAGCGCGAACGTCGAAAGGCAAACAGCACGACTGGGTCATCCCGCCATTCGACATTCGGAACACCTGGCGCATCCACTGGAAGTCACTCGAGCCCGTCAACACCCTTGCACGACACGTCGGCTACGTCTGCACCTGAGTTTGTAGAAGGAGCCCCACCATTGCGAGCATTCCGCAAGAAGAGGAAACCATCCGCGGTACCGGAACAGCCGCAGCCGGAGCAACAACGCTATTGGAACGAGTACGACAATCCCGAGGATGAAGACGAGGGCTACTACATCTACATAGATCCAGACGCCGAAGTCAAATTCCCGGGACAAGAGCTGTTCGAAGGACTGGCCAGACAGACCCGCAGGCTGTTCGGCATTAAGGAATATGCTGAGGAAGAGTCTAGCGTATCATCCGCAGAGACCAGTGACGACGAAGATTCCCCAGTCAAGCCGCCAAACGGCTATGGAACATTTGGTTCTTCCGGGTCGACACCACACACTCAAGGCTATTTCAGCGGCCTCTTCCGCAAGTATCGGGATCCGCAACAAGATGTCGAAGCGCTCCTCTCGCAACGACGCGAGACTGCGCGTGAACACCGCAGTCTTCTTAGGGAGCTCGAAGTGCGCCGGCACAAGGCCGAAACTACGAAGTTGTATTTTTACACGACATGCTTAGCGATGGCGCTCATTATTGACGCACTCTTGGGTACGATGGCGATGACGAGTCGCAAAAAGGAGGTGGGCGTTGTTGACTTTGTAGTTTCATTGGGAACGATCGTCAGCCTCATACTGGGTGTCACAGCTATCGTTAGCATGCAGTCAAGGAGGGAGAATCTGGGGTGGGCGCATCGGGGAGTGGTGTATGTGACTTTCACGGCGAACGTCGTGGTGGACATATTGTTTTTCATTTGGGTTTTTAGGGGCTTCTAGTGAGAACTGCAGTGGGTGGGGAAGGGGGCGAGAGTGGGCGACCAGACTATGGGAGTGCGTGATGGGAAAGTTGGTGAGGGCGGAGTCGGAAGCCGGCTTTTTCTGTGGGGAATGTCAGATGATGTTAAATCTTAATCGGTCGATGCGAAGGCACGTGGGGAGTTCATACACGTATACCCACGCATGGCTCGGAATGTAAACAGCGAACAATGAAACCAGTGTGACTCAACACAATACACACTGCCCATCTGCAAGGAATTTGGATCAGACATGCATCGACACGGGGAGAGGATCTTTGAGCCGTCCTTCATATGGGGCATTGCGATGGGGCTCGCCATCCCGCACTGGGCGTGGGGGTGGCCCCGGGCGGGGCTCTGTGGCGATCGATCGCAATTGGGCTTGGTGAGGCTCTGCGGAGCCTTGGGCCAACGAGCAGCCGTCATTGAGCCATGGTGAAGTCGCACAGCACCGCCATATTCCACGGCCGCGCGAAGGACAGTGGAAAAGAAACAGGTAAGAAACGGCCGCGGAAAGCTACCAATGGATGCTTCGCCGCAAGCCACGGGTCGGTAGCAGTTCTCCCCAGTCTCGGGGTTGCTATTCTGCCGAGAGTTTCCGCCCCAGCACAGCGCCAGCCCGAGTCGCGTCTTTCGTCATTCACCCTTCTGCGACCTTCAGAAGCCCACAATTCTCCTCCACCTCCCTGTTGGCACGCCGACACTAACCGGAAAATTTTGCCTACTCTTGCTCGCTGCTCGCCATGCTGTCTTGAACACCATCCCAGGTGAACCGTCGCCTGCACCCAGTTTTTCCGGCGCTTCGAGGGAGCTAATACCGTTGCGCTTGTGAAAGCGGCCTGGCGCCTGAAGTCTGCTCGCACTCATTCTTGAAATATCTTTCATACCGAGTGCCTATCAAACACGAGGAAGAAGAAAGCGACGCGCGCCCTGAACAAGGACTGTGCATTGTTGGTGACCTGGAACACGATCGTAAAGAAATTCTAGTAATATGGCGACGCGCGCGCGCGGAAGTCGCATCCTCAGGCCGCTGCTCTACACCACAGGCGCGGGTCTTGCAGGAGGAGCGGCGCTCTACTCCATCTACCGTCCCCGCGACATCCCCGGCCTCGAGGCTGCCCAAGTCCCACCTCCCACGTACGGCGAGGGCGGCGTGTTCCGCCCGCCCAAGTTCCCCAATGCGAAGTCGAGGGAAGATCAAATCGCGGATCTGAAGCGAAGCTCTGGCGTACTGTCCGGCGCTGCAAACAAGGTCAAAGGTGCCATTGGCTGGGGTTCTGGCGGTGCGGGCACTGCAGAAGCCGCTGAGAAGAGTGCAGACGAACCATACGATCTGTTGGTCATCGGAGGAGGCGCCACTGGCACGGGCATCGCGCTCGACGCTGCGACGCGAGGCTTAAAGGTTGCACTTGTGGAGAGAGACGACTTCAGCAGTGGAACGAGCAGCAAGAGCACGAAGCTTGTGCACGGCGGTGTACGTTACTTGGAGAAGGCCGTGTGGAATTTGGACTACAACCAGTAAGGCGGACACACCTCATCATACGCGACTGTGCTAAGCGCAGTCCTACAGGTACAAGCTTGTGGTCGAAGCACTCCGCGAACGACGCTACTTTTTGGATACCGCCCCGCATCTCTCGCAATGGCTACCAATCATGATTCCCATTCAGAAGTGGTGGCAGGCTCCCTACTTCTGGGCCGGTACAAAGTTTTATGACTTCTTGGCTGGTTCGGAGAACATTGAGAGCTCATATTTCTTGACCAAAAGCAAGGCTCTGGACGCATTCCCTATGCTGAAGAAGGACAACCTTTTTGGTGCTTTGGTCTACTATGGTAGGTGGTTCAACCCTCATTTGGTGACTTGGCGCTAATCGTGTAAGACGGTGCACACAATGACTCTCGGATGAATGTCTCCCTCGCCATGACCGCGGCGTTGTACGGTGCGACCGTTGTAAGCCACATGGAAGTTACCGGCCTCGAGAAAGACGCTTCTGGAAAACTTAACGGCGCTCGCGTCAAGGACTGCATCGCTGAGCTAAACGGCAAGAAGGCCGAGGAATTTACAATCAGGGCAAAGGGTATCATTAACGCTACGGGACCTTTCACAGACTCCATTCGCAAGCTCGATGAGCCATCTGTCGAGGAGATTGTGGCGCCCAGCTCCGGTGTACACGTTATTCTCCCCGGCTATTTCAGCCCAGCAAACATGGGATTGATTGATCCGTCTACGTCTGACGGCAGAGTCATCTTCTTCCTTCCCTGGCAAGGTAACACGATCGCTGGTACGACTGATTCCGCTACCACCGTCACAAGAGATCCGGTCGCCGGTGAGGACGAGATCGATTGGATCCTCAAGGAGATTCGCCGCTACCTGCAACCCGACATCGCTGTCCGCCGAGGCGATGTTCTCGCCGCATGGTCCGGCATTCGTCCCCTCGTGCGCGACCCCAAAGCTGGCAAGACTGAAGGTCTTGTCCGCAACCACTTGGTCACTATGTCTCCCTCTGGTCTCCTGACCTGCGCCGGTGGCAAATGGACCACGTATCGCGAGATGGCAGAAGAGACTGTCGACGAAGCGATCAAGGAGTTTGGCCTGACGGCCAAGCCCCTCACCAACGCCCCCCGTGTCAGCGGAACCGAAGTCCTCGACGAGGCTCCTCTAGATGGCACTTGCCAGACGCACCGTGTTCGTCTGATCGGCGCCCACGGCTACTCCAAGACTCTCTTCATCAACCTCGTCCAGCATTACGGCATCGAGACCGAGATCGCGAAGTACCTGTGCACTGCCTACGGTGACCGCGCTTGGACCGTTGCATCGTTATCCGCCCCTACCGAGCAGCGTTTCCCTGTCCGCGGCAAGCGAATCTCCGAGCTGTACCCCTACATTGATGGCGAAGTGCGATACTGTGTGCGTCACGAGTATGCGCAGACCGCCACAGACGTTATTGCCCGACGCATGCGTCTTGCGTTCCTAAACGCGCAGGCTGCGCTCGAGGCACTGCCTGTGGTCATCGACCTCATGGCCGAGGAACTCAAGTGGGACTCCAAGCGGAAAGAGGCAGAGTGGAAAAATTCGGTTGCGTACCTAGGCAGCATGGGTCTACCGAAGAGCAAGCTGGCTTTGACCAGGAAGGATGTCGAGGCTGGGCGTGTGGGCAAGTACGCAGATGAGGAGTACCATCTGTACGCGAGGCACGGTAAGTACAGTCATGTTGCCCTCGTTATAGCAACAGATTGCTAACGGTATCACAGACAAGCCAGACGAGCTCCTCGAATCGGACTCCAAGATCCCGCCCGGGCACAACCCCGTCATGGGCGAGAACTCCAAGGCGAACAAATAGACTCGCTTCTCCTGCTGAGTTGTTCGATTTAGCGCTCTACATCTTATCCTGCCGATCTACGTACCTCGTCCTCTACTCATCTCATACGCCGCCTGTTAGAATACCTTGTACATAACCAATTCTTCTCATCCTGTCAGATTCGGGCGTACTTCAACGGCAATATCTCGTTTTTCACTTCGTGCAGTCGTGATTGCTCTTTTACTGTAACAATGCTTTCTACGAAGTTCAATAAAGAAGGCACCCGTTGACCTCTGGCGTGTGGCAGGTGCCACCATTCTAGCGCATATAGCGCGTCATCGCTCCCAAACAGTCTATCGCTCTTACACTCAATAAATGGAATTTCCCGTTCACTCCAACACTCAGCGCCATGGGAGCACCACGGGGCGACCCTTCCTCCGTCTCTCGGAACACCCAAATGACCCCCTAAAACCTTCTAGGGCGATGTTTCGCGGGCGATGATTTCGCAGGTGCCAACCCATCCTCAACATGGTCTTCACCATCTTCCCCGAAAATGTTTTTGCCCGCCTCCTTTGCTGCCAACACGAGTCAACATCCACAACGACAGTCTCCAGCGCACTGCTATGCTCGATGAGAAAACATTGGATCTCTGCGGGAGTCAATCCGAGGCTGGGAGTCCGAGAAGCAAACGGATCGCCTGGCTCGCCTAGCTCGCTTAGTCGTGTCGTAGAGAGGACTTTTTAGAAGCCAGGAGCATTTGAATCGTTCTGGTGCTTGCGAACGAATATACTCTTTGCCACAACTTGACTGACATTTCCGAAGAGTACCTGTTTATCGATGCGACCGGGTCGGATTAGCGCTTGCTCCAGGGACTCTGGCTTATTATTGGTCATGATGAGGACGATCCCATCAGGGAGACTATCGATCGCGCTGAGTAGTCCGGCTAAGCTGATTCTAGGATTTACCTCCTTTTCTTTCTTCAATTGCACTTCGACATCTTTGTCGTTCGGCATCTTCTCCTCGCCTCGCATGTTCTCTCTCATAATGCCTGCAGAGTCGATGTCATCCAGCAAGAGAATATCGCCTTTCTGCGGGCTCTGGAATAGCTTCTTCAGGTGACACTCGCTTTCAGCTTCATTCAAGCTCATGGCGTACAAGCTATAGTTGAATCTTGCAGCCAACGCTTGGCAATCGCTGGTCTTGCCTGTCCAGGACGGCCCGTAGAATATGAGTCCGTAGAATATGGAGCCTTTTCGATACGGCATGCGTCGATTGCCGTACCATTTTGACCTCGATTCATGCATGAAGCGGTCGATATCCGCGATCAGATCCGATTTGATGTCGTCGTCCAGGTCAATCGTCTCGAGAGGGCGAGAGGCCCTCAGTCGGTGCATCCAAGAGGGTAGCTGCTTGTTCACATACTGAGGCTTGTCTGTGTGTATCTCAAAAGAAAGTCGTGGTGTCTGAGTCAAGAGCCTTGGCTGCATTCTTAGGTTTGACGAACCGCTCAAGTAAGGCGCAGGACGAACCGGGTGTCGAGATGCGGATCATATACTTCCAAACCATGGACCAAGACGAATCATCTTCAGATTTGTTGAAAACTCTAGCCTCTTGCAAATCGGGCGGCTTTGGTAGCACCCCAAATTTGATCGGGTAGCCCTCAAACCTGAACCAACCGCTCGTCATCGCAGTCATCATATCGCCGTTCCACTCAATTTTGCGTGTGTCTTTGTTGAATTCCGCTCTGCCGGAGGGGAACGCAGTGTGGCGTTTTGCAGTGCCTTCGATAAGGGGTTGCTATCCAGGACTGCATCCTTCGGCTGGCTCGGTGCTCGGCTGGAAAGATCATGCTGCAAATAAACCAATGCATGAGGCTTGGTGAGATGAGGTCTCACAGTGATTTGATGCTGATGACGTCGCCAGTTGCGATGATGATTTGGTGGTCGCGGCGGAGATATTGTGCTTGCTATCCTTCAAAACCATCCCATAAACGAGGCGATACAGCAATACTTTGACACCGGGCATGCCGAATGGCGCGGAGACGCGACAATCAATATCCAAGATCGTCGAGGCTTTAGAGCGTATGCCAGGAGCACATGCTGTCGAGGTGCTACATGACAGATATGACTCCGTCGGCAACGTACGCTCCTGTTGTGTAAGAGAATCTCGCAGATACTTTTGAAGCAGCTCGTCATCTAAATTATTGGACTTGCCATCGTATACAAGGTCTAAGTTAAGCCACTGCTATCATTTAGAAACTTGTACTTCGAGGAAAGGTTGAGGCTCAGTCGCCACTTGCTGATGACAACGTGAACCTCGGTGCCAACGTCGGGCGCCGCATAGCGGGTCGCTTACTCGGGATAGGACGGTGCTTCATCAGACCAGATTGTGGAATCCTCGTCGTGGTCGGTACCTAGAGCTGTCGCGAGTACCGCGCTAGTCAGCTTGGTACTGAAGTGAAAGCGACCAGATATCACACCCTCCAGTACCAAACACATAGTGGCATGAACCGAACTACGTGAATGAGTATTTCCAATCGAATTCTTTTTGCCCTCTTGCTCCGCATCCTTGAAACCAATCAGAGAAGTGGCTTTTGCTTCTTCTAGAGAGCTCGGTCTACACCTATGATATCAACGCAGCTCGGCACTAGACCTGGGGTCTGACCAAAGAACGCTTTCGAAACCGGATTGAGGTGACTGAGGATAGATGAAGAGCCTGTATATTATCAACAGCTGAAATATCCTCTCGCTGCCTTTACGGTTGTGGTTTAAAAGCCCTAGCCCACAACCACAACCAATATACTGCAAAGACTAATTGATCCTCCTGCAATTGTTGCTCTCTTTAACAAGACATAATGATGCCAGTACAACAGTATCTGTAAGGGGCAAGCTTCTCAATTCTCGAAAAAGAATAGTATGGCTCATATCCAAGTAACAAGGTCGAAGATTCTATATTCTCTAGCTGCAAGACTTTCATATACTCTGCATGACGGCCGCATGGAGACCTGTTGCCCGGTTTGTGCTATTGTCATCTCCTAGAAGCCGCATACAGCATTGCGCTTCGAGGCCAGCTCTGTTTTTGGTAGCTTTTTAGACCCTCCTCTGATTGCGAAGACGAACAAAAGTCGTTTTGGGAGTGCAAGTACATGGAGATGAAAGAGCCGAGATGCGGCTATCAACCGCATGGCGCGCAGTGTGTAATTCTTCGGCGTTTGTTCGTCCACACGTGATATCATGAAAGAGCCAGTAGGAAACGCTGACTGAACGGCTCTCGATTCGGATAAACATAGCACACCCGTGGGGGGGACCACTGGCACCGAGTACAAGTCAGCCTCCTTCCGCGGGAAATCCTTCGTGCCAAGCTGCAGACACAAGACTTTCGGGTTGCATTGTCGGTACAAGCGGCTGCATTGGTCATGACGAAAGCATATTGAGCGATTCTTTCCCTAGTGACTTTTCTCAGGCAAGAATATGCGCCTGGGGACGCGTAGTCGTGCATTGGTAGGATTAAGACCGGCGTGGAGATGTCACTGCGAGAAAGTTTCGTGCGTAGTCTATGTTGAGTTCGAAGGACTTTCGTTCCTTCTGAACGCATCAATGATGGCAAACTGATCGTAGAGAGCGCGCTGCTGCTCTGGTACAGATGTTTAAGATACACAACGCCTGTAACCGCATTCAGGGCCCGCGTATCTGCGTTACTTGGAATCTGAGCCGACAGAACATGAGAGCACGTGCGCGCCAGATCTATTGAACCCTCGTCTATAATCGCGTATCCCAAGCTCTTGGTTAAGTGGTTTGCTCCACACAAGGTATGGGTCTAAGTCGAAACGTGAAATCAGCGACACGCGGCCTCTCACAGAGAATCCGGACTTTCAAGGGCATACGACTGGCACTTGCTCATTTGGGTGTCGCTTGGTGTAGGCGTACGTACTCTTCATCCTTCCCAAAGCGCAGAATGCTTCCTAAGGCGCAAAATGAGGAAGCGTCATTGCGAGTATCTTGACCATAGAGCGGTCTGGGGGCTACCAAACCACGATTACTGGGACCATGGGGGAGCTCATTCCCACAATGGATGGCAGTATAGGATCTCGAGCATTTCCGCGATATATAACTCTTTAAGCTCACGCCTGATCATCCAGATTATCACTCATTCTCAAATCACAACGATGGGCTTCACTCTCGTACCAGTCTTAGCCGGCCTTGCCGCCGTAGCCAACGCTTTGCCAGTCGCAATTCCCAACCCCGACGGGCCAACTGCTACAATCACGGCATCCTGGTTTGACGACAAGCCAACTGCGACGATCACGGCATCTTGGGTTGACGACG